AAATTTGATCTTTCATTTTTTATTATCCTAATTAGTAGGAGCTAAAACATAAGTTCACGTATCAATAGTAGTAAGACATTGTCGTTTTATTTGTAAGCACAAGCCTTCATATTAGCTAATTGCTTAATATAGTGTTTTTCTCTTTTCAGCCGAGGTGGTTAATGGAAATAATTTTTTTGTCATTCTTCTCTTGAGTTGCGTAGGTGTACCCAGTGGCAGATTCAAGATTCTCAGGTCATAGGATCACAGTGTAAAAGTGTTGAAATTTTTAGGCTAAACTATTAAGGCATTTTGTAGAACAAATGCGTCGTAGATAAATTCATCACTAAAATTTAAGATTTTGAGCTATCTCTTATGTCATACCACTTTTTATTTTTTAAGTTTTTTGTTGTAGCAAAGGCTGCTTTCTCCGCTGCGTGCTTCCACTTCTCTTCTACTGAAGTTGTTTCTTTTTCTGCACGCAGGCCTTTCTGGCCTTTCATTGAGCATCTCATGTGCATTTGAGGTCACTGAGCTTCTCGCCATGGGGTCGTCTCAGACCTCCACAGGCTATCCACAGCCACATTTTCGGCCATCTCATGGGGTCATGTGATCCCTCTCGTCCCTGAATGGGTCCGTTCCTGGGCGTGCCACCACCAAGCCACTGAATGGCTTGAATGGAAATGATTGGATGGATATGTTGTGCTTCTAACTTCTAATCAAATAATTGATTGACCAAGCAAGGAACATGCTCTTGGCTTAAGTTCTTTCACTTTATCGGACTCGAGAATAGTTAGGCTTCACATGTATTTCGATGGATTTTTTTTCACATGTATAGATTCTACTTTTGTTCTAAATTCCTCTTTAGTTCACTCCAATATCTTACATATTTAAATATTTGATATGAAAATATTTTACAAGTTGGCCAAAAAAAAAAAAGAAAAAGAAACATATTTCTACAATAAGAAGTGTTAAAACAACAAGCATTGAAATTTATAGTTTTCTCTAATATATAATTTAGCTTTAAAGATTGTACTTTATTGTAAAGCAAACTGATCATTTACCATTTCAAGGTATAAAAGCATGACTTTTTTTTGTTGTGGTTGGGTATAAAAGCATGACTTGTATGATCTTTTTGTTCATATATTATGTGTTGGGGAGACTAGAATTTTATGAAGGCCTCTGAATGAAATACGGATGTGGTCTAAATAGTCCAGAAAACAATTCATCCTATTTGGAAATTTAGGAATTCTAGGTACCCTTTCAAATAAGTTGCAGATTCAACAAAACAATTCAAAATTGCAAAACGTAGTGTAGAAGTCAAAATGTTATGCGAATAATGTATGATTCAACTAGTTCCTTCTTGCCTATTTAAAGATAATGCATGCAATTGGATTTTAATAGTTGAACAAAAATCTTCACTATCAACAAAAATGTTCAACGACCAAAAAAGGATTGTAAATTATTTTTTTGGGTCGTTCAATAAAAAAGTTCAACGACCAAAAAATAGATTGTAAATTATTTTTGCTCTTTAGGAAGAGCCGATTGTATCTATATATACGTAGAGTCAGCCAAGCAAGCCCGAGTACGACAGAGTCAGACCCGATTAAGTAAGGCCCAATATAGTACGACCCATATCTTTGGCCGGCCAGTTTAAAGGCCATTTATTAAATTACATTTGTTTTATATACAAATAATATGAAATATATTTATATTTATACCTTAAATTCAAGCCTATTTCTTTTGTCTGATAATATATTTTAAAAGTGAATGTTTTCCTTATAAATAAAATAATGATTTTTTTTTCTCAAGTTTCTACTTTTTAAACCCCAATAATATACTAGCCCGTTTCTATTTAAATGCAGTTAAAAAAAGTCATTGGCCTCTTTTTTTCTAACAACTAATAGATCTTGTTAGCATATGCATAGTTGTAAAAAAGGATTGAAATTAAATTTTTTTTTAAAAAAAAGCAATACATAAGTCGAGCTTGGCATGGGCCCATATTGGCCTGTTTAGTAGGGCGACACGAGTGCGGCCCATTCCTATATGGGTTCGCCCCGACCTGCTTATTAAATGGGCCAATTCTAAACGAGCTAGGTCGGCCCAACACATCCCGTTTGACACCTCTAGTTGCGACCCTAACTGCTTTCCGAGTGACTTTATTTAGTTTCTTTTTTCTCTCTCCTCTCTCCCGTGCTTCCTTCTTCATTTTCTTTTCTTTTCTTTTTTTTTGTAAAAATTCTTCTTGTGGTATTTTGGAAACATTTGAATAATTTTACTTTGTGCTATCTTTTGTGTTATGAAATTATTATAAAGAGAGAAAGACACTAGAAGAATTTACGACTATACCAACACCAAATTTGAGGAGAACAAAGATTGAGAGAGAAACCACTTTCGAAGAAACGAAAAGAAATGAAAAATGGAAGACCCAACCTGGTTTGTTGTTTGTCTTGACGCATAGTGGGTGTATAAGATCCAATCCAATTCATCCAAATCGACCGATCTAATCTAATCAAATCCAATTTTAAACGGTTTCGATGATTTGACGAATTGAATTGGATCCATAATTTCTAAAACCAACATGATTGGATCGGATGATGGATTTACTTATGAGAATATATATCCAATACAATCAAATAAAATCCAATCCAATCTAGTTAGTTTCATGTTGATTTTGCTCATTATGAACTTTGTTATAAGTTCTTGAAATTTAGTTATTGTATGATAAACATTAACATACTTAGACACAAATAGTTTATTAATTAATAATTTACATAGTATTAAACAGATAAAATGAACTTGTTCCTTTGTTTTGTCCCAAGTTAATTAAATGAACTTGTTCCTTTGTTTGTTTTGTCCCAATGTTTATAACTGCCAACAATGACTTTTCAGAAACAAAAAAAACAAAAAACAAAAACCCCTTTGGTTAGCACCACCACCATATGCTGTTAGTATGAAATTGACCTTCATGTATGTTTGGGGGGCGACATGCATGGGTATAATACAAGAAGAAAGAGCAAGGAAAAATTGTTTTCAAATCATTTTCTGCTTGTCTTTTTCTTAATGGTTTCATTTGTGTATTTCTCTATTTCTGTGATGAGCATGATGATCATATGGTATATCTGCTAAATAAACATTGGCTGGAGCTGGTGGAGAGAGCCAGAAAATCACATGAAAAGACCTGAAATTTTTATAGGAAGATTCACTATTATACCTAATATAGGAGCCCAAATTATAATAAAAAACCCTATATAAAATGGACTTTAGAAACATACCCAAAGCCTATTTACAACATAACGAAAGGGTTTTAACTTCTTTTAAATTACAAAACTGCCATTGATTTCTTAAAACAAACTCAACCCCAAAACCTCATAAAAAAACCCAAAACACTCAATAAGGCATCAAAGTAATTTAATAATCAAAATTAAATTCAATAAGAACAATTGTCATTTATTGGGTTTTTGTTTTTTGTTTTTTTTGTTTTTGTGTTTGTTTATAGAAATTAAATGGTGTAGGGTTTATTTATAGTTTTAGTGCTACGAATTGATATATTTAACTATTTATAGTTATAGTTTATTTTATTCTTGAGGTAACTGGAAATAAATTGCTAAAATCCTTATTTATGCATATATTTAACAACCTGCAAGCAATACAAATTACCACTCCGGCATGAACAATCATAAGAGGAAGCAAGAAGAACAAGCAAAAAAAAATTAAGGGTTGATATAATAAAAAATTTGTCCACACGGGTAAAGCATAAAAAATTGAAAAATAGGAACCATAAATATATGCTAACTCATAAACTCACTATAGGATGTTTGCTCACATGAAACACAGTCCACGGCCTGCATTTTCAAAAACAAAATTATGCAGGTTATTCTTTGGGTTTATATATGATTTTATATTATCACATGTAAAAACCCTATTTTTCTTTTTAATTTTTATTAACAAAGTCAATGACTGTTTTTAACATTTTACGACACTTATTTCACCACCGCAGTCCAGTTTTCTGTTGTTTTGTATTTTTTTAAGCCATTCATGAATTGTTTCAGGTGGCCATATCCTTGAAGCATCTCTAACAGCCTCTTCAATAACTTTGGAATGCTAAAATAGATTCACCACATCATCAAAACCCCTCCAACAGCCTTGTCAAACTCTTCAAGACTGGTAAGTTGACCTTGGCTCTTCAAAATTTTTAATTTTACTTTGTAAAAATAAAACCTATATATTTTAAAAAATAAAATAAATACATAGATATTTTTCACATTTTTTCATAATATTGCATTAATTGAATTGAAAAGTGAAGAGTCTGCTGGGGCACAAAATATTAAAGTAGCAAACAAAGCTTTTTAAATTGCCCACGTAAGTCAACAAACTTCAATTTGAAGAATTTAATTTGCTACTACCGCTGAAGATGCTCTCAAGATGAATGTGCTTTCATACAACTATTTTCTTAGGATGAATGCGTGCTTGTGACTTTCATGTTCATCATGGGGTTAAGAATATGCTTCGGATTATTCTTTTATCTTTGTACTGATTATCTCGAATTAATAAAAGTTCTACTTAATCAAGAAAAAAAAACACACACACACAAAAATTAAGGACTTAATTCGTATTAAGACCAAAAAGATTACAAGGCGAAATTGGATATATATAGTCGACACCTTCTACCCTAAATGTTTGCACGCATAAGTTAGCATATGATTTATTAGCGAAGATGCATGGTTTTATCAATAGAAAAGATATGAAATCCCCAAACCAGAAAGACAAAAAAAAAGAAAAAAAAGAAGAGAGAAGGTATTGATCAGATAAGTGAACCAAACCAATAACGAATAAGCAAAATACCAAATTAAACATAACTGAGAATAAGGAAAACTAGAGACTAGATATGCAATTCTGGGTTTGTTTACTGTAACAGCTTGAAGCAACTAGCTAAATAAATGGAGCTTTCCTCCATGACTTAATTAATTTCAAACTCTTCCGACCGAAAAAAAAATGTATTCCAAACTCTTTGCTAGGAACTATATAGGAATACCCAATAAGCGTCTTGAACGGAGTTTCAGAAGATTGGCTTTCACAGGCGAAGGTTGTGGAGGCGGACCAGACAGTACTCTTGAAGGCAGTTCCTCGGGAGACTCTGCCCGATTTGGGCCGGTAGGCACAAGCCTATTGAGATGATAATTTGCAGGATTATCATCCAACTCTGGTGGTTCCTCAGGAGACTCTTCTTGATTTGGGCCAGTAGGTACAACCCTCATTTGATGATAGTGTGCAGGACTATCATCGAATTCTGGTGGTTCCTCAGGAGACTCTTCCTGATTCGGGCCAGTAGGCACAAGCCTCGTGAGATGATAGTTTTCTGGATCATCCAACTTTTTCTGCGGGGGAACGTTGTGATGCAAAGGATTTGGACCGGAACGAACCTCCCTCAAGATTTGATCATTTGCAGGTGTGGGAGCAAATATTTTCGTCTCCAATCACAGCGCGCCACGTGGAAAAGAAGATTATCTCTTTTAATTAATTAATTGAACAAGTTTATCTGGCCAATTAATTAATTGGGATAAACATCTTAATTAACATGATATTATCTTTATTTAATAAGATAATATCATTAATTAAGGTATTATCCTAATAAAGAGAAGATAATGTCATTATCTCATATATTATCTTCATAAAAAGAGATAATATCGTTTAATTTAGATATTATCTCCATAAAAAGAGATAATATCATTAAATCAGATATTATCTCAGTCCGACTCGATCCCTACGAATTTGGGTAGAGAATAAACTCAGCATATTCTCTACGAAACCCTAGCCCCGAGGCTCCTATAAATAGATGACTTCATTCATCATTCAAGGTACATCTAAACCTACTCCTTATACCCGAGAAAAATACCCGAAGCTCTCTCTTTCTCCCTCTCCACTCTCCATATTTTCTCTACACGGCTCCGGCCACCACACACGGCTCCGGCCGCCCGGTTCACACCCTACATAAACACTACTCCGTACCCTTTGCTTAGCTATTGTTTTCCTACAAACACTCGAACTAACTTAGGCATCGGAGGGCCTTTGGCCAACACCCCCCGGGTGTGGTCTATTTACTCCAATATGTTTTACAGGAATCGAGGAAGAGAGAGAAGGAAGATCGAAGGTTGAAGGATCTAGAAGCGAATATTCTCCCGTGAGATTATTTGCACAAACAGCAGGGTCATCAAATTTTTGCTGCGGGGGGAGGATGTCATGTAAAGGATTTGGACCGGAAGGAACCTCCCTCAAGAATTGATGATTTGCAGGGTCATCAAATTTTTGCTGCGGGGGGAGGATGTGATGTAAAGGATTTGGACTAGAAGGTAATTCCCTCAAGATTTGATGATTTGTAGGATCATCCAACTGTGGTGGCAATATGTTATGCAAAGGATTTGGACCGGAAGGCACCTCATTCAAGATACGATAATTTTTTGCATCATCAACCTTTGGTGGTAACATGTCGTGTAAAGGGTTTGGGCCAGAAAGGACCTGCCTCTTGATCCAATCCTTGAGGAGAGGATGTTGATCAGCACGTTTGATTGGCCTCTTCAGATCAATGTCTGCAGACCCTTGATCACCGAAACAAGAAGAGGACAGCAAGAGAAGAGTGGTGAACAACACAAACAAGTAGGTCCTAGAAAAGTCCATCTCTGATTATTGTTTGACGGCTCTTTAAACAGCCAACTACACCTTCTTATAGCGTTTCAATTTCCTAATCGGCTTCGGACAGAACTTATTGCTTTACCCTTTTTGAATCCTCTGTGATGCGAATACAAGATTTGCTTACCCTTTTTGTGCTCTAGCTAGGGTTTCAGTCTCCTCCTATATGATGATTGTATTGGATTTTTATTCAATAATCGTAATACGAGTGGTTTTCCCAACATTTTGGTCGTTGACTAGGTAAATATTGGAAAGTCCCTTCTATAAACGATATGAAACTTGTTTTTTTATTTATAGTTTCCTGTTTTGTATACCCATTTTTTATATATTTTTAAATTGTTATTCTCCAGAATTATATACCCTCATGTAGCCATTCCTTTTTTAATATATATATATAAAGTAAAAGACAGAGAATGGTAAAACATTCAAAATACCATAAAATGCCCTTGGTTAATTCAAACATTAAGAATTAAAATTATTAATTAAATAAGGATAATATGATAAATTCACATTTTTTCATATTAAAAAGAATTAAAATTAAAACAAAAACAAATAATAGGTCCTACTTTTATGGAACATAACTACCCATATTATCTTTTCTTAATTCTAAAAATAAAATAAATAAGAAATAAGAAAACCAATTGGCACATGCTCACGCATGTGCCAAGGGGCTAGTTTATTTTTAAATATAAAGAAAAACCTATATGAAGACAATAATGTGTCTCATATATATATATATATATATATATATATATATTAGCTTCCATTGAGGGATCCATCAAATAAGCTTATTTGAGGGACACCCCTTGTAGGCCCCACTCTGGATTGTATTTCACTAATCCAAACCGTCAATTTTGTAGATACTCATTCAAAGATCATCTCTACAAAAAATCACTTGAATCCGACATCATTTGACCACTCAATTGAGTTATTGAAATTTTAGTACTTTCTTGAAGTACCGTGTTCATTGATTTTGTAAGACACAATTGGATATCGAAACGGTTTCCGATTTGTCTAATTTTTTATAAGGATGATCTATGAATGAAGACCTAAAAAATAGATGATTTGGATCATTGGGAAAAAAATTGTAGGGTACCCTAAAGGGCGTCCCTCAAATAAAATTATTTGAAGGATCCCTCAATAGAAGGGGACTGTATATATATATATATATATACATATATATGAGTACTATACCCAGCAACGTTAAACCCCCATGATAATATACCTAACAAAAGGTTCAATTTATAAATATACAAATTGAAACTTTTAACCTACATATAAGGTCGTATATATATCAGTTTCTTTTCTATACCTACATACGAGGAATATTAATTTTGCCCAAGTAAATTTCACTACTACATTTTACACTTTGCACGACAAAGAGAATTTCGTGGAGCAAAATACATTGTTGTCGTACAAATTTCAGCGCGATAGAAACTTCGTCGCTCAGAATCCGTTGCGCAAAGATTGTGAAGAAAGACTTTGCGCGACGAAAAATATTTGTCGCACATGTTTTGTGCGAAGAAAAATATTGGTGGCGCAAAGTTTTGCGCGACGAAACACATTGGTGGCGCAAAGTCTTAAAAATTATAAAAATAAAATAAAATTCCCGCGTCCCATTTTTGGTACCCACCCAAATTTTTAGAGTTTTGCGTGACGAATACTAACGTCACACAAATATTTGCGCGACGCGACGAAATATTTTTTGTGTTTTAATTTTTTTTTCACTTTTTGTTTTATTATTTCTTTAATATTAATTTAATTATATTAATATTTTTGAATTTTTACTTTTTAAATTTAATTTAATTGTATGATTTTTTTAATTATTTTAATTTAAATTGACATATGAAAAATAGTGATCAAATTATCCAATAAATATATATATATATATATGATATTCAAAATGTACACATAAATTAACAAAGTACAATAATAAATCCTAATACAAGCGTATTGTGGTGGTAGTGGCGGAGGATATGTTTTGATAGCTTCCTAATCCTCAACTTTAGCCGTCAAAGTCTTGATGATTCCCTACAAAAAAATAAATATGGTCAAATAACAACAACAACAAAAAAAGGCATAATTTCCCCTAAAATTGTTATACCACAAATTCAACCCAAACTCCAATCCCTCCCCTTTACTCAACCCCAAATCCCACACAAACTCAAAACTAACTCCAAAAACACATATTAATGAAAAAAATTTAAAATTTGGAGAGAATATACCTTTTGGCAAGATTGAGAGTGAGTGAGAATGAGAGGGAGGAGTGAGTGTGAGAGAATTAGAGAAGATAGTGATAGAGAGATGAGAGAGTGAGTGAGAGTGAGAGATAGTGAAAAGAGAGATGAGAGATTAAGTGAGAGGAGTGAGTGTGAGAGAAAGGGTGGGATTTGGGGAGAGGGAAATAAAGAGAAGAGGTAAGAGTAGAGAAAGACATTGAGAAAATGGTGGAGGAGTTATTTTGGTTTTAAAAACCATATCACTTTGCGCGACGAAAAATATTGTTGGTCACGCAACGAAAAATATTGGAATATTGGTCGCGCAAAGTAAAAAAAAATTCTAAAATAAAAATAAAAAAAATCTCAGGTCCAATTTTTGGTACCCGACCAAATTTTTAAATTTTTGCTCGACGAAAAATACATATTGGTCGAGCAAAGTCTAAAAAAATTATATATAAAAATTCCCGAGTCCCATTTTTTGTACCCGTCGAAATTTTTGCGCGATGAAAAATATATATTGGTCGCACAAAGTCTAAAATTTTTATTTTTATTTTTAGAGTTTTGCGCGACGAATCGTAGCACAATATTTATAAAATAATTGTTATGAATAATAAAAAATAAAAAAAATTTATTTTAAGATTTAAAATATAAATAAGGTTAAAGCTACTTAATAAATATATATATATATATATACACACACACACCATTCAACGATCCAACCGTTAGACTTGTTTATATATACTTCAAGATCGTATACCCCAAAATTCGCAAAAAACAAACATTCAGAGACCTAATAACGGGACAAAACTTTTTGATGGTTATAAATGAAAAATCACGATTTAACGATTATTTTAACTCCGATTTTGATTATTTTTTTACAACTACACTCCTTGACCCTATATGAATACAATGACTAATTTGATGTTCAATTTAAAATATTTACACTAGTGGATACCACAAAATCTTATGTTATATTTAACAAAAGTATAAATACACTCTTAATTGTTAGTGAATATATTGTTTTGATGGCATATGCATTCTACGAAACTAGTTTCAACGATCCAACCGTCAAACTTGTTTTTTTTATATTTCGAGATCATATACGCCGAAAATTGGAAAAAATAAACATTCAGAGATCAAGTAACAGGACAAAACTTTTCGACGGTTATAAATGAAAAATCATGATTTAACGGTTATTTTAACTCCGATTTTGATGATTTTTTACAACTACACTCTTTGACCCTATATGAATACAATGACTGAATTAGATCTTCAATTTAAAATATTTACACTAGTGGATACAATAAAATCTTATGTTATATTTAACGAAAGTATAAATAAACTCTTAATTGTTAGTGAATATATTGTTTTGATGGCATACGCATTCTACGAAACTAGTTTCAATGATCCAACCGTCAAACTTGTTTGTTTATACTTCGAGATCATATACGCCAAAAAAAAAAAAAAAAAAAAAAAAAAAAAAAAAAATCATCAGATCAACGGGACAAAACTTTTCTACGGTTATAAATGAAAAGCCATGATTTAACGGTTATTTTAACTCCGATTTTGATGATTTTTTACAGCTACACTCCTTGACCCTATATGAATACAATGATTGAATTTGATCTTCAATTTAAAATATTTACACTAGTAGATACCACAAAATCTTATATTATATTTAACGAAAGTATAAATAAACTCTTAATTGTTAGTGAATATATTGTTTTGATGGCATACGCATTTTACGAAACTAGTTTCAACGATCCAACCGTCAAACTTGTTTGTTTATACTTCGAGATCATATACGCCAAAAATAAAAACAAAAACAAACATTCAGAGATCAAGTAAATGGACAAAACTTTTTGACGGTTATAAATGAAAAATCATAATTTAACGGTTATTTTAACTCCGATTTTGACAATTTTTTACAGCTACACTCCTTGACCCTATATGAATACAATGACTAAATTTGATCTTTAATTTAAAATATTTACACTAGTGGATACCACAAAATCTTATGTTATATTTAACGAAAGTATAAATAAACTCTTAATTGTTAGTGAATATATAGTTTTGATGGCATATGCATTCAACAAAACTAGTTTCAACGATCCAACCGTCGAACTTGTTTGTTTATACTTCGAGATCATATACGCCAAAAATCGGAAAAAATAAACATTTAGAGATCAAGTAATGGGACAAAACTTTTCGACGGTTATAAATGAAAAATCACAATTTAACTGTTATTTTAACTCCGATTTTGATGATTTTTTATAGCTACACTCCTTGACCCTATATGAATACAATGAACTAATTCGATCGTCAATTTAAAATATATATTTTCTAACAAAAACCCAATCCGAACAACAATATTTTTCTAACAAAAATCCGATCCGATCTAAAATAATAAACTTAAAGCTACTTAATAAATATAGATACGGTTTAATTTCTTAAGTGTTATGCATACAAAATAAAAAAAACAAAAATAAATTGGTTTAGGCGACGAAATGTTTGGATTAAGTCATGCAAAGATTTTAAAAATAATTTTTTTATTTTATTTATTTTTATGAGGACTTTGCGTGACGAAGATTATTGTTTCGTCGCGCAAAGTCACTTTGAGCGACGATGTATTGTCATCGCGCAAAGTGACTTTGCGCAATGAATTGTTTTTCGTCGCGCAAGACTTTGAGCGACGATGTATTGTCGTCGCGCGAAGTGACTTTGAGCAACGAATTGTTTTTCATCGCGCAAAATTTGGTCGCGCAAGACTTTGAGCGACGAAGTTTTGAGTTTCGTCGCGCAAGGGTTTTTTTTTACTAGTGTTTGCCTCTTTCATGAGTATTAATGCCTGTTTGACATTGCTTATTTGGGGTGATAAGTGATTTTTTAGAAATGTTGAGAAACTCAACCCGTTTGGTAAACTGTGAGAAAATCACTTATTGTTAAAAAAATTTGTGAGAGAAAGCTATAAGGGAAAGCAGTTAATGAGGTGCTTTCATTTTCTGATTATGCAGGAATCAGTTTCGAAGAAGTGCTGGATTTAATGATTATGCGGCAATCATTTTCTGATTATGCGTAAAATCAATACCAACAACACTTTTAAAAAAAAATTTACCAAACGCCAAACTGCTTCTCTCACGGCAAATCTAACAGCGATTACTTTTACAGCACATCAATCCCAAACTGGCCCTTAGTAATGACACTTATAAGATAGAAAGCCCAACAAACATATGCTAAAAAAATGCAATAGGGTAATAAGAGAAATTTGTACCTTTACAACATGAGGATTCACGCTACTGTGATAAAACCTAAAGCCTTGTAGAGAACTCTAGAGTTTCAATCTTAATACCTAAGGGATATATAGGTAATATTGAGGTAGGCTATATTCTGTATTACCTCTTGCTGAGGTGAATACAAAGAGAAGATGAGGGACGTACGTATAGGTAAGAATATGCCTTTGGCTAAGGATGTCTATAAGAAACGGAGGAGGAGAAGACAACAACCAATTGATAAAGAATTTTCAAATTAACGTTAATTGACCATAATACCAACCAATGAACAGAGTCAATGAATACAATTAAAGGAGGGTGGCGCTAGGATACCAAATTTTAGTTCAAAATAAGGTGACATTTGCCATATCATGTTTGAATTGAAATTGAGATATGTACTTAACAATAATTAATAAAATGTTGTTAAACGAACTCTAAAATTAACTAAGGATTTCTAACCACATTCTCCATAGGGCCCTCTTATCTCTTCCTTCTCCGAGCTCGGGTTGTGGAAGAAGGAACTGAGAAGAAAGTATCAGCAACAACACCCTATTACCAAACTATTTATTGAATTACTAATTTATCCTAATATAAAATGACCAAAAATGATATATATTGAATTGTAAAACAAATGTAATTTAATAAGTACACCCTACCAACCATATTCAATCCTAATCAAAAAAATGTTGTAACATATTTATTATGGTATGGAGCTAATAAAAGAAAAATAACAAAAACAAAAAACAAAAGAAACCCCGCCACGTTGGCTTCATTTGTACTTAATTTCAAGAAAGGGCAACATTCGTCTTTCATGGGAACACACCCAGGCAAGCCAAAGAGCACAGTGACATGAAATTAGCTCATATAAGTAGGAAAGCTCTTTGAGATGGATCCAGATGGAGATGGCACTGTGTTGGATTTAGTTGACATGATGAATAAAAAAATATAAGTGCTAGCCCACTTGAGGTACGATGGTCAAGATGATAATTTGTGGGTATGGTAGGGGGCTGGGTACCATGATAAATTTTCGGGGGCTTGGGTACGAAGGGAGGTGTGGGAGGGAGGGTGTAGAACTTCAAGATGGATGGGTGGTGGTGGAGGAAGGAATGGGCGGGTAGGGGTTGGATGTGGAAGCGGTTGTGGGAGGAGAGGGAGAGCGGGGGGGCTCAGTAGGGTTTTTTATATTATATTTTTATAAATAAATCTTTTCAGTTATTTCATTTGTAAATGTTTAGTTTTTAAAATTATTTAAATAAGATGTATCAGAGGTATTTTTAATAGTTAAATAGGGTGTATTTAGTTAACCTAAAGTGACCAATCCTCACTTTGTCAAGCCACCCGTCGCGCAGTCGGACTGCCCCTCACCACTGTGGCTCCGCAGCCCAGCCGCGCCACACTGCCAAATGCACCCAATATTATGTGAATAACAAAGAGGGAGGATTGGTGGAGGTAGAACATGGTGGTCACTTTTAGGTTCACTCAAAAATTATTTTTTAATTAATTTCTGTGTTAAAATAAGTTAATTACTGTTAAATACATGTATTAATTTTAATTGAAACATAATGATATGGTAGATGCCATTTCATTTTTAGGACTCAAATTTTACGTTCCTAACATTATTAAGAAACCTGGAATTAAATTGAAGGAAAATGCTAGGAACACAATGTGGATCCCAAATGGCATGTATACGTCACTAGCCCTGAGCTAATAAAAATTGCCGCATATTCTGATAAGTAGTCATTAATTTTTTGAGAAAAAAATAAAAAAAATAATAGAGTAAATATTAAATCTTAAGCTTATTTTCCAATCCAATCCGAGGCACCAAATGAGCCTTAACAAGACACCAACCAAACGAGCCCTAACAGTACCAAAACCGATACACCACAGTTACTGCAAAAAAAACCAGACTGGAAAAACAACCTCACTTAGCCTTCCTACCATATGGCCATCATCTCAATCTCAATGGGAATCTACTGATCGTCAAATCAAAGACCCACTTCCTAAATGACTAGAATCTTACGCAATTGGTTTCATATATTAAATCCATTGGGTAACAATTAATACAATCACGAAAATGCTCACTTGAATTTGGTCTAACTTTTCCCGTTCTAAATGTAATCAAATTTCATTTTCAATTTCATCAGTTTTCTGCCATCAACTTTATCAATATATTTGATCTTTATCTCTTTTGGCTGCGAATGCTGTTGAATTTGATCGAGGGGCAAACCTTGGTGGTGATGATGCAGTGCTGATCATGTGGTGGTTTTCTTTTTTTTGGAGCTTGTGGGGTTAATTGAATAACTATTTAGCTAATTGTATATGTGGCAATATTCTAAAAAAAAAAAAAAAAAAAAAAAAAAAAAAAAAAGTAAATGTAATATTTGGCAATTTTAATAACAAAACTGATACGGGGGGGGGGGAATGATACGACGAAAAAAAAAAAAAAAAAAAATACACAAATATGAATCATCAAAATCCAAAAAAAAATAAGCAAACAAGAAATCCGTGGACTCCACCCATGTTGACGTTGAGCTTTTGGACCTAAGCAAAATTTTCTAAAAGGAAAACTAGAAACTAAATGCTATTCTAGGTTTATTGACTATAACTAGCTAAATAAATGGAGCATTCCTCCATGGCTTTGCTTTCGCAGGTGAAGGTGACGGAAGTGGAGCAGACAGTACTTTTGAAGGCGGTTCCTCAGGAGACTCTGCCCGATTTGGGCCAGTAGGCACAAGCCTTGTGGGATAAAAGTTTGCTGGATCATCTAACTTTTTCTGCGGGGGAACGTTGTGATGTAAAGGATTTGAACCCGAAGGAACCTCCCTCAAGATTTGATGATTTGCTGGATCATCGAACTTTTTCTGCGGGGGAACGTTGTGATGTAAAGGATTCGAACCCAAAGGAACCTCCCTCAAGATTTGATGATTTGTTGGATCATCGAACTTTTTCTACCGGGGAATATTGTGATGTAAAGGATTCGAACCGGAAGGAACCTCTCTCAAGATTTGATGATTTGCTGGATCATCGAACTTTTTCTGCAGGGGAATGTTTTGATGTAAAGGATTCAACCCGAAGGAACCTCCCTCAAGATATGATAATTTTTTGCACCATCAACCTTTGGTGGCAATATGTTGTGTAAAGGGTTTGGGCCAGAAGGGACCTGCATCTTGATCCTATACTTGAGGAGAGGATGTTGATCAGCAAATTTGGTGGATTGTTTGATTGGGTATGGAACGGATGAAGAAACAAGAGTCTTGAGATCATTATTTGCAGACCCTTGATAACCAGAACAAGAAGAAAGCAGCAAGAGAAGAGTGGTGTGCAACACAAACAAGTCAGTCGTAGAAAACTCCATCTCTGTCGATTATATTGTTTGATGGCCCTTTGAAACAGCCAACTTTGCCTTCTTATAGGGTTTCGATTTCCTATTTTGGGCAGGACTTATAGGACAGCTTTCCCTTTTTATTCTCTAGCTAGGGTCTCAGTCTCCTAGATATGACGGTAAATCTTCAGAATTCCCTGCTTCCTATGCCTTCATGTTTCACTCACTTGCCTTAATTCCTTTCATGATAGGAAACTTGTTTTTAATATATTTCTGTTTTTTTTTTCTACACTTTCCTTTTTTATTACCCACATTTGTTTACTTTCCTTTTTTATATACCCACTTTTTTATAGTTGTAAGACGTGAAGTGCTATGGCTTAAGGGGTTTCTATGGTGAAGACGTGAAGTGTGAACCCAAATCTCTTGTACAAAACAATGGTTCTTCGCTTTCACCTTTTCTGTTCATTGGATTTCACTAATTATTCAAAAGAATTTTGGATTATGGTAAATGGATTTTTTATATAGGAAATCACCATTCTTTTTGGTGAGTACATCATTGTTGAGTTTATCTGTCACTTAACTCTTCTGATTGTTAATTCTCAAAGCCCTCCCTCTATTATTTCATTTGTTTCTTGCATTTTCTTTTGGCTATATTCTAATTGTTTATGTTAAAAATTTTGTTGACAGAAATATAAAATAGCTAAAATGAAAGATGCCCATGTTACAAAAGAGAAGAAACATGGTTTTATATATGGGTGGAAATTCCTTAAAGCATATTCTTGGTTGTAGTTTAGTTATTTTTTTTTTAATACCGAAGTTAGGAGTTTAGTTGTTGTTTTATTTATTTATGTCAAAGTGTCACTTTGGTTTGAACTTGAGATCACTTATTTACATATCAAGGTCCTTTTCCACTAAGTTAGACCCCATTAGCGTTGGTTGGAGTTTAGTTGATGGAGACACATTTCTCCTAGGAATTTGGTTGCAAATTCTAATTTGTATATTCAATAACTATTAAGAAATACAGAATATATATTGCAATATTTTCCTAACTTTTATGCACTTGGATATTGATCCGTTCTCTTTTTCATAAATACAACAAAAAATCATTTGAGAAGCAAAGGATGAGAACGAAAAAATTTAGGAAACAAAGATATTGAGATAGAGATAGAAAAGAGAGTTGAGAGAAAGAGAGATAGTTTGACAAAAATGCCCTTAAAAAAATAGGTCAAATTGACCAAATTTAACAGAAATTATAACGGAATTGATGTCACAAACCACATTGATGTGGAATACAAAAGTTTGAGGATGACATATTCTTATGGATGTCCGACTCCATTTGTGATAATGTATGTGTATTCAGTTTGATTGATAATTAAAATGTTGTAATTGTAGGATAATACAGATGCCCCTGAGGCATATAGATTCCATTGTGTAGGGGCTTTTTCGTTCCGACAGTTACTATGGGCCTGGGCTGCCGTAAATAGCAAAATGGATGAAATTGCCCCTTGAGCCTGAGTTCGAAGATCAAGCCCCAAAAATGCTTCGAAAGTACAGAGATGCCTTAGGAAACACCTTGGTTACCTTCACCAACAAAAATAACAATAGCTTACAGATAGATTTTCTAGCTTAGCATGAGAGGCTTGTCGTACGGAAGCAAAATTGAAATGAGTTTAGCACTAAAGAGAAAGTTATGCGTTCTTGGGGGAAAAAAAGGGGGTGTTAAGGTAAGAGAAGAAGGGTATGTAGGAAGGTTTGGCTGAGAATGAGGGAAAGAGAGAGGAATTGGTGGCTTGAGTGTTTTTCCGACAGCTTGACAGAGGCTCTATTAAGTGTTAGAACAGCCTGCCATAAGAGGGGAAAATAGGGGAAAATGATGAATAAAGCACGAATTTGCAGGTGAGAGAGGAAGCTTGCTCTCTGGATGTGGTTGTAGCTAGTGGTGAAGCATTGGGTAATTTTTCAGCAGCCTGACAAAAGCTATGTCAGACTCTGGAATGGCTTGCCAGAAGAGAAAATGGGAGGAGATGGAGGAAAAGGGCACAGAATTGCAGAGTTTCAGAGATGAGAGATGAAGCTTGCTCTCTAGATGTAGGTTGTTTTTGGTTGGGTAGAAAATGCTGCTTTTATAGCTACTGGAAGCTATCATTTTCCAAGAAATCCTAATGGTTTCTATCCAATTTGGCCAAGCTTTTTCCTTTCTTTCTCCTCCCTTCTTTTGACTTATCTTATTTTGGCAAGATCTTCTTTGCCCATTCTCACAAAATCAGGGATTTTTGGGAGCTCAATGCTCTTCCCACAGCTGCCACAGTGGAGAACTTCTATTCCCAGCCATCTCCTTCCTTTCTTTCCTTCCTTCTTCCATGGCCAGGTCTGATGAGGGAAAGAAATGGGTATGCATGCTGGTTCAAAGGGTGATTCCCCTCATAGCAAGTTGCACCCCAATATCCCTTGGTCCCTTGGATGCTTTTTGCTTGAAACTTTTTCCTTATCATGTGCTGGAGCGTCCCAGCAGCTCACTGACATGGATATTTTCGCTTTCATCATGGCTTTTGTTTTCAGCTAGGTGCTGGAGATTTGCAGATATTTTCTTGGGTTGCTTGGGCCTTCTACGACAATAAGTTGGTTTATCAAGTAAATGGGCTAACTTCATCAATTGTTGGGCTATTTTGGTTGAAGTAATGGGCTACTTTCTTTTTTGTGCTCACCCACATGTTTGGGCCTAAGAAATGGGCTTGAGTTCCGAGGCTCCTAAGCAACCCCAAAACTTCCATTTCTCGGCCCACCAATAGGTCTCATGTCAACTTATTACCATACATACCACAACCCACTGAAGCAAGCCTCGGGCATTTGAGTGGCTTGGGCCCACTTAGGCTTGTTAGCGTGGTTGGGTGCGAAATAATGATTTCCTGCTTGGCATGCTTTAATTTTATCGTCCCTGAAAAAGGACATGACATTCAATTTAGCATGGGCTTGTAGACCCAGTGCCTTTTATAGGCTTATTTCAATTTTTAGCATGACGAATTGCATATTTATTTGGCATGGCATGTGGATCATGACTCGTGCGAACGTGAATAACGAACTTTTACGTGCTCCAAATTGAGTCTTTTCTTAATAAGGTATTGTGCTGGGCCGAGAATTCAATTGGGCCGAACTGTGGATTTTTTGTGCCTCAACACATTGCCTAAAGGTAGTTGGTAATAGATGGAGGGATTGGAAGTGCCGACTGAAGCATAAATGGTATGATAAATATGACACTGATGAACGACACTTAGCCATCATTCCTCCTCGGGTGGTCACAGAGCAGTGGAAGACACCAGTAAAATATTGGGGTCTTCCAAAAGTAAAAGTAAATATCTAATAAGTTTATAGTTTATGTTTGTAGGATAGATGAATTATCATTGATAAAACCATCTCATAGGAATGTTCTGAGATGAATAAGGTCAATTGTGCATAAGGAGGTGCTCCACATAGGACTAGTCGCACATCATTTGCTCAGTTGAGAAATGTGGTAAGAACACTAGATTGATTATAAATGTGGTTGGCTTTCTATTGATTTATGTTGTTGTATTAATTTTTTATTTTTTATGTGCTAACGATTCTTTCTATAGTAATTGACCATATAGGTATTGTTATTAGCTAATCCTTTTTGTTCAGGCATATATCTTGAATGGTAGGCAAATAATGCTAACAGAAGATTTAGAATTTGTACTATGGCTGTATGTAACAGATTGGTCATTGGTATTCTTTTTAGATATATATTTAACGAGATCAATTTTTTTTCTTACATAGATGAAAGAGAAAGGAGAGAAGACTGATCGTCTGAGCATGTTTACTCGAACAAAGAAGAAGAAAAATGATGAAAATGAAGTTTTTGATGAGGATAATGCTAATATTATTGTAAGTTTGAATAAAGAGTTGTTTTGAAATTTTATCTTTTAGCCAAATGAACCAATTATGCAGTTGTGATTTTTGTAGAATCAATTCAACCAATGTTTGGAAGAAAGGGAAGAAGATGAACAAGATGAGTCATTTAGAGTGGAGATATTTACTAAAGTGATGGGAACTAATGCACATGGGCATGTTAGCATGTATGGGGCTGGTGAGTGTTTGGTCATAAATCAAATTATGACATAATGAGAATAGGATGAGAGAGGAGCTAGAGAAATAATATCAGTAAAAAATAGATGATCTCCAATCCAAGTTAAATGAAGTCAGCTCACAACTTAGTCAAGTGATGACTCATGTTGGTTTCCAAACCACCCCAGAAGAAAGTGGAAGTTGCCAGGTACATTATATTTAAAGTATTTCTCTTATTAAAGAATAAATACTGTTAAAATTTAAGTGTCCGTTTGGCATTACTTATTTGGGTGATAAGTGATTTTTTTTAAAAAATTTTGGGAAGCCCAGCCAATTTGGTAAACTATGAGAAAATTACTTATTGTTAAAAATTGTTGTGAGAGAAAGCTATAAGAGAAAACAGCTAATGAGGTGCTTTCATTTTCTGATTATGTAGGAATCAGTTTCGAAGAGGCACAGAGTTTAATGATAATGCGGCAATTATTTTCTGATTATGATGGAAATTAGCACCAACAACACTTGTAACAAAAAGTTTACCAAACGCCAAACTGCTTTCTCTTACAGCTGATTTCTCTCACAGCAAATCTAACAGCGATTATTTTCACAACACAGCAATGTCAAACTGGCCTAAGTGTTTCTTAGTTTTTATTGTAACTTTGAAATATTTTATATTTCATGTCCTCAATAGATTCCAGATGCCTCAAGTATGCATCAACAAAGACTTAGTGTTGATAGCAAGCTGCAGCCTAATTTAGACTTGGAGGCATAAAAGAAATTGTTTTCATTAAAAGGTTAGATAAATATCTTTGAAAAAAAATTAATATATAAATTTTCGATTAATTTATTTATGTTTTTGTCACTATTTTCATGTTAGGGGTGAAGATGAAATACAGATAATGATGACTACTTCAAGTTTGAACTCTATTAATTTTAATACTTTTGAATCCGTAATATTTTTTATATCTAGAGATGGTATTGTTTACATATGACTTGAGATTTGTGATTCTATAATTATTAGTTTTTTTGTGTTAATGCAAAAGATGGTACTTTCAAGTATATGAATGAAGTTATTTTTGCTTTGATCGAGATATAACACCATTTTATAAGTTTTTATAGTCATTTCTGATTAAAAATCACAGTTTAAATGTCAATTAAGACTATCATTGGTGTTGCAAATTAAATTTTTTGCGTTGAAGCAAGTTGTACAAAATATTTAATTCAAAAAACTGAATTTATTAAAATTGTGTCACATAATTATTGCGACACAACATACAGTCATTAAATCTTTTTTAACGACGCGTGCCGCCGTCGTTTACACTGTCACCAAAAAGGCATTTCCTTTGTCGTATAAGAATTAGCAATAGAACGGCACCATCGCAATTGCTTTAGTTGCGACATGAGATCGCGTCGTGACTAGTGTCGTAAAATCACGTCTTAAATATGACACTCAGTTATTGCGACAATTTTTAACCGTCGCAAATTCGACGCAATACGTTATTACTACGGCCCAAAGTGTCATCAAAAGGGCTGAAATCATTTGTGACGCCTTTTATTGCAACGCGGCAAAAAACGTCGCATTGCCATTGCTAATCGCTATTTTCGACGTTTTTTTGTTTTTTGTTTTTTTTTGTGACGGAATTTGCATGTCGCTAAAGGCCTTTTTTTCGTAGGGCCTGTTTGGACTTCGTTGCCAGTACCTTTCAAAGAGAGCCCTTTTTTTTTTTTTCTTTTTTTTTTTTATTTTGAAGTTTAGGGATCAAAATGATAAGTATCAACACAATTCAAGACCATTAGTGTAAAATCCCTTTTTAGAAGAAGGATGAGGCACCGTTACTCTAAATTCAGGTGGCCGTACTAGAGTACCATACAATAATTTTTCCTTTATAAGATTCAAACAACCATCTCACACTTAAGTGATTGTGTCTAAATGCAAAAAAACTGGTCTAAAAACTTGTGTTATATAAGTGCAAAGGGACCTACCTAAATTCAAGTTTGAATTGTAAGTAAATATACAAATAAAATTGGATTATCACGATTCAGTTTAAAATTCTTTACACCTTAACTATAGCATGGACGTATGCAGAAAAAATTCATTGCTTCTATATGTTCAAATTCAAGGGTGGATATTAGCAATCTGATTCAAATTCAAATTCCAATTATATGCATATGTAAATCATTTGAAGATGTGTTTCGTTGGAAAAGAGCAAAACAAGAAGAAACTAGAAAGTAGAGGAAGTCGGAAAAGGAAACTATAGAATAAATTTGTTCTTGCCTTAATCCAATTTTATTGACTATAAGGTACACCATCATATATGGAAACCCCTTTGGATTAATATGGAACTATAGCTAGCTAGCCTCCATGGCTTAATTCCCAACTCCATGTGCATTTGCGGGGAGTTTTCCAGGAGACTCTGCACCATTTGGGCCCGAAGGAACAAGTCTCAGTAGATCATAAATATTTGAAGAACCACCAAACTTACGAAAACCTAAATATTTCTTGTCTTTATAATTAATACTAATAGGTGTCATTGAATTGTGTTTAGAGTTTGGAGCTTCAACTACCTTCCTCTTGCTCCAGTAATTCTTCAGGACTGGGTTGTGTAAAGGGTTTGGAGCATTAGGTACCTTTCTCTTGCTCCAATAGTTCATCAAGACGAGACGACGTCTAAGATCAGCAGATTGTGGGGATTGTTTGATAGGAGATGAAGAAACAAGCCTCTGGAAATCACCAAAAACATAGGGTAGTGAGAGAAAAATGGATAACAATACAAAGAAGTAAGCCTTAGATAATTCCATGTTTTGTTATTTGGTGGTATCTATAGAACATCTAACTACACCTTCTTATAGGATTTCTTACGCATGAATTTGCTGTAAATAAAATATCACAACAAATCTCCAGTGACGCCCAGGATTCACTTACTCTTTCAAAAAATTTTATCGAGATTTTCTCTACAATTAATCTTCTTTATATGTATTTACATATGTGATTTATATTTATGTATGGTTGACCTACCTCGAATTTTATTTATTTGATACCATCTTCTTCTTTTGGTTATACCCTCCAATAAAAGTAATATTTTTTCTTAGAGCAGAATCGTAGAAAGATATAAACCAGCAAAATCAAAGGATACAATTAATAGAGAAAATATGGAAATTAATCAATCAAAAAGTCCACACATTATTCCATATTACTCTTTATTTTCTTTTTCCATCCAACGTCTTAGCAAATTTTTTTTTTGAAAAGTTAATATAGATCCAAATTCACATTGAGAAGTTGGTTTTGATCCTCGGAGTTGGTGACTTTGATACAAGTCCTTTGACTTTTGTACTACATAGGATTACATTCCTTTTTAAATATTTTCGGATTACATTCCTTTTTAAATATTTTCGGATTACATTCCCTTTTAAATATTTTTGGATAATTACGAGAAAGAATTGTTTATGACCATAATTAATTAACAAAGAGTGCTGCTATTTCCACCCACCTGTCCTATTTTCCCACCCACCTTATCTTTCCACCCACCATATAAATTTTAAAAAACACAATCCTATTTTACACCCACCAATATTCCTAAAATACCTTTTTAATTATTACCTAATTTCCTCCCTCCTTTATTCTCTCTGCTCATGTCTTCTCTCTCTCTGACATCCCATTCATCTCTCTCTCATTTTTGCTCTATCTCATTGTCGTAACAGAGCTTGGACAGGAGCCACATGCTCCCTGTAGCTTCAAGCGCACTACATTTCCTTCAATTTCATGTAATTCAACATTTCCCCCATCGGAAATCAGATATGGTCGAATTTCATCCAATACACTTTCAACATTCTCTGCAGTCAGTGACAACTAGACTGCTGAATTTGGAGCTGTACAGTAATGAAATAGATGACCATCAAACATCCAACTAGGGATAAGTAAAAAGAGACTCAGGGTCACAACACTTGTTACATGGACAATCTTAACACCTCTACTACAAAAAGAGCATTACACACATACATTGTATGATTTCTTTCTCTACTCCACGGGATGCATGCTTTTGGGATGTAACAAAGTGTTAAAATGGTTGTTAATCACCTTTGTTTGGGCTTGGAACGGTCTGTGAAATTCAAAACAGTACGGCATACCTGGAGTTCATGTCCCTATTGAACCTACGTATGATCTTTGATTATTTTTCATATATGGAATAATACAGTTTTCAATATTGCAAATCAAAGAGCAAGTTTGGACATCCCATTCATCTCTCTCTCCTTTTTGCTCTATCTTATTTTGCATCTCCCACACTCCATCTTTGTCTCTGTCTCTCATGTTTACTGAACTAAAACAGTTTTTTGTTGTAATTTTTATTTTTATTTTTGTAAATATGGATTCTATGAATAAAATAACATTTATGCTCTTAGCTTTCTACTATTGTAAATAAACTTTTTCTCCAGAGTTATCCAAGGACCAGAAATCTATTGAACTTTGCAATAAAAAAAATATAAAACACACATTCTTAAGACATGGGAATGTCAACGAGTACAAAGCCAAACAAATAAGGGAAAAACAACACTACCCGCCCAATTCACATGTCTCACCCTTGAATTTGTTAAAAGACCAAGTTCAATCGTCATCAGATGCAATTGTTTCTCTAGTTATAACAGTAGACCTTGTAATATATATGAATTGTTGTATGCGAGTGATGTATGGGGTGGCCCATTCTGTAGTCCATGGTTCTCGGTATCTATCCCAGTTTGTTGCTATAGGGGGAATTGGATGACTTGGCTTCAAGAATACCTGCACAAAGGTGTAAATATATATGGATAAGGACATATTTATAAAATAAACAACTTATATTCAGATTATAAAATACCTGCACAAAATGACGATTGATGAATCCGATAGCGATCTCTCTACGATCTGATAGTGGCAATGGTCTTGATCTAAGAGGTAAGAACGTTAGACATTGTACATTAGATAGGTGCACAAGTACAACATCATAACATGATGCAATAATATGGCCCATGTCAGGCATAGTCATCCACCGATCAAAATTTGCATCAGGTCCAAAGTACGCCAATGAGTGCTTTAGCTCATAGATCCTATTTTCAGACCCATAAAGTGCTGAATAAGACTCAAGCTCATTCAATAAATCTCTTCTTACTTGTACCCATCCATCCTCACCATAACCTAATAATGCTGCAATAGGTCTGTACCCACAATGTCCATATGCTGCCACATCTTTTACATGATGGATGTATGACCTTAATGCTTGTGGAAATGCGTCAACAAACTCAACTGGCTTATGTAGCGGGGTGCGATACACGTACACACATGTATATAGTTAGTTATAAAATTAGTATAGACGTGCAGATTATATCATCTTGCTATGATAAATATATAAATATATTATACTCACCCTCAACTTCGGTCGCCTCTTTTGTTTTGCACTCACTTTAGGAGGAAGACCACTAAGACTACATCCATCCAACCTAGGTGAATCTACAACCTCAAATAAGGATGGATCACGACGAGTAGATTTATCCATCTTCTTACCTGGCCTACCTCGAGTCTTGGTATTCACAAATGGTTCCACAAGTGAAGTAGTTTGTGGTGCTACTAATTCCATAAGTTTTCTTTTAAGAATCATTTGTGTAGTTGCATTAGACTTCATCCAACGCCTATGAAATAACTTCATCTCTGCATCATAGGAACACTCCGAAGTTTTTCTTTTAAGTGCACATGTCATGTCAAGTTGCCTCCAATGAGGATCAATGCACTCAAGTGGAATAGGTTTACCATCTTTCTTGTACTTTACAATCTCATGAGCACATGGTAACCCATGAGCTAGTCGTAACACAAAGCCACACGCCTCAGAGTCAATTGCACAATTGTTAGCTAGCTTGGTCTCCTCGAGTACCATATATAGTGCACTAATTGAGACAAAACCACGAAGTTCCTCAAAATCTGGACTTCTAAAATCATGATGCACTACTATCAAACTTTTCTCGAACGAAGCCTTAATTTCAGTGTGTTGCAACTCAAGTAAAGCGTGTATATTTTCCCATGTTGTGGCAAATGTTCCTTGGCTTGTTCCAAGTTGTCTTTTTAATCTTGCATGTGAAATTTCAGCCCTGTTGAAGTAAAAGTATAGTAATATTAAAACAATTTGTATATATAGTAATATGATTCAAATAAAGTAAAAATATATAATTGAAATCTATAAATCAAATAAAGTAAAATCAAAGATTATTTATCACTTTTGCATCTATAAATAAAATAAAGTAATAAATATAATTGGCATTACCTATTTGAAGTTTTATTCCCAAAATGCATGCATTTATCTATCCATGCGGCAACAAACCTGTCCTTATATGGGTTCAACCAAGTATCTATTACATATTTAAGTAAATCTGGATACTTACTAAACTCACTGAGTAGTTCTCTTGCCTCCCTTTTGAAATCGACTTCAGTTGGTGATGCAACCATTGAATTCCATTTAACCAAAAACCTATTGCAATCATCCTTACTTTCACATTCAACTTTGCATTTGGCTAGCACATTCTTATTAATATGCCATTTACATAACAGATGCTTAGCTGTACCAAACACTGCATCAATGGCTTTCATTAAAGCCAATTCTCTATCTGTGACAATAACATCGGGCATAACTATTTCATCCATCAATCCCCGTAGTACACTTAAGGCCCATACATAATTATCTTCTCGTTCTGAAGAAAGATAGATGAAACCAACACAAAATGTCATATTGGTAGATGTAACTCCAACAATTTCTAACATTGGTCTTATAGGTACAATCCATTATCAAAGTACGTGGAAATGCACGTAACAAGTCCAAACAAGTAGGGTGTGTCCAAAACAAGTCCAAAATAATATTTGTCTTTGGGCAACTCCTATGCCACTCAATGTAATTATACTCAAATAACTTACTCATCAATTGTTGCATTTGGGATCTTCCAGCTTTCTCCAATAGCCTCCAACGTTGACGTGCATTATATATCGTTCTAAGTGTGGATGAATTATGATAATCTCTTCGCTTTAGCGTAGTCAAAATTTCATTTGGTCGTACCAAACTTTTTGACATATCAAGTAATAATGATGTCTCCTCAAACGATAATCTACCAGCAAATGAATGACCCTCCAAATGCACAGCTGCTATATGATTATGCACTCCAATAACCACTATCAGCATCTAATGATCATCTATTTCTAGCTTTTTACCCTTTAATTGAAAAGGGCATCCACACTTTTTCGATCCTGCATGTCTTCTATCCTCATCTTTTATATCTTTTTTGGGAATTTGCTTTCTATATTCTCTATACCTCTCACAACCCAAAGTAACTCTTGGCTTCTTATTTCCTTTTCCACCTTGATCAGATCTTAAGGTCACAATAACAAAACCATTCGCCCTTCCAACTTCACGAGCCCATCGTATTAATTCTTCTATACTGTTAAATATCTGCATATCACCAATTTCACATTATACATAAGTTTACAAGAGTGTAAGAAAAAAAAATTTACTTATTTCAATCAAACTTAACTGTAGACACCAAAATTTGAATTCTTGTGTTTACACTAACCTCATTCGTGGTAAATTCACTAGTACAATCCACTATTTGTTCAAAGTCCACGTTACTACAACCAGAATATTCATCTCCCTGAAAAAAGAAAACAATAAACAATAGTAAGAATATATCTCCCTAGAACATGGCCTAAATCGTAGTAATACAGCAGTAAAATATCACAAAATTTAATGATAAAGGCTGCTCAGCAGGCAAAAGATGAGCAGCCCTTGAAACCAAAAGTTGGCTCATGCTCCCCAATTTTTGAACATACCCAGCAACCTCTTTGCCCACCTTCAAATCTGCTTTGGCTCACGCTCCTCAATAGCTGTAAGTCTCCCTCTTTCTCAAATATTAGTTCAACCTATTTTCTTGAAATATGATTCAAAACGTAATAAAATTGTGTTTGATTGTTTTTCAAACTTTCTGGTCAGCATACCAGAAAGTTTGGAAAATGGGCAAAGAGGTTGCTGACCAGCCCTTGAAACCAAAACTTGCTCATCACATCTTCATGCAAAATATCCCCCACTAACGACCCATTAACCCCCAAAGCCTTCTTTACCAAATCGTTGAATTGTTTATTCATCCCCAAGTTTTCAGACTTTTAATTTGTTTAATAAAAAAATCAGAGTCCAAGAAATACTCATCTCCCAATGCTTTAAGTAATCCTAAAGATCTTAGAAATTCTATTCAAATAGGATTAACTTACCTTTTCGCCAAAATCGTGCTCTTCAACATCCATTCTGTTGTTTTCTTCTTCATAAACAATTTGATTGAATGAATAGAAAAGAGAAGAAAAATATTTGAGAATTGAGTTTTGAGCACTGAAAAGCCTTCTTCACCTTCTCATGAGCAAGGAGTGGTTTTCTTGTGTGTTTTTTTTCTCTCTGTCAAACAATAGGGTTACTTGAGAACTGAGAAGTCTGCGTTTTTTTTTCCTCTTTCTTTTTCCTTAAGTCATTTTAAGTCATTTTACAGTAGGGTTAAATTTGTCTTTAAAAGTTTAAAGATAAGGTGAGTGGGAAAATAGGATAGGTGGGTGGAAATAACAGCACTCTTAACAAATTAGGTGCTTATGACCATAATGATTTTGGTATATTAATTACGTTTCCCTTTTTTTTGTCTTCTTTTAATTGCATCCATGAATTCTATTAATTGCATCTACGATTTTGTATATTAACACTTATATTTAGTTAGGTACATTAGAAAATTCTACCTATATACAGTGATTCAGGGTATTTGGGTAGTTGTGAAAGGTCGAGTCACGGGGCACGGGCAACAGACAATGGGCATATGTCGACCGAACATCCGGTTAGTCAAAGTAGTGACTATAATGGTGTTGACATTAATGTACCAAAGAAAGAAGATGTTATGGGGAAAGAGTTTAAAACGATAGAATTAGCAGAAGAATAGTATATGAGTTATGCAAAGGGCATTGGATTTAGCATGAGAAAAGACAAAATTGATTTGTAATTCGGAAGGGAAAGTAAGTAGTAGGCGGTGGTGTTGTTTTAAAGAAGGTTTGAGAAAAGAGAAGTTCAATGATCTACTGGATAGGATTCGGCAACCGAAGCCAATTACAAGAGAGAATTGTCCTGCCCATTTTTGGGTGGGTTATGAGAAGAAACCTGATACTTACGTTGTTACGAATTTTGAACCACATCACAATCATGAACTAGTTACTCCGCTTCAATCTCCATATCTCCGATGTAACCGTGTTATTTGAAATTGCGATTTAGCACAAGTAGTGGGAATGCGAAGGGCATTGGTCTAAACATGTCATACATATGAGTATATGGTCGACCAATATGGCGGGTATTTAAATGTTGGTTTTCAAATAAAGGATCTGTACAATAAGTTGGATGCATCATGCAGGGAAATTTTGCTCGACGATGACACAGAAGTCGCACTCTCTTACTTGACAGCAAAAGAAGTAATGGATCCATAATTCTTTTGTAAGTTTAGTGTTGACGAGGAAAATAGGTTTGGTAATTTGTTTTGGAGGGACTCCACTTCACTTTTGGATTACATTGCCTATGGCGACGTCCTTATATTTGACAGTATGTACAAAACAATTATGTATGACAAGCCCCTAGTGTTGTTTGTCAGTTCCAACAACTATCTTTCTATTGTAATGTTTGGTTGCTCATTATTGTATGACGAGACATTTGAAACTTACAAGTGGTTATTGGAAACATTCATGACATCCATGAAAGATAAGAAGCCAATATCAATATTGATGGATGGCGATGAGGCGATGCATAAAACCATTGATGATGTGTTTCCCATGTCTAACCATTAGTTGTGCTCATGGTATGTGTCAAGGAATGCACAGAATAACTTGAAGGATGATGAACTGCTAAGAGATTTTCAGGCATGTATTTGGGAACCATTTGCGTTGGACAAGTTTGAGAAGAAATAAGAGGTTTTGAGAGAAAGAGCCAGTACTCCGAAACAAAAAGAATGGTTGGAAATGATGTATGCAAAAAGAGACTTATGGGCTAAATCATGTCTTAGAGGAAAGTTTTTCGGTGGTATGACCTCTTCCTCATCTTCTTCATGTTCTTGTGGTACCAAAATGTTGGTCTTTCCTTTTCGAACTATGTCATGTTTCAATTTTGTGCGAAACTCCTACATATAGTCAAAAATTGACATATATAAATAATCAATTTTGTTCAATTTTGGTTAGCACACGGGTGATGATGGTTTGTATTGCGGAAGTTAACATATTATTACAAATTGCAAAATTGAACATCTTATAAATCGAATGGGGCAATGGAGGCAACAAACTTACATGTCCTGCATTATCATCTAAGACGTCTTGACCAATATCTTCACTTGCAATGGTTGTCCCCTTGGTGTTCTTCAATATCTCATATTACAATATAACATCGTTCGTGTTCATTCACAGTCTCTTATTTCAATATAACATCGGTGACGTTCTTTAATTTTATGAAATCACTATGAAATGAAGTTGAACTGACTTACAATCTCTTGTCATATGTGCCTGATCTCTATGCTTGCTTCCAATGAAGTTGAAAATAGTAGGGCATTCAACCCAGCATTCAGCTCCAAAATCTTGGTTGCAGCTTGAGCAGTTACCTACATTCAGGCACATGCAATTATAACAATCACCACTGGAAACCATCAATTACGAATAAATTATTCCATGGAAACTACTTATATGTGTTACACCATCAGGTAATGGTAGATCAACGCTATCTTGTCCACGGGGTATCCGCACCAATTTACTTCCATTATCGGAGGACCAACTTGGTATTCGCACTGACCATGCCTGAGGAAAGATGTTTCCAACCCTTGTATTCACACCTTCAGGAGTTGTTCATTGTCCTTCATGTGGAATTGAGGTATCATGTTAGTTTTTAGAAGAAAAAAAAATTCAATTTAATGTAGGAAGTGTAAGTACATAACTTGTGTTCAATGTAGAACCTACTGCTTCACATAAGTCCTCATAGTGCCAGTACCTTATGTACTCATCTCTGCACCAGGCATAGTCGGATGAATTTTCAAGCTATTCCGAAGCTGGGTACCCATTAAGTGCTTCCTCGACTTCTGACTCATCAGTGAGCCTATAATCGGAAAGCATTGTCCTCGGTGGAATTTTGGGTACTCGAGGTTCTGTGCTGCCTAAGCTTTGCATTTTGACTCGCTCTCCCAAATACCAGGAAAAACTAGATTGTCCCTCCAGTAGGATTCATTTACGGGTTGTCGGCATGGTATTTTTGACTTCTTCCGGCATCTCAGCTTCATCGGTCCCCCATGGGTTCCAATTTACTTGCAATACAAATTGGTTACCTTTGCATATGGTACATTTTTTTGGTAATAAAATCTTGGTTCAAGAGTCAATGCTTTATACCTAATCATTTATTAGATGTCGCATCATGACTCTAAAGTGTACCAACTGATTGTGCAAGTCTCGCTTTGCTTTTGCACCTAATCATTTCAATGCACGGGGCCATGTGTTCAAGATCCCACTGGGCCTTGCTAAAGCCAACGGCTTTAGGTACTCTCAGGCCCATACTTACACAAAACAACTATATAAATTAGCAATTTAAGCAAAAAAGTATGTTCAATACCCGCCCATACTTGAGGACCTACCCCTAGAAGAAGAATCCATTGATCTATACAAGCAAGCCAAAGCCGCACTGCCCCAATTGTAATTACCAATGTCTGAGACTATTTCCAGACTGGGGGCGTAGTGCATACTCACGTATTAACTCTTATCATTTATGAATGAGGAGCCAATCATGCACAGTATAAATGCCCTTGCAATTTGGTCGGCTTCTTTATCATCTTTGGGAATCTTCTTCCAGTACGGGGTAGAAAGGCTTTCGTACGACACTCTCCTTTCACCCGCTAATAGGTCTGCAATTGGTTTCTCAAATAATTTAACCAGCTTGTTCTTATTTTTGTAAATCTCCAAGTCGTACTTTAATTGCTTCCCACCAACACGCAATCTTGTGATTGCTGCAAAGTCCGTGGGGTTCATCATCATCTCTCCAACTTCATCGAAGTGGAATGTGTGGGTAGTGTCCTACCATTTCTCAGCTAAGGCCACAAGTAATGGCATATCCCTTTTCTTTCCATGCCCCAACATTGACAAAAAGGGTAAAAAGCCAGCTTGTTCGACCTTCACTTTCACAATGTCGTGCATTGCTGTGTTATACCATGTAGCACACTTGTCATCGTTTCCACACCCTCTTATTTGTTTTAAAGTAAGCTGCATAAAACACAAAACATCATTCATCTCAATTTGATTGTCACCCACTTAATTACAATTTATTCCAAAGTGAGAAATGTGAATTGTAAAATAAAATAAGAATACCTTGAAGGAGATATGTTCCTCCAATTCCACGTGAAGCAAGGGTGAACAAGGATTTTGGTCCTTCGGTATGAACACACGTACATCGAACACCCCACTACCCATAGGACCCGAGAATCAATTTGTTGGCTTCAGTTTTTTCGAGCTTGAGGTAGCCACTGAAGACTTACTTTTCGTAGGCTTTGCAAGTACAGTTTTCCGCGGCCGGGAACCTTCTTTAGATGCTTCAACCTCAAAAGACTTTTTCTTGGTCCTCATTGTCGCTTGGAATATCCTTTAACCTTAATACAGTAACAATAACTTTGATAAACATGTTCATACTAGAAATTAGTTTATCATTGAAACAATTGGTACATAATTTTTTTAGGCAAGCAGAGCGTACATTGTTAATGATTGTATATTGGGATTATGCATGAATTAACAATATTAGATAAGTATGTCACATTATATATCATGCCATTATTTAAGAATTTTTTTTCCTTTTCAGTGAGAAAGCTACACCTAACATTGTATGCTTTGTTTCATCGAGCGACAGTATCTAATTACCCATCTAAACCATCAAATATTTTCATTGGAGATTAAATGTCACAAAGTCTAAAACTGCAGCCTACCATTTCAAACTTTGAACTAGAGAGATTCCATTCCAAGCTATTTACCCAATTAATAAGCAGTATAATCATTTCATTAATTAATAACAGCAAGAACAAATTGTCCAAGACAAAAAAAAAAAAGCAGAAGCATAACAAAAATAGTCAAAGCAGCACTAAAATCTAAATGACCTACTTCCATTTGTAGCCCATCAATCCAAAACTGCCAAACAAAACACACACAAAGTCATCTTCCTCAAGAAAGTGAGCCACAATAGCAAACTTCCTAATCCAAAGAACTAAAGAACTTATTAAAGACACTTTTTAGTTTGCCTAACTTGATTTGAAAATTATGATCCATTAAAGTTGGTAATTTTGAATATTAGGTTAAGATTATGCTTTCATACTTCAATATTCAAGGAGTTGACATTCACATAAACCCTTTCAGCCTTGGACCTGGAAAAAAAACGCACTCGAAGGAAGAAGGGTAGGGTTTTGTAGCTAACAACATTTGACTATTCGAGAAGACTAGGGTTTTATCCAAATTGAGGAACAAATTATAGCCAGTACAAATGTCTATACAAGGCCAACAACAAGACCCTTGAATCGCTGATTTAGCATCCCAAATTCCATCTACCCAGACAAAAATAATTACAATATCAAAAAGGAACCCCAAACTGAGGAACCCTAAACCCTCATAAAAATAAATTTGTTACAAACCCAAACACCCTTAGGATTTTTCCTCATGTAAATCCTCATGTGTACATTTAGAAGCATAACTGAATGAATAGGATCGAAGTTGTTACCCTTGACGTAGAGTTTGCGACCCAAAGGACAAGGGTTTAGGGGTGAGAATGGCAGTTGAGAGAGAGAGAGAGAGAGAACTGCGAGTGAAGAAAGAGACGGGTGAATTCAGCAAGCGAGAGGGTGGGAGAGAGCGAAACGCCAAGTTGAATTCAGCCAGAGACAGAGACAGCGCGCGAGAGTGACAAACTGAAGCAGTTCCAATTTCAGAGAGAGAAAGAGAGAGAGAGAGAGAGAGTGAGAGAGAGTGAGAGAGAGCGAGAACTGCGAGTGAAGAAAGAGACGGGTGAAGTCAGCAAGCGAGAGGGTGGGAGAGAGCGAAACGCCAAGTTGAATTCAGCCAGAGACAGAGACAGCGCGCGAGAGTGACAAACTGAAGCAGTTCCAATTTCAGTTTTTGAAAATTTTCGGGCTAGTTCTTCATGGGTTCGTGGGCTTTAAGGAGGAGTAATAGTTCAAAATTAACAACGGAGCCCCATAGTATAGTGTTTGGCTTGGGGTGAAAAATTAATTGGGTTTGGGCTTGGGCTTCCGGGTTAAAATATGAATTGGGTTTAGGCTTTAAGGGTACAATTGAAGTGGGTTTGGATTTCAGTTTGAATTGGGATTGGGCTTTACGGTTAAAATTGAATTGGGTTTGGGCTTTAGGGTTAAAATTAAATTGGGTTAGGCTTTACAGTTCAAATTGAGTTCGGTTTGGGCTTCAGGGATCGTATGAATTCGGTTTGGGCTTTAGGGTTAAAATTGAATTGGGTTGGGCTTTAGGGTTAAAATTGAATTCTGGTTTGAGTTTTAGGGTTAAAATTGAATTGGATTTGGGCTTTATGGTTAAAATTGATTTGGGTTGGGCTTTAGGGATCGTATGAATTCGGTTTGGGCTTTATGGTTAAAATTCAAAGGTTTAGGGTTTAGGGTTTATAGTTAAAATTGAATTTGGTTGGGCTTTAGGGATCATATGAAATGGGCAAATAGTAATCTACTTGTCAACGAAAACATAACATCTTATTTTTTAATCACACTTGAAAATTGCAAACATGATATTTCTCAACTAAAACATTATAACACTCTAATCCCTGAACTTATAGTTCCCATCATCCGGGTCATCCGTGGACTACCATATTTCAACTTCCTTCCAACGCGTAAAGAGTTTGTCAGTGTAGCAATCCATGCACCATTCTATCTTTTAAGGGGTGCACTTGCAAACAAGGGAGATGGTGGCTTTGGAGGCGAGAGAGTCAAAGACCGGTAAGCTTGAACATTGGCACACTTCTTTTCATATGGGAATCGATAATGTCCACCTGTCTCATGCTATATGGGTCTCTCTAGTATAGTGATGTTTAATATTGAGTCATGTAAATAAAATATAACTTATGTAGAGTACTTACCATGAGAGTGTAGGCCAATCCATTTACGGCTCCTCGATCCAAAGAGTTATACAAGCTCGCCCATGTGGCTGCACCCATTCTGGCCCAATGAGCAAAAGTATTGCTTACTTTCTGATTCCATAGAAATACAAATCCATCCTTCAACAACTAATAAACTACGTCTATTCATCTAGAGCTTGGTTGAGCAACAATCTCACCCCTCAATAAACCCCTTTGCTAGGTGTAACAAATTTGATTGTTTGCCACATAAAAATGGAACAAATTTTTTAGATAAGAAGCACATTGTTGAAAGTAATTACAGTTCTGGCGACCACATTGTACATAATTGGAATTAATCCACCACACACCAAGTATCTCCATTTATAGAAGGATATTTGATGAGTACAAGGGTGCTGGGGGTCAAGGAACTATGGGATAAAGTGAAGTTTTGGGCGTCCTTAAGAGTATCTGTCAGTTTTGTCTTTAAGGAGTGGCAAATCCGATTTTAATGAGAGACTTGGTTGCTCTGGTGAAGTGATTTGACCTCTATCGTTTTTGTTTGATCGATGACTTCTAAACTCTATAGGTTGGTATAATTTAATATAGTTCATGTTTGGTTTTTGCTTTCTAGATTTCTTATCCACTTATATGTTTCTTTACTACTCATTTTGAATATATAAAGTTTCTATTCAAAAAAACACAATTGTGGTCATGACCAACACATTTGGTTTTCATTGGATATAGGTGCGATTGGCAATCTTGTAACATATTTATGTTGTCATTGGATATAAGTGTAATAGACAATTTTATTTCACAAAGTTTTATCCCTTATTGAATATTAGAAAGTTTGGGAAGACTAAGGAACCTGGTATTACCAATTAGGTTTTTGAGGTCAAAGACATGGGAACCTAGCATTTTACCATTCATAATAGAGTTTTACTTGATCTTGATGATAAAATAAGTAGTACGTTTTGGTCAAGTCCCCTAAAAGATGAAGTTCAATTCCTCTCAGTCCAAAGGCACACAATTTCCATATATAACCTTTTTACTAAGAAATTTGGTTGCTTCTAAAGTGACTTGCTTAATTGATCTATGGTTGATGTGATTTGTTTCGCATGTCTTTTATAAATAAATAAAAATTAGGACTTGTTACTAAGAAATTTGGTTGCTTATCTTATACTGATGGTTTCAACACCTAGTACTGGGTTGTTTGCTCATATCAAGTTAAGTGTATAAAATAGTATGGTACAATAGTCTGTAGTCAAAGATTTCATGGTTAATTAGCATAGTTAGTTGAATTTAAATGTTACAATTATATCAAGCTAAGTAGGAGCATCAACTTATTCTTTTAATATTGATCTATTTTCCTCATTTAATTTCAACTATGAAATTTCTCTCTACTCTTAGTTGCTTTTAAGATGTCTGACTATGGCTTATTAGGAACATCAACTTCTATGTTGCAAGATGAATTTAAGAAAGTGGATGAAGGTAAATTCTTCAATTTACCCGAACGACAGAGAATAAAGTTGGGAGATAAATGTAAAGAAAGTTTAAGACATATCATACAAGAAGAGAATGGGAGGAATATGGCTATGACAAAACATTTATTGGTAGTTGTGCAAGAAGTTCTTCAAAAGCATATAGAGATGCTTTTGAAGGAAGCAATTATAACATAAGTCTCTAATGCAACTACCCCACCCCAAAGTCCACTTTCATCACCCATGTTCTTCGAGAAAGAGCAAACATCTCTCCCGGACATTAATCTTCTGAAAATAAAAAAAAACATTGCCAAAAATCTTTACTTCTGTACCTAAAATCCAACAAGTTTTCCTTAAGATAGAAAGTTTAAAGCCAATAGTCCAAACTCCTATTTTGAACATTAGAAGATCCTTAAAAATCATGATTCCATTGAAATTTTTTTCAAATTGGTAATGCTTTTGTGTCACAAATGTTTCTACTTTTCAAGTTAATTTAAAGGATGACACATTTGGTTACCACTTCTATATATTTCTTACCAAAAAGGATCTTACCTGCCTTACTTCAATGCGGGAACTTACAATAACTTGTATCATTTGATATGTAAGGTAAACCAACACTACATGATATTTCCTCAGTTATAATTGTATTATACTTTTCTTCCAGCAGCTTGACGAATAGGCTTGGGCTGACTTAAAGAGAGGATGGATAAAGTTGCCCCTGTGTATGAGTTTGGGAACTAGGCCCCAAGAGTGTTTTGAAAGGTTCGTAGAACCTTAGAAAACAGTTTGGTTCCTTTCATCAATAAATCAAACGATTGTGGACGATTAGAAATATTTTGGCTTGACTTGAGAAACTTGTGGCATAGGAGCAGAGCATTCATGAGTTTAGCATAAGAGAGGGAATTTTGGGAGGATTTGTTGAGGGAAACAAGGAAAAGACGAAGTGGAAGAATGGGTGGCTTGAGCAAATCTTCCAGCTGCTTGACGAAAGCTTCGTCACACTCTTGAGTGTTTTGCCAGAAGAGAAAAGGGGAAGAAATGGAAGAATATAGCTCAAAGTTGAAGGGTCCCAGTAGTGAGAGGGGATGCTTGCTCTCTCTGGATGTGCATATGGGAGAGAGAGAAAGAAGATGGAAGAACACGACTTGAAATTGAAGCTTGTAGCAATGTGTAAGGATGTTGCTTGCTTTGGATGAGTTGTTTTCGCTGGGTAGAAGGTGTCTCATTTTATAGGTGCTGGAAGCCCCCAATTTTATCAAGTCTTCTTCTTCATTTTTCTTCACTTTCTTCCATTCAATCCTCTTTGGTGAAATCTCCTCAACCCAAGCACATAGGAGCAGAGCTTTTTGGGGTTCCCAGAATTTCTTGCTGCTGGACTCCTCAATCTAGGTGAGGTGCCTCTTGCTTTTTCTTCTTGTTTTCCAACCAGAGCTTGCAGAGGAAATAATGGATATGAGTGCTGATCCAAAAGGTGATTTACTTCCATCAGCACATGGGTTTGCTTGGTTTTTACGATAGTTTGGCTTCGATCTGGTTTTAACAGGGATGTGGGATATTTTCAAAGATGTTGGATATTTATAAGGTGTTGGGCTAGACTATTTTCTAAGGTGTTGGTTTGTTGGTGTTCTATTTCTAGTGGTCTGTGAGTTTACTTTGATTTCGTCAAGCTGCTGGAAGCAGCCTATTTGCTTCATTTTTTTTACAAGGTGCTAGATGTTTTGGCTGATGTGAGATTTTCCCAAGTGTTACAGGCCATTGGATATTTTCCTAAGGTATTGGGTTTTCTTTCTCATACTTACCCATATGTTTGGGCTCAAGAAATGGGCCTGAGTTTTTCCCTAGCAGCCCAAAACTTCCACTCCTTGGACCATCAATGGGCCTTGTGAATTCTCGCAACCATCCATACCACAACCCGCTCAATAGGCCCAGGCATTCGTGTGGCTTGGGCCCACTTAAGCTTGTAGCGTGGCTTGCTGCCAAGATAAAGGTTTTCCGCTTGGTGTTGCATGTTATTATAATGGGCTATGGCCGGTCCAAATGACACTCGACGAGATATTAAGGGCGAGTTCATAGAGCCAGTACATTTTACGGGCTTGTTGAGTATTTACTTGGGGTGGCACGTGTGCAAGCACATATGATGAACTCTTGCATACCTAAGTTAGATGTCGTACTGGGTTAGAAATATATTTAGGCCCAGCCTTGAATTTTTTGGGCCTCAACAACAACTTATGAGTTCTAGTTTGACATGTGAATAAGACTTCCATCCTAGAAATCGTAGTTTGATCGTGTTAAGTGTACTTATCTCCCTAAGCACCTAACACACTTATCTTAGTGTCTCTACACCTAATGACTTGAGACTAATCATTCTCTCAATCGAGCATATATAGTGTGTACCAGTCTTTGTAGATGATCAATGCCCAATTGATAATCCTATGATCTGGAATATTTAGGAAATGATGTGGAAGTATGATAGGTCTCCTTATATCCAATCTCATTGTATAGCTCTCATATTATTTTATATTCCAAGGACTATTGTTTTACTGTTATGATTATAGACCAAATATCATGGTTGAATACAATGATCTTGCCCATAAATAATGGTGAAAATATTCAAAAAGTAACATTACATGTTTTTCTTTAGGCATATTTTCAACAAAAATGCATTTAGAAATTACTTCAAAGAGTTGTTTGAACTTGGGACTACTGTAATTAAGGTAGACTCTTAGGTTGCATCCAGGGCAAGATAAATAGTGCTCATAATAACAAGTTGTTGTTCCCTTCTCTGTGGATGAGGTTAAGATGGCGGTCATGCAACTTGGTTCCTTTAAAGCTCTAAGCCTTGATAGATTCCCTAACTTGTTCTATCACCCCATTTGGGAGACATTCCAGACGTCCATTAATGCTATGGTGGCTTTGTTTTTCTTTGTGAATGACAATATGAAGTCCCCGAACTGCACTAATATTGTGCCAATCCTAAATGTTCCAAATTCGAAAATAGTGGCTCAATTTCGCCATATTAGTCTGTGCAACATTTTTTACAAGATATTGTCTAAGCTCATGGCCTACTCTCCTTTGCAACCTTATTAGCCATCATTAAAATGCTTTTGTCCTAGACAAAAAAAAAATCCAAGACAATATTCTTTAGCACATGAGGCATTTCACTACCTTTGATTAAAGAAGTCCAAAAAAGTTTGTGAATTAGGATTGAAGCTAGGTTTGGCTTTGACTGTTGGTGGGTTGCTTTAGTCATGCAATATGTGAGGACGATCTCCTTTTATATGATTCTGAATAGTGCTCCTTGGTACTCATTTACCACTTTGTAGGGCTTGTTGGGCTTCATGCTTTCAACAAGGCCTTTCCTGCCAAGCAGTGCTGGAGGATTGTATGCAACCCCAATGCCCTTTGGGTCCTGTTTGGGGGTGGTGCAAATTCACCCAACCCAGGCGCTTTTTTGAAAACGCAAATGGCCAGGTTTGGAGCTGGAAAGAGATTCGAGGTCGAGTTTGGGGCTGTTGAAAATCACGGCCGGGTTTTTTAAGACAACCGGGTTTGCTGAAGGTCTTGGAGCTGCGGCTGAATTTACAATCGCACAGCTGCGGCTGGAATTGGAGTTGAGGAGTTGCGACCGGGGTGTGGAGTTGTAGAGCAACAGCCAGGATTGGGATTCACAGAGCTTGGCGGCCGAGGTTGTTGAAATGTGCGGCCAGATTTCTGGAGGATTACAATTAGGCTTTGGTGGCTAGAGTCTTGTGAGATGCGGCTGGAGAAGAAGACTAGGTTGTGCTTGAACGCTGTCGAATGTGTCCAAAGGAAGTGCGGCTAGGTTTTTGGGCAAAGGAGTTGTGGCAGGGTTTTTGGGCAAAGGAGTTGCGGCTGGGTTTTTGGGCAAAGGAGTTGCAATTGAGTCGTTTTGGTTTGGAGTGTTAAAATTTTTGTGGCTGGAGTGTTTAGATTTGGGGAGGTTTTTACAGCTGCCTACTATATATATATATATTAATAAACGAATATAAATATTAAATGAGGTTCCTCAGCGGACCAATTTTGGAACTCCAGGAATTCAAAGGTCATGAAGGGCATCCATATACCATTCCAATGAAATGGAGGTTCAAGCCCAAGACACCAATTCAAGCCTAAAATTTTCGAAGTATTATATGTGTGTGGTGGAGGCCTCACAAGGAAAGAAATCAAGGAGGTTGATGACGATTCAGAATTTTCCAAAACGAGAGAAAATCAAGCAACCATAATATTTTCGCCGACGTGATCCACGGATTTAGGGGGGCCTCAAAAGGAAAGAAATTTTAAAAGAGCTGACATTTGGCTATTCAATGGCCAGCCATGGGTCAACGGATGCCCTATATAAACATCACCAAACGAAGGCAGAAGACACAACATCAGACAAACAAACCTACTTTCGTCTTGCACTTTTCTTTTCCTAGACTTAGGATTTTAATTTTCAAGCACCTAGTGTAGTGAGTTCTTCCTTTTTCTAGTGTAATTTCAAATTCTTGTTCAATTTATATTTTCTTGTAATTTAAATTCAAGTTTATTTTCATTGCTTTGCTTTTCATTGTTATCGCACTTCAGTTAAGTTTAATTTCAAGTTTATTTTATTTTATCGTTCTTATCGCTTTTATTTTGTTTTTGCTTTACTTATCGCCCCACACTCAAGCCCAAATTCGTGGCTTGGTGGTGGCACGCCCCGCACTCAAAAAAGAAGAACCAAAAGTTCATTCTGTTGGCCGCCTCGGTCGAAAAGAGGGAAACAAGTCCAAATTCTTTAGGCCCGATATTTCCTTGATTGCTATTTATTGAAAGCAATGAAAAGGGCTAGTGGACGTGGGACAACCTTCTATTGGGTCGAGAAATCATTGAGTAGGGATCTCTCTAGCAAATTGGGAATGAAAGACAAGTGGAGGTATGGAATGATCGGTTGTTGAATACTGGTTCTCAGAAAAATCTCCTCATCTAGTCGTCTAATCGTTTCTCTCCAAATGGTCAGCAACCTAATTAATGAAGACACTAGATCTTGGAACAGTTCACATATCGAACCATTTATTTCAGTGTGCGAGGAAGCTGTGATAAAATCTATGCCTACTAGTCCTCCTAATACGGTTGATCGCCTTGTGTGGCTAGCTATGAAGTCTGGCTCCTACATTGTCAAGTTGGGATATCATGCTACTATTTATTCTAGTCAGCATCATCATTATGATGAAGCCAACAACTTCCATGTGGTGTGTGATGTGATTTGGAAGATTATTTGGGGTGCACGACCTTTCCTAAAATTAAAAACTTCATGTGGATAGCTATCTCAAATTCTTTACCCACATGTTTGCTAAGGAGAAAATTGGCAAATTCTCTCCTGTGCAAAAGCTTTGTGGTGAGTATCCGAAAACGATGAAACACCTTCTCCTTCTCTATCCTTAGACACGTGTTGTTTGGTTTGGGGGTCCTCTAGGGTATAGACTGATAAATGGATGTATCCCTAAGCTGGACATTTAGTTTTTAGATCTTCTAAATGGTTATCGATGGGTTTTTTCTCATATGGGGTGTTCTTTTGTTGTATTTTTCCTGCATTTATTGGCTTGTTTTGTTTTTTGTGCCACTTTGTTTTGGATGGGTGGTGTTGCTCTCCCCTGTTTTGGGGTTGTTCTTGCTCTTTTTTTTAGCTTTTTATTATTATTTTTTTAATGAAAGTATCTTTTGACCAAAAATAAAAGAGGTCAAAATTATAGCTTTTTGCATTTTGAAAGAAATTTTTGAAAAGTAGCCAAATTTCGAACATGTTAAAGACTTATAGCTTCTTTTTTTTCCTCATTTCTAGAATTTGAACCATTAGAGGGGAGTTCGAGCACTATTTGAAGGGTCTCAAGAGGGTTTCAAGTGGCTACATTTCTACATCTTGAAAGAAAAGGCTAAAAATCCTATGTGAAGAAAAAGAGAGTATGTTCTGCAAATTTCCAAAAGTCTTAATTAGGGTGGTCCAAAGAGTGGAAAATGGTTATTTCTCCAAAGAGTACTGCTATTTCCACCCTTGTTCTATTTCTCAACTCACCTTATATTTCCACCCACTATGTAAATTTGAAAAATCACAATTCTATCTTTTCACCCACCATTATTCCTATAATACCTTTTAATTATTAATTTAAGCAAATTCTCTTTGCTAATAATTAGTAGTTGAGATATGGAGAGGATTAAGTTATGTTTGACGGACTGGATAAATGTTTTAGTCTAATATTTTGATTTTCTGAATCTTTTAGTTTTTTATGCTCTGCCTTGTAGCTTCTGAGAATATTCTGGATAAATGTTTGAAAGAGAACGGTGTACATTTGAAGGGCAATTTTATATTGTGTTCCATTTGTACGTGAAAATTTAAAGGTGAAAGGAATAGAAACAACACCTTGCATGCCCAAGAAAAGAACGAAAATAATTGAACGGTTGAACATGAAATAAATTTGAGTTAACGTTTTTTCCCTAAGTTCTTAGAAGTCATTTTACAAAATAGTAAATTTGTCTTTAAAATTTTAAAGATAAGATAAGTGGAGAAATATGAGAGAGGTAGAAAATAGCAGCAAATTTGGTGAGATTTTAAGCTAATAATTGTATGTGCCATTGGATTAATCCAACGGTGCGATTAACCTGCACAGAATGCAATTTCGCGCCACTATTGCCCACTCATTGTTTCAGAGATTTTTGCTTTGGCCTGACTTCTCTACGCGACCCAGACAGTGAAGATTGAAGAAGATGCTGTGGGTGGACAAGTACAGACCCAAAACCCTAGACCAGGCGATGGTCCACCAAGACATCGCTCAAAACCTCAAGAAACTCGTACAACTCTACCCTCTCTCGTGGATTTCATTTCCCAATTTCTCGGATTTCAAATCCCTAATATCTTCTAGTGCAGGTTGCAGAGCAGGATTGCCCCCATTTGCTATTTTACGGCCCTTCTGGCTCTGGCAAGAAAACCCTAATCATCGCCCTTCTCCGACAGATTTTCGGTCCTAGCGCCGATAAGGTCCCCCCCTTTTCTCACACTTTTTCTTTTTATTTTAATACTTTTTGGGGTTCAAATTATTTATCTGTGTATATTTTGACTCTGGTCCTTTGTTCCGCTACTGAGAAGATGTTTGAAGGAAGAGAGAAGAGAACAAAATCTTTTCTTTTGTGTCTTCTTTTTCACCTTTATGCAGTTTGTTTTGGTATTAAAAAAATGAACTAATAGAACCTGAAAACACTACAAGAAAAAATGCTTAGGAAATGCTTTACTCTGTACCGGTGGCATTCTCCTGACAAGTGTGCATTTTTTTTTTCAATAAGTCAAAACATGCAAATTGTGGTTAGCTTGTAAGGATTGGAATGGCTCCTTGCATCTAAAAAATCCAGAGCATATGCAAATGTCTCGAACTAATTAAACTAGCATCTAATGTAGGAATTGTGATATTTTCTGTATTTTTTTCACAAGAATCCCCTCAGCCTGGCATTTGAAATTTTGTACATTGTGATGACTTTTGAGAAATTCTTGTGATTGTGGTTGGCAGGTGAAGGTGGAAAATAGGACATGGAAAGTTGATGTAAGTTTCATCGACTTTTGTATTGATGCGATTAAATGGATGCAGCTATAGAAATTGTTGTTTATATGTCATTTAGGTGATGCTGTGTTGATTTCTGACTTATTGGTAATTACTGTTGATGTTTAGCCAATTTATAGAACATGCTAAAGTATTACGTTTCTAAATCATTACATATCTGATTAATTGTTTTTTAATGCAAATTCAACTTTACCCTCTGTCTGATTCATTTTCTTAACTTTTTCAAAAACCCCCCGAATTGGTTTTTATTTTAATGCTCACTTTATTTCAAGACATTTTGGCCTTTTTAACTTATACAACAATTATTTATGTTTATGAAAGATTCTTTTTTCTTCTAATATCTCCTTGTTCAACTTAAAACCATTGGTTCCATGAATTTCCCTTGATTTTATTTTCTTGTGTTCCATTTGAACTAGAATTTTCCTTTGGTTTATTTTCAGGCTGGAAGTAGAACCATTGATATAGAGCTGACTACATTATCAAGCACAAACCATATTGAACTGAACCCCAGTGATGCAGGCTTTCAGGACAGATATATTGTTCAAGAGATAATTAAAGAAATGGCTAAAATAGACCCATTGACACAAAAGGGAAAAAGGGATATAAAAGTAAGTTTAAATAAGTTTAATTGCTTATCTTTAATGAATAGACACTTATCCAATGTATATGCTTACAAATATTTCTTTGGTACCTTCACTTTAACGTAGGCAGCTGGTTTTCTTCAGTTGAATGAATTGCTTGTTTATCTTGTGGATATTTATGTTGTTTATCATCCTTTTCACAGTTCTGCGAGATAGAATTTTTTTTTCCCTCTCTTGCACCCCATGCTAAAAAAATAATAAAATGGAAAAAATGCAGTTGGATGATCAAGTAGTTTGGTGTTTCAGTCTTTAATATTTATTTGCTCATACCATGTCCTTTTAACAATGTCAGTCTTAGTGCTGAATGAAGTCGACAAACTTTCTAGAGAAGCTCAGCATTCTCTTCGAAGAACTATGGAGAAGTATAGTGCTTATTGCCGGCTAATACTATGCTGTAACAGTTCTTCAAAGGTTACTGAAGCAATCCGGTCCCGGTGTCTAAATGTGCGAATAAATGCACCAACAGAAGAGCAGGTTGAATTTTCTGAATTGCAATTTTTAGAATTGGTTGTGGGAAATAAAAATTATAAAATTTGTTCACTTCCATTGTAAATTATGCCTCATGCAATGATTTCATCTGAAATTTTCTTGTGGCAGATTGTTAAGGTATTGGAGTTCATTGGAAAGAAGGAAGGGCTGCAACTTCCTTCTGGATTTCCTGCTCGTATAGCTGAAAAATCAAATAGGAGCTTAAGGAGGGCTATATTGTCATTCGAAACTTGTCGTGTTCAACAGTTAAGTGCCATAGTTCTTATTGGTCATCAGATGCATGAAACAGTTCTTTTCCTTCATTTTCTTCTGTGCACCATGCAGACAGAAGAGGTCCTGATAGCTATGGTCTTTCTGTGAACCACTGATGTGGTTGTAGGTATCCCTTTACAAGTAATCAAGCAATATCCCCAATGGACTGGGAGGAATATGTTTCTGAAATTGCATCTGATATAATGACGGAGCAGAGCCCAAAAAGGTTGGACTTTCTTCATCCTTAAGTTTTGGACTCTATTGCAGCGTTTGTATCTGTGATTTGAATGTTTTCTGGTTCAATTATTGATGGAACTCAAGAAAACACCCTAAATTGTTGAAGGCCATAGGCAGACCTATTTGTCTTGTGGAAGCTGGTCCACAATCATTTTTCCTTTTCAATTTTCATTTGTCATTTTTATTTGACAATATATCTAAATAAACTTCTTTCTATTGGTTGGGTCTTTAACAACAAGAATTCTCCCTTTTCCACCATAGGTGGATATTTCCTTAATTAGTATTCTGATTAGTATGCTGATAACCAAATTCACTCACATTTTCAATATTTTTGTTCGTTCGTCAACCAAAAGAAGAAAAAACCATTGTGGTTTGGCTGCATCTCTTGGATTTTTTATCTGCCTGTTTGGAGTTTTTATTTGCCTCTTTGCCAAATTCACAAAGTATTACTTTATCATTCTTTATTGCTTGCGGATGTTATACTTTGTGATTAACATTCTTCTTTCCATGTTACTGTACCACCTTTGGTGCATCATGCTTGTAGTACTTCTCCTTTTATCCATAAAATATTTTATTTTGTCACATATCCCTTGCCTTTGTGGTATCTTGATCATGTATTATCCATCCTCCCCTCCTTTGCAACATTTCATTGATGGTCCATCTGCTATTAGATGTTTATCAGTCTCACTGGCTTATCTTCAACTAAACTAAGGAACAAGTTGTGGTTTCTCTTGCTGGAATTGAAGCAGAATAAGTCCGCATAGCTTGATGTGACATAATTATAATGCATCCAGAAGTTTGATGTGTTGTTGGATTAATCTTGGAAAACATACTCATTCACCTGTCCAGTTTTGTGTCCAATCTCGCATGATATTTCAATTTCTTTTGGGTCATCTACAAGATGTGAAAATGTTGTATATTAAGAAAGTAATAACTTAGAAAAACTGCGTAAAATTAAAAATATAGACCAAAAGGAATAACTTAGAAATATAAAAAAGGAACAACTTAGAAGAGAAAAGATGATCAAGCCCTGTGAAATTCGTGGCTGTATGTTTGCTACTATCTAGCATAAAATAGAATGTGTTTGTAAGAACATACCCTTTTTTATTAAGTGCCACATTTTTGTAACTTTTGAAATTATTGGATTAGAGTACACAGTTTATCATAATCCTCCCACCTAGATCAGTAGTTGCTTGAAAATAGGGACCAGCAGGCCCTTGTTGACTGTAATGCCATTATATTACATGAAAGGATTTGACAAATTCCATATTGTTATTGTGGTAGAAGATTCGCTATTCAATTTATGTGATGTCTAAAGTCTGACGTTTTTCTTATATTTTTGTAACCATATTTACAGTAATGCCGTAAGATGGATGATTCCTGGCTTCTTATTTTCAATATTCTAGTATTTCTTTTTACTTTCTAATCAAATATTGTTCATTTTGCTTAAGGCTTTACCAGGTGCGGCAAAAGTTGTATGAGCTACTTCTTAATTGTATTCCTCCTGAGATCATCTTGAAGGTACAAATATTTTCCTTTATTATTGTGTTCTACAATTTTTTGCCCCACCTTCTTTGTTTTAGGCTTTATCAAGTGTGGCAAAAGTTGTATGAACTACTTCTTAATTGTATTCCTGCAGACTAATTCTCAAGAGTTCCCCTTATTTTTGTTTTCTTGAATTTTTTCCCAATTTGATTTGAACCTTATATTTTCTGTTGTCTCAGAGGCTGCTTTTTGAATTATTGAAGAAATTGGATGCCGAGTTGAAGCATGAGGTCTGCCATTGGGCTGCATACTATGTAAGTATATGATTCCATGTTAGCAGTCTTGATTCCTACAGTAGTTCCTTTTGCACAATGCGGTTAGATCAGGTTGCATATTTTTTCTCTCTTATGATCTCTGATTCTTGTGAGCTTGCAGTCTTGTGCTGCAAATAAGAATCATTAGCATACCATGGCTAAAAACTTATCATTAGCATACTGACCTCATTACATCAGGTCACAAGTCAATCATATTCCCTATGCCTATCATTTCATATCACTATGTCTTAATAGTCATTTCCCTTCAAGTTCCCACGTGCTTTACATATGTTGGTAAATGATGATACAAAAATGCACTCGAGGTATTTATGGTTGATTCTATTATAAGGCAGTAGAATTGGTGGAAGTAATCTGGTCATAAATTCTGATGTCATCAGATTGTACTGGGAGCTAAGTTGTGGTCGTGTTATATATCTTTCTCCCAGAGACCACAGTTTATTGAGCAAATTGCATAAAGAGATTGAGGTTGGTGAGTTACACAGTTCACCAGGGATATTGCAACATCCTCTTTTGTCCTCTAAATACAATGAGGGCATTAACTTGAGTAGCAGACTCGCAGGTTTATTGTTGGCAGCGTAGTGTTGCTTGCGGTTCAGCTTTGGAATAGCATAGCGAAATTGGGATTTGATGAATCTAATCTACTTCAAGTATCTTTACATTGCAGTTTCCTTTTTGTTCACAGGAACACAGGATGCGTCTTGGGCAGAAAGCCATATTTCACCTCGAAGGTACTTTTATCTATCCAGATGCTGTGTGAGATAATGATGAGTAGTTTTAGGAAACCTTGACTAGTATTATAAAACCTTCACATGGCGAAAGCAACAACTCATTGCATAAGGTTTCAACTATCTTATGTATATGTATGGTAGATATTGTAGATCAGGCAGCACTTAGTAATGTTGGGTACTTTTATAGCTTGTTTGATTTTGTTTTTGTTTGGTTTAAAAAAAAAGATATTATAAATTAGAATAAAAAGGGAAGAAAAGATTAGAAGAAAGAATGAAGAAGATCTGAGAGAGGTGAATAAGAGAGAACGAATAATAGATAAATACAAGAACAGAGTAATTATTATTTGTTTTTACTTTTTATTTAAACAAGTTTATCTATTGTTCCTCCTGTTTTTCTTCTTCATATCTCTCGTGTCTTTCATGTTTCTCATCACCTTCTCCTTTTTTCTCTCTCCTTAGTTAAACAGAAAACAAAACAACACAAATGCTACCAAACAGGCTTTTCGTTATCTGTACATGTACCCAAAATGTTGCTAGCCATTTGCTTGCGTAGCCATTTAGGCATAGGCAATCCGCAAGAGAAACTACCGTATAATACTTTCCCGGCAAGGTTACTTTTCCGTCATCAGGATTTATTTAGTTTTAGTAATTACAGCTTCCTGTTTAGCATATGCTCTTCAAGCAGTTATAATGGCATTAGTAACATGCAAATTTAATATCAGACTCAGACTCCCTTTTTGATTAAAATCGTCAGAGTCAAGGTGGTTTGGAACGATCATTTTTCTATGTTTTTGGGGATTGTGCTTGAAGTTGCCTTTTGAGATGGTCTCAGCTCTCTAATGGAGTTTCTTGCAATTATTCTTTTACCAGCGTTCGTGGCCAAGTTCATGAGCATCTATAAGGCTTTCCTCATTGCAGCTTTTGGCTGAACACAAGACTTAACTTGATCTCCATCGATCTGAAATGTTTTTGTTGAACACGATGGCAATGAATTGTGTACTTGGTTTTAGTATTTATGGTCTCACTAGAAGCATGTCATTGAAGATTTTTATCATCCCAACCAGCATCCTGTAGTACGGTTTGTTTGTTTGTTTGTTTGTTTTTTTTGGTATGTAGAATGATTTTGCCCTATGAAAATATATGACGTGTAGCATTTTCGTTTCCAGAAACGCATATAACTAGTTCTATTCAACCCCCAAAAAAAAACTAGTTCTATTATATGAAAAATAAATGTCTAATTTTATATTTATTGTTATTATGTATTTTATGAGCCCTTGTATAATTTATATATCATTTATTTTTTTTTTTTTTTTTTTTTTTTTTTTTTTTTTTATTTTATAATATTATTTTTTTTTATATTGAGATGAAGACGGTTTTTTAATTTTAGATAAATGTTTTGCCACTCCAAAAAAATTATCACAAACTACTCATAAAAATGTAAGGATTTAATTGCATTTCAATGGGTACATGCTTGGTAACTTTCTTGAGTGCCAATGCACTACTTTTATTTTATAAGTAGAGATTAGTTTTAACTTTTATATTAAAATAACAGTAACTTATTATTTAATTTTTATGGGTGCCCAACGATGATAACAAACAAGTTAGTGTTATGGTTAAGTTATCCGACACAATGGACTTAATGAGTCGGGTTAAATTAAAACATTTCCAAAGGAATAGACAAAGGAGTAGGCAAAACTTCAAGTTTGTAGGCATTCAATTCAAGTAGGTAGAATTTACATATTTCTCTAAGTAGGCAACATTGCGTACTTGAAAAGCACTAGTTATGTTAAAATATGCCACTTGACGATAAAGAATAGACATATTGGAACCTTGTGTTGGCACCTGCACAATTATACTTTATTTTTGTGTGATGTGGAACTGAAAATTACAAAACAAAACATCTAGAGCAAAGAACTCCAAAGAGGTCAAAATAGAAGGGAGATACAACAGAGAGGGGCAACCCGTTCTCCCAAACAACAAAAGTTGAGAGGCCATGGTCCATATTAGCTACAACATCTGCAGTGAAATTAGCCTCCCTAAAAACATGATGAAAACTAATAGAATCACCCAAGGAACTCAACTACCAAATATCCTGAACAATTTGTTGAATACTCCATGGAATCGAAACCTTCTTAAGCACACTGTCAATGATAAGCTTGGAATCCCCTTCAACAATGATCTTACGCCACCCGCGATTAAGGGCAAGAGCAAGACCATTCCTTAACGCCAAGCATTCAGCCACATTGATGGTAATCTCACCAATCTTGCTTGCACTAGCAAGACATGACCATCATTGTTGCGAATAACAAAATCAATAGTGCCTTGCAAATTTTGAACCGATCCATCGAAGTTAATTTTGATCTATCAAACTATACTTTGTTGCATTGAGTGACCAAGTTTTCATTATAAAGTGGGTAGGTAGGCAACATGCAACCTAGATTGTTAAGATACAATTTTACCTATTTCTTTTCCATGCTCCTTTAAGATACTTAGAATTGATTAGTAAGTGACTAGAATATGTGGTGACATAAAACAACAGACATATGACCTTTCAAAAGTTCAGAAAAAAAAATCTGGTACATAAGAAAACTTATTTAAACCGCCAAAATAATACTATTTCAAGTCAATCACACATTATCACGCGAATACCGTCACAGAAAATTAGATAACTGCTTATTACTTGTATTTGTAAACAACAAAAGGAAAGAAAAGCTGCGAAGATATAATTGAGAGGGATGTAGGCTAGCTGGCTCAGTTGACATCTGCTCTTAGGAGTGTGCGCTTTTGGTGTGTGCGGCGCTTGCACGGGCGTGATTGAAGGCTAATTAATTAATGCAGCTGTAAATTTGAAATGCAATTGAGAGAAGAAAACAGCTCATGGACAGATAGACACAGATGCATGTTTCAATTGTTTTGCCAGTTGTGACAATAATGGGATCAACAAAAACTTTAAGTGTCCCTGCTTATGGAACTCATGTTTTCACTGTAAATATAGAGGAAAATATTGAGGATTAGTAGAAAATACACAACATTTGCACAGTAATATAAGAGTGTTTTCAAATAAGTTTATTTAAAAGATCCATTAACAGAAACTCATTATATATTATATATATAATGCATGTTATTTTAGAGAAAACGACGGTGTCTAAGTGGCTTGGTCAACCTATGATTGACATGTTCGAATTTTAGGACCAGCTAAAGTTGTAATATAAGAAGAGTGATGCTACACTTACTACATTTTTATCCCACATTTTTATGCCACATGATGTGGCATTTCCATATCATATGCCACATCAATTAAATGAACGAAGTGTATTTAATAAATAAAATTAGAAAAACATAAACTAGTATTTTACATGATGTGGTATGTACATATCAGCTGCCACATCATGTAGTATAAAATTGTGGTATAAAAATATGGTAAGATTAGTATTATTCATATAAGAATAGGTTTGTCTGATCGCAAGTTGCACAGAATGTCAGCACATAAAGTATATAGTCCAGCCAGGCAGAGTAAAGTCCAAATATAGCCGTTTGATCACTCAAATTAAAATTCACTGCTCACAAAGGGACTTGCAGATACCTGAATTAGATCATGAAATTCTCTGGTGAAGTGAAAACCAACTAGCTACTCGTGTATTGCTCCAAACTACTTAAATTACAAATTTCTTATAAATACTAAAATGTATTATTTAAATATTATTATGTATTGAGGGTGAGTAACCAAAGTTGGAGTATTACCAACTAATATACTAATTGATGTTATTTGCATGTCATCTATTGTAATTACTCAAATGAAGAGATCCCACAACCCAAGAGCCCTAGGACATATCTTTTGATTAATTAATATGTATTATACTTAATTAATCATTGAAACAAGGGTCAAGTCCACAAGTTCACTCATTATTGGGTCCCAATTCAAATTGATCTACTAAAATTGTCAGGTCTTAACAGCATCTACAATCATGCTCTCTAATTTTTTAGTTAAACTTTATCTAAATTTTTTAACTCCAATCATACTCTTTAGTTTAGGAACTCATAAATGCTATAACTCTTTTTTAATTGGTTAATCTCTATAAAAATAATATAAAAAATAATTAGCATTAATTAAAGGTTTAAAATACTCATAAAATAAAGCATCATTAAATTATAATGAGCCACTAGAAGTCATTTCTCTCTCCTCAGATTTAGGAGTTCCTAGAGATCTTCATATGTTAGGAGGTGGATATGGAGCATGGTTTGAGTTGTATTTTTTCAAATCATCCTTAAAATTTATGTAAGGAAGTGGTTTAGGGAGTCTATTATAGATGCTCTAAGGAAACTCTAAATTTCTAATGAGGGGTAATAACAACAAATTTCAACTCAATACAAACCCATTAAACCCAAGACAAACAATAAGCTAAAAGAGTGCTACTACCACCACTTGAGTTAACATCATAAACAACCCACCACCGAATAGAACTAGATTTATAGAAAATGAGAAATTTTTGATTGACAATTCTGGGACAATGATTGAATTGAAAAATTAGTAAAATAGAAATAATGAAGTACACAGATAAGAGCATCACTCATACCAAATGACAAGAGAGCCCTAAAACTAATAACAATAAAATAAAAAGAAAATTAAACTCACCCCTAAACGCCAATGAACAATGCCACAAAAAAATAAAAATAACAAAATGGTCAATGGGTTCTAATTCAGTAGAAAAAGAAATTGACTTGCAGACCAAAAATCTCAAGTTTGAATCTTCTTGACATCTTGATTGTATTTAGAATATCGCTTGTATTAAAAAATAAAAATAACAAAAATGTAAATCTCACCGACGGCCAAAATGCAAAATAAGCAACACCTAAAATTGCTCCACCTGTCCCCAAACCCACAAGCTCACGGAAGTAGTCGTTGAGTAAATCCAACGGTCATTTATCTGCCGGCCTCAGTATTTGGCGCGTTCCAGTCCCCAACGTCTTTCTTTTTTCTTCTTTTCGGTCTGCCCACCCCAACGTCTTTTTCACAATTTTAATCATAGATCCGTTATCAACGTTCACATTTTTCTTTTTAAAAATTCAAAAGAAAGCTAACACCAAATACATTAGTAACACTCCAAGTCACACACACCAAACAACAATTATAACAACGCGTTTTGAAAACTGTAAATTAATTAATTAATTAATTAATTAATTAATTCCCAAAATACGCGTAAAAAAAAAAGAAGAAAAAAGTGTCACAAGGACAGCTCTCTAAAAAGGCCAACGTGCACACCAAACTTTGGTAACAGCATCCAATAACCTCCTTCGTTAAGAAGCCAATTTTGTCTCCAAGAATTTCTCAACCACACTAGTAGTATTAGGCAAAGCAACACCCACCATACAACAAACTCTCCCAATGCCAACCATTTTCCCAAGGATTTTCCTTATTTACAACCTTCTTAATACATTCCTCCTCTCTTTGGTCCCCAAGAACCTAAGGCCTCTCCTCCCTTCTTCTTGGTTCCCCTGCCAAACCAATCTTGTTGCTACCAATACACCATTACCCCATTTTCCACCATCTTCGTCTTCGTCTTCTTTGCCCTGCGGTGCTCCTAAAGTTATTCGAATGGACCCCAATGAGCTAAAACGTGTGTTTCAAATGTTTGATCGCAATGGGGACGGCCAGATCACCAAGCAGGAGTTGAATGACTCTTTGGAGAACTTGGGCATCTTTATCCCGGATAAGGAGCTCTTCAACATGATCCAAAAGATTGACGTAGACGGGGACGGGTGCGTCGACATTGATGAGTTTGGAGAGTTGTACCAGTCTATCATGGATGAGCGTGATGAGGATGAAGACATGAAGGAGGCGTTTAATGTGTTTGATCAAAATGGAGACGGGTTCATCACCGTTGATGAGTTGAGGTCGGTTTTGTCCTCGCTCGGGCTTAAGCAGGGGAGGACTATAGAGGACTGCAAGAGGATGATCATGAAGGTGGATGTGGATGGAGATGGAAGGGTCAACTACAAGGAGTTCAAGCAAATGATGAAGGGAGGTGGGTTTAGCGCATTGAGTTAACAAATGGAATTGTTCTTAGATGGGGCCTTGGGGGGTCTATTAAATTGGATGTGTAAATATTTTTGAGAATGTACACAAAGAAAAAGAATGAGTGGTGATCACATGTGGTCGGTCACATGGTACGGTGCGAACTGTGGTGTACATGGCTGACGGGCATTGGCCAATTAAGTCCGGGAGTATGTGTGCGACGCACGGTGGGCTCCGGTGAAGCCTTGTCTTAGCTCCGGCCAGTATGCTGTCTGTGGATGCGTTTAGGAATGATCTGTGGACCAAATGTTGGGAGAAGGGGAATAGGAAGGCATAGAATAGAAGTCGTTGGGGAAAGCATATGATCAGTTTTATCACCAAAAGAACGCAATTGTGTTTTTTCTTGTGGAATTTTCTTTATAATCATGTCATTTTTATTATTTCCCCCATTGTATTTGTTATTTCATCATGGAGAGTGTATTTTGTTATCATGAATTTGATTACATTGTACTAAACCCATCCCTCTCTGATTCTCAGTTCTGTTATCCTGATTAGAATAAGACATTGCAAACCTAACCTGCTTGCAAGAATTCTGCTTTAACATTCAATAGGTAGAGGCACAGCTGGATTTAGACTATTTTAGTTTTTCATCTCATCAGGTGGGTTGTTGTGCTTAGAAGAACCTAAAAACTCTTGTGGTGGTTAGCTCCATTTGCTTCCTGCAGCAGACTACTTGTTTTAAGGACTCTTTCTGCTGCACAACAATAAGTTCACTTTCTTTCGTTTCTTCAGCTAAATTTACACTGACCATTGATTCTTGAAACCCCTCCATCTCCTTTTTTTCTTTTTTTCCGCGACGCTGCGACGAAGGAATATAAACATATAGTAAAATATCATATAAACGAACAAGACAAGTTTCATTACATAATGTACTAATCACCGGTGCTGCAATTTGGGTGATCAACTTTGAGGATTGCAGCAGGGGTTTCAAAATAGGAGATAAACAAGAAAAAGGTTTTCGTTGGGCACATCACACGTGAAGCATATGAACTGATTTTTCTCTGAAGATCTGCTTGTTGGACTTGTGGATAAAGTGCTAGATTAGATTCCTTGCCCAGGAAGAGTGCAGAATTAATATGTGATGCAGAGGATTGATATTATTGACTTCTTTTATTTTCATTAATAAAATAAAGCAAGAGAGACTCGTATTTCTATTTCATGTCCCTCTTGTTTGAAAACTGAGGAAATGCAGATCATGAAGTTAAAACTTTGTCTATGTTTCTTCTGAAAGGTTTGTTTCATGTAAGGTTTTGCATCACTTCTCAGTTTTACATGAAATGCGAAATTTGAGCGGAGATGTAGAAGCTTGATATGTACTTAATTTGGTCAGGTTTGTGACCACGAGTTTAAACCATTGGGGTCGTAAGTGGTTAGAATGTAGCAAACAATACGAGAAATAAAGAAAGCTTCAGATTCACCTTATTTGATTTCAACAGCAGAAACTCCGACAAACAACTCCAAGTAAAAAAAAACAATTACACAAACCACATAGAAGCAGAGAAAAGCTAGAATTTTTTTTTCCTCCCTTTTATATGCTTTAGTATGTGCAACAAATTCCTCTGGCATATTTGTTAGAGTTGATTCCTCTAACGTCCTCGAATTCACAAGTGTTGCTGGAATGCTTTTCAAGTTATTCTTACGACAGCATCTGGTTTCCAATTTCTGGAGGTTCAGCATTCTCTAGGTTTTCCAGCACCCATAGTTTTAAAGCGTTAACCAAATGCACCTTGTTCGCAAACCATTTTATTTCCAGTGAAAGAATTAGCCAAAAGCCTCAGAACGGTCAAAGTTTTGAAGCTGCTCAAGTGTTGGTATGGGATCATCATCCTCAAGCATTGGGACTGGCAAAGTTAGACCTTTGATACCCCAAGATAGACTTGATACAGATACGTGGACAAGTAGTAGGCATGCGGCATGCTCGTCAAGTACAGAAATGTGGCAATGGAGAGATCATTTATTGGATCTTCAATATCGTTATGCTGCTCCCGGGAGCTTCATGAGCTGCTTGACTCAGGAAGCTGCACAATCTTTGGCGCTAGCCATGTCACTGGGTTCAGTATTGACGTCTTTAAGGCTGCACTGGAAGTATTACCATACGCTACGTTTGAGTTTATTCCCTTTTCAAAGTCTGATGGCAGGCAAGCACCAATGCTGGCGCTTAAAATGATTTGGTCTATCGAGTATATCTTTGGATAAAACTCTCGGCCTAACTTCTTTGAATCATGCCCAACAAGTTTTCCTATTGAACCTAGACCATGTGATCTCCAATCAACTATAAGTTAGGTTTCAATCCGGCCCGATTCATTCATTATGTTGACTTTAACCTCATTCCTTCTTCATAAATATCATGAACATATATGAAGATCTTTTGTCTAACAAAAAATATGTAACCATTCAGTTTTTGAATTCCAAAATTTGCTTAAACAAACACATATGGAATTACCCATTTTTTAATTCCATAATTTTGCCTCAACCCAATTTAGTTGATCTAGTATTCTTGCGATGACATGGGAATATTCAAGGCTCTCTATCTCTCTAGCCAAGATGCATGAGTAGGAACTTTTCTGGTTCTGCCATACGTATGAGTTCACTGAATAATCAAATTCATTGACCTAACCATGACTAATCACGGACCATCTCACTTTCCTGGTTGTTTCAACCAAGGATTGAAATATCAGCCGATACTGGGGGGTAAGGCCATATCTTCCCATGTATCGACGATATATCCCAGATAAGTGCAATATCCCCGATATTTCCCGATACCTAAAAAAAATTAAGAAGTTGTGAAGGCAATTGAAGCAAATTGAAACCGAAAAATAGCTAATCCTTTCTCATAACCCTATAATTTATTAATATGAAGAATCTATGCACAGTCCACTGCCTCACATACCTCCAATCCATCTGAAGAGGACATGACAATCATTTTTGGATCTATGAGCATAGGAAATAGACGTAGAACTAACTCAAATGAATCTTATGATGGCTATGGTTATGTCATGTCTGATTATAGTGGAACTAGTTATGGAGCTCACGATAATAAAATATATTATGGACCTACTAGTTGGTTAATCCTAACTATCCCATATATGGGAGGACAATAGGGAGCTCAGGAGAGACTTATGTGCACCATGTTCAAACATGGCTTACAAACTGCTCGGGTTACATGACTTGGTATCACTATTGTATGAATCTAGATGGTTGTTCCTTATTGTTTGAACCTCATAGGAGCTCTTCATTTATGTAGATGGACACTTATCTAACTTGTAATCCAATTTTTAAACAAACTATGGATTTATGCATGGTGTAACGACCCGGTCCTAAATAATTGGTGAATATTAATTTATTCAGATAAAAGGACCATTTTGCCCCTAAAATATTTTGTGAGGTTTAGAGTTGACTTTTTGATTGGGGTGGAATTTGGAAATTTCAACAATACCGTTGCGTAGAGCGCGGTGAGATGAGTCCGTAGACACGTAGTGGGCTCGAATCGGAGTTGTGACGAGAGAGATACGATCAAAATACTCTCAGTGGCATAATCGTAAATATTTCAAAATGGGTTTTTAATAAAATCTGAAAACTCTCTCTCTCTCTCTCTCTCGCGGGGGGGTGCTCTCTCTCTCCTTCGCGCGACAGCCGTCGCCCTCCTCCCTCGCAACTCCGGCCACCGGCCACGGATGCGGACGGGACCGGTGCCAAAATGACCGGCTCAGCCCCAGCGTCACGACCCGGCCCTTCCCCGACATCGGCTGCCTCTCCAGTCGCCGGAAAATGCAGGTTTTTGGCCGGTTTTCATTCGAAACTTCGCCGGCTCGATCTCCCTCCTCCGGCCACCGTTTCTGGTGATTGAGGTATGGATTTCCACCTATTTTCTGAGCTCTGGCTGCCTGTTGGGTAGAAATTGATCAGTTTGTAGTGTAGGCAACTCGATTTACGAATTGGATTTCGGCCGGTTTTGCGATCGCGATTCCGGCCACTTCCGGTCAGTTTTTGGGGTATGTCCAAGAACAAAAGTGACTCCAAATTAGGTGTATTACCTAGGGTAGGAGTCTTGGCTCTCGATTTGGAAATTTTCCGGCGATGCGTTATTGCTTTGGACACCCACGCGCTGCCGGCGCGTGGGCACTGTAGCTGAGGGGCATTTTGTCCCAATGCGATCCTCTCGATGTCACGAGCGCATAGGTGTGCTCAGATTGCAATTTGGATACCGTTAGGGTTCCGAACGGATATCGCATATTGCGTATTTTCCGGGTTCGTTAGGTTTGGACCGTTGGATGGTCCTGAGATTTTAATATGTTGATCTAGGCAGTACTAGGATCGTATAGGATTCGACGGATCGTAAAACGGAGTCCCGGATACTCTGGATAAGCCAACCCTAGGGTTAGGGTTTTAGTAACCGTCCGATCCGGATCAAACTTGCAGGACATGTGTCCTAGACCTTGTAGGACCTATAGGAACTGTTGGATCGGAATTTGAAGGTCGTGGACCTGAGGGCCCGTTTGACCGAGACTGGGTAGTTTGACCCTGGATTGACCGTGAGACTTCCTAGATAATAATACCTCCTCGGTTATGGGTTTTATGTTTGAAATTTATTTTGCCCAGGCCCGTCGGAGTTTGTCCAGGCCCGTCGGAGATTGATTTATTTTGCCCAGGCCCGTCGAAGTTTGCCCAGGCCCTTCGGATGTCTTCTTAATACGATGCCTTGGAAAGGAAGTGTTAATGTTTCAATGTGTTTTTATCTGATTTAGAATTATGATAGATTCGAAAGGTATAGAGGTTTGGAACAATTGAATTAAGGAAGAAAAATATCATTTTATAATGTTGTGATAAGGGTTACGAGCTCCACCATCATACGTACCTTCCCTGGTTACTATTCACACACGTGCCGTGTTTCGGGCGTGTGGGCTTTCTTGGTTACGGATCCTGGAATTGTGGGATGCCGGGAATATTATGATATGGTTTGGATATGTTGAAATACGGGGCATCCTTGTTGAGATGTTGCCGTGGACCCTGAGGGGTGGTAGTCTGCGCGCGTAGGACTGTTTACAGGCGTACGGGTCTTGATTCTTCGTCCGTACGTGCTGGGTTGAGAGTTAGTCCCCCAGTTGGATGACTCGTTCCCTAGACACATGGTGAATTGAGGAATGGCTCTGCCATGTGGCCTAGTCAAACGATCCCTAGTTGGATTGTTTTCCCTAGTACATGGTGTACATCATCATATGTACCTCCCATGATCTGCATTTGGTTACGAACATTGGATACTTTTGGAGTTATTAGAACTCAGGACATCCTTGAGGGGATGTTGCTGTGGACCCTGGATTTGGGGTAGTCTGCGTGCGTAGGACTGGTATTTCAGGTGTACAAGCTTTGACTGTGTCGGCTGTACGTGCTGGCTAAGAGTTAGTCCCCCGGTTGGATGGCTCGCTCCCTAGCCACATGGTTGTTGAGGATTCCTCCATGTGGTCTAGTTAAACAATCCTTGAATTGGATTGTTTTCCCCTGGTACATGATGATGGTGAGAGGTTGGGTGTGCTTATTTATATATGTATATACGTGGATTTGTTTCTGGATTTAGATCCGTAAGGTTGTGCTTTGTGATTACCCTACATTGTTATGAATGGTCTGAGTCCCGGATTGGGGAGTAATGGTTGGCAACATACGCCTGGCATAGGGTATGGTTGCAGGTTGATTTGATATAAAGGAAGAGTTTGAGAATGTGTTCATTGTGTTTAGTGGGACATTGATTGGTGATAAATTTGAAATGCATTTGTTGGTTCTGCTTTAATTAATTGTATATGATCGGAGATGTGACCGTTGATATGAAAGAACTACGTGTGGCTTGATCCCTCAGTAAGGGTACGTAGGCAGCCTGAAGTAACTAGGCGCAGCCGCGGGTTAAACTCTAATGATGTGTTTTGTTGAGTGTGATGCAGACCTTGTTGTTGGTCCTGAAACTCGTTTGAAATCGAGGTATGTTTAGATTTTTGTTCATACTCCCGGTTGGCTAAGGGAGGGTTGTGTAGGTGTACTATTGAATAAAGTGTGTGATATAATGGGCTGAGGCCCTGGAATAAATGGTGATAATTTATAGATGATAATTGATGCATGTTAAAACCTCGCCTGCTAGATTGGGGAAAGTTAGTGGTGAGTTTTGCTTTCGGCAATTATAAGTGTGTTTGAGCTTATTCTTGCCATGTGTAAGGAAAGTTTTATCTAAAGACTTTGTTGGCAGCTCTATTTCGGAATATTTGAAGGCCGGAGGCCTTGCATGAAATTATATTGTGCGTGCTGCCGGTTGGGTTATAAAACTCTGTTTTATGCAGGTGGAAATTTTGGGAAATGTTCAATTTACAGGGGAGACTGCCGAATTTTCGGCAGAAAGTCTCATGCCCTTACTCCTTTTGAAGAAGGAGGTTACCATTTTAAGGAGTGAACCCGGCATGGGTGTGATGTCGGGGTCTCCGCAGGATTCATCTCGGGTTTTGTGAAAAATTCGGGGTGGGTCTTGTCACATGGTTTATTCATTCTAATTAACATTTTATTTTCAAACTTTTCATTAACGCGCATTACATACCACTTATGTTTTATCATATGTATATCTTATTATTAGTAAATTTTGAGTTTTATTTGTTCAATACATTCATTGATAATGTACATAACATCTATGAAAGTTTTACACCAAAATTATGTGTTTCAATGCCTATATCTGTCATTTTTGTTATTTTTTCCTAATACTTTAAACGATAACAATATATCCCCCGAAATATCCATAAATTGGAGGCTCGATATTATCTGCACGGCCGATATTTTAATCCTTGGTTTCAACTGGGGTGGTTGCGATTCGGTAACCGCGAATTTTTGTCCAAACCGCAAACCGACCGCTTTTTGCAGTACCGTGAATTAGCGGTTTAAAACCGCAAGTTCTTTTTGTGTCATAAAAATCCAATCTTCTACATTTTAGGCCTAATTTTGATGCTTCTTTTGAAGCCTCTTGATTTCAAACATACTTTAACCCAAAAATATAAATTCACAACCTCAACTTCTCAAGCATATATAAATTCACAACCTCCTCAATTTCTCAAGCATTCACAACCTAAAGAAAATTAAAGTTACAATTCTAAGCATTCCAATTAAAGTTAAATTTCTCAAGCATTCCAATTCCAAATCCTTTAAAGTTACAAACCAAAAAGAAAATGCAATGCAAAATGAATTAAAGTTACAACCCAAAGGAAAAATCCAATTCGAAATTAATTAAAGTTACAAACTAAAATGCAATGCACCAATGTTACAAACTAAAGTTACAAGCTCAAGTGTTGGTGGTGGTAAGTGAATTTGAAGGACCCCGTTGTGTTGTTTGAGCACTAATGCTATCTACAAAATGCGATTTTTTTAAATAAATAAAAATATAGTCATGGTTTGCGGTAACCGCAAGTTTTGAAAATCAAATACCGTAACAGCAACTGCAAATGCGGTTCAGTTCTTCATACTGCGAATGCGGTTTGGTTTCCTGCGATTACGGTTCCATTGCGGTAAATTGTCGGTTGATTTTTGCAGTTTTTCGGTCTAAAATGCCACCCCAAGTTTCAACTTCTCTTGTTGGAAGTATTCATTAATTTTTCCTTCAAATATTTGCAAAATTGTATTTGGCAAATGTAGGATATGAAGGAACAAAATAATGACTTCTTTTTTTCCCGGTAAAAACATTTCAGAAAAATCGCAAACACAAATTTTGCAATCCAATATGCCAATTGCATATATCAACCCAAGGACTCATAGGTCATTTCCTTCATAAGATATTTGCCAAAAATGCTTTCCAAAATCACCAGTCTTTGATCACAAAGACCAATATAAAATAACTATATGCATTATTAAACATGCTTAACTTATCTTGCATATGTCTCAGGATATATCACATGTACTTCCAACATATTTGGGCCTAAATTCTGTGCGCTAGCCCAATTGACTATTAGGTTTTCTCTACAAATAGTGTATGGGGGGGAAGCGCGGGAAGTGGGAGACGACCCTGTGGTGGATCACTGTGCACGCCTACTGCCTGGGTGCGCAAAACATTGAAAAAATGTGAGTGGACCAAAAAAAAAGTTTTAGAAAATAGTATAAGAACATACTAACCCCACTGTAAAAACAGTTATAAAAACTAAATCAATATCCTCATATATACTCGTATTGAACTCATGCATTCATATATATACATATATTACTAAACATTAATCTTGCTGGAAGACAATGAAGTAAAATTCAACCTATCACCTGAGTATACTTATTTAATTTCATCAATTCGCTTAATTTCTATCTATTCCTCGTGTCACCGTGGTGACACACCCTCGCAGGACTCAGGTTAGCCTGATCCGCCCTCGCAAGACTCACTAGGCGCACCCGAGTTGCATCCCTTGCTCCCACAGTTTGAAAATCCCTAGCCTGATCCGCCCTCATCTTAAAACTTTGCCGCCATCCTAACCAATTTCCAAAATCCTTATTTTTACTATACTTAGGTACTCTCATCTCGGCAACAAATAATAAAATACTTAACCTTAGCAATACATGCTAGAAAGCCCTCGATCTATTGCATACTTATGCAGATCAAATAATGATCCGGAAGCTCCTAGAGGTTTCAAAATACCTACAACACAAGTCCCGAGAGTTTGATCTTGATCGGACAGTCAGATTGACCACGATCGTACAAGTGGATAATTATCATAAACCTAACCCTAGGGTTGACATTTTCGGAGTATCCAAGACTCCGATTTACAATCCGTCGATTCCTACACAATCCTGGAATTATCTAGTTCAACATATCTGAAAATGACTACAGTCCAACAACTCAAACATTGTCCAAACTGAAATCCACGAGTACCTACGCGCTCGTGAGGACCAAGGGATTATTCTAGAACTGAATGTGGTCCTCATTGTGCTGCCCATGCACCGCCATACATGCTGGCAGCGCGTGGGTGGCTATATCAATTCTGATGGCCGGAAGAAGAGGAATTGTGACCCCAAAACCGGCCAAACCCTAACCTAAAAATTAACCTGCCAAACCTAGAAATTTCTTAATTCCTACCCAACCAACAGCTAGAGCACGAAAAAATAGCTAGAAATCCATACCTTAATCGATCGATTTGGCTGCCGGAAGAGAGAGAGCGAAGTCGACGAAATTCCTGTCAAAATCGGCTATTCCGTCGTGATTTCCTGCGGATTTCACGGCTGCTGGCCATGGGGGAAGGTCGGGGTGCAATGGTGGAGCTGGGCCGATCGTTTTGGCTCCAATCTTGCGACTTAGGGTGGTCGGTGGTGGAGGCTAGGGTGGAGGGAAGGGTTCGGCTGGAGCAAAATTTTGAAGGGGGGTTTGTCGCAGGAAGAGAAATAGAAGGTGAGAGTGTTTTAAAATTCCTGATTTCCAAAATTACCATTTTATCCCTCGTAGTATTTTGATCATAATTCCTTCATTAAAATCCCGACTCAAGCCCACTACGTGTCTATGGACTCATTTCGTCGTGCTCTACGCAATGGTGCAAGCGGAATTTCCAAACACCTTCCTGGTCAAAAAGTCAATTTTTTCCTTACTAATTTATTCTAGGGGCTCCAAAGGGATGAACAAACGAAGTAGCAGAGGTGTGCGGCGAATGATGAAACGCCTTTTTGTTTTTTCACAAGTTGAAGTGGAAGAAGAGGAATGCCCTTTTCTGTGGGTAAAAACCTTTATTCATTTTCCTTTCTTTTTCTCTTATAATATTAAACTAGACTCTTAATACGCGTGACAATTGATTATATATATATATATATATATATAAAATAATGAGTAATTGTCTATCATAAAAATAAAACTTATTATCTTTCATTTTTAATTTTCTAAATATATATTAATCTTCCAAGTTGACAGGACCCGACCCAAATTCCACTTTGTAATCCAGGCCGAACCCTGTGCATGTCCGACACCTGGCGGGTGTCGGGCACAAATGACCTAATTGCCCTTCTATTCTAAGCTCGATAAAATATAAAGTTTGACTCCTACGGAAAATTTTGGCAGAGTCTCCCTTGTAATTTGATCATTTCCCAAATTTACACTTGTCAAACAAGCATATATATACAACCCAACAGCCAGCATGCATATACATATACAATCCAAAAATTAAATCTGAGTTCTAGGGCAGGTTATCAGAGCAACCACTAAGAAATTTCAAAAAGAGTCAACTCATTTACAGAAGAGCCCTATATCAGAATGGGGAAGCGCGAGAAGTGGGAACGGCCCTGTGGTGGATCACTCCTACTGCCTGGGGCGCAAAACATTGAAAAATGTGAGTGGACCAAAAACAAAGTTTTGGAAAATAGTATAAGAACATAGTAACTCCACTGTAAAAACAGTTATAAAAACTGAATCAATATCCTCATATATATACTCGTACTGAACTCACGCGTTCATATATATACATATATTACAAAACATTAATCCTGCTGAAAGACATTGAAATGAAGTTCAACTTACTACCTAGGCATACTTATTTATTCTCGCCAAAACCCTTAATTACTATCTCTTCCTCGTGTCACCGTGGTGACACACCCTCGCAAGACTCAAGGGACACTAGGCCCACCTAAGCTGCATTCCTCGCTACCACAGTTCGAATATCCCTAAGCCTCGTGGGGGAAAAGTCAAGCATGCTGACTTAACTGAAGACACTACTTAATATAAATAAAACTATCTACTCTCATCTTATAACTCTACCGCCATCCTATCCGATTTCTAAAATCCTTATTTTTACTATTCTTTAGGTACTCTCATCTTGGTAGCCAATAAATAAAATACTTAACCTTAGCAATACATGCTAGAAAACCCTCAATCTATTGCATGCTTATATAAATCAAATAATGAATTTAAATTGCATAAAACCATTTACGAAAGTAAAGGTCCACTCACTCCTGGTCCGAGCTAGCTGGACCCCTTGAAGGTCCTTCCTACGGGTCGTTCCGAGCCCGTGTGCCTGATTAAAACATCATGAATATTTAATTAAAAAAACTGCTCGGCATAAGTATTTAAATAAGACCCGGACCCCCGACTCCTAGAAGTGCATGCACTAACTTTAGAAACATTTCCTATGCCTACAAAAGCTTTCGTCACATTTGGATACTGTTTGAGCCTCAAACAGATTTTGTATATTGTGCAATATCTAGGTTCAATAGGTTCGGACCATTGGATCGAACCCAAATTCTCGTACGTCGTACCTCGTATTTCTAAGATCTTGTAGGATTCGACAGATCATGAATTGGAGTCCCGGATACTCCGAAATCGTGAACCCTAGGGTTAGGTTTACAATTATTATCCAATTGTACGATCGTGGTCGATCTGATCATCTGATCGAGATCAAACTTTTGGGACTTGTGTCCTAAGTATATTGGAACCTCTAGGAGCTTCCGGATTAGAATTTAGAGGTCGTGGGCCCACAGGGTCCTGGGTTGACATTCATAAAAAATCAAGCATCATACTATTTTGTCCTCAAGCCTCAATAAATCAAATAAATCATTATGCTAATAAAATTCATCTAAGCTTTCAGAATATCAATAATACACTAACAATCTCAAAGACTCCAACTCGTGGCTGCACCTTGTAAACTTAGGCTACCTACGTACCCTTACTTAGGGATCAAGCCACATGTAGTTCTTTCCTCTACTCATGTCAATCACAGATTGAAAATAAGTATGCCATACACTAAACTCTCTTATTTTAGGTTAAATTCATGTAGACTTGGCACCTCGTGTGCATCTTTACTCTAGTGGAGTGCCTGACGTGATATCAGATTATTTCGTTTTCTCGGTATGACTGAGTTTAGGGCATCCAGAAGGGTTTGGAAAATGTTTTGAGGTTTTCATATGAAAAACATAATATACAGGTTGAAAGTAAACGGTTCGATAGGAACTATGATTGAGGGTATGTTGGATTCGAGAGCTTAAGCAGTGTTGGAGATTGCATCTAGTTTGGGATGTTGTAGAAAGCATAGGTTACAAGTATACCATTGTAGAGAGGAGTGTTGTCTTAGGTCGTTTAACCATCTAACCTATTCGGATTAGCAAATGGTTTGGGGGCAAAGATGTTGTCTTTGGTCATTTTTCCTTTGCAAATCAACAGTTATATCCTTTGAGAAGTGATAAAATGGTCATGTAGATGAGTCTTGACCGAGAATGAGTTATCTAAGTCTTGTTTCGGGTTGAATAGATAGTTAATTATAGGTTCCGGCTTGAATAGAAGCGGTATGTAACAACCCGATCCTTAATTAATTTTTAATTATTATTTTATTAAAATAAAGGACTAGAATACCCTCATAATATTTTTTTAGGTCTAAAAGTTGACTTTTTATTCAGGAAGGAATTTGGGAATTTCAGTGGTACCGTTAAAGCACATCGAGATGAGTCCGTAGACATGTAGTGGGCTCAAATCCGAGTTGTATCGAGAAAGATACAATCAAAATACGGTGAGGGGAAAAATGGAAATTTGCAAATCAGATTTTAAAAACTCTCTCATCTCTCTCCTCGTGACAGAGCTCCCTCTCTCTGTTTTGTCTCCAGCCGAATGGCTCCGAGGGCTGCCGTCGCTGCCCTTCGCGCCACTAGCCATGGGACCGGTCTAGATTGGGCCGCCACCACCTCAACTCTTCATTTCACCGCACCCTCGACGCCGTCGACGGCTCCAACTGCCGGAAAAGCTCGGAAACCCAGCTGGTTTTTCCCAAGATTCAAACCTCTCAATCTCTCTTCTCCAGCCACCAATTCCAGCAATCAAGGTATGGTTTTACGACTAATTTTCAGGCTCTAGTTGATGGTTAGGTAGGATTTGAGAAATTTCTAGGTTTGACAGGTTGATTTTCGAGTTAGGGTTTGGCCGATTTTGGGATCGCAATTCCGGCCACTTCCAGCCAGTTTTTGGGTTGGGTCCAAAAACAAAAGTGGTTCCAAATAGGGTTTTACATCTAGAGTAGGAAGCTTGGCCGGCAGTTTGGAGTTCTTTCGGCCGCCAGAATTTACTCAAGGCACCCACACGCTGCTGGCGCCTGGGCTTGGCAGTGGACTGGCTTTAGGTCCTAAAATGACCCCCTTGTGCTCATGAGCGCGTAGGTACTTACAGATTCCATGTTGGTTAACGTTTGAACCCTAAGCCTAGGTTTATAGTAACCGTCCGATCGTGTGTAATCCGACCGTCCGATCAAGACCAAACTCTCGAGACATGTGTCCTAGGCATATTGGAACCTTTAGGGACCCTCGGATTGGTGATAGGAGGTCGTGGGCCCCACAGCCCTGTTGACCAAGTATAGGCAGTTTGACACCTCGGTCGATCGTGAGTTTTCCGAGGCAGTTAGAAATTTTGTGAAATGATAAAATGGTCATGTAGACAACTCCTAACCGAGAATGAGTTATCTAAGTCGTGTTTCAGGTTGGATAGATAGTTAATTATAGGTTGCGGCTTGGATAGAAGCGGTATCTCCGAGACTTGCGAGGATTATGGCCCGGCTTGCGAAGATGGAATTGACGGTATTAATGGAGTTGACGGATCAAGATTAGAGTTACGCCTAGGTGGAGAGAATTTCAGTTCTGAGATATTCTTAAACTAAAATAAGAGAGTTTAGTGTATGGCATACTTATTTTCAGTGTGTGACTGACATGAGTAGAGAAAATAAATACGTGTGGCTTGATCCCTCAATAAGGGTATGTAGGTAGCCTAAGTTTACAAGGTGTAGCCACAAGTTGGAGTCTTTGAGAATGTTAGTGTATTATTGATATTCTGAAAGCTGAGATGAATTTTATTAGCATAATGATTTATTCGATTTATTGAGGCCTGAGGCCAGAATAGTATGATGCTTCATTTTTTATATAATTTGATACATGCTGGCAATTGGGTTATATATAAACATATATGCTTGTTTTACAGGTGGGAATCTTTGGGAAATGTCCAATTTACAAGGGAGACTCTGCCGAATTTCATTGAAGTTTGGTTAGAAGGGCAATTTGGTCATTTGTGCCTAGCACCTGCCACGTGTCAGACACACACAGGTTTCGACTCTAATTCCAAAATGGAATTTGGGTCAAGTCCTGTCAAGAAAAGTGTTTTCATTAAACCCTAGACCATTTCTAGAATAGAAAAGTATTTTCATTAAACCCTGGAAATAATTAAAAAGAAAGAAAGTGTCCAAATTAGGAAGCAAGGAAAAAAAAAAGGGCCCACCATAACTAATTATACAGTCACAGTATAATTAGTTATGGTGGGCCCTAAACCCTAAAACGAACATAAACGAGAAAAGGGAGAAAAAATAGCAAAAGAATAAAAGGCCAACCTTTGATTTGGTTCCTAAGACTCAATTTTTAATGGATCCGAACTATGTCTCCCTAATTTATTTATTATTTTTTTACAATAGTTGCAGATTTTTTTAAGGGGGAATTATTGCAGATTTATAAGGAGTATAACTAGGGTTTAAACTACTAGTTATTTATGCCGTTAGATTAATCTAATGGTCTATATTAAATAGTTGCTCACAAAATATCATTTTTAGGTCCTTAAGTGAGTGCGACTGCAAACCCAAAAAAATATTAAAAATAGAAAGTGGTGTAATCATTACTAATTTTGTGCTGGAAGGGGAGGCTAATAAAAAGTTTTTTTAAAAAGAAAACGAAAAGTGATGCGAACTCACATTGAAATGCAGAGGGAGGTCATCTTTTTTCTCTTTCTGAGTCGAACTTCATCACCTACATCATCATCATCTAATTCCTCTTTATTTTCATCATCATCACCATCCTCTGGCATTGAGCAAAAACCAAAACCATACTTTGGCATGTTGTTAAGAGACAGGTGGACCCCATAGCTTTTGAAGAGCCCTCTGCCGCCTTTGTAGTTAACATTAATAATTCGATGAATAGACGACTTTAGTTGATCATCACTCTTTCGCTTCATGTGAGCAGGTAATGGAATTTTGCGCGGTACCGCAATATAGCGCAGCCCCACATGAGCTGCCCCTGTCAATCCTTCTGACACTGAGTAATCATTACCAGGATACGTCGAATTCAAAAGTGACAAATGAGGAAACTGCGGCCTACTAAATGATTTCGTAGGTTCACAAACAGTACACAAAACCAAGTTCTCGAATCCGGAAGTCCAAGGAATTTGAATCTGTAAGTCCAACAAATGATCGTTATCATTTGGAAGAAGTACACCTACGTCCTTGCGAAAACTGAACGACTGTGGAACTTCACTGCCTGGAAGTAAAACATTAATAAAATGTCCGGTATTGACTGCTGCCTATAACACAAGACAAGACAAGAGAGGCATATATTAATTAGCATTAACAATACATGTAATGTATGCGTATTATATATAGAAATTAAGAGAAAAATATATATACGTCACCTGATTCACTAAAATATTTGCCATCTTTGCAACGTCCAACCCTATATTATGGCATAGCCTATGGCAATTGGACAAATTCAGGTACTGAATATGTTGCATGTCTCCGTCTTCCAATATCTTTGACAATGTTGGAAATCTTTCTAGTGATATGCAATCAGCCATATTGATAATTTCTATAGATGCTGGAAGTTGTCCTGCAATTTCTACAAGCTTCTTGCAACCACTCAAATTAAGCATCTGCAAGTTGACAAATTTGCACACAGGAAGACTGACAAAATTGCTTTTGGATAGATCAATATCATTAAAGTTCAACCAGCAACAAAAATTCTCCAAGGAATTAATGTCTGATACATTGCACTCTTGCATCCATAATGAAAATAGAGGAAGTGATTCTGCACTCGATAAAACTTCAGAGATCAATTTATTTGGAAGTGTGACAAGTTTCAGGCATCGATTGAGGTTTAAATATGTGAGATTTTGCAACCCATAAATACTTTGTGGCAGATTTGCGAGGTTTTCACATCCTTCTAAATTTAAAATTTCAAGCGCAGTGAAATCTCCAATTGATGAAGGCAACTCTTCTATTGCAGTTCTTTCTAAAGATAACTTTGCAAGCGCAGTCAGATGTCCAAATGAGGAAGGCAACTCTTTTATATGAGTTCCACATAAGAACAAATATTTCAACCCAATGAGATGTCCAATTGATGCAGGCAACTCTTTTATAGCAGTTTCAGCAAGGCCCAAATGATATAAGGATTCCATTTTGTCCACAATTTCTGGGAAACTCTCCAACTTTATGCAATCGCTAAGATCCAACCATTTCAGAGATTTCCACCGAACTTTATTTGGAAACTTGGTGAGTTCACAGCAGCCACAAAAATCCAATACTTGAAGTTTATCAAGATATCCAACAGATGGATGAACCTCAACTAAACTTTCACAATAACTAGCATTCAAGTACCTTAAGTTTGGGCTGCCTGATAGGTCGGGGATTTCAGTTAGGAATTCAGAGAGCTCTAAATTCAAAGATGTCAACTTTGTGAAATGCTGTGAAACCAAAAAAGTATTGAAAAAATAATAATAATCAAATGGATAGCATTAAAGAAATTTACAACATACATCAGTTAATAAACGAGACCTCTTAAAGTACCTTCAATCCCTCCCACAGTTGTTTGATGCGGCTGTGAGGCAGATTGAGCAACCCTAGTCCCTTTGGACGAAAATTGGGTGGAAAAGATTGGAGCGGACATCTATACCAATCAAGCACTCTCAACATGTTTGGGAGACAACCAATGTCTCCAGAAAGACATACGTTATAGTTCATGAAAATTTTAAGATTTTTCATCTTCGAGAAGCAATCAACATCCATGAATATCTCATAATCCTTTTTGGGGGAATTTAACATGATGCCTATGATTTTTTTTTCCCCTAACATAAAAAAGAAAAGGGACCATTGTTACAAAGTATTTAATAAAAAAAGATGCACGAGTTTCAAATTCAACTTTTTCTTCCAAATAAAAATAAAAATTATTATTATTATACTTACAGTATTATTAGTCAGAACATGCTCGACATCTTCATGAAACCACAATCTGCTACGTCCTCCGGCTTCAGTGGGCGACTCTTGCTCAACTATGTCCTTACCCATCTCTTCTAATAAGTCATGCATCCGAATATAATCTCCATGTTCAACACTTATGAGGGCCTTTTCGATGAGTACTTCAATACCATACCTAGGGTTGAGGTCACAAGCTTCTAGTGTTTCTATCACATAGTTTCTACTTTTACCCTTAAAGAAACATGCGATGTCAAGGAAAACCTCCTTGACAATATCATCCAAGGTATCGTAACTTACTTTGAGAACATCTTGAATTTTCTTGCTTTTGAAACCATCCAATGCATGTTCCCATTTATCTATACTTCCACCACGTAGACAAGAACCGAGAACTTTCAAAGCCAAAGGAAGGCCTTGGGCATAGCGTATTGCACGTTCTGCAAGTTTCATATAATCACCCAAAGGAGGCTCACTTGTTTTGAAGGCATGCCAACAGAAGAGCTCAAGAGCTTTATCATCATCTAAAATCTTGACCTCATGGATTAAATTAACATCATGAGCAGTTAGCAGTTGCTTATCCCTTGTTGTTATGATAATTCTACTGCCTGCACCAAACCAATCACATGCTCCAACTAACTTGTGTAACTGTTCCATGTCATCCACGTCATCAAGAACCAAGAGAATCTTTCTACGACTCAACCATTCCTTTATAATAGTGACTCCTTTATCAACATTGGTCACCTTCAAATTTTTTACCCTTTGAATGTCAGAAAGAAGATTCTCTTGTAATCCGACTGAACCTTCATGCGACGTTGACCTTTCTCTAACGTTTGCCAAAAAGGAACAACCTTTAAATTTGTGGGCAATTGAATTATAAACAGCTTTAGCAATTGTGGTCTTACCAATTCCACCAGTTCCCCATACCCCTACCATACGAACATCGCTTTCCCCCAAATCTAATAGCTCATTCATAACTTGTACTTGAGCTTGCATTCCAACTGGATACTCTGCCACTTCCAAACACGCGGTGTTTAATACGTGTTTTGAAATCTTTTCAATGATGTTTTGGATAAACTCAGATTCAGATTGATGCCTGCCAATTGAAAAGAAAATGAAGCATTTAGTGACATGGCATTTCTATATAACATAAAAAAGAAAAAGAACATTATACACACAAAAAGAAGAGAACTTTGAGCAACGATGAATAAATTAACTCTTATAAAACTGATTCCAATTAAAGTTTGTCAAGAATTGGAATCAAAACTAGTTTTATTTTTAAAATACACGATCTTATATTTTTCAAATAATAAGCATAATTTTTGAAACGGAGAAAATTAATTTATTAATAATAAGTATAACCTTAATAATTTTCGCACTATTAATTAATTATTGACATAAAAATATAGTGGCTATACTTATTACAAACAAAACAAAAGGAAAAGCATTATATAAAGGGCGTTAGAAATTTACTCGTCCAAAGTGAACCCTGACAAAGCTGCTACTTGTGAAAGAGCTGCCCTCCATTTGTTGACCTTCTGCATATTTTCTTTGTATTTGCACTCCATGTTAGCCAGTGCATCCCCGAAGCCACCTCTCTGATTCCGTACATCTGATGGATTCACCTTGTAAAAAACTGGTATGACGAGTTGTTGTTTTGATTTCTTGCAGTCAAGAATCTTAACAAGTTCATCCAAACACCACTTTGAAGAGGCATAGTTTTTAGAGAACACAACGACAGAAATCTTTGATTCTTCAATTGCTGTGAAAAGCGCGCTTGATATTTCTTCTCCTCTTATGAGCTCATCATCATCCCTGAAGGTGTTAATGCCTTGTTGACATAAAGCGCTATACAAATGGTCCGTGAAGTTGTGGCGCGTGTCTTCGCCTCTGAAGCTCAGAACGACATGGTATTTCCATGATTTGGTGAAAGGAGCAGAAGAAGAAGAGGCTCCTCGGTTGGCCATGGAAGCCAACATAATTGTTTCAGTGTTTGCTTCTCTCTGGATTCGCTAAGCCAAATATGAGTCTTTTTTACTTGAAGAGTTTGGATGTGAGCAAATGTCACTGAAACTTCCGGTCTTCAGTTATTGGTGCGCTTTCACAACCTGACACAACCTGCCAGTCAATGCTTTTTGAAAATTAAACCGAGCCCACCGGATATGTTTTGTTGATTGCAACATGTAACTAATTTTTTATTACTAGGATGTTTTTCTCTTTTTGCTGAAAAGTCTTACTCTCTCAGAAGAGTTTGGGTGTGAGCAAATGCAGAAAACGTTATCTTTGCTTTGCATCTAATGTGAATTCATGAAAAGATGAGGATGAGCAAATAAAATATAAGAAGATAATCTTTTTCATAATAAAATATTTACAATGATAATTTAATAAAAATATATGGATGGAATCTTCCTCACTAACCAAGGCTGTTTTCCCTTCCCTCTATATAATTAGTAATAGTTATTCTCAATAACAAATATTATAATAAAATATGTGAGAGCATGCATGTGCATCTGAAGATGCGCCCAAACCAACCCCAACCTCAAACGAAATCGTGCTATGTCCTCGGAAAATCATGATCGGTGGCAAGGAAAGATCGACGTTGTTTCGGGGAGCTTCTCTTCCAACCAGACGACATTGCTATTGTTGTTAAGAGAGTGAGAGGCTACGATTACAGGATTGAGTGAGGGTTTGAGGGGCAGGGAAGGGCTAAGGGGCGTCGGAGAAGACGAGAGAGAGCCAATTCGCGATGGAGATCAACAACACGACGACGAAGATGATGGCGATGGCCACATGGCTTTGATGGTGACGAAGGTTTTTGGGTGATCGGGTGGCGTTGATGTCGTGGTCTTTGGGGTTTGTTGACGGCATCGTCATCGTCATCGTCCCCAACGTTCATGTTTGTCCGATCGCCACCGAATCAAAACCTCATCTCTATGAATTTGATTAATTAGGGGTTTGGATTTGGGACATTTTTTCTTTGTGATTTTTTGATTTTTATTTATTTGAAATTTTGAAGGTTTTTTGAATTCTGAAACAGCCAATGCTAACGAAGGCGTAGAGTTTTGGTAAATAGAGACGTTGTTATGGTGGTTGTTCTTGTGAAAAGGCGCAAAATCGTGGTTGTACAATTTCGCTATATCGAGGCATGTTTATGTATCATTTGGGGTTGGGGCAGGCTTGGGTGGCTAGGTTGGTGGTTGGTTACAAGGTGGTGGTGGTTTGCTGGGGTTGGGAGGGGTTGGGACTGTTGGTGGGCGTCGGGGTTGGGAGGAGGAATGGAGAAAGATGTTTTACTTTTATTTTAAATTTATTTTCCTTATTTTAATAATTTGTGGACCGAATTACCTCTCTACAACTAACAGAAGTTAAAAAAATTTGACAGAAATTGAGAATTGTCCTTGAATTGCTTCAAATTAAAACTATAGGGACAAAATTGACCAAATTGAAACGACATGGACCAAAGTGGTAAAAGTGACAAACTACAGGGACTAAAAGTGACTTTTTGCCCAAAAAAATATTAAATTTTCTTTTTACCATTGTAAATTTTTTATTTTGATTTAAAAAATGTAAAACTAAAATTTAATACATTTATTTTATTTTTTGCTATTAAGTGTTTTTTTTTTTTTTTTTTTTTCTTTTTATTTTCTTTTTATAAGCTATTATTATTTTAAGATAAAGGAAGGATAGATTTTTTATTTTTTATTTTCTTGATTGAACTATGTCAAAGGAAATGTCATACTGTGTATCTATGTATATAAATATATCTTATGCAAGATGCATTTCATAAAGATAATTAGGTATAAAAGTAATGGAAGAAAATCATATACAAGTTTTTAAAGTATTAATATTGGGTGGTTGATCGTTATCCAAATTTTAGGATAATATTCTTCCACCATCTTTAGCTGATTCCATTGAATCTCTACTTGTTAAGCATTTCCTTACAAAATATAAAAAGTACAATCTTTTAAGAGTGAAATGTGCTAAAGAAGTTATTAGAAAATGTCTACATCTTAAGGATTTTACAGAAATGCCAATAGAAAAGTTTCCACACGGAGAGACGACAAAAATGTTTACAGATTGTATGTATGACTTATTACATCGATGAATGTGTTGAGATATAATTTAGTAGCTTAATTATGTTGTGAAATTTGAGCTCTGGTATGAACAATCTTACTCTACTCTCTTTCTTTCTTGACATGAAAGTTTAAAAAATATAAATATGGATTCTTTCATATGTGCATGTCGATTATGTGATCAATTTTTGTAATGGAATTTAAGCTCTAACACCCTGATTAAAGTTCACTTTTTGAATATGAAGGCGATAGAGTTTTATAGATAAATAAGGATGAAAACAAGTACAAAAAAACTTGGCAATGTCGCAGAGGATTAGGCGAGCTTCTCAACCACAAGGGGGAAAAGCAACCTTGCCACCGTTAGAGTGCCCCTCCGCTGCGGGCGCAGTCCCCCTAAGATCAACCCTGTAAAAAATTACTTGTTACAATCCTTGCACAAAACGTCGATAATTAAATATGGTGGTTCTTCAAACCAAGTAGTAGTGGAGCCGATATGTGAACCAAAGTGTGCTAAAAGATGAGCCACTCTTTTTGCAGTGCGGCGGATGTGGGTAAAACCATCCTCAGTGATCTGACTGAGTAAGGTTCACTTAAATCTCTAGAACCATTACAAACTCTAGCACTTTGGCTACACGTGATCTAGCTGCTGTAATTAGGATGACCAAAACTAAAGTTATAATATAAAGCTCATTAAATGTTATTTTTTCTGTGTCACAGATGTCATTGCTGAGTAGATATGGGAGATGGACATTGAATATTTATGTGGTTTTGCAAGGGGTGTGATTTAGTGCCCTAGTAGTATTACATTTAATAAAAAGAGTACTTTGTTCAACCATTAAAGCAATATTATCTTGTGTTTTGTCTCTTGACTTATTAATAAAATTGTCCAATGCTAACATGTCAAGCTAGATCAGTATATTTCCTTGCACTCAAATTCTATCTCCTTTCTATGCATTAAAATATTACATGGGATGGAAGTTGATGTCTCTTCCAAGAGGGAAAAAGATAGTTGGATTGGATCCAGGTGGATCATCACCATATATAAAGCACAAAGCTGGCGGGTGATTGAGCGTTATAAAGCAACGTTGGTTATCTAGAAGTGGCGGAGCTATATGAGGGCCTGAAGGGGCCTGGGCCCCCCCAAAAGTTTCATAATATTTGATTTGTGGACTTCTGTTCCTATAGATTTTAGAAAGTAAATATGATAATTTTGCTTGTGGGCCCCTCAAGATGTGTTTCTCTTTCCAATTAAATATATATATAATAATAACCACTTGCCACTTGATTGAAGGTTGTGAATGTTTCTATCCTCACGCCAGTTTTGGTTTTTTTGAAAGTAGAATCTCATCTCCATCAATATATTAATAAAAAAAAATTAAAACAGCCAATCAAATAAAGTTTCAAAAAATTTCCTTTATCAAATAGGAAATAGACTTTTACCCAAATAAAAAAAGATTGGGATTTTAATTTTTGTTCCTATATAAAGCAACATGAACTTAGTTCGAAGCAGCCGCACACAACAAAAGAAAATAATTGAATTTGGTTGTTTGCTCTCCAACCTCCTACTTCAGAATTTCTAATTCCAGGTTAGATAACTTTACAGTCATATTTTTTTTTTCCTTTGTTTATTTACTTTTTATGAGAATATATTTGTATATGTTCGATGCATAGAACATGATTTTATTTTTTTATTTTGGTTTGTGGTATAATTTATCATGTCCTTAATAAATTTGTAATTGGTTTGTAGATGAAGAAACAACCTAAAATTGATGGATTTTTCAAAAGAAAACATATTGAAGTTACCTCATCTGTACCTGATTATAATATTGAGACAATAACATATGAAAATCGTTCTGGATCTCCAAGAATTGAGACTATTGATAATGAAGTTGATATTAGTACTTTAGAGCGCGACCCAGGGCTACGTCCGCAAATATGGAATTATCCTGTTAATCAACATGACGAAATTCGACGAGCTTACATTAACGTCGGTCCATACCAACCTATACTTTCCAAGTATCCAAAATCTGGATCAGTAACTCATCAGCGTAGCTTTCAAAGTTCATGGTTCAAATTATTTCCTTCGTGGTTAGAATATTCACCTGTGAAAGATGCAGCTTTTTGTCTACCGTGCTATCTTTTTAACAAACCATCTGGACATTCTGGAAAAAATGCTTTCACTCTTGAGGGATTTCAAAGTTGGAAGAAAGTTAGAGATGGAAAAAATTGTTCTTTTCTAAATCACGAGGGGAAAGATCCTAACTCCCCCCATAAGATTGCTGAAATATCATGTTTGGATTTGATGAATCAATCCCAGCATATACAGAAAGTCGTTGAGAATTATTCTTCCCAACAAATTGCAGACAATCGACTACAACTTAAGGCAACAATTGAAGCAGTAAGGTGACTTGCATTCCAAGGATGTGCTTTTAGAGGCCATGATGAAAAAAAGAATTCAATCAATCGTGGAAATTTTCTTCAAATGTTAGAAATATTGGCTGCATATAATGAAAAAGTTGATGGAGTTATCTTAGATAAAGCTCCCAAAAATGCCTCTTACACATCACCACAGATCCAAAAAGAAATTTTACATGTTTTTTCAACTAAAGTGAAGAAAGCAATCTGTGAAGAAATTGGGGAATCAAAGTTTTTTATAATTGTTGATGAAGCGCGTGATGAATCCAAGAGAGAGCAAATGGCTATAGTGTTGCGATTTGTTGACAAAGAAGGTCTTATTCAGGAGCGCTTTTTTGGGCTTGTTCATGTGTCAGACACTGAGGCATTAACTCTGAAAAAATGTATATACTCTATATTGTCTCATAATTCACTAATATTCAAAATATTAGAGGACAAGGATATGATGGTGCAAGTAACATGCAAGGTGAATGGAATGGGTTACAAGCTTTGATTTTGAATGATTGCCCATATGCTTACTATGTTCATTGTTTAGCACATCGATTACAATTGGCATTAATTGCATCATCAAGAGAAGTTATTCATGTTCACCACTTTTTCACTAAATTGACTTCTATTGTCAATATTGTTGGTGCTTCATGCAAGCGTAATGATGAACTGAAAAATGCTCAAGCTGCTGAAATTGAGCACATGATTGCAATTGATGAGCTCAAGACTGGGAAAGGAATGAACCAAATTGGCACCTTACAACGTGCTGGTGATACTCGTTGGGGTTCTCATTTGAAATCAATTACTAGCTTGGTAAATATGTTTAGTGCAACATGCATAGTTCTAATTAATATAATTGATAACGGAACTACTTATTCTCAACGAGGAGATGCTGATGCAGCTTATGAGGCAATGACTTCATATTAATTTATCTTTATCTTACATCTTATGAAAGAACTTATGGAGATCACTAATGATCTTTGTCAAGCTTTGCAATGTCAATCCCAAGACATCATAAATGCCATGAATCTTGTTTCTTCCACTAAAGCACTCATCCAAGAATTAAGAGATGATGGATGGGATTCTTTGCTTACCAAGGTGAATTCTTTTTGTGAAGCACGGAACATAGATATACTAGATATGAATGCTCGTTATGTTGCAAGACAAGGTAGAGCTCGCCATCAACAAGATGATTTTACGATTAAGCATTATTATATGATAGATATTTTTTATGCTACAATAGATTCTCAACTTCAAGAATTAAATAGCAGATTTAGTGATCAAACAACAGAGCTGCTTATTATGGGGTCGGCTTTGGATCCTCGTGAAGTGAATAAATCTTTTAGGATTGATGATATTTGTCAATTGGTAGATAAGTTCTATCCACAAGACTTTGAAGATCATGAGAAGATAGGTTTGAGAAGACAACTTCAACATTTTGAGAGTGACGTCGTTAGACTTCCAGAGTTTCAAAACTTGTCAACAATTTTTGATCTATCTCAATGGATGGTAACGACTAGAAGATCAACGACATATCCACTTGTTTATAGAGTGGTTGTTCTTGTGCTTACTCTTCCTGTTTCTATAGCAACTGCAGAGCGATCATTTTCTGCTATGCGTATAGTAAAAACTAGGCTCCGTAACCAGATGGAAGACGAATTTCTCACAGACTCTTTGATTATGTACATCGAAAGGGAAATTGCAAAAAAGTTTAGCGTTGACTCAATCATAGATGGTTTTCGAGATATGAAAGAACGACGAGTGTTATTTTGATACCTAATTGAATAAACAATTATTTTTTGCCTTTAATTTTTCCAAACATTGTTAAGGTTGAAAATTTGAAATTTTTTAATGTCTTGTTTGGTTTATATATTGGCCCCCTAACACATAAATTCCTGGCTCCGCCACTGTCTAGATACATTATATTTGTATGGTTGCAAAGATTAACAATATTCGAGTTCTTCTCTCATTAGCTCCAATTTTAGATTGACCTTTACAACAATTTGAGGCTTAAAATGTTTCGTGATACTTGTGAGTGTAACGCTATGGTGACTAGCGTTGTACGAAATGTTGAAAAAATATTTGGTGAGAAAATTAGAGATCTGTCTCTGTGGGAGAACGTAAACAAAAGTTTGGGTATCCTTTCTCTTCAATTTTCGGGAACAACTCCACTGCCTCGGACAGGGCGCTATTCTTGCAAAGCCCTTGAAGCAAAGCATTCAGGGCATAAGCATCAGGCTCAAAACCATATTTAAAGGTAAGTGCTAAGACAGAGAAACCCAAGTCCACCCTGTTCAGACGGCATAAGCAATTCATGAAAATATTCATTGTAGTGACATCAGGTTGGAATTGACGACAATCCATCAACTGTTTATACATAGATACTAGGGCAGAATATTGCTTCATCTTGTAAAGTGCCCCAAACAAACATTTAAAAGTCCAATTAGAGGGAATGGGTTTCGTTTGAATCATGGAATTGAAGTAACCCAATGCTTCCTCTGACTTAAGTGTTCCAGATTTGCACCGTGTTTGAATCAGAATCTCCATATCACTAACATTATTATCAGCATCAGAATGAAATTCACTTCTTTTCAGCAGAAAATGAGTGATAAAAGAACGATTACCTGGTCGTGGGCTCGTGGTTAGCATCCTCATCTTCATCCTTATCATTGTCAGTCTCAGTTCAATACGACCGGAACAGAAACAAAGATGAGAAAATAAACGGGTGGAGAGATATAAAGAAATAGGGGATTAGAATTGGGATTTGGCATTTGGGCTGCTGCGAAATGGGCTGGGATTTGTTTTTCTGTTTTTGTTGGAAATATTATATCAACCTTTTTATGTATACATATACATTGTAACAAACAAAAAAAAAAAAAAAAAAAAAAAAATAAATAGATATACATATAGAATATACATGCGTTTAATGGAAAAATATTTGTGATGTGTATATTTGTTCATTCTTTAAAAAAAAATTGTTAGTCTTGCTCTAGACAAGCACACCTATGTATATATAATAAACCTTTAGCATATATAGGCATGTGTATAATTCTGATGTATACATGTATGTGTGTTTTATATATATACATACATTATAACAAAAAATAGATACACATATATAGAATACATAAGTATACATGCGTTTTTGTTATATAGTATGTTTGTATATGATAACCACACACATGAATTTTTGTAATATTCAAACAAACATGTTAGCCCAAAAAACCTAGTCTTAAAGTAATATATACTCCTATGTTTAGTATACATGTATATATGAATGTTTGTATGTTGGAGGGCACTTGAATATAACAAATAAGAAATGAAATATATATATATAGGACCTATAAACTAAAAACAATGCAATTAAAATTATAAATCATAAAATATTATTATAAAGTCGGAACTTTTCGTAAAAAAATTGGAAAAATCGGATCATAAAGGGTTTGAAGAATTTCAAAAATTTTCAGATCGGAATTTCGAAAATTTCAAAATTTACAAATACATTTCGATTTCGACATGAATTTTATTAGAAATTTCGGATTTCGGCACTTTCGGATATCAGATGTGTCGAAGTCCAATTTTTGAAAATTTTCGATACGGAATAAGTCGGAATCAGATTCCAATCCAATTTACAACCCTACAATGAAGAGACGGCAGATGTAGGCTGTAGCCAGTGCATTGGAGGAGAGTGGGGCCCTCTTCATATTGGCCATGAAGGCCCCAATGAAAGGAACGGACGTTGATGAAGAGGATCAGAGCATGATCCCACATGGGTTCAAAGATCGTGTGGCGGGGAGAGGCCTCGTGATAAAAGGGTGTGCCCCTCAAAATGAAATATTGAGGCACTGGGCCTTTGGTTCATATTTGATGTATTTTCGAATGAATTAGGAAATGGATTAACTTTAATGCCCATTGTTTATGGGGGTTACCAGTCTTGTTCATGTAATTAAGATGTGGTTTAAAAGGAGCAAGTGTTTTGGTTTCTTTACATTCGAAACAATGTTCACCATTAACATGATCTACACATTATGATTTGTCAAATATTTTTCAAGGATGATTTATGCATTAAGACTCGGAAATTAGATAGTTTGAATTATTAAAATAGAACCCGGAATGAGCCTTACAAGGTATTCCCCAAATATATATATATATATATGTCATGTCAACAAACTAATGGCTTATTATCACAAAACATTCCTGAGGTTCATGCACCTATCACAAATGGTCATTGCGAAATTTTTTAATTTTTTAATTTAAAAATATATATTATATTTTAAATACATGTGACATTATATTATTGTAGATGTGGGTTCCATATATATGCCACATCAACAAACTAATGGAGTTTTAAAAAAATAATTTAAAATTCATAAAATTTAAACATGAAAAAAAATTTAGGGTTCATAAATGGTCCTCAAGATTAAAACCCTTCTATGGTTTTTTCATTTATAAATAATTTAAAAAAGAAAACCAAAATTTTATGAATTTTAAATTAAAAAATTAAAAAATTTCGTAGAGACCATTTGTGATAGGTGTGTGAACTTCAAGGATATTTTGTGATATATATATATATGCCAACTCAGCAAACTAACGGAGTTTTTTACAGAACCTAACGGTATGGACCATTTCTGATCGCACATACTAACTTTAAAGACCATGAGTGACACAAAAAAACATTCAGGATGTAATCTGATAGTTTTGTAAACTTTAGGGACGTTTTGTGATATTAAGCCTATTTTCGTTTCTTTTGAACCAGTTTGAGCTTATATAAAAATATACAAAAATGTGAATTGTTCATACAAAAAAAGCCACTAGATTTCATACAAGTTTATTATATTTTCACTAATATGAAAGAAAGGTTAAGTGTTGATGCAAACTCAGATCCTCTAAGCATGTAATTGTTCTTGCAGTCATTCATGTATTGTCTCTACAATAATAGTTTCTTTGTACTATGCGTTTTCTCAAATAATTATGCATTATGTTTTGGGAGTTTCACTAAAACACCCAAAATGGGGGCTGAAATTATAAAAAAACCCAACACCCAAAACACTGTATAAATACACCCAAAACCCATCATTACACACACTCAAAACTCATTTATAAACACACGCAAAAAATATACAATTGTTGATTTTGGGGTTGATTTTGGGTGTGTTTCTATGTTTAAATAGTGCTTGGGTTTTTTTATAAATACATGTCTAGGATTGGGTTTATTTATAAATTTGTATTATGTTTTCTTGTGGTCTCTTTTGGTTTCAGTGTCATGTCTTTATGTTACATGTATAAATTCAAAATTTGCAGAACATACGCACAACAATGGGTTTAAGTATAGAACACCTGGATTAAGAGCATCTTTAGTGAGGGGTTGTATAATGAGGTATATGTTAAATATACACCATTTGTGATCGGAATCACCTGTAATGGGGAGGTGTAAACGATTATAAATTTGCATAACAACCGTGAGATGCAAATTTAGATGCACATGTGTATCCTTTTTTACATCCCTTGCAGGTGGGCCTTATTTACCAAAAATGGAAAATAACCCATACTATTCAAAGAGAGGTGGGGTAAAATTAAACCAAATACCCAAAGTAATTTTGAAAAATTGAAAGTTATTTACCACCAATGGTGATTTTGTTAGAGCTTTTGGTATTCAGAGAAATTTGAAGGAATAGAGAATATCGAAGAAAATGCTTTGCTTACTCACATAGTATGTGAGCAAAACGTTTATTTTTTATTTTTTATTTTTCTATCTGTAAGAATGAGCTCATACGGTATGTACATGACTGTTAGCTCTTAGCTGGATTCACACAAGCCACAATGAATCTCAGCCATCCATCTGTCTCAATTCTAGAATCACTACACATGACTACTTTAGCCTTACTTCTTTTGACCTCACACTTGGCAGATATGCTCAAGAAAATACACACACAAAAAACTCATCTTATTTCACTAATACTAATCAGCTATAAACTTATGATTCAACACTCCCCTTTAAGTCTTGAGCTGATTTCACTCAGAGCATACTCCTGAGATAGTTGAAACGATCCTTAGCCAAAGGTTTTGTGAAGATATTTGCTACCTGCTCTTTAGTGGGACAATACACCAAATCAATGATTCCTTCCTGCAGTGCATCCTTAATAAAATGATACCTTCTATAAATGTGCTTGGTCTTCTGATGGAACATAGAATTCTTTGTAATAGCAATGGCAGAAGTGTTATCACAGTGAAGAGGAGTAGCTTCAGTTTGTGTTTCTCCAAAATCTTCCAAAACGAACCTCAGCCATATTGCTTGAGTTGTGGCTTCTGATGCACTTATATATTTAGCTTATGCAATTGAAAGTGCAACACAATTTTTCTTGACCGAAGCCTAGGAAAACACACCACTGCCAAATGAGAATGCATATCATGATGTGCTTTTGCTGTCCTCCAATGAGCCACCCCAATCACTATCATAGAAGCCAATTAAACAAGCTTTCCTTCCCTTCACATAATGCAGGCCATAATCCAGAGTTCCCTTGATGTATCTGAGTACTCTCTTTCCATAGTGTCTATTGGTAGGACAGTGCATAAATCTTGTCAATAAACTTGTTGCATACATTATATCCGGCCTTGTAGCAGTGAGATATAGAAGGCTTCCCACAATGCTTCTATACCTTTCCTCACTCACAGATCCACTTCCATCATCTTTAGATAACTTCTCAGTAGCTACAAGAGGAGTTGTGGTAGTCTTTGCTTCATTTAATCCAAACTTACTCAATAAAGAACTTGCATACTTCTTCTGGTGAATGAAGATGCTAGAGTTGGTTTGAATCACTCCTATTCCGAGGAAATGATGAAGGAGTCCCAAATCTGTCATCTCATACTTCATCTTCATGTCTTCCTTGAACTCTTCTAGCATTGATTTGCAACTGCCCGTGTAGACTATATCGTCCACATAGATAGAAACAATCAAGATATCTTCTCCCCTTGCTTTTATATACAGAGTTGGTTCACTCAAGCTCTTCTTGAAACCACACTGTGGGAAATAGTTGTCAATATCTCCATACCAGGCTCTTGGAGCTTGTTTTAGACCATAAAGAGCCTTATGAAGGTTGTACACCTTTTCTTCCTTGCCTTTGACTACAAAACCTTTAGGCTGCTCAACATAGACCTCTTCTTGTAAAACTCCATTCAAGAAGGCCGATTTCACATCTAACTGATACAATTTCCAGCTCTTTTGTGCAGCCAAGGTTATTAAAGTTCTAATGGTATCCAACCTAGTAACTGGTGCATAAGTCTCATTGTAGTCCAAACCAGGATTTTGTGCATAGCCCTTTGCAACTAGCCTTGCTTTATTCTTCAACACTATGCCATCAAGATTTAACTTGATTTTGTAGACCCATTTAACCCCTATAACAGGTTTTTCAGTTGGTTTGTCAACAAGCATCCAGGTACCATTTTTTCCAATCATAAATAGCTCATCCTCCATAGCTTTTAACCAAGACTCGTCTTGTTTGGTGTCCTCATACTTCTCTGGATCCATGATACACATATTGCATTGAGCTAACACTTCATTCAGGTTTCTCCACTTCAGTGGTGTATGGTCAAATGCTTGATTGTGCCATTCACTCAAGTTTGACATGCTTGCAAATTTACCTGAGATAGGTGACTTGAATTGAACTTAGGAGTCTTCAATACTAAGAACTCTCCTAGATGGAGATAATGTAGATGATGTAGGAGACAACACCATTCTGTCACTTCTTCATGTACTTATGTCACCATGAATAAAACTTCTAGTATTGAGGGATATTGACTCTGAGTTCTCTTCCCAATTCCAGGCAGCTTCTTCATCAAATAAAATGTCTCTTGACAAGAATAGTTTCTTGGATAGTGGATCAAATACCCTATACTCCTTTTCACAAGTTGCATATCCCACAAATACTCCTTTGAAGCTTTTAGGCTCAAGCTTATGTCTGCGTTCAACTGGGACATGAAAATAGCATAGTGAACCAAATACTTTCTGGTGTGCTATTCCTAGTTTTCTTCCAGAATAAGCTTCAAAAGGTGTGATGTTTTTCAAAGCCTTTGTGGGACATCTGTTTAGAATGTACACTAATGTATGCATTGCTTCTGCCTAGAGAAAGTATGACATCCTCTTCTCATGCAACATGGATTTAGCCATCTTAATCACAGTTCTGTTCTTCCTCTCCACTACTCCATTTTGTTGTGGAGTATATGCAAGAGTGAATTGCCTTTGTATTCCTTCCTTTTCACATAATAGGTCGAATTCATATGACTTGAACTCCCCTCCTCTATCACTTCTCAGACACTTAATCTTGAAACCACTTTGTAAATCTGTCACAGCTTCGAATTTTTTTAAAATAGTTGAATGCATCAGAATTATATCTCAGGAAATAAACCCAAGTCATTCTGGTGAGATCATCTATCAACATCATGAAATACTTATTTCCAGCAATTGAATCATTCTTCATAGGTCCACATAGATCAACATGAATTAGTTCAAGTGGAGCAGTTGCTCTTTGTGCTTGATTTCTTGGAAATTATTCTCTGTGTTGTTTTCCAAATTGGCAACCTTCGTAGATTCCATTGTAGTCTTCAAGTTGAGGCAACCCATGCACCATTTCCTTGTCTCTCAATTGTTTGAGACCACCAAAGTGTAAGTGCCCAAGTCTCCTATGCTAAGTCTCAGTAGGGACACTAGCTTTCAAAACCACTTGGTTCTCAGATAATAAAGACAATGGATAGCACCTATTCACTTTCTTCTTCACTTTCATAACTAAGCTTTCCAGTGATGGACCATCATACACATTGCACATTCCACCACCAAACACCAAGAAATATCCATGCTCATCAATTTGACCTGCACTTAGCAAATTTTCTTTTAAACCAGGCAGATACATTACTTCTAACATACTTTATGCCCTTATTTGTATCAATCACCAATGAGCCCATTCCTGCTACATTCACAAGGTCTCCAGTTGGCATCTGAACTTTGCCAGCTATGTTAATTCTTACATCAACAAGCAATTAACCACTATTGATGTACCACTCTCCATTCACCCTTGGTCCTGTAACTGTGTTATTTGCATAAAATAGATTCCCTGTCATATCCAATTGGTTAGCACTGTTTGCCTTTTGCACTGTTTTAGCTGCAGTACATTCTCTAGCCAAGTGACCAAATTTGTCACAATTGTAGCACTTTGGCTTGCCTTTATATATGCATTCTCCAAAATGGTACTTTGAGCACACTTTGCACTGAGGCTTTACAGCTTCTTGGTTTGCTGGCTGTGATGAACTGAAGTTGTGCACATTAAAACGCTATTCCTGGCTTTTAAGAATAGCTAGGTTCTCCTGTAATTCAACCGTTTCTATATTTTTCGTATTCTCAATCACAAGAAAAATAGGATCATAGGGTTTGCTAAGACTGATTAAAACCTTTTGCACAAGTCTTGCATAAGATAACACTTCACCAAACGTCTTCATTTGATTAATCAATTCATTCAGACGTGTAAGATACCCAGACAATGTTTCATCATCATGCATTCTAGCATATTCGAATTCACATCTTAGATTTTGCAATTTCACATATCGTACCTGATCACCACCGTGATACTCTCCATACAACAAATCCCATGCCATCTTCGCTGATTCAGAATTGGTGATTCGAGGGAAGATTTGATCCGAGACCGCATTCTGAATGATTCCCAGAGCCTTTGCATCTTGCGTCAACACAACAGCCATTTTTCCATCTACATCATCCTCTAATGATCCTTCAGCCTTCTTCTTCTTCGAATCGGAAGTTTTAACTCCCTTGTCTACCAGATTCCACAGCCCATGTGATTTGAAAATCGTCATCATCTTGATTCTCTAGAACTCGTCGTTCTCACTAGAGAAAATTGGAGTTCTCACTTCCGAGCCTCCAGGTCCAGACATCTTTGGTTTGAATGGGTTGATTTCTCTTCTCAGATGATAATGGGTCTCTAGCGACTTTCACCGAGCTTCAACTCAGCTCAATGGGTTCATAGATTTACGCCCAGGCTCAGATGATCGAACCTGGCTTTGATACCATGTTAGAGTTTTTGGTATTCAATCTGGGTTTTGTAAACTGGTCTGTTAGAGAAATGTGAAGGAATAGAGAATATCGAAGAAAATGCTCTGCACACAATATGTGAGCAAAACGTTTTTTTTTGTATATTTTTCTATCTGTAAGAATGAGCTCATACGGCATGTACTACATGACCGTTAACTCTTAGCTAGATTCACACAAGCCACAATGAATCTCAGCCATCCATCTGTCTCAATTCTAGAATCACTACACATGACTATTTTAGCCTTACTTCTTTTGACCTCACACTTGGCAGATATGCTCAAGTGAATACACAAATAAAAATTCATCTTATTTCACTAATACTAATCAGCTATAGACTTATAATTCAACACATTTAATCCAAGACTAAAAATTAATTGAATATTTACCCAGTTCACAATCTTTTTAGCTTAAAGGAATTAATCACTACAGTTGGTGACTAACTCAAAACTAAATTGATAACCTTGAAGCTAGAAAAATAAAAGTAGGTTTTGCTTTAGTCAAAAGTCGTAGCTACTTGCTTCCAAAATACATGCTTTGACCCTTCTATTAGCACCCGCATGATTTCATTAGCAGAATAATTGATTATTGATTCCCTATAATCCAATTTACAAAGAACGGACATAAGGCATTAAGAGAATTGGTTGTCAAAGAGCCAAAATTGGTCACCATAGCTGCCTGCTGATCTTTGTTACTTTTGGCATTGAAAAAGATCATACCAAACCAAGAGAATTATTACTTCCTTATCACTTATCTATTAGTGATCAGTAGAGTAATACTTTCCAATTATTATTCTTCAAATATTCAGGTGTCATCATCATACATTCTCCTATAAATATAAGAACACTTGAACTGAAAGAGCATAATCAACCAAACCCCCCCAAAACAACTCAACAATCAAAAAAACACAATCAGTCAAACTGATAAACACCAAATACATATGATCTTCAAAGCCTTCAAGCCCAAAAGCAAGCAAGCAATATTTTCTTCGAAGCAGTCTAGCTCAAAAGAAGCACAAACAATCAGGCTTACAGAAGCAGTCCAGCTCAAAAAAGAAGCTCATTAGGAGATATTCGTCATCCAAATTCACAATCATTTAGTCAAAGTCAACAGCTTGGTGATAGATTCATATTTTGCATATATAATCTATCTCTAATTTCATTATTTTCGTGTGAAATTAGTTAGTTTAATGTGTTTAGGGAGGATTTTGTAGGCAACCATTTGTAGCAAGACTTTGGAGCAAAAACTATAATTTTGGAAGCTTAAGGGATCGAAATGGGTGGAATTATCATCTCAACAAAATCTCAAGAACTCACTTTGTCATTTCATCAAACAACTAGAGTGTATCTGTATAAGTGCCAGTTTGGCATTGCTTATTTGAGGTGATAAGTGATTTTTTAAAAATTTTGAGAAGCCCAACCCGTTTGGTAAACTGTGATAAAATCACTTATTGTTAAAAATTGCTGTGAGAGAAAGCTATAAGGGAAAGCAGCTAATGAGGTGCTTTCATTTTCTGATTATGCAGGAATCAGTTTCGAAGAGGCGCTGGGTTTAATGATTATGCGGCAATCATTTTTTGATTATGCGTAAAATCAATACCAACAACACTTTTAATAAAAAATTTACCAAACGCCAAATTGCTTTCTCTCACAGCTGATTTCTCCCACAGCAAATCTGACAGCGATTATTTTCACAGCACAGCAATGCCAAACTGGCCCTAAGTGTCAATTTATACCCACAACTAGACTCAGTGACTAGCGTCAGAAAGATAGAATTAGATAAATTTACCATTATTTTGGATCCGAAATCGTACGAAGACTGGTGGAGGTGCTTGTTGATGTGCTTTTGCAGCTGCCTATTTCTTGAATAAGTAGACGATGTTGAGAGTATTTGTCCCACATTGAAATGTTAAGGGACCTAGAGTTTATAAGGAGTTGGGCTACTCCCCCCATTGTCAATTGGTTTTGGGGTGGAACCTCAACTTTCTTCATGGTATCAGAGCAAGGCTTCACGTGTTGGGCCTAACAGCCACACGTGCTCTCACGTCACCCAATATGTGTTGTCCACATGTTAGGCCTGAAAGTTCGCCACACGTGCGGGGGCGTGTTGAGAGTATTTGTCCCACATTGAAATGTTAAGGGACCTAGCCTAGGTTTATAAGGAGTTGGGTTACTTCCCTCATTGCCAATTAGTTTTGGGGTGGAACTTCAACTTTCTTCAGATGTGACACTTGCTAATATTGGAGAAGAGGTAGCTGTGCAGTTGCCGCAATTGATGAGGTTTATTGGGTGCTCAAGAGAATGGCGTGAATATTTTGAGTGAAAAGATATTGAGTTGCATGTTGTGGTACCACCAACCATAAGTTGGAGAACCCATTTTTGCATTTGCTGAGATGTCAATACATGGGCTGAGGGATTATCAATGTGGGCTCTACTAGTTTTGCCAAATTTTATCTAACCCATGGGCCAATTTTATATGTTTTCTACTTGGAATTCATTTCCAATAATTCCCTCTTTGGTTCTGTATCTTCTTTTTAGTTTAGGTATTCCTTTGGGCTTTCCTATTTTACCTTTATTTCCCAATTATTCTCTAAAAATATATTTTCCTTATTTTTGGAGGATTCCTTGGGCCTATAAATAAAAAGCTTTAACTTAAGAACCAAGATCTTTTCTACCATATATTTTTCACCATATTTTAATACACCCACAAATATATCAGAGAATTTAGAGATCAAATTCATCAGCCAAATAGGTTTTATGACAACAATTCTTTTGTTTATCTTTTCTTTTGTCATGAACTAATTTCTCTTACTAGGGTTACGATGTAGCCTAACCATGAACACTTAATTTTTATAGTTATATTAACTTTTGATTACTCTTCCATGTTGAGTATTTGTTACTATTCTTAATGCCTTAAATATCTAGCTAATATTTAATTGATGATCCAAATGGAGACCGAGAGGAGATGTTTAGTGTTTGCTTCTCATAACAAATACCATGTCTTGAATGAGTGCCTGAGACGGACTAATATGACTCATACAGTTTTCTTGCAGGTTTTCATTGAACTTAATGGGTTCTTGATTTTCTAAATCTGTTGCTCGAGAGAGAATGAGTTATTAATCAAAGAATACTTTCGGTTGAGCCCGAGAGGGGATATTGAATGAATTAGGAGAAACCAACTGTCAACATGAGTAGTAATTAGGGTTAATTGGCTGTCACGACCCGATTCGAAAATAAAGAATATTTGAGAATCTGGGTGAGTGAATTGAAATAAATAAATAAAAAGACTGAAAAATTGGTTAAAATACATTACCATTATATATATAATTATAATAATCTTACAAGCGTACAAGATATAAATAAAAGTTTATCACTCTAAACTAATCCAACTTCTTTGGTTTCGGCTTTGTCTTTCTCACTAATTGATTTGAAAAAAAAAAATAGGTGAGGGATGAGCAAACCACTCAGTGAGTAGATTATGTAATAAGCCAGTCGAGCAATGTCATTTTACACACTCTAGAAAAATATAATAAAAAGATACACAATCCAAATCATATCACAGCATACTTCATATCTTGGTTATCCTTCACAAATTGTACCCAGTATATGACCCATATCGGCCTCACTGCCATATGTCCATGAATAATACATACTTCATAAAAACTCAAAATAATATATATTGTGTGAAATATTGCACAAATTAGACATGCTTGACTTGAAAATAGAGAGAGATTTGTAAATAGAATAAACCCATGATTTTCACATTTTTCACAAAATAAGAACTTTTAGAACATATTACATAACCCACTCATCATGATAAGTATGAAATATTGCAAGACAAACACACACACACTCTTCATCTTTCTTTTTCTTCTCTCTCTCTCTCTCTCTCTCTCTCTCTCTCTCTCTAACACTACTTCATGGTAGAAATCTATCCTAAAGGATTGGAATGAATGATTGAATTAAGGAAGCATGATACTTATAGGAGAGGCTATGGATGCACCCAAATAATATTTATATACACAATATTTTAAACCACCAAAAGAAAATATAGAAAAGTAAGGGAATAATGTGACTCATCCCCCTTTGACCAATGATATTACAACACCACCACAAAACGATAAGATAGAAAGGTAGGGAATAATATGACTCATCCCCCTTTGGCCAGTGATATCACAACACCAACACCAACAGATAAGGTAGAAAGATAAGGAATAATGTTAGTCATCCACCATTGGCCAATGCTATCACAACATTACTTGTTACTAGCATGTAGGGTGGCATGACAATGATGATTTGATTAAAACCAATTCTAAGTCTCTACACATGGATAACAAGAATGGTGTCATCTTTCAACTAAAATTATAATCTCATACTAAGCTTAAGATTTTATAACATATAAGTCTTCACAATAAATATTTAAATAAGAAAAATTTATATGAATAAATAATTCATATGTAGTATGAATAATTATTTAATATATATATATTTTATAGGTTCTCACATTGGCTATAAGAATTAAGTGGAATTGGTTATGCTAAAATCGGATGCTCTAGTGTCTCATCAACTTGATTTTCCACCGTTAATTAAATTGCTATTTTTCATATTTGTTTTAATTTAGTTTAATAAATCAATTGTTCAAATAAATTTCTGAATTAATCATAATTGGTACTTAAAAGGAAATTACAGTCTTCGTGGGAACGACACTTCACTTATCTCTATATTACTTGTGCGGATTGTGCACTTGCAATAATTTCACAACACTTGGGGCGCAAGTTATTATTAAATTATTTAAAAACCATAAATAAATAAAAAATTGTTTATAACGAATTGTTGTAAACCATAAAAAGTTAATGGTTTTGAATGAGTTTGAGATTTCAGGCTATTCATTCTTTATGGCTTAAAATAATTTACTATTTTAATTTAGTTAATTTTAGCAACCAAACCTTGTATAAATACATAAGTTATTCATTGAAATGAATCAAGCAATTCTGAAAGCAGAACTCAAAGAAGTTCCTTAGTTTCTTCCTTTTGTTTCTCTAATTATCTTGAAATTCCTCACATTCTCCTGGACTTTGGGTCTGAGGAAGTTTTGGTCACTCACCCTAGGAACTAATCTAAAGGTTGACAAAAATTGATTTAAATATCAATATGTCATGATTTTATTACTTTTATTGTACAAAATATTAATTTAACTTAAACAAAAACAAAAACTTAAAAAAAGAAAAAATACTCCAACCAAACACACATTCTCTCTCAGAAAACCAAGAACATGTTCTTCCTCCATTGTCATTCACAACTACCTTCAACTCCGGCATTCCAGACGAAAATCAAGAACACGTGCTGTTTAAGATTCACTCTAATTCTTATTGATTATCTATTTCATTTCTTGATTTAGATTCAAATATTCAACTTTTTAAGAAACAAAATAAAATTTATGGACCCAAATTCGGAGCCATCAAGTCGGTTCACACTTTAACGTGATTAAATTTCAAGAACCCATAACCAAGTCACTTTCCTGTTGTACTCTGCCTTCGTGATCAATTTCTGTTTATAAATGTTAGATTTGAATGATTCATGAACTCAATTTGGGAAAACTTCAATTTTTAACAAATAAATTTTGGGTTTTTTTTTCTTTCCAGTTCATGAACCTAGACTTGGGTTTCTGCAACTATATTGTATTTTCATGAAAGGTTCATGTTTTCTCATTCACTGGGCATGAAGGAGAAAGATGACTGGTGTCGGAGACAACGGTCTTAGATGCGGATGAGTTTTTTGTTCATGTTTTTCATCTCTCATATTAAACTCTTTTTAAAAAAATTAGTTTTAATAACCAAAATAGTATTTTACTGCAGTAAAAGTAAAATAAAGATAACATATTGATATTTAAACCAGTTTTTTCTCAACCTTTAGATTAGATCCAAAGGTAGGTGACCACAACTTCCGTGGACCATAGGGTCGATGAGAATTGGATTGAATTCTTGTAACCAGAAGCAGTATTTTTACTATATTGACACAACCACCCACCCACCCAACCTCTAGTACATTCCCCTTTAGAGCACTTCCACCCATTTTCCATGGCAAAGGATAAGAGCAAGTAAGAGCGGTTACTGTTCACGTGGATAGTATATGCCCTAACAATTTGTTTTTTGTGCTTTTCAACCCATTGCCATGACAACTTAAGGGCAATTACTATTCACACAAGATTAATTTTATTATATGTGTGAGATTAATAAATAAAAATTTTCTAGGTATGTATATAAAAAAAATATTCTGAATTTTTTGGTAATTTTTTAAATTTTTTTCTTCACTGATGTCAGCGCCTTCAAACAACAATTCGGACTATCTTGCTTGCACGAGCTGGATGTCACCGCTGGGATAGCAAGGGGCCTTTTGCCTGGGCTGGGCTGTCGGCTGGAACTGCTCTTTCGCATATCCATTTATCACCCGAATCAATTCGTCCAAAAAATTCCTCTCCGAGCCCAATATTTTCCTTCCCCTTATGCCAAGATACCAAGAATCAAACGTGGGCTCATCAGCTATAGCACTCTCCCTAGTCCCTCATGTGCCCTCGAGTGCTCGTCTGCTCGTCTGCTGTCGGCGGTCAGGTACTGTTCTGTAGCAGCGACCTCGTCTATCAGGTACTGTTCTCTCCTCCGAAACTGAGTCGTTTAAATCTTTCGATTAGTTATGGAATGAGACTGTCGTACATTTATTTTCATTCCCGCATCTAATGATGATTTTGCATTCAACAGGGTGCAAATTTAGCTATCCAGTCGATTTGTTAATTGCCGATGGCTAGCTCTCTACAACGCTTCTCCACCCGTGCTTGTGTTTCTCGAACCACTATTGTCCAAGGGTCAAAACCATTCCTGGTGGACGCGGTCGGGATTCTCCCTAGTATTCCAGAAGAAAATTGTCACAGTGAGGTACTATCATCTCTTTTTCTTTCCAAAATTGAATTCGATCAACTTATATTTTGGCCTACTCTTCAATGGGGCATACAATCCCTTTGTTTTGATGGAGTAATCTTTTGTGTGTTAGGGAAACAGTTTTTGGTATGCCAATCCACTTGGGCATTTGTGCAAATTGTTATATCTGTGTGAAAATAACAAATCTTGGGGCCTGAACTTGTTCTTTTTCCATGAACCCACAAGTTTTTCATAGTCACCACACCATTTTCTACTTTCTCAGAAGGGACTGTGCTTGGTAATATCTGTTACTCTTTTCTTTTTCCTTTTAATTCTCATATTGGCATACATGACAGGTTGTAATAGGCTCACCTGCTAGGACTGCAACTCAACAAGGGTCAGGGTAAGTTTGTGAGATCGAAGTATGTCCTTTTTGCTGTTTACCGTCTTCATTTCTTTCCTGTTGAATATTTGGGTTTTGGGGTATTGGAATTTGCTTTGAGCCTCAGGATTTTCTGTGTTTGGGATATGTTCTTTTGTGGTTAAGAGCAGTATATAGGTGTTATCCTTTTTGCTTAACATAATCTCGTGCACGAGAACTATGAAACTTATGATACAGTCTCATCGTGTATTCATCAAATGGCTGAAAATATGTGTAAAAAATGTGATGCCACCCACTAGAATACCACTAGAATATGCATGGATGTATACACTTATTATGATAATATATATTCTAATGACGAAAAATGTTCTATTTCCAGACTGTCATATGCATCTGTCTTGAAATATACGTCTGGCAGCAGAACATTATTCCTCTAATATATGTATATATAGATATATGTATGTATAATTGTATATAATATTAGGAATACCATATTCAGATTTTGCGCAGTAACAATAATCAAGCCACTCTTCTTAAATTCAGTACTGAGACCAAACTACTAGACATTTAGAGTTTTTTTCCTTTCTTTTTGTCATATTTGACTTTGAGAGTTTAACTGCAACCTGTTAAACTTTCCAAAACCCTTGAAATAATATCAAAGGTTCCTGAAATGTCCAACGTAACCACAAAAGTTCTCTGCAGGTCCCTATCAAGATTTGCTACTGCTCTTTCTCGCCCTTTCAGCACAGCCACTACAGCAAATGAGACTCAGACTCAGAAGCTTGAGCGCATCGCTGACGAGCTCCTCAACCTCACAAAGATCGAAAGGCACGATTACTCCATCCTCTTCAGGCTGAAAATGGGCCTCAATCGGTATGGCCCGGCAATCTCTGGAATTGGCCCGACATCTTCTGAATCTGGGCCTGCCTCCACAGATGCCAAGGCTGTTGAGAAGACTGCATTTGATATAAAGATTGAGAAGTTCGATGCAGCGGCAAAGATCAAGATCATAAAGGAGGTTAGGACTTTCACTGACTTAGGACTGAAGGAGGCTAAAGAGTTGGTAGAGAAGGTCCCTGTTGTGGTGAAAAAGGGCCTGACTAAAGAGGAGGCAGGGCCCATTGTTGACAAGCTTAAGGAGTTGGGCGCTACTGTGGTATTGGAATGAGATGAGTTCTGTCCTTTTGTTTTGCTTTTTAGTTTATTTTATTTTATTATATTTTAGTTTTTCTCTCCCCATAGATTAGTGACAATGAGTTAAATGATAAATGGAGACAAAAAATTTTAGAGTTTGTTGAATTGGGACTCTTATGCTTAGGGTTAGGATGGTTCCTAATTATTCCCTCCACCTAATGGTTTACTTTTGTTATTGTCTTTCATATGATTCAACCTTTTTCTTATTGTTATATTATTGACCTAAAAATCGGCAGATTTGCTGAGAAATGCTATGTTTATGGCTACTTTTGAAGTTCTTGTCAAGATTGGGATTTTAGGACTTATGCTTGAAGCTTGTGATTAGTTTGTGTCTGGTACTTAGTTTGTTTAATGGGACTCCCACCATTACACAGGGACTAGGGATCACCATATAGGCTGATTATTTCACTGTGACAACCCTCTTGGACATATATTGTCACGCTTACAGAACATTGAGCTTTTTCTTTTTTTCTTCATGAGAAATCAATGGATTTGGTTTGGTTGATTGTCTCAGCCGCTCATAATTGCCAATTTTACCCTTTTTGGGTTTATTTATTCTATTTATATTTTATATTACGGTTTGAACTTCGAACCTCTTCTAACATTGTAGAAGAGAAACAGTACGAGACTAGTAGCTAGTTAGTGAGGCATTTAGGTATTCAAACATGGACAAGCCAATTTTTGCCTATCCATGGTGAATACAATAAATCCAGGAACTTCAAACATGCATGTGAAGGGGATCTTTCAACCCTTTTCAGCATCATGCCCTCATCTTTCACTCCTTCAAAGCAGCAAAGATGCTCATTTTGGGAGAGTGTTGGGGCTGAGGTGGGGTTAGCCTTGTATTGTCATAGCTAAAACTTAGTCAATTATAGTTTGATCAAATTTTAATATATTTTCATCAGCAATGGTCTCTGAACTGTTACGGACTATCAATTTGGTCCTCAAATTTCAAAATCGCTCCACATTGCATGTCATGCATCAATTTAGTCCCCGCCGTCAAATTTGTTTCCAACTTTTTGTTAAAAACGATTGCGAGCGGAGAACACGACCACATTTTGAGTGTAAAATGGCAAATTAAACATGTAAAAACAAAAATTACAAAACAGATGACATCCCAGCTTGATCAACCACAGAAGTAAATGGAAGCAAAAATCAAGAAGATAAATAAAATTTTATTTGACGAACACCGTACAAGTAATCCAGACAAGTACAACTGTACAAGAAACTTATTATTAATGCAAATCCCAAACTAATTAAGCTCATCTTAAGTTGAAGAGTCAAGTGAACCAAGCTGTTGAATTCTTTAATGAAATCATACGACAGAAAACTAAAAGTAGGCTGCATCTATTCATCTGGAACAACACTGACTTCATCTTTCTCCAGCAATTCATAAAGTGACCTGGTCTTCTTCTGCAAATCCCAGTGATACATTTTCCAAAAGCCCCCAGCAGCAAAAGCAATCACAATACCAAAACATATCTCCCTGATCACGCTTGGTCCTTTCAGGGTGGGATGAGCAACCCTACCTGCCATTTTTCACTTAAATCTGCAATTTCAAAAACAAAACAAATAAATTAATTATAAAGTATTATCATTTCCCTGATTTTCAATCGAATCTTTCATAATTAAGCTTTTGATCCCCAAATTACTTGTTAAGGTTGGTTGTACTGTCTATCTAAATCAAATGAAACTTGTGACAAGACAATTTGTTTTTAATTGAAGTTTTGTCCCCCCCAACATAATGCTAGTCATGATAAATTACTTCGTTTCAAGCATGAGCATGTAAGGAACGATGACAGAATATGAAAAGAAAAAAGAAGAAAAAAAAAAAAAAAAAAAAAAAGAAGAAAAGAACCATATACTCATGTCATCCAATTTTACAAAATAAAAGAAAGAAAAGAAAAAAAAAAATCACAATACATAATTATTCCCCATTTTTTCTCAATCACAAACTATCAATAAATGCCAATGGGTTCCCACCACCAGAGCCGGCCTATGGCATGTGCGGATTGTGCAATTGCACAGGGGATAGGCCCTCCAAAATTTAGGGTCCTCCAAATGTTTTTAAAAGCCCGGGATTATGTTATATATTTTTTGCTACTTTTCGTTCTAAGCAAATTTTTATTCCAAAACATTATTTTTTGTTCCTAATGTGCAATCAACCATTAACAAATTTAAAAAAAAACTCGTGAGTCATGTGTGCGTGTGACGTGCTCTCCTTGCTATTCCCAAATTGCTCATTTGGACCCAAATTCACATCTTCTCAACTTCTTCTTGACTCTCCCGTCCAAAAAAAAAAATTTCTTCTTTACTCTTTGGCAAGGCAAAAAGCGTGCTATGCGTCTCTGCTCCTCCACCACACCTCTCTCTCTCTCTCTCTCTCTCTCTCTCACTCTCTCTCTCATATTAGAATTTAGAAATTATGTGTTGCTTTTGGAATTAACCATCATATGATTGCAAGAAGAAACCTAAAAAATTAGGTGAATCTCTATCCCTAAAGGAAATTTTGAAAACTTGTTATTTTACTTATACATATAGGGCCTCATCAGCTCTCTTCGCACAGGGCCTCATCTAATGGACCGGCTCTGCCCACCATAGTGGTGGTGGATTCCCCTCCTCTGCATGGCACCTAGGATCGAACCTCAGTGGAGTTTCTTTCCTCCAATGTAACCCAAAAAAACTATCAATAAATGGTGAAATTAACTAATGAATTCGTAATTGTCTAAAAGAAAAGAAGTCTTGCTCCTTTTGTTTATTTGTTACTTAAAATTCTTTATATTTTAATTTTCTAGCAGTAATTCTTAATTTCCACTCTTCTAAGCAATGGAAACCAATCAACAAAGTTCATAGTAAGTTTTTAAACAAAAAGAACACCACCGACCATGTAGGCAGAGATTCCAAATCTCCAAACACCCAATGAATATTTGTGTAAAAACCCCTCTCCCAATCGCTTATACTTAAAAATAATAATATTAACAAAAAACTAATAATTTTGGTTGCTAAATAGGGATACATCATACCAGAAAACAAATATTAATGATAATATACACACTTAAATCACCTCAATCCACGAAGTGCATAAAATTTAATCAATTCCTCTATAGAGTGCTTGTGCTTAGTGTGATTTGATTTGAGGACACGAAATAGAAATTTGAACAAAAAAATGGACAGCAAAATTAATAAACCAGATTTGTATTTATAAAATTGGAATAAAAATCAGATTTGTATTTCCTCTATAAATCTACTTGTGCTTGTGCTTAGTGTGATTTGATTAGAGAGAGAGAGAGAGAGAGAGAGAGAGAGAGAGAGAGAGATACCTGAGGAAGATGGGAAGAACAAGCAGCTACACACGCTAATTTCACCTTTAACCCAAAATTAATTCCCTTTTTGGTTAAAAACTTCAACCCAATATTACAAGTAGATTTATAGGCTAGTTATCAGAAATCCCCAACTGACTGGCTAACTATTAGTTAGCTAAATACCTAGTCAACCCCTTCATTATAGGCTTGAGATATGAAATTTCTGTTTTAAACAGATGATGTTTTTGTAAATAACATTATCTTATATTTATATTTTCATCACTAAATTGGAATTATATCTTGAAATCTTGTACCCACCATCGCAGAATAAATTCTTTTGCACACTTTTTTTTGGGTATGGAGAACCTGTAATCATGAGCTTCTTTATTTTAATTTTAATCTTGGGTTAACTACAGTAAACCCCCCAACTTATAGGGTCATTTACGAGTCCATACCCGATTTTGGGGACATTTATGAGTACATACATGTTGGGGTCTTTTTCGTTGGAAGGCTCATCCAGACTTATTGATTCTTGGACCGCAATAGAGTGATAAATCAAGCCTTCAATGCCCTTTTTTCTGAGTTAGCAAGAACTAAGCCCAAAGTACCCCGAGAGAGAAGCAAGTCCCAAGGGAGTACTTTGTTCTTCTTCCAGCAACTGCTTGTTTTGTGTTGATGTTTCCGGCAGCTTGACGAAGAGTTGAAGATGACTTGCTGATGTTGATATGAGATTATATGAGCTTGGCATGAGAGCTTGGAGTGTGAGCTAAAGACCCACAAGTTTAGCAAATGAGAATGCATGTGCTCGGCTTGGTGTTTGATATATTTGAGTTCGGTGTTGATAATTTGTTGTGTGTGGCTATAGCTATGGGGATTTAAGAGTTTCAAGAGAAGGAGGATGTAAGGAAAAGCTTGAGGTTTGAAAGCTATGGTGTTTAAAGCTTAGAAGGAAAGAAAAGCTTGGAGTTATGCTTGGTGAGGCTTTATGGAGAAGATGATGGATTTCAAGAGTGAGAAAGTAGAAGACATGGTTGTGATGGCTGAGGAATGACTCTGAAGGCTACTGGAATACTAGCAACAACTAAGGAAAGGTGAGTTCTCATGGTTGCTGAGAAGCTTGCAACAACCAAGAGGGGTTGATGGCTGCTGGGATGCTTGCAGCAGCCGAGTAAGGAGTGTTGGCTGAAGAAAAATTGGTTCCCTTTGCTTGAGCCATGAATGCCAATTTATAGAGGGTGATGGTTTTCCTTTATTTCCGATAGATAAAGGGAGGTGTTGGAACCATCATATTTCCAGTGGTTAAAAAGGAGCACTGGGGCATACTATTTTCTAGCATGTAAAGCTAGGTACCATAAACTGATTATTTCCTATGGGTAAAAGGAAGCACTAGAAACTGCTTGTTTCCAATGGGTAATAGAAAGTGCTGGAAAAGGCTTGTTTCTAATGGCACAGCTAGGTATTTGGAAAATGACTATTTCCTATAGGTAAAAGGAAGTGCTTGAAAAATATCTCATTTGTTCACCCACATTGGAGAACTCTAAGTAATGGGCTTGGACTTTGGTGCTCTCAAGTAGCTAGCCCAAAGTCTCCATTATCCAAGAGCTTCCATGGGCCTTGTGGACCTCCGTAACCTTCCACACCATAATCCCTCATGCAAGCCCCGTAAACCACATGACTTGGGTTCATGTGAGCTTGATAGGTGATTGACATGAGAAAAATGTATTATTAGTTTGGCATGGCATGTACGCTATTTCTATATTTATTTAATGAATTAAATCTCAAAATATAGTTTGGATTAACACATGACCGACAATATATGTTATATTGGGCTTTAAATGTCTTTGAGCTTCCCGTGACTTTTTTGGGCCTCAATAATACATAACGTTGCGAAAACTTATAATTTGCCCCCCTCCATTAGCGAAACTGTTAACCAATCTGTTAAATGCTGACGTGTCAAAAATGAGACTTTTTTTTTATGATGTGGACTTCCACGTGGATCAAAAATTAATAAAAAATATTTTACTGTTTAAATCATATTAAAATCTTTAAAAAATTTATTAAAAAATTAAAAAAAAATCCCATATCTCCTCCAATCAACCCTCTCTCCTTCCCGACTCAACCCGACCTCTCAACCACCACTCTCCCGTCGCCACCCAAAGAACCACCCAGCCATCTCCATGCCCAAACAGAGCCTAACGTCTGTCTCTCTGTGTGTAAATTTTCACCCATTTTCTCCAAACCCAACAAACACTAAGCACACCCAAAACTCTCATATACTCACACAAACTTCACAGATTACATAAGGATTAAAACTTTAAGCACAACAGTAAATACCCATCAGGGAATTGGGTGTGAAATTGGGTTCAGAATTGAGTGGCTTGATTTTGATATGGATTTTCGGTCACAATTGGGGCAGCAATGGCTGGTTTTTTCTCTTTAGGCAGAGGGGGCAACAACAACAACAACCACCAAGATCAAGACCAGCATAACAGCAATAACCCACCCCCACCTGATCATCAAATTGCTCCGGAGACATTGTTCTGGTACAAGAATGAGGACGTGACAGCTCAGCCGTACAAAGGGTTCGAGCTATGGCAGCAGCAAGAGCAGCTCCTCCAGCTCCTCTGCTCCCGATTTCTTCTCTCTCTCTCTCTCTCTCTCCCTCCCTCCCTCCCTCCCTCTGAACCCAGACCCAGACATCGCGCTCGAGGAGCTTGCCGAAGCTCCGGCATCTCAGGATTCCGATTCGATCGTCAACGAGATCGAACGGTGCAAGAAGGACCGGTCGTCGAGGAGGAGCTCCAACTACTGGAAGGATTATCGGATCAACGGCGTAGATTTCGTCCTGAAGAGGTCGCACTCGTTCGGATTCGAGCGGAGCTCGGCGTCGGTGGAGAGGATGATGGTGACGGAGCCAGCGACGGCGTCACCGTGGCGGTACCGCAGTGAAAGCTTCTGGAGCAAGCGGCCGTCGCCCTTTGGGTCGTTGACGAAAGCTACGAGGAAGAGAGAGAGATAGTGTTCTGGGTCTGAGTTCTCACAGAGAGAGAGAGAGAGAGAGAGAGAGAGAGAGAGAGAGAGAGATTTTTAAATAATTTAAACAGTAATTTAATTTGCTTTTTTAAATTTAATTTTTTTTTATTTTAAAAATAATTTTTTTATTTATTTATTTGTCCACCTGTAAGTCCACCTCATTAAAAAATGGAACCCACATTTGCCACGTAAGCAGATAACGGATTTCCTGACGGACTCGCTAACGGAGAGGGCCAAATTGTAAGTTTTCGCGATGTTGTGTATGTACTCATACATGTCCCCAAAATCGGGTATGGACTCGTAAATGACCCTATAGGTTGGGGGGTTTCCTGTAGTTAACCCTTTAATCTTTTAAGAAAACATTTGCCACGTGTATCTGAAAGATGGTGAATTAGGAGAATATGTTGTTGCTTCTCCTGTTCATCACATTCCTTGCAAAAACAGAGACATAATTGTATTTCACAATAAATCCCCATGGCATGTCACGTGTTGTTACAAATCCACAATGAGTACGAGTCTAGGATTGACCATTTAGAATACAGAATTTAGATGTACAAATATTACTTGGATAAACTCGGTGCACATGTACGTCCGCTAAAAGTCACGTATAAAAGGAGAGACACTGAATGCCAGTCTCAATCTTAGCGCTAGAATTGCAGCACATGATTGTCATCCTTCAGAACAACTGTGCAATGTAATGAAACAAAACACAAATTTTGACCTTTCATCGAAAAATGATGGATTGGTCTGCCTCAGATAATGTACAAAGTTGAGCTGCCTGCTGTTTGGCTGACCCTCTTCTTCCCGTTCGGGTTCGGTTGACCCAGAAGTATTGTAAGAAGGAATGGAACTACAGGAGAGTCATCTGCGGTTCACACTTGGACAAAGACGACTTAATGTCGAAGCGGAACACAAGCCACCTTCCAGGCTCAAGGTTAGCACTAAAATAGGCAAGCTGAATAAGGTAAACTTGTGGAACTCGATTTACAGTGTGCTTATCATCTTTACATTAAAATGGTAAACTTGTGGAATAAAATGCAACACAACTGGGTTTGCAGGGAAGAGCTAGGTGTATTAGAGATCAAGTAATCATATGAAAAAAAAAGTTTCTAACCTTAGGCATCCTTCAGGTCGATATTAGCAGGGGAACACAGCCTCATGCAGATTTCTTTAGCCAGTTCATTCCTGCAATTAGTCCACATTTAATTTGGTCTGGCCAAAGTAACATTGCAAATAAAGCAAATAGAACCATTGAGACAGTAATGCCTTCTAAAACAATCACATTATGACAAACAAAACATCTAATTGTGGAAAGATTTTGCAGAAATTGGTCAAATCATATCAAGAAAGCTGCAGAGTCTGAGAGAAGAATCTAACTATATCATCTTTAAAATTTCAGGCAATGTTGTTACTACACCTAACCAAAATGAAGCCATTTTTCCATAAAATAAGAAAAGGTAACGAACTAGAATACATTACATCATCTTCTTGAAAAGCAGCAAGAAGTCACCAGCATGCCTTTCTTGACAACATGCTATTTTCCAACAGCAAATCTAGTTAAGTGAACTCAGGAGTTTAGCTTTAACCAGAGCCAGTTACTCAAATTTTCAAAATCGGTCAAAATTCAATTATATGGCACCATTCCCTTGACTTCAAAGCTATAGGTCACGAAGTTCAATTTCTTTCATGCTCTTAACAATGTCTTCAACTCTTACAGAGATATATTCAGCATGTTCCTCAAGGTCCTTGAGAATCATGCATAACTGCTGTTGGAATGCTGCAGATCGCTCTCTTTCACGCTGGAGCTCATCATATAGATCCTGGATTTTTTTATCCTTCTCTACCTGCAAATATGTTGTACAATTCAAAATTAGAGGCTAGTACTAACAGGGTTAAAGCAAATTAGAGAACTATCTTAGAATCACACTAATTGAGCAAAATATATTATATTATGACGAAGCTCATTGGAACCACAACTTAATGAGCTTACATAAAAATGGTGTGCAATTATTAGTGTTACTTGTATATTCTTTCTTATCGTAATGTTCATCCAGTATATAAACTATACTCTACCTAAATTCCCAGACCTGCAATCACCCTAAGCTATATCTTCAAATCAATTTACCTTGTCGACCAACCCAAACATGACCTAATAAAAATAATGAAAACCATATCTTAAACGACCGAACAAAGAGCAATACAAGACCACAAGGGCAGTTTCGAAACGATTCCCTGAATAATTGACTTAGATGAGTAGCTTCTATTTGCACCCACAAACTAGCTCAACACACCAAGCTTCTACAAATGACTGATAATGAAAAAAATAAATTAATTTCATTGATTGACAAGCTTCCTTTTCCCAATCATGTTCAAGGTATGGCATCAAAATGGATGGATAGAAGGAACTTGCCACTTGCAAGTACCATTATAAGTGCTTCGAACTCAACTGTCCACCTAAATCTTCTCTTTGGTAATTAGACTTGTTTTCATATTAAACATATTAACCCTAATAGTCAAACCTATATTCACACATACATGACCAAGCACTGCACTGAATAAGGTGTAACTGTTTACTTAGCAACTTGCACCTGCAGTCATATCATCACTGAGCTCTGTATTTTTAAATGAAATTATTCTTTGTGTATATTGGGATTCAGTCAATCGGACCATATGTTACTTGGAGTTGCAGTCCTTTATCCTAAGCAAAATATCAGCCTTTTTCTTTTCTTCTATTTTTATGCAGACTTTAAAGTAGAATCTGTGAATACCCAATGGACATCTAGTGAATTGGCTACAGTGCAAGTTTAGAGTACAAAACAAGGCACATCATATCACTGTCAACCACATGTTAAATGTTATGTACAGGTTACAATGCCTTACAATATAAATGGTAAGAGACATAAAAGCCAACCATTGAAAGCTAAAGTTAGAGAATGCATCAATAACTTCCAGAGAACTGATGAGCTTTGCGCTCGAGAAAAGTAAATCAATTAAACTAGCAAGATCATCCATACTAAGTGAAGATAGCAAGTTAGCAACTGAAGAACAAGGTAGATATGATAAGTGTGTTGAAGCAGTAATAGTTGTATAGTGCAGTTTTTGTCACATGAATTATTTTAAAGATGAATTCAACCTAGCATACTCCTGCCTGAAAAACAGGACAGCTTCAAACGAATCCTTTCGTAAACAATTCCAGAATTGAAAATTAATATACTGAGTTACATTGAAATTCATACCAAAACAAAAGTTACATCAAACGAATCCCTAAAACTATTTGTTCAGTTATATCTCAGACATACCTCACTGAGTATATTGATGATTGGCAGCTCCCCAGGAAATTTACAATGAGCCATTAGTTTGTGGTTGTGCTCTCTTATGAACTTGGTAACTATCCATCTTCCTTCATCCCTTGCTGCCAACCTTATCATGGCTTTGCACCCTTCTCTTGTGATTGGGCGTGGAGGAAGAACCCTGTCTTTTCGAAGTGTATGCTTTGCGGCACGAAAACCTTCTCTTGAACAAACAAAGTCCCGGCCTATTATAGCCATGTTCTTTAACGAGTGTCGGATTCGATTTGTTCGAATGGTGAAACCTGTACGCTTTGCATATTCATAATAGAAATCTCTTGCATCATCCAATGACTGAAAAGTCATCCCAGTGGATGGTTCCATTGAAATCAGATCATCATTTACAAAATTGCAATGCTGCAGTGGCATGTCATCTTCCACAGAGTAATTATGTTCATGAAAGCGTTCAAAAGTTTCATCATCAGAATCCCCATCACTGTCTAGAAATTGACGTCCACCATCACCACCCTCCATTGTATCCTACTTCGTACATATTTTGGTAAGGCAATAAGAACAAAAGCGGATAACAGAAAACCCCATGTTTACAACTTTGCAATGCTCAAAACTATAAATTGACTTCACAAAAACAAAAAACAATTACCTAAACTAGATGTTTCCCGCAAAAAAATAAAACAGCACTTACCGTGGAAGGCTGAAGCTGGATTTGATCAAAGCCTTTGATGGCGTTTCTTGCTTTCTTCTCTGTTTTGCTTGAGTGCCAGGTATTGATCAGAAGAAAAAGCACGAATCTCAAGGCAGGATGCTGGGGGTTACTAAGGGTAAATTCGTCGGCGTGGTTCCAAGTCCAACTACAGCAAAGATGGTGATTGGTGATGACTGAGGAGGATTTGGGTTTTCGCAATGCTTCACGGCCTAAAATTCACCAAAAATTCATCGGAACTCCCAAAAATTCAACTAAAAGATGCTACAGACACTTCGAAACATTCGCTTTTCATTCTATGAATTCAATTTGAACCCAATAAAAATTTCATTCCTTTTTTATTTATTTATTTATTTATAATAAGGAGAGAGAATTTTATTAGATCAGTATGAACAACAGTACAATGGACACAAAATGTAAAGGTAATATGATAGATATGGGTAATAGTTACACAAGTCAAAAAGCTGAAATGATATGGAGAGAATCATTCTATAAAATAATTTTTGTATAACCCCTCCCAACCGCTAATATTTACACGAATCTAGTTCAATGACATTAAGGACAAAAACTAGCCGCTAGCCGGTATGGCTCTCCTAGAGAGGCTAAGAACGCCTAAGAAACTCAACTAAGTTTCTGAAATCATAAGAGAAAAAAAATACAGAAAACTCGTTATGTTTTTGGACCTTATTGAACAAACTAAACCAAAATAAAAAACTAAAACAATGCCCGCAAAAGGAAAACCAACTGTTGCTAATCTTCCTTCAGGACATGACATAGAGAGTGGCACATAGTTACTCCACGGCCTCAGTGCACCAATGAACAATGGATCTACCATGACCAAGCCTCAACACCTCAAAGAGTATCCTCGCAACATGAGGCACAACCAAAGTCAGCCTAGATCAGAGACAACAGATCTGTCAAAAGAAGAGTAGATCGACATAAGTCCACCAAAAGCCAAAGAACAGTGAAGATACAAAAAGATTCAGGGGAAAACCCCAACATCTAAAGCTCTCTCTCTCTTAGCGGCTAAAAATTTCATTTCTAAGTTTCACATTAATAGGTGTCACTTCAAAGTTTCATTATAACCGAACTAAGTGAAAATGGAAATTATGATTTGAGACTTGGGACTTGACACCTTAATAAATCGAACACACTTGTTACCCTAAACACCACCATGACTATCAAACTCGCACACATAACACCAAAAGAATAACTAATACAAAACAAAAAATTGAACACTGAAAGTAGTATACCACACAACTTTTAAACAGTTTCCTTTTGTTTTTTTAACTAAAAACAAAAACCAACAAATTTTTTGTCCATTATCAAACAAAAAGTGAAATGATTATCAAATGAGTCGTAAGCTAATATAATGTTGTCATGATGAACCTTAAACGGCTTACAGGTTAAAACCTAAGAATAAATGCATAAACTAAAATCTAATGCACCTTGTGTTAAAAATATGTCCTAAAGTCAATCATGTGATGTTGATTTCTAGATATTTAACCATCATTAATGGGCAACATCATTATTTTCAAGCATGTAATATGGTCTATTATCATAATGATAGGAGCATATTTATGTGACTTTGCTATCTTATTTCTTTGCATTTACTTAGTTAATTCCCATTTATTAGAGTGATTTAGCTTATTTTCGTACTATTGTAGGTCCAGATGGCAAGATTGGCAAGAAAGGGCATTTTGGAGCATTTTAGAGCAGTTTTGGACTTGGAATGGATAGCATATGCATGGGGCAAGATGGATGGACGTTTTTGAAGTTCAAAGAGGCTAGGAATGTGCTAAAAAGATGGGGAAATTAATTCAAGAATCAGCTTCTGAGAAGAAACAACCCTAACTGATTTTATTTTATTTTACCTTATCCTAATCCTATTCTACCTAAATTCCAGCAGGAAAGGGGGGGATTAATTTCAAATTAGGAAACCTAAAAACCTGGTTCTAGAAGAAAGCATTGGGCTGCACCTCTTTCCTAAAAGGTGGCGCCTGGGCCCTATCCTTGTTCCTAAAGAAATCTGCCAAACAAAACCCTAATTTCTAGGGTTTCTGCTGGGCCCTTTTACCCTAAATCTACCACATATATAAAGGAGGGGTTGCCGCAGGAGAAAGGAGTTCCGTAGCAAGAAGGAGAAAGAGAGAAGAAGAACTTGGAGCCGGAACCTGCTGCATCCATTGGGTTTTTCAGAGTTCTTCCCTTGATTAGTTTAAATGTTTATTCTAGATTGCTTTTCAATTATTATGAACATGTGTGACTGAATTTCTTCTTAGTTAGAGGTGAATTCGAAGCCATGGACATATGTTTTATATGAATTGATTACTTCCAGTTATGGTTTCATAAAGTATGAATGTGATTTACTTTTCTGTTTTATTGAGGACTTATTCTTGCATGTTTATTAAGGATGCATACTTAGTTTGTATGTAGGGATTTGATGCTAGAATATAAGGGAATTTCACCTAATCGTTATGAACTTATATTCACAAGTAGTAAAAGTCACTAGTCATGATTGTGTTAAGTAAATTCTTGGCAGGAGTATCATGCTTTTCATAGTTACAATTGCCTTGTGCTTATGATTTTCATAGAACTTAATGATCTTTGATATGTATCTCTATCATGTTGTTCATATAGAGAACTCGATAAGAATAATTTGATTACGTCGCTGAGTCCAATTCAATGATCTTAGGAAAATCTGAGAGTTAATTAGTGCATTCATAGTTAATTTGGGGCATTGTCATTCATACTTTATAGAAAGAGTAACTGGAGATCGATTTGTGTGCATATGTTCCATGTGTGGAGAGGAATCCTCTAGCTATCCCTTCATTCATATTTCATTCACAACTTAGTTGTTTGCTGTTTGTCAGTATTACTTTAGTCTAAATTGTCCAAATTCCCCCCAATCATTGTTCCCTTAACTTAGTTTTCAGTTTAATAAGTTTAATTTGTGTTGATTAGCATCCCTCCTAATCTCCAAAATAGAACAATCCCTACTTACGCGTACTACGATTGCATAATTTATAGGGTTTAATTTGTGCGTTAGTTATTTCTCATGCCACATAATAGTAAAACAACAAGTCCTTGGAATATCAAATAGTATGAGAGCTATGCAATGAGATTGGATATAATGAGACACTACATCAATTGGGCATTGACCATCCGCAAAGACTGGTGCACACTACATCTGCTCAATTGAGAGAATGACTAGTCTCAAGTCGTTGCGTTGTAGAGATACTAAGATAAGTGTGTAGATGCTTATAGGGACAAGTACATTGAACGCGATCAAACAACCATGAGTTCTAATATGGAAGTCTTACTCACATATCAAACTAGAACTCATAAGTTGAAATAGTGCAAACTAGTCCTCAGAATTGAGACATCATAGTTGTCTTTGTTAGATATTATATGCCCTAGAAGCCAATATAAAAATGAAAAATTCTAAGGATATAATATAATAAATACAATCAAAAGGGCGTGAATGTTTCTTTAAGAAACATAATGTATACAAAGTAACAAGTCCATGGATAATGATATAAATGGAAACTAGTATAAAGAAGTTAGACTCACGAGACCTTTCCAACACAAGAATATCGTATTCTAAAAGGTTCCTCGTCATAGGATCACCAATTGGACAATGATGACCCACAAAGCTGGTACACATCATGTCTGCTCAATTGGGAGGGTGACTAGTCTCAAGTCATTCATGTAAAGACAATGAGACAGGTGTGTAGGTGATCTATAGGGATGGAGTTCACTGGACGCGATCAAATCAAGAATTCTTGTATGGTCTTACTCACAAGTGTCAAACAAATAATTCTAAGTTGCGAAATGCAAGTTGGTCCTCAGACGTGAGACATCACGATTGTCTTGTGTAAGAGTTGTTTGTCTTTAAGAGCACAATACAATCGTATAAAAAAAATGTGACTTGAAGGTGTTCCTCAGGATACTCAGCATATGCATCTGCATGTGAATATACAACAAGGAATCTCTACTCTTAGTAAGAAGAGAGAATACTTTTCAGATATGATTCGTCGAATCTTTGGCCAAAGTATAGGATGAGAATTGAAACAAGAATGTTTGCAATACATCCAAGTGAATCATATAACCTAGAAATGTCGTGTGAGGGATTTGACACGAGTTAACCATATCCCAACAATACGACATAGAGTATTATGTTATAGAATGACTGAATTGCATTGCAATCACAAATTGACTAGGTTCTCTAAATGAATTCTATTTAGCTTGGGTAGCCATGACATACTGCTAAGTGTCACTTATGGTTTGTGGAAGCCCTTTGTATAGAGGGATACAATTCACATTTGATTTAGAAGAAATCATTCTTACCCACGGCCTCGCTAATTAGGACCTATAAGATCACACACCGAAAAGGTATGGATCGATAATTTAAAAGAGAATAAATGATTTTTGAGGCTTGGTCAAAGTCAAAAGTCAAAATGAAAGGTCAAACCGTTGCCCTGACACTTGACATAGTCAACTAAGGTTGATCGGGACCAACACTTGTTAGACAAGTAAGTGACTTAATTTGTTAAGTCATTGAACTAATTAAATTAATTAGATTAGTTTAATTATCTAATTAAAGTTACGGAACTTTAGTTTTGGTCCTACATGACTTAAATATTTATAGAAATGGACCATGTAGACTTAGGTAAAGTGTGACACATTACGAGATTAATGTGGTAGACCAAAGTAGCCCAAAAAGAGGCCAAGGTATAGGGGTGCGACACAGGTGGGTTTATGCCCATGTGTGTCATATAGTGTGACAAAATAAGGCTCTATAAATAGAATGTCATAGCTCTACACCTCCTTAGGGTTTCTAGTTAGACATTTAGGAATAGAGGAAAATATCAAGCCTCCCTCCCTAGTCTCCCTTTGGCCAGCCAACTTGGAGAGAAGAGGCTAGCACCCATCGTCTCTTCAAGCTTCCTTATTCTCCTATTCTCCTCCATCCTTGGTGAAGACTCTTTAGGGAGGTGCACCATTTGTGTATCTATTTGGAGACAAGTGTGGAGAGCCAACATCAAAGGGCCCAATCCTTGTACTTAAATACCATCCTTTGTTTCAAGATTCGCTCCAAGGGTATGTGTTCTTAATCCTTCTTGCAATAGTTGTCTTAGAGAGTAATTAGTGCTATTTTCATTAAGCCTAGAAAAATTGGGACCTAAAATGAGACTTGTATGAATCTCTAACTTTTATTCTTGCTTCTGATCCATTTGATTTCATATTAGATATGTATGTGCTAGATGATTTATTTTCTCATAGTTTCTAGGGATTTATAAATCCTACCCCAAATTATCCTTTCAGTCTTATGTACGAGTCGTTTGTCTTTAATATCAATATACGATCATTGAAAGAAAAAATAACTCAAATGTGATTTTCAGGATTCTAGACAAGCTCATGGAGATAAGTGAATGTACAACAATGGATCTTTGCTCTCAATAAGGAGAGAGAGTGCTCCAAAGATATGATTGGGAAATCTTTTCAAAGTATCGGATATGATTAGAAAAGAAGTTTCTAAACATAACTAATGTAATCATATAAGTGGAAAATTCATATAAGGGTTTTGACAAAAGTATCCATACCCTAATAATATGAATTAGGAGCACTGTAATAGAGAATGACTCAATTGCATTGTAGTTCAAACATGAATAGCTTCTTCACATTTTCTGATTAGCTTAAGTAGCCATGACATACTTCTAGATGTCAACTATGACTTGTGGAAGTCCTGTAAGGTTCAATTATAATTGGCATTTGCTAATAGGAAGAATTAAATGGTGGGATTTAATTCAAAATCAACTGAGAGAAGTTGAGACTACCCATTGCCCCGCTAAATGGAAATTAAGGATCACTCACAGAAAAATGTAGTTAGAGGAACAAATGAAGAAGATAAGATGTTCTACAACTGTAAAAGAGCCCAGAAGTACCCGAATAGTCAGCCTTTTTTGTACGCGCCTCACGCGCGAAGGATATTTCTTTGCTTTTTAGATCTCGCTCGTTTCCTATCAATTCTTGTTGGAAACTGCCAATTTCGGTGGTTTCCAGGTAGTTTCTCTGTTGTTTCTGGCTGAGTTCCCTCTAATTTCCTATTGGTTATGGCGGAAGGTTCACCTGGAGTTTTCTTGAATCCTCATCGCTTGGCTAAGCGAAGTCGAGCATCAGAGAATGGTGAACTTGAGTGTGATATGGATGTTAATTCTGATTCACGTATGATGCAAGACCAGACACCTATTGTTGACTTTGAGCAAGTATCTCATTTTCACCTTGGTTTTGATAGTTTTCGTGATAAGCTTATGAACAAGGTGAATTTGACTAAGAATGTGGGTATAGATGTTAATTATCTGGATGATGATTATGAGGATCTCAATGATAACGAGGATGTGGTTATTTCTCGGGGTGATCGAGGCCCTAGTATTCAATTCTCTGATAGGGCAATGGATAGGTTATGCCGACCTTGGAAGAATGCTCTAATTATTAAGCTCTTGGGCAGGTCTCATACTTATAATTATTTACGTGATCGATTACACCAAAAAATGGAGTTTGAAAGGGGAGTGGAAATTGATAGATTTGGTGAATGATTATTTTGTGGTTAAATTTGAGCTTGAGGAGGATTTAAATTTTGTTCTCACTGGTGGTCCTTGGATAATAGCTAGTCAATATTTAGTAATGCAAAAGTGGAGGCTTGGCTTTTGTCTAGCTACTGCACATATCACTCGAATGGCTGTTTGGCTTCGTGTCTCTGCTATTCAACTTGAGTGTTTTGATGTTTGGTCGTTGAAACGAGTTGGGAATTTATTGGGAAATTGTTAAAGATTGATTCTCTTACCACTGCTCAAAATAAGGGCAAGTTTGCTCGGTTGTGTGGGGAATTAGATCTCACTAAGCCTTTAGATGCTTTCGTCCAAATCAACCAGAATTGGTATAACTTAGATTATGAGGGGCTACCAGATATATGCTATCTATGTGGGAGGTATGACCATAAACAAGAGAAGTGTGAATTGAATGTTAAAGATGCTGAAACCATTAATGGTGAGACTACTAGTGCCATGGGTGCTAATGTTGAGGGAAGTAGTTTGGTGGGAATTAATAGGGCTCACTATGACTCTGACCAGAGCTTGAGAGGGCCATGGATGAATGTTCCCCCTAGGCGTAGGCCTCAATCTAATTTTAAGGGAGTGGGAGGCAAGGATTCTGGGGTAAAAAATAAGGGCTCAAGGTTTGATGCTCTTAGGCAAGTTGGTGAGAATTTTGGAAAGGATAAGGGGAATTCTGGTGAGTTTTTTTATCAGACTGGTACCAGACTAGTGCAATCTTTCTTGGCGGATTTGAATATGGGAAATAAGGTTTGGACAAAGTCTAAGGGTAAAAAGTCTGTTGCTAGGCAGGCTTTGGAGGATATTTCAAACAAGAGCTTGCCTGTGAAGAATCGTGTGAAGGAAAATTATCAGAATACTGGTGTGGCAACTAGAAATACATTTGGAAGTCGCCAGGCTGCTAGTGTGGCAAGTAGAAGTACCATTGATATATCTGATTCTATAGGAAGGGTGGGATCTCAAGGCAAGAAAAGTGTTGCTGCTGGTTCTCTACATGAGCAATTTGCGAGCTGGGGTAGTGGACAACCAGTTCAAAAGGAAAAAGGGTTGTATATCTTTGGGCATCAGCCACCCAATATAGGGGAGATGGCTACTAGTAGGGATGACAATTCTGGTTCTGACAGTGATGATGAAGTGCTAATCCCTTCTGATAGTGAGGGTTTGGATCCCACAGAGAAAATGGACTTTTCGGAAGGACACGTTAGTTCACATGATGGACACTTGGCAAGTAATACTTTCACTCATGGTGAAGGTATGACTTTTAAGTCTTAATAGAAGGGTTTTAGCCCCTACGGTTACTCTGCTCTTTAATGGGTTTTTATTTTATTTTATGGATATTTGTTGTTGGAATGTTAGAGGAGCAGCGAGCTCTAAATTTAAGTCTAATGTGCTTGATTTGATTCACACTCATCGATTGGATATGCTTTTTCTTTGTGAGCCTCGTTTAAGTGGAGCAAAGGCTATTTCTGTAGTTAACGCTGTGGGGTTCTCTGGTGGCTTGTGGCTGTTATGGGATGATTCTAGAGTTCATGTAGAAGTTGTTGGCACCTCTGATCAAACGATTTCTGCTTGTTTGGCTTGCAATGGTCAAGACCCTTGGCTTTTTACTGGTGTTTATGCTAGTCCTAATGCTGCCAAGTGAGCAAAAATGTGGGACTATCTCTCATTTGTTGCTGCAAGTCATAATATGCCTTGGTTGATTGCCGGGGATTTTAATGAGTTACTTACTACTGATGAGAAGTTTGGTGGAGTTTTAGAGTGCAAATCTGAAGGTTTTAGAAATTGGGTTGATGGTAATGAGATGATTGATTTGGGTTATTCTGGACCTAAATTTACATGGAATAATAAGAGAGTATATGCAAGGTTAGATCGAGCTATTTGTAATATGCAATGGAGAAGGTTATTTCCTGAGGCTAATGTTCAGCATTTGCCTAGGACTACTTCTGATCACAATCCAATTAAGATTAAGTTGAGCTCTCGTTTTGTTGTTTCTCTGCACTTAAGGCCTTTTAGGTTTGAAGCAATGTGGATGCAACATGAACAATTCAATGAGTTTATTTCTAATGTTTGGGGACAAGCTGTTGGATCAGCCTTGGATAAAACTTATTATTTGGTTCAGCCTCTAAAAGGTTGGAATGTTAATGTTTTTGGACATCTTAAGAAGCGGAAGGCCTGTTTGTTGGCTCGTCTTAATGGTATTCAAAAAGATTTGTGCAGGGGCTCAAATACTTTTTTGAGTAAATTGGAAATTTCTTTGATTGAGGAGTATAATTGTGTGCTGGAGCAAGAGGCTATGTTATGGAAACAAAAATCCAGATTACAGTGGCTTCAGGAAGGTGATCGAAACACCAAATTCTTTCATCTTACTACTATTATTAGGCGGCGGAGGAATAAAATAGAGAGATTAAAGAATAATGAGGGGGTTTGGGTTGAGGAAGCTCAAGACATTAAAGGCTTGGCTATGGCGTATTTTGAGCAGTTGTTTTCTTAAGAGATTGTGGAGCACAGAGACCTGACTTTACCTATGTTGTTCCCTGTTATTGATTCAATTGATTTGGAGTTGCTTGAGAAGGATGTTGATATGGCTGAGATTAAGCGAAGTTTGTTTGGGATTGGAGGTTTGAAAACTCTTGGTGTAGATGGGTTTCCAGCTTGTTTCTATCAAGCTCAATGGAATAATTGTGCTGATGATATTTTTGCATTGGTGACTCTTTTCAGAAGTGCAGACACTTTAATAACTTTGGTGCCTAAAGTGCAAAGCCCCCAGTCTATGGTTCAGTTTAGGCCTATAAGCTTATGCTCTACTCTGTACAAGGTCAGTTCTAAAATCCCTATCATATTATCTGTGATATTGTGAGTAAGAAGAAGTGGCAGCTTATGAAATTTTCTTAGTCTGGCCCTGCGATCTCCCACCTTTTTTTTTATGATGATCTAGTGTTGTTTGCGGAGGCTAGCGCTAACCAAGCTAAAATTATGAAGAGTTGTCTGGATTTGTTTTGCTCTGCTTCTGGACAAATAGTCCATTTTGAAAAGTTTGCTATCTTTTGCTCTCCTAACACTTGTAATGAGGTTGCTAAGGAGATAAGTTTGATTTGTGTCTCTCCTTTCACTAATGACCTTGGTAAGTATCTAGGAATGCCTCTTTTGCATTCTAGAATCGGAAAGCGCACTTATAGTTCATTAGTTGATAAGGTGCGTAATCGACTGGCAGCTTGGAAGAGTAAGCTCCTATCATTAGCTAGAAGAGCTACTTTAATTCAAGCGGTTACAGATTCTATCCCTGTTTATGCTATGCAAACTACTAAACTTCCTGTTAGTGTCTGTAATGATTTAGATCGGCTCAACCGTAATTTTTTCTGGGGCAGCAATGAGAAGAATATAAGATCCATCTTTGTCAATGGGATTTGGCTTGTAGGCCTAAAGGTAAAGGAGGTTTGGTGTTTAAAAAGACTGCTAGTATGAATCAGGCTCTGCTTGCAAAGATTGGGTGGAGATTGCATTCTAAGGACAATGGTTTATGGGCAAAAATTTATGAGGCTAAGTATCTTAAAGGGGCTTCTATTTGTGATAATTCTCTTGGGAGCAAGGCAGGTTTGTTCCACTTCTTGGAGGAATATTATGCATGGTATTCAATTGCTTATGCAAGGGATGTGTTGGAGAATAGGTCGGGGAGATAGTGTAAAATTCTGGGAGGATAATTGGGTTATTGATGTCCCTTTAAGGCAACAGGCTGGAGTTCTCACCATCCATGATAGCAATTGTTTTGTTTCAAGTTTTTCTAAGAATGGCTGGTGGGATATTGATAAGTTGAGAGGTGTTCTTTGTGAAGACCTCATTCAACAAGTCATTAGTGTTCCTATGGGGTTTTTGGGCTCTTTACCTGATACTCAGATTTGGAAGGGTAGTGCTAATGGCAACTTTTATGTTAAATTTTCTTATAGCTTATTCTTTGAAGGTTGTTCTACTCCTAACTCCTGTTGGAAATCCTTGTGGAGTTTAAATGTTCCTCCTAAGCTTCAATATTTTATGTGGCTGGCTTCTCAAGGCAAAATTTTATCTAATGATCAGCGTGTTTGAAGGCAGTTGACGTCTGACCCTTCATGCGGCTTTTGTTCTTGGCCTACTAAAACTGTTCTTCACATTCTTCGTGATTGTGAGCGAGCTCGATCTACGTGGAATGCTATTCTCCCTGCCTATGCTCATCATTTTTTCCATTTAGATGCTCAGCCTTGGATGAAGGTCAACGTGCTCTCTAGGGAGAAATGGAATGGTGATGTTCCTTGGAGTACTGTTTTTGTGTTTACTTGTTGGCATCTATGGTCTTGGAGAAATAAGCATGTTTTTCAGAATGAGGATACAGTCCTCTTTAGTCCAAGACAAGTTATTTGTGGGGTTACCCAAGAGTGGATTAATTCAACTTCTAATCGTACTGTAAAGGTAAATAAAGTTCAAATTCATGTTGCCTGGGAGCCTCCTGGGCCTGGACAGTTCAAACTAAATGTGGATGGTTCAAGGAGAAGCGTTACTGGCTACATTAGTGCTGGGGGAGTCATTCGTGACCCTTTTGGTGGCTGGGTAAGTGGTTTTGCTATTAATCTGGGAAAAGGTCAAGTTCTTGAGGCTGAGATATGGGGTCTTTCTTTGGTTTGAAGTTAGCAATTGAGAAAGGCATCAATAGTCTCATTATTGAGATGGACTCAGCTATTGCAGTCAATCTCTATTAGAATTCTTCCATGCTTACTCTGTATCCTTTAGCTGCTTTGGTTAGGAACTGTTGTGACCTTATGCAGCAGGTTCCCAGGTGTGCCCTTCAACATGTTTTTCTTGAGAAGAATATTGTTGCTGACCGGTTGGCTAATTGGAGTTATCAAGTGGATCTTGGGCTGTGCGTGTTTGAGCAGGCTCCTAGTTGGTTAAGTGATTATCTTGTTGATGATCTGCTTGGAATTGTTCATTCTAGATTGGTCTGTTTAGACCAGGTTGTGTAGTCTGTTTCTTGGGGCTTTGCCCCCTACTTAATTAGAAAATAAGATAAGATGTTAAAAGTCAAATGGTCAAAGTCAAAGTCAATGCTATGGTAGGGGGGCAAAGCCCCAAAAATGGTTAACCAAGTCAAACCATTCATACTATGGTTATTACTTAATGGTTAAGTCACAAATCATAATTAAAATGTTAATTATGAAGTTAGTTTGACGGTTTACTTTTCAAATATATATACATGTGGATCTATGAGATGGGAAGTATGACTTCTCATATCAAATATTTAAATTATTTGTACTAATGAATGATATATGCTTAGTTTTGGCCTATTCAAGAATTTGTTTATAGTTCAACTACTTACTTTTGAAAAAGCCTTGTTTTTTGTTATTTTTTTGAAGAAAAAACGCCATTTGTAGATTTTTTTTTCTAGTCAGCAACTTTCATAAATGAAATTGGAGCTCAACACCTCTGCTGCTGAGGTGACTAGGTGCCACTAGTGATCATTGGGAATAAAATAAAATTTTAGTGCTTCCAATTTTATTGAATAAAATAAGGATAAAAAGACAAAACATCTCAATAATTAGGCGAAAGACAAAACGAGTTAAGCAACCTTTCTAGTTACAATTTGATAGACAATGCATGCATGATGAAAAAATTTCAACATTGTTAAGGAGAAAGAATAGAATAAGTTAAGCCTTAATTACTATTTTCCTCCCTAGACTCGAATGTCAATCACAATTTACCTCCCTCCTGCAAGTGCCCCTAATTTCCTAAGTAATCAACCTTGTTTGACAATATCTAAGTGCCATTTCCCTCTAGGGTTTTCTTAGTGCCACATACTACCCTTTAGGAGAGGAGGAGATCACTACCCCTCCTCCCCTCTCCTTTGTTTTGCTACCTCTCTCTATCTACCCTATCTTGGCTTCTCTGGGTGTGTTTTTTGTAGCAAAGGCAAAAGCCTTTTTGGCCGTCTCTGAAGCTCTCTCTGAGAGCTAGTGGCTCCTCCTGTTAGGGAATTACAATAGTTAATCATACTAATGATAGAAAATGGTGAGTTTTTGGTTATTTTGTTATTACGCTATAACTCTACATTTATATTTATGATAATGACTTGTTGTAACTGTACATTGTTCTCTACAAACTTGTCTATATAATGATCTTGTGAATGATTAAGTGAAAATTAGTTTCTACATGGTATCAAGAGCCTGAATTTTTTTTTCTTTCTCTCTATGGCGTATGCTTCAGCTTCCACTTCCTCTTTGCTTCCCACTTTCTCCATCCCTAATACCTCTCATCTTGTCTCTGTGAAGCTTTCTGACACAAACTATCTTGCTTGGGAAAGTCAGGTCAAACCGTTCCTACTTGGCCAAAATCTCTAGCGTTTTGTTGATGGATCTTATCCTTGCCTCCGACAAACTCTTTCTTCACCCTCCAACACTGAAAATCCTCTGACCTATCACTTGCACCTTTCATGATTCCAGACTTCACATCGTGGTTTCAAACTGATCAAAGTTTGGTTAGCATCCTTCGTGCTACTCTCTCTGAATCCATTCTTACTCAAGTGGTTGGTTATTCAACTTCCAAAGACATTTGGGACTACCTGCGTCAAAATATTTCAAAGCAATCTCTTGCCAATGAGGTGTAGTTCAAGTTTGAACTTTTCTCCATCACCAAAGGCTCCAAAGCCTCTTCTACCTATGTTTCTCATGCCAAAATTCTTGTTGATCAGTTAGCATCCATTAATGCATCCATCTCCAATACTGACTTGGTCACCTATGTGCTTCGTGGCTTAGGTCCTGACTTGCCAGAAATTGTTAATATTGCATGTTGTCCCAATTCTCATGCCTTTTTTGATATGCATGTTGCCGCTTCATCTGACCCTAATTGGTATTTTGATTGGGTGCCATGAATCATAAGACTAATACTACCAACTCGGTTCTTATCTCCACTCTACACTTTTCTTATGATCAAGTAAGTTGTCATTGGTAACAGTGCTTCTCTCCCAATTACTCACTCCGGTAATATCTCTTCCACTTCTGGTTCTTACGTCTTTTGTCTTTTTGATGTTCTTCGTGTTCCTTCCTTACATAAAAATTTGTTATCCATTGCTTAATTTACTCAAGATTCACATGTCATTATTACATTCTTTCCGTGGGGCTACCTAATTCATGACTTATCAACTGGAGTTCTTCTTTTTCAAGGCCAATGTAAAGATGGTCTTTATCCCATTCTTCCTACACTCTTCTCCACCTCAAAGGTTGCACTCGCTTCTGTAGCATCGTCTTGGTCATCCGTCTCATAAAGTGCTTAGCACTCTTGTTTTACTTTCTTGAGGAGGGTGTTGGAGAGGCAAGCGAGAAGATGAAGAAATCAGGTGCAGACGTGTTGAAGAAGATCGTGGGTTGAATGAAGAGGAGGAATAAGTTGTTTTAGCAGTGGGTATGCTCAATCAATCAAGGCAACACCACCGTAGTTTGGCCTAAAGGTGGATAGACATAGGCACTCTCGAGGTAAGAATATCTTGGAAGATTACTTTATCCCAAATTTGTTATATCCCGTTTCTTATTTTCGAGGGAGATGTAGAATGCAACCCCATTTGTTCCAAAAAAATCATGCATGATGTTTGCAATTATGACACATACTTTGTTCAAAAGTACGATACTCTTGGGGTTTTGGGTCTTCTTCCGGAGCAAAAACTTACAACTGTTGTGCAGCTGCTTGCGTATGGGGCATTTGTAGATCAAGTAGATGAGATTGCTAGGATGGGGAAATCAACTATCCTATAATGCTTGGTTAGATTCTGTGATGCAATAGAAACTCTCTACATGAGGGATTACCTCCACAAAGCTACGCCTAGGGACCTCCAAAGGCTTCTACGAAAATTTAAGGCTCGAGGTTTCCTAGGCATGATTAGAAGCATCGACTGCATGCATTGGCATTGGAAGAACTACCCAATTGCTTGGCAATGAGATTATAGGAACAGGAAGGGCCAAAAAAGTATAATTCTGGAAGCCGTTGCATCATTCGATACCTAGGTTTGACATGCCTTTTTCGGAGTTTCCGGATCTCAAAACGACCTCAATGTGCCTGGTCAATCCTCGGTATTCAACTATGTCTTGAGAGGTCATTCCCCCCAGATCACGTATCAAATCAACAATACCGTATACTCGAGTGCATACTACCTAGCCGATGGAATTTATCCGAGGTGGACGACATTCGTCAAAAGAATTCCGAATCCCCAATTGGAGAAGGAAAAAAGCTTTGCTGCCTTTCAAGAGGGTTATAGGAAAGATGTGGAAAGGTGTTTTGGTAATGTGCAAGCTCGTTGGGAAATTATTAGGGGTGCTACTCGTATGTTTGATGAAGATGTGCTTCGGAGCATTATGATGACTTGCATCATCCTCCATAACATGATTGTGGCGGATGTGTATGATTATGATGCCCCAGAGATGTTTGAACCCAATCCCGTGAATGGCCCGTGGGAGCAAATGAACAACCACTGTAGCACAAACTGTTGATTAGGGACGATCGATACAACAACCTTATGATTGACCATTATCAGGAAATGCAATCTTTTTATGTTCACGAGAGACGTCAAGTTGACTTGATCGAAAACTTATAGGAGATGAAATGCAATCATGATGGATGAAGTCAAGTTTAATGCTTTGTTTAGAATTATGCTTTGTTTTGTGTGTAGTTTGTAATGAATTAAGGTTTGTTTTGATGTATGAAACGTTTTTAATAAATAGTTATATTATTTAATGCTTTCTTTATTCAATAAAAGAGAAACAATACAACAAATTAATACATATGGCAACTCTTTCAATACAACCTAATGGTTTTGATCATTTAACCAATCTTTGTTGCTAGGTCCATCGTCATGGAAAAGCTTTCTTCTCATACATCCCTTCATTTTAGCTTCCAATAGGACTTTGTTTTAGGAGACATATGGCTCGTAACCATGGCCATGATTTTAATCTCTCTGTCTTTCATGTCTTGTTCTTGTGCTTGTTGCCTTTCAATTGCATATGCGTCATATCGTGCCTTGTCTGCTTCTTCTCTTTTCAAGTCTCTCTCATTCTTAGCAATTTGCTCCTCAAATTTTGCACATTTAGTGTTCGAAGTGCTCCCTCTCTTGGCCTTTGCCGCCTTTCTCCCAATAGGCCTCAGCTCACGTTGGATTGGTGACTCTTGATCCATTGGGGAGTCCAATGGCGAATCGGTTGCCTGTGATTCGTGGAGCAGCGTCTCATTCAACACAATCGTCGGACCAGTGGAAATAATTTTGAATCTTGAACAATTCTTGACAACGTCACAACATTGGTGATTGATGCAACTTTTTTTGCCTTGGCCAATGGCACCGAACCACATTTGTGCTTGAATAATCTATTAAAAAAAATTGGAAATGCAAGAAAAAAAAATTTGTGACATTAAATTGAATAAAATGGCATTTATAAATATTTTACCTCGTCGGCAAGATTTTGACCACTCCGAATGTTGTCCATCGGTTTTGCCAACACATCTCTCCATTTCCCTAACTCTTTATTCAAAATTTTCCACCTACTAGTCAGTGCCATTTCCGTATGAGTCGAGCCTGATCTTTCACAAAATTCTCCATGAGTTTTTCTCCACATATGAGAGGACTTCATCTCAATGCCTGTGATCGGGCAATGACCAACTTTGACCCAACACGCACACGACAAAATATCTTTCACGTTTGTCCACACACCTCTAGCTTCGATGGAAGAGGCCATTTGTATTTTTACACAAACGGAATTTAGTAATAGAAAAATTTTGTGTGGAAAGTGAAAAATATTGGAAGGAGATGAATTTGTAGGAAGATTTGGTGTGGAACGTGAATAATATTGGTAGGTATTTATAGAAAAAATTTATAGAATTTTTTGATATATTTTTTCAATTTTTTTTAGCCAAAAAATGGAGTCATTGGATTTGACAAGATTTTTGGATTGGAGGCTCCAAGAGAAGCCATGTGGCTTGTAGCCGTTGGTTTTTGGTAGTTGTGGGTTAGCACTGATGTTAGTAGCTGAAAGGCAAGATGACAGGCTAGATCTCCCCTTGGGCTTGCCCGGCCTCGTGGGTCCCATGCATTGCCCATGCTAGATGTTGCACGCTAGAGCTGCTCCCTGGGCCTAGGGCCCCCTCCTGCTTGGGTTGGCCTCTTGCGCTCGAGATGCTCTCATGGTTCAAGCGTTTTAGTTCGTTCTTGCTCCGTGTTGGTTTTACTCAAAGTCAATCTGATGATTCTATGTTTGTTTATTAGGAACAATCCCATAAGATGATTTTACTTGTCTATGTTGACGACATAATACTCACTGGGAGCAATCAGTCACATTAACATGCATTTATTGATATGTTGGGAGCTGAATTTGACGTCAAAGATCTTGGTAGATTACATTATTTCCTTCGCATCCCAGTTACCTATCACTCTAATTTTGTTCATCTCAATTAGACCAATTATGCCCTTGATATTCTCCAAAAGAATCAACATGCTGGATTGTAAACCGATCTCTACACCAATGGCTTCTAAAGGCAGCCTCTCCCGCACTGATGGAACGGCTTTGTCAGACCCCATTGTGTATAGATAGCTTGTAGGTGCTCTACATTACCTAACCATGACCCGTCCTAACATCTCATACGCCGTACAACATGTTTCCCAAGTCGTTAGTTCCTCCACTGATGTTCACCATGAAGTAGTGAAACGCAATCTGTGTTATCTCAAAGGCACCATTGGTCATGGCCTTCCTATTTGTCGTTCTACGGACTCCTCCTTCCTTATTGCCTATTCCGATGTCGACTGGCAGGTTGCCTGGATACTCTCCGGTCCACCATCGGGTACTGTGTCTTTTTAGGACCAAATCTAATTTCCGAGAGTGCAAAGAAACAATGCACAGTTTCTCATTCAAGTGCCAAAGTTGAGTATCGCGCCTCAGCCTATGCTTGTGCGGACACTATATGGATTCAAGGTCTCTTACATGAACTTGGGCATCCTATTACACATCATGTTATTCTTAATTGTGATAATCTCTCTACCACATATCTTGCTGCCAATCCTGATTTTCATGCCCGGACCAAACACATAGCTATTGATTATCACTTTGTTCGGGAACGTGTTGCCTTGGGGAGTCACCAGGTTTGTTTCATGCCTTCTACTCACCAACTTGCCAATGTCTTCACAAAAGGATTGCCTACGGATCGTTTTGCCCGCCTTATTTCCAAACTTGTCTCCTCCCTAATAGTTAATCATACTAATGATAGAAAATGGTCAGTTGTCGGTTACATTGTTATTAGGCTATAACTCTACATTTATGTTTATTATAATGACTTGTTGTAATGGTAGGTTGTTCTCTACAAACTTGTCTATATATCTTGTATAATGATCCTGTGAATGATTAAGTGAAAATCAGTTTCTACACCTCTGCACACATGTGGTGGTTGCTCGAGCCTTTTCCTCAGATATGAGGTTAAAATGTCTCAAGTTAATTTTGTGGCGACTTTGGTCAGTGGTTGCGGAAGTGGCGGCAGAAGTGGCGAATTTGGTGTGTTTTTGCTTTGTGTTGATTTGGTGTGGTTTTTAGTTTGAACTTCCATGTGCTTGTTGTCGTATTCCTGTTTTTGGCCTTTTTGGCTGTTGTTTTCTACTCCCTGCATTTTGGGTTTTGAATGGACTTTGATTGACCAGCACACCTTTTTGGGGAATCTCTGATTATTCCGAAACCCACCTTCCACTTCATCTTCTTCAAACCCAGTGCAATACCAAGTGAATGCCACAAACCCATTTAAGCACCGAAAGGATGCGATCAACATCCCCTTCTCAATTCATATAATATTTTCCTCCAACACTCAGCATTTTGACAACACCAACTGCCAAAGGCCCCAACCAAATTCTCATTCATTTACTATTTTTCAACATCAAGCTTCAGCTTTTAACCCCTCTTCTCACACTCACTCTTTATACAAGTAAAAGAAAAGCCCAGAATGCCTGCAAATCTCTGCAGTCTGTTTTCCTTTTGGCGACAATGATCTATGGTGGTGGAGCCATAGGCATAAATTGCAGCACAACGGTCACACCCATTAACAAAAACCAAGGAGGTGGAGCTGTTGACGTCCAACAATGTGACCAAGGTGGAGAGAGAGAGAGAGAGAGAGTTCAACCGAACCAACCCCTCCACAAGGAGAAACATGAGCAAATTTTGGTGCTAAAACCCTGTACACATTATTGAGCTTGCTAACCTAAACCCTAATGCAAATTGTCTTGTCATGCCAAGTTCGCCAAGTCTAAGCATGTGTCTTACAGTAACAGTACTGTAAGGACTGTATGACTGACAAGCCCGTTTTCCTCAAGCTACATCATCTTTGATCTTCGGCATTAGTTCGATAATGCCAAGCTCGAACAGAATACTTACCTTTACATATTTGTGGTTGTCTGCAGTGGGTTTTGATTCTATTCTCTTGCAAGAAAAATTAAAATGTTACAGTAACAATTGAAAATTTGATTTGAGAGAAGAAAAAAAAATTAATACATTTAAGATACAACATGAGAATGATCCGGGACACTATTCGACATATGATTTCTGCTCAATTTACTCATAAAGCCTTCATCGAGCATGAGCATCTTGACCAGACATCAAACATCAGCTGCCAATTTTCTGGAAAATAATCAATTTTGTGGGACTAATTTTATCATCTTTGGGAACGTCAACCTAGACCATAGGTGAATTGCTAGTTGTTAGATGGCTCCTGAAAATGATTAATGGGCACTAAGTCCATCCACTATCTGAGTCCTCTGATTGTTCCTCCTCAATCTCTCTTATGCTCTGAACTATATCCGCCACCTTTTTTGACATGTGCTCTGTATGTTTTTCCAAATCTTTCAAAATCAAATTTAACTGTTCTTCGTATGCAGCGCAGCGTCGCTTACATTTTTGCCTCTCATTATACAACTCAAGGGATAGTTCACGGATTCTTTTATCCTTCTCATCCTGCAAATTACAAGAGTATTAGGTCACTATGTTATTGTTTCAATTTTATGTTTAAGAAGGGTCACTACATTATTGTAACAATTAAGCTACTGAACAATGAATCCGTTTCGATGTTTACTAAACTAATGGTTAATTCAAGACGAAACCAGGCTCAGTAACCCAGATTCCTGGTAACAATTCCTACAGCTCTTCCACATTTGAAAGCATTAGGATGTCATCCAACAATTATTTTCAAATCTAATACTTCCTCTCATGTGTCTCTCTACTCACATTAGAGGGTGCAACATGTTCAATTGAACTTATATTGGGAGGCTTGTATACTCAAAATCTTCTGCTCTGATACCATGACAAGTTTTGTTCGTTTACCACTAGTTCCTAAAGCTTCAACTATTTGGACATTGATGAACAATTATTTTATAATCTAAAAGAAATGCCATTATCTGTGTTTATAATATTAGGTAGTCTGTTTATTCTTCTTCAGCACAGTATTTAGTAGCAGTGAGTAAGTGGCAAATCTTCATATGTAAACATTTCATTCAGAATATGTTGACAAAAAAATACTCCCCAACATACCTCACTTGCTAAGTGCTTTCCTGATCCCCGCCATGGAACCTTGCTGGGACTCATTAATTTATGATTATGCTCTTTAACAAATTTTGTGACTACCCACTTTAGTCCATCTCTTAAAGCTAGCCTTATCATAGCTTGACAGCCCTCACGGGTTACTGGCGGTGGAGGAAGAACTCTGTCTTTTCTGTGTACATACTTTTTTGCACGAAAGCCTTCTTTCGAGCAAACAAAATCTTGACCAATAACCTGATTGTTTACTCGTGAGCGACGATTGTGGTGTATCCGTACAGTAAAACCGGAGCGTCTGCCATATGCAACATAAAATTCTCTTGCTTCATCTCTTGAGTTGAACTCCATGCCTATGTTTGGTTCTAAAGCTTCTATGTTCATAGGTAGATCTGCTGATGGTTCTGCTATCCCTTCCTTTTCATCTAAACACAAGTCCAGGTTCTCAGAAAGCACATCTTCCATCCCTTCATTATTTTCATAGGTTTCAGCATGCATATCTAAGTCACTTTCGTCTGAATCAAATCCATGAACAGTTTGGTGATCCATTATGTTCCTACAGGTAGAAAGAACAGAATTGACTTGTCAGTCTCACCCAAAATTAGGACAACCTCTTGAAGTAAACAATGTCGAATAAGTATTACCGATAAAATAGTAGGTCAACTTCTATTACTACTAAGTTAAAAGGTCAACAGATTTTTTTTTAAGTTTCAAAAAACTCTGTATTGTCAACATTGACCCATCTATATGCTCCATTACCATTTCTTATAAAGAACAAAGTCTGAGGGAGATGAAAAGCACAAGAGTCAAGGATTTACAAAAGCAATGCTTAATTACATGTTTTCACATTTCAAAGTGAACCAAAAATAAATGCCAACCAACAAGCATTTATATAATATATGGAACACAATAACACAGTAATGGCAATAGATTAGCATGTAGTAGAAGAAAACTGAGCATGTAAAGTACAAGTCACGGGGAAAAACAAACACAGCAATGTTACTTCTACAACCAAGCAGGCAAAGTTAGTAAGACCTGAAAATTACCTGGCATTGCTACAGCGAGCACAAGAAATGGCTTGCATGAGAAAATATGATATAAAGCACAACAGACATGTAAAAATTTCAAATCCAAACAGAAAAGAAAGTCACAAACAATAGAGCATGAAGCATCTTATTATGAATGGAAAAACCATAAGATGGATATAGTAATGAAGATTCCATAATTTTATAATTAAAGTTTTGCCAAGCATAATGCCCTTACAGGAGCTGACATGTTCTCATTTTAGTATAAATGAAAAATTTTAGTTTAATAGATTTTACTGGGAAAACAACAGGAAGCACCAAAGCATTAGCGTTATCAAGACACATTTTCAGAATCGCTCAAGTAGTTCTAATTGTCTCTGACAGTGGTGCAGTGCAGAACCATGTTAACAGAGAGAATCTATTAATAAGCGTAGGATCTACATTACAGAGGGCTGCTGATACATTGACCCCATGTTGCCACATTATTCGGTCTAAAGGGAACTATGGTCTTTAGTTCAGGGTTTCAAGCTGCTAACTGAGTAACTTTTACAAAGAAGACGCGTACTTAGCCAAAAAGAACCAGCAGTTACCAAATTTTGTTTAGGAATAGTAAAGAAAATGGGTCTACATCCATAATTTTGGGTCTACATCCAAATTTTGTTACGAAGAAGAGGCATTGCCTACATCCATTCACCCCAACCCCTTTGTTGGATTTGATCATCCACTCATTATGAAAATGGGTCTCACAAGTTAACCTATAAACCCTTCCAATGCTAAGACAACTCATTCTAAATCTCATTCTTACGGAATCTACAGTTAACCTTTAAACAAGTCTTGAGACTTATGTGCTGCTCCAAGCCAAACTCACCTATGCTAAGAGGGTCATGATGTGTACCTAACTGTGTATATCGCTGCACTTGCTATATTCAGCAAAGGGGTTGACACGAACAGTAGGAAAAATGCACAGCAAAGAAAGGAAACATCACCTCTACAGCTCCAGATTCAACAAAATGAGGCAGTAAGAACCACTGAGTATCCAGAATGTGACTCAATCCTTGTCATTGTGTTAAGAGAACTAAACTCCTTATGTGCAATGGAGGGATTCATAGCTAAGAGTGTTCAATTGCAACATGAATCTCTCTTCACATTCTTGGTTTTTTCTGATGGTTGGTGAAGTGGATGAAAGTAGGTTGATAAGCAAAGAGAAGGTTTACCTTTGCATGAGAGAGCTTAGAGAATAGTTTATAGCACAATAATTGTTCAAGTACCATTCAGAGGACAATATGCATTCCAGAGACAAGCTTCTCACGTAAGGGCAGCAGGCAAGCTCAGGACTAAGGCTGTTGAACTTCAACTTTGAAGTAGTGGAGTAGATCTTACCAACCTAATTTCGAAACGAAGAATTACATCTGTTGAAAGGAAGCACTCTTTTTTCCCATGACAATATTTTTTTAGTCTTTGTAAAGTACAATCAGCAAGTCTATTTCAAAAGCCGTCAGTCTAATTGCAGTCTTTACCCCTAAAAAAAATGTAGTTGCAGTCCAACAACACAATTTCAGCAGATACAGTGTAAAAGTAGTCACCCTTATAAAGACAGACAAGAATCAACCGGTGAACAGACCCCAACCGCTGTTTTCAAAGTATTTTTCTTATAATAAATGTGAATGCAAAATGCATCAACAAAGTTAGAGAACAGAGGATACAACTAATTAGTAAGTACAATCCAATTCTTGAGACAAAATGTCAAAGTAAATACACATTTTGTAAAGATATATATGCAGAGTAAGGCTAATGTAAGCAACTTAAATATAAATAATCAGGAGCCGTCATATCTCTTCCTATGGTCAAAATTAAAACACTTTAACTGACGATTGGAGCGTTCTAAGAGAATCCAGAAATGGGTTTTGCACCAAAGTTGGGAATTTGAATGAAGAAGAAACAATGAGGGAAATTTCTGCTTAAAATCAGCATCTAAACCTAGCAGACAAGTCCTTGAAGTTGTAAGATGAACAGGAAAAGCATCAAGAACCACAACAATTACTTAATTGTGATTGCATTACGAAACTGAGCAAGGGAAAGTAGAGAATAAAATGACAAACTGGCTTCGATGAACTCACCAAACACCAACACCAAGGTTTGAAGAAAGTGGAAGTCTTAGATCGATCTCTCCATGGCCACTCCACGAACCCAAGTGGTTAATTTTGCATCTCGTTGCTGGGCCCCACCGTTTCTAGGGCCCACCGGAGATGTAGAGAGAATGAACGGATACAGTGACTGAGAGATGCAGGTGGTGGAGGACTCGGAGGCAGAGGCGAAGTCAGCAACAGTTTCAGTTGGGGGGTTTATGCGAACATTGTTTTGTCTGGAAACTTAGAAGTTTCATAAAAATAGTATGCCTACACGCGTCACCCAAGCTCTTAGAAATGATCTTTATTTTTTTTTCATAACCTAGGCAAGGTCTAAAATATTCAATGTTTCGAAATATCAGTAGTCCAAAAATACACAAATAAATTAGATAAAAATTATAAAAATTGTGAGAAAAATTTGGAAACTTTTATTAAAACTTTAGAGAATATTTATTTAGTTAATTATCTATTTTTTTATCACAAAAAAAATCCAATGAAATGTATTGCATTGTGGGTTTGAGTGATTTAAGTTGATTATATATTGAGCTAACAAACACGAATTTAGACAATTTGTAATAATTAATGAAATAATATTAAACACACCATAATCAATTATTTATAATGATTTAATACAATATTTTGCCCTTTATACATTGCGTGGTAAGTTACATTAGTAATTTAGTACCACAATATTTTCAAATTGTGCCATGTTTGTTTTCGTCTAGTGGGTCTCCATGTTCCTGAGTAGGATCACGTTATTGCCTGCACTAGAAATATTAAACATTCCTATATTCATTTGTCACAGAAATTAGGTGCATTTTTTTTTCCTTTTTTGCCAAACAATACAAAATTTTCATTAAATGCTAAAAAAAGGTTTACAATGCTTCAAAAATAGTAATGTTGGTTATCCAAGGAAATCTAAATAAAGTTATCCTAAAAACATAATTAAATAAAAAGTAAATAAAATAATTATAGGAATTTAAATAATTAAGCAATAATATGAAATTCTACTTCTCTAAAAAAACATTATGGGGAGACATTATAAATATTAAATGGTGTAGATTATAATCATGAAGTTATGTAGTGTGGTGGATAAGATGCTGGAATAAGGTTAGAAATGGCATCGGTCCCCCTGTTGCATGCAAGGATCGAGGAAAATTCGTGGAGACTGATAAGTAAAAACCATTCCCCAACCCCTTCTTTTTTCCCTCCTCACCTTTGTTTTTCCCTTTTTCCCATCCACCAAAATCCAACAATTCTCAACCTATCTTAATTAATAAAATATAAATATTAGAAATCACTAATCCATCATAGTCCAACAATTCTCAATCTCGTAATTCATATATATATATATATATAATAATGCTACTCTTACCACATTCTCATACTACCTTATGTGGTAGATGAGGTAGACAACCACATCAATTAAAATTAATTTAACATTTTCTTTTATGATTTATTGACGCTTGTGGTTGTACACCTCATCTGCCACATTAGGTGATATGAGAATGTAGTATACAAATGTGGTAAGAGTAGTATTACTCATATACATGGAGCTTCAGTTGAGGGATCCCTCAAATAACTTATTTGAAGGACATCCTTGTAGGACTCAGTCTATATAGTATTTCACTAATCCAAATAGTCTATTTTGTATATACTCATTCAAAGATCATCTGTACAAAAAAATCACTTGAATTTGATATCATTTGACCACTCAATTGAATTATTGAAATTTTAGTACTTTCTTGAAGCACAGTGTTCATTGATTTTGTATGACACAATTGGATATCGAAACAGTTTCAAATTTATCTATTTTTTGCAAGGATGATCTGTGAATGTAGACTTAAAAAATAGATGGTTCGGATCGTTGAAAAAAAATTCATAAGGTACCCTAAAATTTCCCTAAAAAAAAATTTGAGGGATCCCTCAGTTAAAGGGGACTATATATATGGGAGATTCACTATTATACCCAATATAGGAGCCCAAATTATAAAAAAACCATATATGAAATGAACTTTAGAAACACACCCAGAGCCCATTTACAACATAACAAAAAGGCTTTTAACTTCTTTTAAATTACAAAACTGCCATTGATTTCTTAAAACAAACATAACCCTAAAACCTCATAAAAAAACCCCAAAACACTCAATAGGGTACCAAAGTAATTTAATAATCAAAATTAAATTCAATAAAGTCAGCTGTCATTTTTGGGTTTTTTTTAATAAATTTTTTATAGAAATTAAATGATATATGATTTATTTATAGTTTTAGTGCTAAGAATGAGTATATGACTAAATATATATATATATCTCTCTCTCTCTGACAATGCCATTAGATCCAATCCACCGAAATCTAACGATTCCTAATCTCGTAATTTTATTGATTAAAGATTTAGGAAATCGCGATAACGATTCCATAACTCTCTTAATTCACCAATAATAGATATGTGAAACTGGCGATGCCATGGGATCTCATCCATCGTAATCTAGTGCTTCCAATGTGTATTAATTCATCGATATAAGTGAGTAAAACATAAAAAGACTAACATACTTGAACAAAAAAAGTGAGTCTCACATACCTCCACCAGTCGTAATTATAGTCACACAAGTCATTGCCTTGTTACTGTTGCGCGAAAACACTCCAAGACCTTGCCGTCGATGGACTACGCAACTATCATACACAAGCTTCGCAAAAAATTAAGCACACACAAACCGTAAAGTAAACACACACACAAAGAACACAAGAATTTATAGAGGTTCAGCGTTGTGTTTACGTCCTCTTGGTGATTCCCAAGAAATTCACTAGTATGAAATAACCCCCTTGGTTACAATGAAGAACCTCATTTGATCTCTCCCAAACCCTAGCTCTCCTTTCTCTCACCCTTGACTCGAACCCAATTTGATGCCTTAGCTTTCTCACGTTACAATAACTTAGCACTAAAATGCCTATTTATATGTCATAGGGCTTTAGTACAATTATACAAGGAATAGGAAACTTAAAGGACCCAAAAACTAGGAGAAAATTTGTCCATATTCACAAGGGATACGCAATGGATTCACTTGTCCTAGTTGAGTGCCACTTCGTAGCTCGAGTGCTTGCATCTATTCGAGTATGAGTTCTGCTGCTCGAGCAGGCGCTCAAGCACTTTCGCTTGGACAAAAACCTTATCTCTACCGCTCGAGAGCTTGTAGTTTCCACTCGAGCTCCAGAGCCCATTCAATAAGTCTTCAACTTGTTGGACTGCCCTTTTCCTTCAATCCTTCCTCATCTTTAAGATGAACCAACATCAACAATCTCCATCTTGGGGAGCCTTAAACACCTTGTGAAAATCATTGACTCCTAGAACCTCTTCAAACCTCTTGGAAACAGTTGTAGTAATTCCCAATAGCTCCACCTCAATCTTTAGCATGTAACAAGATTTGAGCAAGCTCAAATAGTGTTTGAACTTCTTAATTGTGATTGGCTTGGTCAAGCAATCCAAAGCGTTCTCATTATATGAACCTTCTCTATTGCAATGTCTTCATCGTTCACCCAATCCCTTATCCAGTGGTACCGTATATCAATATGCTTAGACCTTCAGTGAAACACTTGATTCTTGACTAAGCATATAGCACTTTCATTGTCACTTTGTATCATCACCAAGTCTTGAGCTATCTCGAACTCTTTAGCCAATCTTGTCAGCCATAACGTTTCCTTAGAAGCCTCTGTTAGAAGCTTCGATAGTAGACAAGTCAGTAATTGATGGTAGCATCGCTCTCTAACTAATCGATCCTCCACCACAAGTGAAAACATACCCCATATTGGATCTCCTCTTGTCTATGTCTCCCGCATAATCTGAATCCACATAACCCATTGCATATGCCTTTCTTTGTTGTCTTTCAAACAAGATCCCAAGCTTCTTGGTGCCCTTCAAATACCGGAAAATCCACTTCACCGCATTCCAATGTTGTTTGCTCAGATTTTCCATGTATCCTTGAACACGTGAGAGTACACACAACAATCCAATTCGCACCTTTTATACCCAATTCGAAGCATATAGGTGTCAAAGCATTTGTACCACTATGCTAAATTGGACCTGAAGCCCATGTTTGGTTAGAAAGGGGACTAATTTAAATGGGATTGTATAGCCCAATAGTAAAAAAAAAGAAACCCTCACTCCTTCTCCTTATATAGAGAAGCGGAAAATGGGTTCGCAAAATAAGCCTTCGCTATATTGAACACGCCTCTCGCTGTGGTTCGCGACTCGACCTCTGCGACTCCACCTCTCCTTCGTTCAACATCGACTCATCTTCTTTGGATCTTGACCCATGCAAGTTTTTTTGATCTTTCCCTTTGGATACCTCTCTTATTCCTTCTTCGACCTCTTTGAATTTTGCAATTGTCCTCAACAATTTTGATTGTGGGCTCTGAATCTCTCCTTCCTTTTCTTTGTTATTTTCTTCTTCTCTTCTCTAATTTTCGTAGAATCCATGTCTACTATGGCGATATATATATATATATATATACTTGATGTTAATCGGCAATTAATTTGTAATTAGGTATTTAAGAAAACCTAGAAATTCAGAAGTATAGTAGACTTTTGGCATGAATCCTGAGTTTATTGAACTTACTGGTTCATGTGGGATAATGCATCCTTGTGGTTTCAGTTTTTATGGAGTTCATTACTATCTAATGTATTTAAATGGTCTACACATGTGAAACTCCGAGATCTGGAGATGGTAAGAAATAGTTTGGATGCTTAAGCTTATCACCTTTCAAAAAGAGGTCAATCACTTGATACTATTTATGTAATTTACTAATGATAATTGGCTTGAATCCAATGTTAATTAGCAGCAGCAACATCTTTTGGCCAAAAGTGAAATAATCCTACAACTGTTTTCTTCATATTTGTTGTGGTATTAGGCACACATTGTTTGATAATTTTTGGTCCATTTGGGGTGAATTTTCCATAATTTGCTAATGGTATTAATTATGGCTTTGCATTAATTGTTCTTTTTGTATTTGCATATGAAACTGTTTGTTTTCAATTTGGGGTTATTTCACTTTCAGTAGGATTGGTTAAGTGCAATAATTCTTTTCTTTTTTGATTAATAGATATGGATCAAAGACGAATGTTGTTGATATTATTGTTGGAGATGTGGAATTTAGAGACCATGTGTGCTTGCACGATTCTTGTGCTTATGATGCTAAAAAATATGAGAAGAAATTGAAGACTTTTAGAAAGATGTCCCTCAATAACCATTTGTTTGTTAGACATGAGAATCGATTACGTTATTTGAACAGTATATTAGGCAATGACAGAGAATGTGTCAGTGAACTAAGAATGGATGTAAAGACGTTTGGTTTATTATGTGATTTGCTTCGCACAGATGGAAAGTTAAAGAATGACGGTTTGGTGACTGTGGAGGAGCAAGTATGTATGTTCTTGTATATGCTTGCTCATCATGTTAAGAATCGTACTATTAGAAATAGATTTGTTCGATTAGGATAGACTATTAGTAGGTACTTCAATTCCGTGTTACAAGGCATTTTGAGATTACAAGGTAGCCTATTGAGAGTACCGGAACTTGTAGGTGATAACTGCACAGATCATAGATGGAAATGGTTTAAGGTATGTTTATTATGTTTTGGCTTTCTTTTCCATGATATGTGCTGCATATAAGCTTAATGAAAGTTTACCCTCTTTTTATTTTTATTTTTTATTTGATTTATTTTATAGAATTGCTTGGGAGCAGTAGATGGAACATACATTAAAGTGTGAGTAGTTGAAACCGAAAAACTGAGATGTCGGACTAGAAAGAGAGAAATTGCAACAAATGTGTTGGCCATTTGCTCACGTGACATGCAATTTATATTTGTGTTGTCAGGTTGGGAAGGATTCGCGTTCAACTCTAGAGTCCTTCGAGATGCTAGGCCTACAGGATTAAGTGTTCCTACCGGTAAAGCCAGTAGCTAGTGTCCACTTTATAAATAATTGGAAGTTTATATAATTACCACATAATAATAGGAATTGACTTTTTTTTCTTAATTTTTGGTTATTAGGTTATTATTACCTTGTAGATGGTGGGTACACAAATAATGAGGGATTTCTTGCACCATATAGAGGAACAAGGTATCATCTATCGGAATGGAGAGAAGGAAATACACGTGTAAATCATCAAGAATATTTTAATATGAAGCATGCTAAAGCAAGAAACGTAATAGAACGTTGTTTTGGGTTGCTAAAAGCTAGATGGGGCATACTTAGAGGTGTCAAATGGGCAGTGCCGGGCCGCTCCGGCCCATTTAAACTCGTGCCTTTAATGTATTTGTGCCGTGCTGTGCCGGCCGATTTAATTTATCGGGCCGTGCCGTGCTGGCCCATTTAGTAAAATCATTTATCCCAGCCCGGCCCAAAGCCCAAGTCCATATTGAAACGGGCTGTGCCGTGCTTGGGCTGTGCCCGTGCTCGTGCTCGGGCCTTGCCCGTGCTCGTGCTCGGGCCATACTCGGGCCTAAGAACAAGCCCATTTAATTTGAATTTTTTTTACTTGATTTTTTTTCCCACTAGATAATTAAAATTATAAACATAAAACATATAATTAGAAGCAAGGAATGATGAATTATTTGAAAACATTAATAATCAAACATCCAAACAATATGAAAAGGTGGAGGGCAAAAATGTGGCATCGTTAAAACTTTGCCTTAAAAAACCCCCAAAGGAGGAAAATCCGGTCAAGGAAAAAGAGTACCACTGCCCTCCCAAATTACACAAAAATGAAAATAAAATTAATCTAGGACACCGGGTAAAATATCAGCATTTGTCATCTCACGTTCCTGCGTCAGTCAACCGAAAAAAGAAATTATTATTTTCTGGGGTAAAATAAGATACTTAGAGCATCATAAATCTTCAAAAAGACATGCAGTCTGATGCACAACATACAAACCTGTAATTAAAGGTGGATCTGGCTCTCGTGTACTATGCAATATAGTAGTCCCAGATAACACAATGATGAACCCGCAAAGTTCTGATGCTATGATGGTCATGCTTTGACCAGAATAATCCTAACAAAAGATTACGTACATTAGATTTAGGCTTAATTATGTGCATGCCCTCTGTGCTTCCAAACTTGTCTCAGATTACCACTTGTGTTTGCAAACGGCTCAAAGTATCCCCCAACCTTTTAAAAACCGTCTCACGTTACCCCTTCCGTCAGTTTTTTTGATGTTCTGTTATGAATGTTACTGTTCATACCCAAAAATTCCAAAACAGCAGCCCCTCCCCTTTGTTACTGTTCATCCGACCAGTTTTTGGGCTGCCATCACCTCCTTTGGCCACCCCAAGCGACGACATGGGTATTAAAAGAACTAGCACGTTGTCTTCTACCAGCCGCACATCTCAGCCGCTGCCAACCGCCGTCTGGATTGCCGGAAAAAGCATGAAATTGGCCGGTTTTTACCCAAAATCTCCATCGCTCATTCGGGCGATTCCGAGCACCATTTGCTTCAATCCAGGTATGGTTTTTCAACCTCTCAAGCTGTTCTTGCTGCTAGTTGTGTTGGTTAGGAGAAATTTATGAGTTTTGAAGGGTAAATAAGCGATGAACAGTAACAAATGGGAGAGGCTGCTGTTCTGGAATTTTGGGGGGATGAACAATAACGTTCGTAATGGAACGTCAAAAAAACTGATGGAACAGGTAACGTGAGACGGTTTTTTAAACGTTGGGGGTACTTTGAGACGTTTGCAAACACAGGTGATAATCTGAGATAAGTTTGAAAGCACAGGGGACGTGTACATAATTAAGCCTTAGATTTATAACAAACACTCACCCACAAACACAACATGTTCACGTGATGATACCTTAAACATTATTGCACTGGCAAATAATGTAAAAGAGGTGAACATAGCATAATAGATAGGAGAAGCAATTGCTGTGTTGAAAGTATCCAATGCCTGCAACCACACCAGAGTGAGAAACCAGCTAAAAAGTTCACCCGATTGTGCTGTCATCTTCAAAATATGAGAGATCTTCATCTACAAAACTTTGGGTTCAAAAATCAGCATCTTCCCAATCCTTCAAACACATAAGTGCCTCGCATATTTGAGGAGTAAGCCTCGTCATCTTTTCGTCCAGCACACAACCACCTGCACTAAAAGCAGACTCCGAAGCTACTATGGACACCAGAGTTGTTAGTACATCGTGTGCCATAATGGAAAGCACAGGAAAGTTCTTTTCATGTGCTTTCCACCAATCCAAAATATTGAAATTATTTCTTTCTTCCTCAGTCATAAATTCAACAAATTCAGTATCCAAATAGTTAAAAACTTCAGTACGAGAACTTATTACACTCTTTTGTTTTCCTTTGCTAGCAAGCATACCAAAAACAACTGCACTACTAGATGAATATGAACCAAATAAATGAACAGTTGAAGCAATTTGTGTACCAACACTATATTTCTTCTCATACAACAAATAAGTATCATTGAATGTCTTCTGAATATTGGATATTGTAAGTGGTAAACTAATTGATAAATTTTTTGAAATTTCAGTCAATATTACTTCCAAACCACTTACTTTAATTCTAGGATCCATTATTGCACAAAAACAAAAAGTATAAGGAATCTCTGTTCAATACTTTTTATATTTAGTTTCCATTCGCTCACAAATCTTTGTAAAATTACATGTAGTATCAAATCTGTATTTAGCAAAGGTAGCACTAATTGAAAATAAATCATGAAGTGCAACAAGAGATGTCGAATAATAAACACCAGAACAGTTACATGTAGCATCATAAAAAACTTTGAAAAAGTCCACCAAAGTAAAGCATACATTCCACTCTTCATCCCTCAACAGATTGTCATTCATTTTATTATTGTAATAAAAATTGATGATATTGGTGTAACCTTTACAACTTTTAAGCATGTGATAAGTTGAGTTCCAACGAATATGCATGTCTTTTTTCAATTTTATAGGTTTCAAGCCATGAGACATACAAAGGTGAGCAAAGTCTTGCTGCCTAGAGCTACTAGAAGAAATATAACCAATAGCATCCCTAATCAATTGAAGCTGAGTTTTAATAACTTTTAATCCATCTTGCACACCTCATATGAAAAAAATTTCCTCCGTAAGGAGGATGTAAAACATGTTTAAACTGCTCAATAGCAGAAGAATTATTGGAAGCATTGTCAAAAGTAATAGAAAATATTTTATGAGTAATGTTATACTCCTTAAACACATTCATCATAGCATGAAAAATAGAACTACTAGTATGTGGAAATTCAAGAAGTCGAAATGCAATAATTCTTTTCTGCAACAACCAATTTTCATCAATATAATGGGCAGTAACAAATAAAAGGCAAATTATTACCACCATTCCACATGTTAGAAGTCACAGCAATAGAACCCTTTAAATTAGAGAAAATATTTATCAATTTTTTCTTTTCTTCATCATAAAGTTTCACAACATCACTCTTATTAGTATTGAGAGAAACTTTCTTAAATTTTGGTTGCAAAGCCACTTGAACAAATTTTTCGAAACAACGATTTTCAGCAAAACAAAAAGGCAATTCAGCACATGCAATAAATCTAGCTAACTCAACTCTCATTTTAGCTTGAGAGTATTTAAATGAAGAGATTCCAGTATTTGCAGATAGTTGAGACTGCCTAGCATGATTATGACCATTTTTTTTAAGACATGCATTAAAATGCCTATGAAGATGCCCAGTACCGTTTGTAGTTTTACAAGTCAAAGCATGTTTGCAATAAATACACACAGCCTTTGGAAGAATAGTCTCATCATCAAGTTTTTGGTCACAAACTTTAAAATGTTTCCAAACTTCAGAAGTTTTTTTTCTTTTTTTAACCTCAGTTTGATCAATGTTTTCTTCTTGAGTGTTTGATTCAAGAGGCATATTAGCATGCATAGGTTGCTCCACATCATTAGAGGTTAAGTTGTTCTCATTATTAGGCATGTCATCAGGATTAAGATGTTCAAAATTATTATCATAATGCTCACCAAAATCAATATAATCTCGAGGATCCATTAACAGAATAAATAAATAAATAAATAAAATACCTCCCTTGGTGATTACAGAATCTCCAATAGAATTTCACACCCTCAAATACTTGTTAAAAATGCACACCTTAGAATGTTGGCTGCATTAAACCAATGATAGCATCCCACAAAACAATCTGTTATGGTTCAAGCTTGTTAACATCTAAATCCTTTAAAAGTAGCAACATTCATAAACAATTGGAACACATAAAGGAAAATAGAAACACACAAGTCGTACTCAACTTTAGTCTGTAATACCAATTTATTTTCTTTTGGGGTGTCAACATTGAATATGTTTTCCCGCTGTTCACGACTGATTATTAAGAATAAAATTTGTATCGCATTATTTTAAATAGAAAATTAACAACAATGGCACTGGAAAAAGAAGAAGAAAGAGAATGGCAGTTGCATGTTCTCTCTCTATTATTAAGCCGACATTCCTGTGTGTAATAGGTCAACAAGATGAAGTTATATAAAGATGGGAAGAATAATAGAAACATTCTTTTTATATACAAAAAGAGAGAAACGTTCTCTTAACATTGCTTGCTGCATAAATCAAATCAAATGGTGTTTGATATGCAAAATGTTTCATTCAATTATGGGCAACTACTATTATCTATATCAATGAATTCAAGCAAAATTTCACCTATATACAACTCTCTATCCAGCTTTCTGTCAAATTTATTCTCAATGGGGTTAATGTGTTGAGCTTTTATACAAGTCCTACTCAACTTCTATCTGTAATACCAATTTGAGCTTCTTCTATCTTTCATATTCCAATTAACAGACTCGGTATATTGATCTTTTTGGGGTTAATGTATATAAGAACTCTCTCAAAAAGACTACAAAAAGAATGTTTGAAAATCCAAACCAGATACTTACCATTCAATTGGACTGAATCTTCCTTCTTGTCTCCCAATTTGAACATAGAAGGTAAAATCTGCAAAACTCACACCAAAAAATCAAAAAATTTAGACTGTTGTCTTTGATAAATAATTAAAAATAAAAATAAAAACAAACTCAGACCCTACAATCAATGTTTCTCACAAAGTTTGAGCAACCAAACATAGAAACTATACGGTTAAAGCTCTTACCTTGCAAATCCAATTCTGTAGAATAAGAGAAAGCTCGTAAGCCGCCAAATACAAGTATCGCAGTAGTAACAGTGCAAAAGAATTGGTCCTTGCTGATCGTTCGCAAGCTATTTAGATGCCTCCAACACAGGTTTTGGGTTTTTATGATGCTATATGGATCTTCCAACACAGATTTGGGGTTTTTATAATTGGGGGTATTTCCTAAAGATTTATGATATGTTGGAAGAGGAAGAGGAGATGCAGAAATCAAGAGGAAGAGGAGGAGATGCTGCTTTGTTTTCATCGCTTCTTCATGCACGGCTCCTCACGCTTCTAGGGCTGACACCTCTAGACGCTTTGAGTTTGAGTCCAACTCCAACTCTCCAACTCCAAATCTATTTGTTAAGTCATTAAGGCTGGGTGGTTGTTTGTCAAGTGTTTTATTAAGTCACTTAAGTCTGTTTGGTAAGTAATTGGTCATTGCATCAATTTTTATTATTTTTTATTTTATTTTATTTACTTGCTATTCCAACTTGGTAGTGAAAAAATGCAGTAGATGATTTAAGTGGGCTTGGGCTCGTGCCGTGCTTGGAGCGGGCTTGGGCCAAGCCCGTCTCATGTCGGGCCACGGGCCGGCCCGGTCCATTGGACCTTTTTTTTAATCCCGGCCCAGTCCAAGCTTTCGTGTAGTGCCGAGCACGACCCATTCATATTCATGCTCGTGTCGTGCCGTGCCTTATTTAAATGGGCTGGGCTCGTGCCGTGTTGGGCCAGCCCGTCTTGTTTGACACCTCTAGGCATACTAAGGAGTCCATCTTTTTATCCAATAAAGACACAATGTCGAATAATTATGGCTTGTTGTCTTTTACATAATCTCATTATGAGGGAGATGTCTAGGGATCCACTAGAGCATGAATAAATGAAATTGAAGAGATGAAAAATGTAATAGAAAGTGATATGGTTGGCATCATTGGAGCATTGGATGAATGGACTACTTGGAGGAATGACTTGGCCTTCCAAATGTATAATGAGTGACAAGGAAATGCGAATAACTAGCCAACTCTTGTTATTTATGTTTGAGTTCTTAAGGTGTTTTCTTTTTTATGTGATTGTAATTTGTATTTGAGGCATGATAATTCAGCCTTAACAATGTATTGATTGTGGTATTGTAGTCAATTTATCAATTGTTTGTAGATTTTATTTCTCCTTTTGTTTTTAAGGTTATGTGATGTACTAGAGAAGAGTCATGTTTTGAAACAAAGTTATGTTTTCTTTGTAGTTTCCAATTATTAATTGTGGTATTATTTTATTTGTGCTGATTATTCTTAGGGATGGAAAGTGAAGGTAATAGTCAAAACTTTGAACAAGGAAAGAAAGGAACTAGGCAGTCATGGCCCAAGTTTGAGGAAGATGCATTTTTGACCATGCTGGATGATTTTGTGGCTGTAGGCCAACGCTGTGAGACTGGTACTTTCAAATATGGTACTATGGTCCAAATGAAGAAGGCTTTGAATATAAAATGTGTTTATTCAGGGCTAAAGGCATGTCCTCATATTGAATCAAAATTGAAGAAGTGGAAAAAGCAATATAGTATAGTCTATGACATGGTAAACACAAGTTGATTTGCTTGGAATGATATAAAAAAGTGTGTTGAGGTTGACAGTAATGATGCATGGGAAACTTATGTGCAGGTACATGATTACTTATTTTTGTTATTTTTCTTACATAAAGATGTCAAGTGGGTTTGATGAGTGTAGATTAAACTTGCTTTTGTTACCTTTTTTTTTGGTGCCTTGTTTTATCATAGCATCACAAGGAAGCAGCTGAATGGAGGAGCAAACCATTTCCTTTGTTTGATACACTTTCTAATATCTTTGGAAAGGATCATGCTAACGGACGAAGAGCTGAAGTCCCTGCTGACATGATGGAAGAGCAAAGCAATAATGAAGTTAATGCTAGTGATTATTGTGTCCAGGAAGATGCATCTCCTGTGTCTTTAAACAAAGAAGGAAGCCAATCCATGAACAGTTAAAATAAGAGGAAAAGAGCTGCAAGCTTAAGTGATGAAGAGAAGATTGTGACTGTATTGGAGAAATTGTTTGAAGCATCTGGGAAAAGGATACAAATGGTGACTGAGGCTATAATAAAAGGTAATGAAGATCGGTCTGATATTGCCAAAAAACTCAAGAAAATGGGATTTTCTCCTTTAGATCAAATAGTAGCACTAAAACTCATTTTGGAGAAAGCCACAAAATATATCTATATTTATGTCTTTGGATGATGATATCAAGAAAGTGTTTGTTGAGCAGTTGCTTAGTGACAATGCTTGAGGACATGGCCTAGCTAAATTTGATGCATCTATCTTTTTGGAAACACCACAAATGATGGATTGATAAGATTGGCTTCATTTTGGAAACACCACAAATTGTATAACATATTGCTAGCATTAGATAGTTCATGGTTGTGGGGCTTATTTGTTCATTTTGAAATTGTGGATGTTTATTTGTATGTATTAAAGGTAGAATTGTGTGTAGTGAACTAAACCTCTAATTTCTGAGTCATGTAGATGACTTTGGCTTATATGAAGAATTTCTAACTTTTTCATATATGAAATGTACATGTCAATTTGGTTTGGAGGAAAAGAAATGTATATGTCAATTTGGTAATTCTAATAACAAAAAAACTTACATTTAATTATTTAAAAATTATTATTTTTAGTCCGACACAGCACCAAACATAAGTCTTCACTATTTTTACAATCTAGCTTCTTAGTCTGACGCAGCACCAAACGTAGGTCAATACTTAATCCAGCTTAATCCAATCCGAGCTAATCCAAGACAGAACCAGGATTTAGTCCAGTCCATGACAGTCCGCCGTACCAAACGACCCCACAAAGATTTCTTCAACCTACAAACCAGATTTCCTTTACTCGTTTCAATGAACCCATGAGGTTGACTTATGTAGATGTCTTCCTCTAAGTCTCGATGGAGGAACATCGTCTTCACATCCATTTGCTTCATCTCCATGTCCCACTTTGCCACTATGGAGAGCAACAACTGTATAGAAGTATTCTTCATCACCAGGGAAAAGATCTCATCATAATCAACTCCTTGCTTTTGTCAGTTGATGAGTCGATTTTATATTATATATTTAGCCTCATTCTTAGTATATTTTGGTTAATATTTTGGAAGAATTTTGATACTTTGAATTATATTTCCAATATAGGACTTTCGACTTCCTCTGGAGCAAAACATAATCAAATGGACGAATTTTGGAGTAATTCCAGTTGGAGGACGTTCATGAGCCACTTAGCTTGATCGTATCAAAATATCAGATTTTTCCACCAAGCGATGATTTCCTGGCGAATAAATGAAGGAGCGATGTGCAGTGCTGGAATAGTGACGTTTTGGGCTTGTATTGCGTTTTTGGAGCCCAAGATGACCTCGGATGGGTTCGTGGCCTTCAGGAGAAGTGTTCGGAATATTTTTATCTTTAAAACGAGCTATCTTGGGCCATATTTGGAGGAGATTTGAGACCAAAACGTGGCTGACCAGATTATTGGCAGATTCTCCTAATCCAATTTGGACTTTATTTCCTAGTCTTATTTTATTTTAACTTAGTTTCCTTGTGGGGATTGGGTAGCTAGGTTTTAGGAGGTATTTAAACTCCTTTTCACAGCAATTTAGAGAACTTCCTTTTTACTTCTTTTTGGCTTTTGGAGCAATTGCTAGGGTGAGGCCACGAACCTTAGCAAGAATATGTAGTTTCTGTCCAATTTGCTTATGATTATATGCATGCAGGTTTTCGAATTATTCGTCACTGGGTTAAACTATCTAAGTGTCTTGATGCTTGATCACCATTAGGATGTTTAGAAAAGTAATTTGATGCAGTTTTGGTTGGAGGTCGGTCCCTGAAATTGACGAAGGCTTCTCGTGATTAATATGTGCAAGTTCACTTAGGATGAATACCACGTCTTAAGGGTTGCATGGTTTTTCAAAAGGTTTCACATAACTTAATGAGTCATGTATGTTTAGATTCGATCTGAATACCACAGACGGATTGCATGTATGATATACGCTCTATGTTGGGGGTCCAAGTAGGCATATATTAGGAATACCTAACCTCCGAAATATGCATGTATAGGTCATAAGTAATTGGGGGAACTATATAGAATTGTTAAGGTGACGGCGGATCCCTAGTGCTTTAGTAATTTGATTTCTAAAAACACAACTTCTTCTCTTGCTCTTAGCTTTAATTTTGCATATTGCCTTATTTTTATTAGTTAAATTCCTTTTAATTTAAGGTCTTCAAATCAAACATCTCAACTTTCTCTTTTGCAATAATTAATTAGAATTTGGTTGCTACGAGTTATTTAATAATCCCTGCGGAGAACGACCTTGCTTGAATCATTTATACTACAATAACCTTGTCATTCTTGCAAGTTTTGTAGGAGTTTTAACCCTGTTTGCGCAGGTACTAAAAAGCCTATCATAAGTACCCATTGGCCACTAGACGAGCTTTGAATCTAGTTGGCTATTTCTCATGTATCCCTTCCTTCTTCCTAGACACCAATTTGCAGCGGATCACCTTTTAATCTTTAGGTTTGGGAACCAACTCCCAAACAGAGTTCTGGTGTAGGGATTCCATCTCATTCATCATAGTATTCATCCAACTTTCCCTCTCCAAACTTTCCATCTCATCAAATCGTTGAGGAGGTTTGATGGTTCTCTTAGGCCTGGACCTAGCTAATGATGGCAGCTCCACCTGATCCTAAGCCTCTTCTTCTTCTTCTTCATCTTGAGTTTGTTGTTGTTGCCTAAATTCTTCCACCCCAATATCGGACTCCACCACCTCATGAACATCTTCAATTGGTTGCATACTTGGAGTATTCTCGAACACCCTACTTGGTGAAATTATAACGGTTGTCTTTGTTCCAACAAAATCCTCATTCGTCTTCAGTTTCTTGACTTTAATCATAGGCATGGTCTTCTCATCAAGCACATCATCGATATTGAGTATTTTCTTCCGGTTCACTGGATCCCATAACTTGAAACATTTCACACTGCTCTCAAAGCCAAGGAATTTGCACTCAAGAAACTTTGGTTTCAACTTGGTTTTCTCATCACTAGGTATGAAAGCATAGGCACTTCATCCAAATACTCTCAGACTAGTATACTTAATAGATTTATTAGACTATACCTCTTCTGCACACTTGAAATCAAGATACTTCGATGGCATTCTCCTTCATGAAATAGACCCAAACCTTCCTAGAAAAATCTTCCAAGAATGTGACGTAGTAGCTCACTCAATCATATGCCCTAGCCTCAAATGCAAAGTGAGTGTCATACTCTGAGTCCTTATTGGTAGATATAGTTGCTCCACCAGTCACCATTGTACCACATAGTCGATACATGCAGTTAGGTTGAATCTCTCCCTTCATAACCACTTGTGAACCCTTTGAGAGCATGAGCTTACCTCCCTTGGCCTTGTAGGAATACTCATTCTTGTCAAGTACAGAGGGAGATGAGATTTTTCTTCAACTTTGGTATGTACCTAACCATACCCAAATGTCCTAACCATGCCATCATGCATCTTCACATTGATTGTAACCGTTCCTTCGATTCTACAAACCGAGTCTTCCCCCATCATAACTTTGTTGCCGTAGTCCACCTCATACGTGTCAAACCAATATTTGTTTGAACACATATGATATGAGCACCCAGAATCCAAAATCTAATAAGAAGATGAAACCTTGGAAGAGATAGCAAGTGCATTAGTATTAACAATGATATTAGTAAATAAAAGCTCACCATCGCTATCCTCCACGACTCCGACTACTTCCTGTTGTTTCTCTTCTCTCTCCATTAAGGAAAATTCTTCTTCCAATTATCCTTTGACGGACATTCAAAACAACGGTCTTTCGCCTTGGATTTTGATCTTCCCCTATTTCTCTTCTTGCCTTCGCACTTACTCGATCGACCTCTTTCTCCGGACTTTGCTACAAAACCTTCAACTTGAGAAACACCCCTGGAACGTTGAACCATTTTGTCATGCATCAGGATGTCTCGTGACAGGACCTACCCTGAATTCCAATCTCACATGACCTCTTCAAACTTCAAAGTTCCATCCCCGAACATAAGCGCCACACATAAGTGTTTATAAGATGGTGGCAAGGATGTCAATAACATCACAAACTTGTCTTCCGACTTATAAACCTCATCCATCCTCTTCAAGTCAGCAATGCACCTATTAAAAGTGCTCACGTGCTCCATCATGCTTGTACCCGCCTCCATCTTTAGAGAGTGAAGCTCCTCCTTCAAGAAGAGCTTGTTGGACAACGATTTGGCCACAAACCTCTCTTCGAGTTTCTCCCACGTTTGCTTCGTGGTGTCTTCTATCACATTACACAACACCTCGTCAGTTAGATGTTGTTTAATGGATCCTCTAGCAAGCTCATCTAGGTCCTCCCAATATGCATCCGTCGTGGTTACTAGCTTTTTTTTATTTGCTTGCCAAGACTTTGCTGAGACATTGCTTCTTAAGGACATGTTTCATCCTTCTTTGCCATAGCATGAAGTTCTCCTTGTCGGTGAATAGTGATCCAAAACTTCTAGTTGATAGAACTATGAATTCCTAGTTTATAGGAATAAGGGAACAAGAGGAATTTTAAGACAATTAGAGAAACAAAAGGAAGAAGCTAAGGAACTGCTTTGAGTTCTGCTTGTTTAATTCATTCAACTACAATGTTTTATATACAAGCCTGAATGCCTAGAATAGAAAGCTAAAAATAATAAATGAATTTAAACCACAAATGTTAAGTGGTTTAAATTCCTTAGGTAATTCAAACCATTAATTTTTAAATGGTTGAGAACCATTTTTTTGTAAACCATTCGAGTCTAATGGTTAATAAGTTATTCAATTTAATTTAATTTAAATAATATTTATTGTTTAATTATCTTGAAAAGATCCACCTGGATCATGGCTATCCCATTTAAGACCTTGAGCTTCTGCTCAAGTTAAATGGTGAGATGTGGAAAATCTTGGGTAGCCTTGTCTCGAATATACCACTTCGATTTGCTAGGAAGTTGCCCTTTACTCCCAATATGAAAATACTCATACTTTCCATGTCGGGTCTCACAAACCTTCTGCTCCAAAATACAATCCTCCAACAAAGGGTCTTCTCATTCAATCTTTAAGTCATCAACAGATGGAAGACATGTGTCTTTGTTGGGATCATCATCAAGTAGAGATGGCTCAAAAAGTTTAAGATTCTCAGCATTGATGATCGAGTACATATGCATGTATGGTGGTAATTCAAGTTGAAAGGCATTATCCCCAATTTGTTTGATGATCTTGAATGGTTAGACCTGGCATTCATGTCGTGTTATCAGTGTTCATATCGTGTTCGTGTCAACCCATTTTTCTTAAGGCTTGACACAACACGACACAATAAGAAAACGGGTGGAAAATATCAAACATGAACACGACCTGCTACGATTCACGAATCACACGACACGACCTGTTTCACCCGTTAAGAAAATTAACTTTTTTAATGAACAAATTTTAAATGCAAATAGTACATGCCCAAAAAATTAATATCATTCCAACAAAAGCTAAAATTCTTGAATTTAATTCAAATTTCAACATCCGTGAACATGATCCATTCTAACAAAAGGAAAATGCAAAACAAATATGAAGTAACATCCATGAAGATCCGCATTAAAAAAAAACAATCCATGAAGATGATCCAAACTTCAACATTTCACCAATTGCAATTTTCCTGGAAAAAAAAAATGATAGACAACTATGAGAAAAGTATACAATTATTGAGAAATATTACATTGATAAAATATCAATTACTCATCAATACCTCTCATCAATCTTCAAGAGAAATACTATTGGAGCTTTGTCCTAATCTATTATCTTGACAAATAAGTTTGAAGATATCTTCAGTAAGGCTTTCCACAGTAGCACTCTCTTCCTCCAAAGCTAAGCATTGAAAACCCAAAAGTTACAAAACATTCACATAATGAAAAAAACAGAAAATAAAACACTAGTTTTAAGTTATATAAAATTTACCTCCCTTGCCAAAAAGCCAATCTCGAGTACACAACAAAGCTTGAACAATTTCAGGCAATAATGAACTACGGTATTGATCTAGTACTCTACCACCAATACTAAAAACGGATTCCGATGCAATCGTAGAAATAGGAATTGTTAACACATCACGAACTAGATTTGAAAGTATCGGATAATGAAAATGCTCCATTTGCCACCAAGAAAGAACATCTATGTCTTGCTTTCTATCTAGTCTTTTCTCATCCAAATACTTGTGCAATTCATTTTTCCTACTTGTACTTGGACCATTTTTGTAACTATTATCAAAATCCTACATCATACAAAATGAAACATGCAAATATTAGAATTATGCATCATTGTAATATATATAATATGCAACAATAAATATAAAAAAGAAAATAACTTTAGGTTACCTCAAAAATGGTGTCTCCATCTTCCGTATGACTAGCCGTCTCATTGATTCCATTATTCGAAGTAACAAGATGAGACAAATTTTCCGAGTACACATCAAAAAGAGATGTCAATGTGTCTCTAACATACTTGAACTCTTCAAAATCCTTACCATGAAGCTTGGTATAAGCCTACTCCACAAAATGCAACTTATAACGAGGATCCAAAATAATTGCAATTGCAAGAATTAAACTGTACTCTGACCAATACTTCTCAAACTTCATGTTCATATTAGTTCCCATCTTGTTCATGAAACCATCATTATCTTCCATGGCTGCCTTGATTTGGTGTTGTATTATGAACACCTTAGGGAAGAATATATTTGATGTGGGGTACTTTGTCCCAGAAAATAAGCATGTAACATCATCAAAGTACCCCAAAAACTTGGAAATCTTCTCTACTTTAATCCACTCTTGAGGAGAAGGACAACTACTAAAATTGGAATCAATCAATCCTAAATTAAAGCACGACGATAGAAAAGTGCACTCTCAAGCATGGTATAAGTTGAGTTCCATCTAGTAGGGACATCTTGTCTCAATCCTTTCTTATTACCCATTATCCCCACTTGTGCAACACATTCATAGAACTTTTGTTTTCTCCCCTCAGAACCCTTTATATATTTGATGCACTCACGAATCTTTATCACTGACAAATCAATTTCCTTAAGTCCATCTTGGACTATCAAGTTTAAAATGTGAGCACAACAACACACATGAAAAAACTTGCCACTCATCAATAGTAGACCTCTAAAGTTCAATTGATTCGTCAAAATCTCAACAAAAGAAGTATTTGCAGAAGCATTATCCAAAGTAATGGAAAACTTCTTCTCAATCTCCCACTCAGTTATTAATGCATTGATCTTTTCAGATAATGCAACACCAGAATGTGGAGGAGGCATATGACAAAAATTTATAAGTCTTTTGTGCAATCTCCAATCTTGGTCAACAAAGTGAGCAATAAGAGCAAGATACCCATCAGTACATACAGAGGTCCATAAATATGAAGTTAAACAAATTCTTCCCTGAATTGAGCTTAACAAAGTATGAAGCTTTTGTCTTTCACTTTTAAACATCCTCAACACACATGCCCTAACAGTATTTCTACATGGCAGCTTAATATCAGGAGAGAAATATGCAAACAAAGCCCTAATTCCCTCATATTCAACAAAACTAAAAGGAAAATTATGCAAACAGTAGGTAGTATGCAGCACCAAATATGTCTCCTAAAGAGAAGAAAACATGCAACATATCCTAAAAGCGTTAAACAACACAGTTACGAAATATGGACAAATAAACTATGTGAGTTTTTCAGGACAGCAAACAATAGAGTATTTACATACTAGAATTTACAGTCCAAAAATTATTTGCAATATAAAAAATCATCGTGGCAGAATATAACAACAAGGTCCACAAGGTAACAATTGCTTTGAAATATGTTTAAAAATCATTGCTTGCAACAACTTCATAAAGTAAATGTCTGCTCTGCAACTCTAAAATGAAAAATATAAATAACATTATAAATAAATAAAAATAAAGACCTTCTAGGTTCCTTGTTTGTGTGATACCAAAGGCTTGGCAAAATTCAGTAGCTTGATCTTGCTTAACAACTATATAACAAGAAGAGTTTGAAGCTCTTTCGCATCTTAAGTAGTGGTGAATTCACATAAAGAAACAAGCAGCAAAAAGCCCAAAATCTCCAACCAAAAAAATTCAGAAAAACATTCCTACCTTGAGAGAGGATTTGGCGGTGGGGGAAGATCTTCAAAGATAGAGAGAGCAGAGATTGCAAGAAGAAGGAGAAGATGAGGACTTGAGAGGTAGAGAAAGAAAGTTGCAGAGAAGAGAGGAGGAGACGTTATGCTCTACTCACTTAGCCAACTGACGGCCCGACTCAGAATGAAGAGATGATGCTAGGGTTAGAAGGTTTTTTTTTAGAATTGAAAATTACAATTTTACTCCCGCTTAACGAGTTGGTTCGTGTATTCGCGAATGGGCACCGAAACGACCCGTTAGCTTAACGGGTCAACACGATAGCAACACGACGCGATAACTCAAACCCGAATACTGAATTTTTCGTGCGAATTTGTATCCTGTTAACGGGTCGTGTGCGATATTGCCAGGTCTATTAACAGTCCATAATGAATAGGCTTCAATTTCTTGCCTTCGCCGGTTAGCCGCTCCTTTCCAAGGTGTAACCATACTAGGTCACCTTCTTTGAAGTTACATGGCACATGATACTTATCATGGAGATCTTTGTATCATTGCTGAGAACGTTTCAGTTGTGCCTCCACTTCAATATGAATCTTTCTGACTCTTTTGGGAACTTTTTGTGCTCGAATATGTTCTTCTTCTTCTTTCCCACTTAATGGCATAGTGAATGCTAAATCAAAAGGACTCTAGGGTAAATAACCTAAACAAACCTCAAATGGAGATTTGAGTGTGGAGCCATGAATTGCTCGATTAAAAGCAAACTGTAAGTATGGGAGACTTTCATCCCAAGTCTTTAGATGTTTGGAATTGTAACCCCTCAACAAGTGTACCATAGTTCGGTTTACAACCTCCGTTTGCCCATCTGTCTATGGATGAAATTAGGGGTGGGCATCTTAAACCGAAATACCGAAACCGTACCCTAACCGTACCATACCATACCGATTTCATACTGTTTCATTTGGTATGTGGAGATATTCAGTACCGTACCGTACCGTACCAATAGAGTATGGTATGGTAGCGGTATCAAGATTTTGATACCGGTCAATACTGTACCGTACCGAATAGTACTTGAATTCAAATCATGGGCTACAAATGAAGCTTGGATTGCATAACTTTCTATTTTTGTCATTTATGTTTGGATTGTGTTTGTATTTTTGTAAGCCATAAGGCATAATTTTAACTATTTTGGGTTGTAAGCCACAAGGCATGAGTTTTAACCATTTGGATTTGATGAATTTGTTGATGGATAAATATTGATTTGGTTGACTTGGATTTGGTTGATTTGGATATTGAATATGTTGATTAGGATTTGGATATTGAATATGTTGAATCTTTGAATTTGTAACTTAGGCATCACTTATTTTGGTGAATGAATACGTTAAATATTGAATTGGTTCATTTTTTTAGTTGTGTCATTTTGGTACCGAAATGGTACCAATACCGATTTGGCACGGTACGGTACGGTATCAATTTTGGCAAACAATAATCCCATACCGTACCATACTGTACTGTGCCCACCCCTAGATGAAATGTCGTACTTCTTTTCAATATGGTATCCATCATTCCCCATAACGACCTCCAAAAATGGCCTAAGAATCGACTGTCTTTGTCAGAAATAATTGATGTAGTTAAGCCAAAATGCTTCTAAACATGTTGAAAAAATAACTTAGCAGCTCCTTCTCCAATAACGATCTTCTTGCATGGAATGAGAATCATCATCTTACTGAAACGATCTACCACCACAAACAAGTAGTCATTTCCAGACTTGGTGTTAGGCAATCCACCTAAGAAATCTATTGAGATACTCTCTCAAGGTTGGCTAGATACTGACAATGGAAGATACAGTCCTAACTTTCTATTGGAAGGCTTCGATGTGTTGCATAGAACACAACCTCGAATGTATCGTGAAACATCGAGATGCATCTTTGGCTAATAAACATAGCGACGAAGATTCAATAAAGTCTTCTCAACCCAAAAATGTCCTACTACTTTGGAAGTATGAGCCTCATGAATCCACTGCAATCAGTCGCCATCTTCTGGAATGCAAAATTGTGTTCCCTTGTACATTAGTCCATCCGTCAATTGGAACTCACTTGTCTTTCCTTGTTGCAGCTTGGCATAGGCTAAGTTGAAATTAGCATATGTGTCGTACCCTTTGGCATATTCAGAAGGAACAATATGTTGGATTTTCATAGCCACCAGCAATGCGGAACTAACTGGTGTAAGTGGTCTAGATAACATATCTGCCAACTTATTAGTTGCTCCCTTTTTGTACTTTATCATAATATTGAATTGTTGTAGGTAAGACATCCATTTCATATGGTGAGCTTGCTATAACTTAGATTGTGTAGTTAAAAACTGAAGAGGTTTATGATCTGAGTGAACTACAACTTCTTTTCCCAATAAGTAAGCTCTCCTATACTTCACTGCTTGATGCATTACATACAACTCGTCATAAGTCGGATAATTCAATATCGGTCCACTAAACATCTTAGAATGGTATGCAACTGGTTTCCCATCTTGAAATAACACGGCTCCCATAGCATAGTTCAATGCATGTGCTTCCACTTCAAATGGTCTTTGCAAATTCGATAATGCTAATACTGGGGCCTCTGTAATCTTCCGTTTCAACAATTGGAAAGATTCCTCATGGTTTCTCTGCCTTCAAACTTTTGATTGGCCTTTGTTAGAGAATGTAAGGGTGCTGCAATTTGTAAACTTTCGTAAATATTGAGATGCACCTATAAAGCTCCGAACTTCAATCACTGTTTGGGGAGTAGGCCATTGAGAAATCACCTGCACTTTCTCCCCATCCACTTTCAATTCTCCTGCACCAACAATGAATCCCAGGTACAGGTATACAAGGTTTTGTTTCCCAAACTCACACTTCTTACTGTTTAGCTACAGTTGATTTGTTTGAAGAACCTCCAAAACTTGAGTAATATGACAAAGATGGTCCTCCTATGTGACACTGAATATCAATATGTCATCCATGTATATAATGACGGAGTTGTCAATGGCAGAGTACCTCATTCATCAATCGCAAGAAAGTAGCTAAAGCATTGCATAATCCAAATGGCATGACTAACCACTCAAACAGTCCCTGCTTTGTTTTGAATGCAGTCTTCCAAGTATCTTCTTCCTGGATGCGGACTTGGTGATAGCTAGATTTGAGATTAAGCTTAGTGAAGTAGCATGCACCATGTAGTTGATCTAGCAGGTCATCAATCCTCGGCAATGGATACCGATTCTTAATGGTTTTTTTGTTGAGTCCCTTATAATCTACACAAATATGCCAGCCACCATCTTTCTTAGGCACAAGTAACACTGGTGAACCACATGGTGAGCAGCTAGGTTTGATGACGCTTTGTTCAAGAAGTCCTTGAATTTGCTTCTTGATCTCGTCAGATTCCATCACAGAAGTGCGATACAAACCCAAGTTTCGTACAGCTCTCCTCGGTGGCAAACCACGCAAATCCTGAAATAAGTCCTTGAACTTCTCCTGTAATTTCCCTATGTTTGAGATTGCGTAGGAGATAAAGACAAAGTAGACAATGTTACAGCTCCAGAACTCTGATCTTGTGGTTGAATCATCAACAAAACAAATCGCCCATATGAATTGACTAACCTCTTGGCTTGGTTAGCTATCAGTAAATTATTTGTAAGCAAATTATCTGTAGCTTGAGGCTTGCAAGCATTGATGTGGAACTCCTTCCCATCCTTCACAAGTCGATACTTGAGAAGCCTCTGATAGTGAATGGCAACTCGGTCCCATAAATATGGACTGCCTAATATGACTTGGCAAACGTCCAAATGAACCACCTCACATGTCACCTCATCAATATATCGATTGGTGATAGCAAATTTGAAGGTACATTGCTTCGTGATCTGTAAGTCAACGTCCTTCTAAATCCATCATAATGGGTACGGCTTAGGATGTGGTGTGGTGTCTAAACCACTTTTCTTACTAATGCCTTTGAAATCAGGTTTTTCTGACTTCCAGGGTCAATGATAGCTTGTACAACACTTTGCTTCCCCATAATATTCACATCAAATAACTCTTCACGGTTGTACGTGTCTTCAGTATCTGCTGGTCTTGTCATAAGGGTAAGTGTAACATCAGGTTGCTTCAATTCTGGAAGCTTTTATACCTTTTGTGCAGTTAAGATAGCTTTTTTCTCATTTCTCCCCTGGTTGTTTTTCTCGCACTTTGGCCGCAACTCAGGATGGAGTATCCAACACTTGTCTTTGGCATGTTTGCTGGTTTGACAGTGATCACAATAGACCTTCTGTGTTTGACCTTCCTTGCTCTGTTTCCCCTTTTTCTACCACTCAGTTTTGTTGACAGGTTTTGATCTGTCATCCTTCTTGTCAGTTCTTTTATTTTTCGCCTCAATGGTGATGGCCTTCACAGTAACTTCTTCAATAGTATCTACGGTGAACAATTTTAGTTCTTTCCGTATGTAGTTTGCAAGACCTCCTATATACTTAATGAAAACATCGTAGTCGTCAACGTCGATGTCAAGAACCATAGCTTGGTTGTGGAACTATGTTGTATACTCTTGCATTAGCTGCCCAAATCTTTGTCTGAAGTGTTGCCACTTATACCATCGTTCATCTTCATAGCCAACTGGATAGAATTGTTTTCTCAAAAGCATATTGAAGTTCTTCCAAGTCAATTTTGAGACATCATACCGTCTTCCACTATGTAAGGGTATGGCTTGAAAGTTTCAAACTCGCAAATTTTATCTTTTGCATATTAGAATACTTATAAATTGTGAAATAAGTTTCTAATGTGTCTATCCAGTTATCTAGCTTTTTAGGATCAATATCTCCTTTATGTATAGGGATATCAACCTTAAAATCAATTTTTAAGGTATCAATAGAACTTTTGTTCTCACCTAATTCAGCTTAGTTTTTTGTTGGGTTGGCTTGTGTCTCATCTTCATCTTCGCTATCTTCAAGTCTTCAAACTCTCCACGAGTTTAAGGATTGACGCAGACAAGTTTCCAACATGTTGCTCAAGCTTAGTGATGCAATCGCCATCACTAGATATATCCTATTTGTTTTCTCTAGTCTTAATGTCTCTCTTGGATCTTGGCTTTTGGTGTACGAGCAAAGGACTTAAAATTTCTTCTCCATAAGCTTTGCGTTGCTTGCAAGTTGAGACCATAAGCCACCGTCACCCTCTTGATCTGGTGCTCTGATACCACTTGATCCAAAACTTCTAGTCGATCGAACTATGAATTCCTAGTTTATAGGAATAAGGGAACGAGAGGAATTTTAAGACAATTAGAGAAACAAAAGGAAGAAGCTAAGGAACTGCTTTGAGTTCTGCTTGTTTAATTCATTTAACTAAAATGGTTTATATACAAGTCTGAATGCCTAGAATAGAAAGCTAAAAATAATAAATGAATTTAAATCACAAATGTTAAGTGGTTTAAACTTCTTAGGTAATTCAAACCATTAATTTTTAAATGGTTGAGAACCATTTCTTTTTAAACCATTCGAGTCTAATGGTTGATAAGTTATTCAATTGAATTTAATTAAAATAATATTTATTGTTTAATTATCTTGAAAAGGTCCACTTGGGTCAAACGGCTTCAACTCCACCTTCATACTTGACACACTTGGCGATTTCATACTGGATCTTTCTCCCTCCTTGTATCCTTGGGCATAAACTAGTACTTGTTGTAACCGCGACTTTGATACCACTGGTTGTGTGAAAACACTTCAAGACCTTGTCGTTGATGGACTATGCAACTATCATACACAAGCTCCCCAAAAGATAAAGCACACACAAACTAAAAAGTAAACACGCACACAAAGAACACTAGAATTTATAAAGGTTCAGTGTTGTGCTTACGTCTTCTTGGTGATCCCCGAGAAATTCACTAGTATGAAAAAACTCCTTTAGTTACAATGAATAACCCCCTTTGATCTATCACAAGCCCTAGCTCACTTTTCTCTCACCCTTGGCTTAAACTCAATTTGATGCCTTAGCTTTCTCATGTTACAATAACTTAGTGCTAAAGTGCCTATTTATATGTCATAGGGCTTTAGTACAATTATAAAAGGAATAGGAAACTTAAAGGACCCCTAAACTAGGAGAATATTTGTCTAAATTCAGTAGGGATACGCGCTGGATTCGTGTGTCCCGCTCGATCGTCTGCATCCGCTCTAGTTTGAGTTCTACCGCTCAAGCACCTGCAGTTTCCTCTCAAGCGCCAGAGCCCAGTCAATACGTCTTCAACTCATTTGACTGCCCGTTTCCTTCAATCCTTCCGCATCTTTGAGGTGAGCCAACATCAACAGTTACCAATAGTAGTACTTGCAATGAAGAAATTGACATGTAAAAACCATGACCACACTCTTTTTCTTCCATGAAACAGAAGCCTAGTGCTCCTACAAGCACAAGCACCCGAAAATAGATCCCATTGCTAGAAAAAAAAATCGACACTCTTTCTTTGCTAAGCATTGAAATGGGTTATCGTCTAGTGAGTAAGGCGATGGATAAATTGATTTATATAAGGTCCTGTGCATAAGTACCACATGCTGCTTGTTATCTCGCATTTCCATGCAATCCCATCCACCGTAATTGAGCTATTCCCAATATCTCTTATTCATCGTTAATAGATATGGGAAATCGCTAATCCCCCATTATCCATCGATTCTCAAACTATTTGAATCAATTAATTATAGATATGGGAAATTGTTAATCCATGGTAATCCATTTATTCTCAATTTATCTTAATTAATCAATTATTGTTATTAGAAAGCTACAAAGAAAATTATTTTAAACCGCATCAACAACATCACGGCCGATCTTATTTACCTTTTACACAAACTTTAAGCTTGAATCCTTAACAATTTCTTTCATAAAACGAATCATGTAGTAGCCACACTCTACAGTCGTATGTTGCTTTGGAGAGCTCAACCACAAATGTACAAAAAAAATCCTCCTCAACTAAATCAAACTCCACAACAACAAAAACAAGAAAAAAGGGTCCCATTTCGAGTGATGGTTCTACATGCTCATAAGCAGTTTTGAAATCTTTATACTATAGAGCGAGAACAACGATTAGCTTGATAATAATCTCTTATTATAGTACAAACAAAAACAGTACCTTGGTGTGGAATGAAAGACTTGTATCTTCAATTATATCCATCATGCATCCCATCACACAATACCCACATTTACCTAGTATAGTTGTTAATTATTTATCTATTTGCTAAAGGTTTGTTGTTGTAGCCAAAAATAATGCTTAAGGAGAACATAGATCAATCAACATTATGGAAGAAAGGACACGAAGATAAAAATGGGAATATTCCAGACAAGAAGACAGTTGAAAAAGCTTTGAGAATTATAAGTGATGCAATAAGAGAGTCAATGAGTGATGTTTGGACTTTGCAACCAATCTCTCTTAATTTTATCGATTATAGATCTTGGAAATTGCGACAACAATCCACAATCTCTCTTAATTCATCAATTGTAGATATGTGAAACCAGTGATGCCATGCGATCACATCCATCGTAATTGTTTGAGCAAAATTATGCATGTGGAATATTCACGGGTTGATTCATCGATCTTAGATCTTCCTTCTCTCTCTTCCTTTATCCCTGCGAAATAAATTGGAGTAAATAGACCACACATGGGGGGTGTTGGCCAAAGGCCCTCCGATGCCTAAGTTAGTTTGATTGGATCTTGATAAAGATATGACAATAGCAAAAATGGATGGAGTTTTTCTCACGGGGAGTCCCAAGTGGCTGGAGCCATGTGGGAGAGAAAGGAGAGAGAGTGGCAGCAAGAGAGAGTTTTAGGGTTCAAAAAGAATTACCTTGAATTCCTTGTGTAGCCATGTATTTATAGGCTCCTTGTATGCTAGGGTTTTGGGAGAATAATCCTTATTTGGTTAGGGTTATTCTTTCCCAAAAATATTATATGAATTAATCCAAGAGATTTGGTGGAAATTGGTTCCTTGATTTAGGGAGATATTCCTATCTTAAATCAAAGATGATTCCCCTAATTAAATAGGATTTAATTAGGGTAATTAGTTTACCTAAGGAGATGAGGACCGGAATATGATCTTCTACCAAGCTTGTTGTCCTTCATGTAGTATCTTGCAACTTTCTGCTTGATTTTTCTAGCCTCAGACTTCTCCCTTGGAAAATTTTCATTTACCAAGTAGTCGATGATAGGGTCTTGCCAGCTGGGATCCTCATCAATCTGCATCAAGTTTGGCTACTCTGCTTCTTCAATGCTTGGCAGATTAAGGTGCTCAACCAGAGTTGAATGTCTGAACTGGGTGTCCATCGCTGATCTCAAGCTTGCCAGAGCATCTGCACGTGTGTTCTCTGCTCGAGGAACTTGTTGGATGGTAAAGGTAGGGAATGCCTTCAAAAGCTCTTGGACTTTGTCTAGAAATTGGATCATCCTTCAGTACTTCGCCATGAACTCCCCTGATGCTTGATTGTGATCAGTTGGGAATCTGAGTAGATGACTAACCTCTTAATAGACAACTCCTTTGCCGCATGCAACCTCGTACTCTACTTCATTGTTTAAGGCTGGAAAGCCTAGTGTATTGGCTCACTCTAACAAGGTTCCATCTGGGATGATTATAACTACGCCTACTCCAGCTCCCTTATGATTTAATGCTCCATCAACATGCAACTGTCACATGTCTTTGGGCATGTCAAGATCGGCAGAGGAGGTTTTGTCTTCTCTCGAAATTTTCTTGAATTTATTGACCAGCTTCTCTTCTTCGACTCGTGAAGTGAACTCTACAACAAAATCTGCTAAAGCCAGGGCTTTTATGAAAGTCTTCGACATGAAGATGAGGTCATATTGACTCAATTCAATAGCCCACTTCATGAGTCACTGAGAAGTATCGATCTTAAAGGAAATTATGTCATGATGATGATTTGGTGAGCTCGGTAGTAGGGTCTTAACTTTCTTGCGGAAACCACAAGGGACAAAATGACCCTCTTCATTTTTGGATAGCGAGTCTCTGCATCAAGGAAGGCTTTTGACTTATATAATACTGGATGTTGTACTCCCAGCTCTTGTCAGATGAGAGTTGAGCTGATTGCTAAGTGGGACACGACCAGGTACATGAACAAATCTTTGCCTAGTACGGGTTTTGAGAGTAGGGAAGGTGAAGTGAGGTAGGTCTTCAAGTTTTGAAAAGCTACTTCGCACTTTTCATCCCACTTGTCTCTTTGTCCTTTCTTCAAGGCTTTGAAGAATGGCCTCCACTTATTTGTGAATCTCGAAAGGAATTGGTTTAGAGGTGCTACTCTACCTATCAGACTTTGTATGTCTTTCATTGTGACAGGCAATTTCATGTTGAGGATGACCTTGAATTGATTCATATGTGCTTTGATGCCTCTTTAGGTGACTAAGTATCCTAAAAATCGGCTAGATGAGATTCCAAATGTGCACTTGCTCAAGTTCAACTTCATGTGGTACTTTCGGAGCAGGCTGAAGGCTGAAGGCCAAATTCTTGATGTGATCTGCTCTTTAGGGAGCTTTGACTAGCATGTCATCTACGTAGATCTCCATAGTTTTGCCGATATGCTCTTTGAAAATCTTGTTCATGAGCCTCTAGTACGTTGTTCCAACGTTCTTCAACCCAAAGGGCATGACTTTGTCACAATATGTGCCTTTTTCAATTATGAAAGAAGTCTTCCTTTTATCTTCATGCATCATGATTTGATTGAAGCTGGAGTATGCATCCATGAAGCTTAGCAGTTGGTTACCGGAAGTTGAATCTATGAGCTTATTAATTCTTGGCAATGGAAAGTTGTCATTCAGGCATGCCTTGTTAAAGGTCGGTGTAGTCCATGCACACTCTCCACTTGCCTTAGTCTTTCTTTGCTACCATGACAACGTTGGTCAGCCATTCCGAGTAAAAGACTTCTTCAATGAAGTAGGCAGCTAGGAGCTTGTCAATCTTGGCTTCAATGATGGAAACTCGCTTGGGAGCGAGGTTGCGTCTCTTCTGCGCCAACAAAGGGGTAGGATGGACTTCGGCCACAAGATCAAAAGGCGAAGTAGAAAGAGCTTCTGTGCTGGCGAGGTTGACATGAAGACAATGGTAGATGATCTACGGATTAATGCCTGGCATGTCAGGTGGTGACCACGTGAACACGTCTTTATTGTTCTGGAGGAAGGCGGTAAGCTCCACATTCTCTTCTTGGCTTAGGTACGAGCCGAAATGCGCTTTTCTTTCTAGCTTATCAGGATTAATGGGTACAAGCTTGACGCCTTCCTCAAGCTTCCATCCTTCTTCAGGAAAGACATCCAGACGGATTCCCTCAATTTGGTCCTGATTCTTTAATTTATATTGGGGAATGGCTAATCCATTTCCTTTATGGTCTACTTGACTATTAGGAACTAGATCTGCTTTCTCCCCTGCTTATTCTATTCCCTTCATATATGCTTGATTTACAGGGACGAACTGGGTTAGTTTGCTTTTCTTCAGCATTTAGCTGAGCATCTTCTTGCCATCGACTAATCACTGTTCATCTTCCCAACACCGCTTCTAGGGATTAGGTAGCAGATTTTCTGGTGCATGGCAGAAATGATAGCGTTAATCTTGCCAACACATGGTAGGGGGAGACTTTGTCAATTTTTTGGGTAGCGAATTTTATGATCAGATATCTCTATTATACAGGATCTACACACTTTATTAACTTCGACACATTTATCCAATGGAGATCCAACCAATAATGAATATTTCATTAACTAATATTCTAGCCCAAGAATAGATGCAAACGAAACAGATATAAATGAATTTGTAGCACCGAGGTCAAACAATATTCTAGCCCATGAGTTAAAAACTAGAAATGTACATTCCACTACGGCAGGTTCATTTTGCTCTACCACTTGTCCAACAGTATACACTTGTCCTTGAGTGAGTTGTTTTGGTCTTCTTGCAACTCCTGGTGCTCTAGGCCTTTGTTGTGTAGGTTGTCCTCTTGGACGTTGTGCTTGTTGATTAATAGGACCTCCAAATTGATTATGTGAAGCTTGATATGGGGCTTGGTGTGGAGCACGTTACTATGTTTGTGAAGCTTGAAATTGTTGTTGTGGTGCACGGAACTGTGGTTGTGGTTGTGGAACAACAGGTTTCTGATATAATTGTAGCTGGGGACAATCCCTCCGGTAATGTCCTATTTGCCGACAAAGATAACAAAATCCGGAGTTTTGAGTTGCCTCAAATTATCTTGCATTTTGATACTGGGAACGAGAGGGGAAAATATTTGGCGTTTACTACTTTGTCCCCAGTTAAGATTCTTAGGTTCCAAAACTCTATTAGAACTAAGTATCCTTTGTTCGGCCATTAAGGCATGATCAACAACTTCAACATACTTCTTCAACTTAAAAAGTTCCACTTTCTCATTGACCTCTAGTCTCAACCCTTCTTCAAATTTCTTTGCTTTTGTAGACTCATTAGGAATCATGTAAGCAGCAAAACACATCAGTTCTTCAAACTTAGTTTGATATTGTCCAACAGTCATATCACCTTGACAAAGATTAGTGAACTCACGTACCTTTATGGTGATCATAGTTTCAGGAAAATATTTCTCTAGAAATATTGTCTCAAAGGCAACCCAAGTTGCAATCTCAACATCAGGCATAGCCAAGACAAATTCCCGCCAATGATAAACTTGTCCTTTCAAATAGGTAGAAGCAATGGTCACTTTTAGGTTTTCGGGAACTCTTTGTTCATTCATCTTTCTCATAATTTGTCTTAACCATTCTTCTGCTGCCATAGGGTTTGCATCACCCTTGAACACAGGTGGCCTTGTCTTACGAAATTCTCCTTGAATCCTCCTTATTTGATCATCTTGAGTTTCTTGATGGGATTCATGGTTATGTTGATTTGTCTCACGAATAGCAGAGGCCATATCCTGAATGTCTAACATTATCCTCATACTATCACTCGCATCATTCTCATTTTGTCCTTCTACTCCAGCCATCTTAATAATTGAACCTTTACCAAATAATTCCACACGATATATATATTCTATTAAAAATTATATTAAATAATATTAAACATTTATAAGTTGTTACAAACCTATTTCACAAAATTTAACAAAACAGTCACAAACCTATGTTACAAAGAACTCCCCACTCCAAGACCTTTATAAGGCTGTCCACAAAAACTACACAAATCCACCATACCAAAATCAGCATCTTAGGTTCATAGTATCTATTTTATTAGTCAAACTTTTGAGAGAATCTATTCATCACCATAACTAATATCTATAATTTACTCGAGAGGGATAACAGGCTCGGGATATTCATTTTCATCATCAGAACTCAGATTGGTGACAATTGGATTAGACTTTTGTGGTTCAGTGATAACCACTGAAGGTGTTGACGCAATAGATTTAGCAGATAGAGCATCAAGGTCCAGAAGTTCCAAATATGATTCATCTCCTGGGTCTAGGACATTGGGTAAGCCTACCCTGTGGTTCTGGAACATAAGGTAAGTCTATCTCTGGTGGTGGCCAAATATCAGCAGTTATAATCACAACATCTTCCAACACTTGGTTGTAAGAGTGTGCTTCAATATTTAATTGATATTGACTCCTAATATTGTTGGCCTGCAACCGATGTCTAACAACCAGTCTCTACATCTCTGGTGTATAAAACATCCTTCTATGTCCTGTATTAACAACTTCATTAACTACGTCCACATAAGCTTAGTTGCGTAGACGACTGTGGTATACTTCTTTGTCTACTGGGATGAGGCCATCGGGTCCCATTCGGAACCCTTCTCATGTATCATCACTATGATCGGGTTGCATCCTAAATATTAATTTAATAGGTTAGTGCATAACAAAACAATTTAATGAAATCATAAAACTCGCTATGATACCAACTTGTCACGCCCTAACCCACAAATTTACATAACCTTGGGTTAAGATGTGATTCACACCTTAATTATAGAATTCAATAAAAACTATAACTAAAATGTGAAGGAAAAATTTAAATAAATAAAATAAATATTTCACATAGAATATTTAGTGGAACGACAACATCTGAAATCTTATAATTTTTACATTATTTTACAAGTTAGAACTACTCAAGAGTTACTAAAAGAGTAGCTCATGATTCATCCACAAGCTATGTACACAATACACTCTATAGATATGCCAAAATCATCAGAAGCACTAGATTTCAGGTTCAGTACCTACAAAATTTGTCAGGGGGTGAGCGAAACCACAGCTTAATAGGGACATAAACTTTTTCACGGTAAATTGATATAACTAAATTAAGTGACATACAATCACACAGCCAAATATCACATTATTAATAATAATGCATGAATGCTCTTCATCTAATCCTATTAATTCATATAACTGGATAAGCAAACCTGCACGTCCCATACCATATGTATACCGCTTGGTCTCGAATGCCCATTTATATGAACTAACCCCCATCTCAATCATCCTATAAATCCCCTTTTGTTAGTCATCTTGTCTAACTCCCTGTCGCCAGTCCCGTATCACCCAACAAAAATCATGTGCACTATGGGATCCCTGAGATCTAGTACCTGTCAAGACTTAGACTCAACTACACAAAAGATCATTTCCATTGTCCTCTTTTTCCATCATTATTTTCTCAGCCCAACAATTCCAGCCAATTTCCATGATATGATATAATTATGCCTTTCACATATCCTATATATCTTGTAATAATATAACCATTTAAAATATCAGCAATGTATATATATAATTATGCCAACATTGTTCAAATAGTTAACAACACGTAAACACCCAACATGAAGAATATCTATATAATATCAAGGACATCCATCAAATTATAATATCATATATAGTAGTCACGAAATTTAATTCAATCAATTTATGAAAAAGGCCCCTTAAGAAACCCCCTACCTTGACACCAAAGCTTTTGCTAGAAATGTAAGGTGTTTCCCAATTTTTCTTAACAATTCTACTTCTCTCTACCTATATTTTCTTAACAAATAGTACTCACGAAATCGCACAGCCATTTTGGGATTGTGCCTTGCGCTTTCCTCTGTGGTTCCTATTACCGGGCTTGTCACTTGTCTAACCTGCCTCCTTGAGTGGTTGTTCAACTTACTCAGCAGAATTCTTCGCGTTGATTCGATCGTCATCCCAAAGCCCGTATCATTCTACGGTCGCGAAGACCTCTACCAGACTCTGGCTAGGAGAGATAATCAGTTCACGATACATGTCGTGCTCAGCTGGTAAGCCTTTATTGAAAGCAGAGGATGCACTTCGATCATCACATCCCACAATGTTGGCTTTCTTTGCCCTGAACTTTTTGATGTAATCTCATAAGGACTCATCAGGCTTCTGGCCTAGGTTAAATAGGTGGTCGGCTTGTTTCTTGATCGTCCAATAGGAAGTGTACTAGTTTGTGAAGACGAAAGTCAGCTCCTTGAAGTAGCTGATCAACACGGATGGTAGGGTATGGAACTAATCCTAAGCTGCTCTTCGTAAGGTCATTGCAAATACCTTCCAAATCAGCGCATCCTCAGCCTTGTAGAGAATCATGACACTTTTGTAGTGCTTCAGATGACTCTCGGGATCAGAATCCCTTTTGAAGTGTGTGAAAGAGGCGTTGGGAATCGCCTTGGTAGAGCCGCGTCTTTGATCTTAGCGGTGAATGGTGAGGAGTTTACTTGGTCCACCTCCTCAGGCCGAACATCTTCGAAATCAACATCTTCGAAATCTCCTCCCATCTTCAAGTCTCATAGTCAGCCATTCACAAGCTTCTCGACATCATCTGCCCGCATGGCATGTAGTGCACGTCAATGTCTCCCATGACACGGGCGTCGCTGGTCTACCTCCTTGTTGTCTCTACGAAGCAGATTTTCATGGCTATCCTGCATACGTGACGTATTAGTGGACTGCACTTACAAGGGATCCTTTGTGTCTTGTTGCCGTGATTAGGCTCTTTTGGAGATAGCACATTCACGTCTTTCTTATAGTATTTCATGGAAGAAAATTGTAACTTGTGGTGCCAATGTTTATCTGATTTTTATTTTTTTTTAACCTGTGGCAAACACAAATTAATAAAAATATTAGTCACCTTATGATTAGAGATGAAAAGGTAAATGGGTCCCACCAGGCGTGCCAAAATTATGTTGAAGAAAATGTGAACCTCCCAACATAATTTCACCACCACTAATTAAATAATGGGGCTTTATTATTTTAGGTTCAACCCATTCGAGGAGCGGTGTATCTTAATTACAATCCATTTCTTCAAGGGATTACCCTTTGATTCTATCATAAAGAAACAATGTGTTTGGTTTGGTGGCTGCTCCTAAGTAAAACCTCAAGGTGCCTATATATCTCTTGCGGGAATCAATGACTCATTGCAAGGAAAATTTGATTTGAATTGTATTGAGAAGGGTTTGAGTGAATTCAGGGATTCAATATGGAATTGTGTTTGTGGCGAATTTGGTTAGAAATAAACCACGGATTCAAATTTGGTTGTGGTTCCTTCTAGTGGGATGCTGAACTGCCTACGTACACTTGACAGGATCAAATCGATGTAGTTCCAAATTGATTTGTGTGGAGACAAATTTTGATATGGAGGAATTTGGTTAATGTAACCAAAGATTCAAATTTGGTTGCGGTTGTGCCTAGTGGGATGTTAGACTGCCTACGTACTCATGACGAGATTAAACCAATGTAGTTCCAAAAATTTGAAAATTAATGGGTAAGTGTGGCCCATTAATTTAGAATTTGTGTCTTTGAGACAGTTTGGAGATTTTAAGATTTTCATAGTTAAATAAACCATGGAAAAAGAAATTGGATGGTTTTATACCATTTCTCTTATTTTCAATGTCCAAGAAAAATAATGAGCAATTTTGATGAACTCATTAATTTTCTACAATTGACATTTGCATTTGGACCCAAATATGGCCTTGAGGATTTTAAAATTGATCCATTAACTATACAATAAGCAATTTGGGCCTCTGTAAATTTGATGAGTGTTTATTTGGATCACCCATTAAATATTTTGGGCTTTTGAGAATTAATAGGCATACAACCTAATAATATGCTTCTGGGCCCTGACTTTTTTTTATTAGTTGGCTCATGACTGGTCATCTTCTTTCTCATCCCTTAGGTGAACAAGTCATTATCAAATTAGGATTTGAAAAATTGAAGCTGTGAAGGAATTATAGTCTTGACAGACTTAGGAAACAATTACACTGCCAAGAATCCCCCCTTTATTTAGAATAAATCCCAGACCCATTTTCCTTTGCTTCACAGTCAGACCATCTTAGAGAGCAATCTTCGTTTTCTCAACAAAAGGTATGACACAACCAAGAGTTTGATAGAATAGCATCTCTTTTTGCTTCTTTAGTTAAAGTAGACAACAAATATAATTGAAAACCAACTAGCCTAGGTCTCAAAGAGGCATGTGCCTCTTCTTTTTTCTTTCTTTTTGCTGAATTTTCTTTTTTTCTTTTTGTTGCGTTTGTATGCAAACAATCACACAAAGCCATCTTCTAGAACATGGCTATATATAAGCCTTTTCCCTTGTTTTATCTGTATGTACAACAAGCACAAGATAAAGAAGATCATCGAAGAGAGAGAGGGGTTGTACGACACAGCCCCATTTTCTTATTATTTGTTTTGACAGAACAACATGACTTCCTTTTCTTGAAGACCTCCATCCTTTTTTTTTTCTGCTACCTTTTCTTTTCTTTATGACTAAACACCCTTTTTCATTTTTTATGCAGTGTACTTAGAGAGAAAAAGGAAAGCTTTCTCAAGCAGAGAAGGAGGTCAGAGAGTCCAAGAGGTAATACACATTCCTGTTTTTTATACACATTTTGGAATTAACTCCCATAATATCATTTTTTTTTCTTCTCCCATGGATTTCCTTTTGCTTAGCAGAGCTTTGTTGAACGGGAATCATCAAGAGGATTTGCTATACACCCATGTGATTTAAGGGTTGCCACATAACATGGATTTATCATCCAAGAAATTGATTCAAGGGTTGCCACCACACAAAAATTAACGGGGATGACAGTATACCTGTGACCATTTCTTTCGTTCTTGTGCTCTAGCCATTTTTCCAGCAGCAGCCCTTTTTTTCTTCCGTTTCTTCTTTTTTTACTCTTTACTGCTATGCTTTTTATAGGCTAGATGTGAGAGACCTCTTTAGTGTAAGATGCTTCATTCAAATATTGAATAATCAGCTCCACAAAAATAGGAGCCACCAACTTCTCTTCAGAGTTTTCATTGGTTAGTTAGACTCCCATCTTTTTTGAACTCTTTTTCTATAATAGTTTATCAAGTTGTGTTTTAGCTCTGCCCTCAATTTGAGGCTTGCTGGATGTGGCACATAATAAAAGCCATTTGACTTCTTTGTTGTTTCAATGCACATGGGTATCAAAGTTGTGCGACTTATTCAATCCCACGTTTGAATTTTTTGTGAATTTTTTTTATTTCAACAAATGCCTCCTCAAGCTTTGTGTGTGTGATGCCTTTACGTGTGCAAAGCTTGAGATGCTTTTAACTAGCATTGTAAGCTAACATCCCTTTTTTTTTGCACCTTTGATTTCCGGTGATGGATGCTTACGGAAATCTTCACAAGGAGCATGCTTTTGATGAATATGGTAGGGCCATCGCCTTTGGTCCCCAATACATGAGATCTTGTCCTCTGAATTCAATCAGGCTTATGGTGCCTTTTGAGAGTCAAACAACTTGGTTCACCACATATCACGTGAGTAGTGGACTTCTCAAGCTCAACCCACATGAGGAACACAGAGTTATTCAAATTTCCCAAGGGCCCACGTTTTCTAGCTCACTCTTTGATGAAAGTAAACAATGAGATAGAAGGAGATAAACAGTGTCTTCCTAGAGATGAATTTTATCTGGTTATGCACAGGATGCTTCACAACAAAATTTCACGGGAAAGCAACTTCAGATTTTTCTATCGAGCTAACTTTCGAGCATTTGTACTAGCGTGGACAAAGTCTATTTTGAATGACGTCGGTGATGTCCTTTGGCAAACTAACATATATGGAGTTGTTGCCATTTCACGATACTTTTATGATTTTTGCCCTAATGTTTGGAGAGAATTCTGCGAGTTATAGGGGCCCTTATCCAACACATTCCATCGTGGGAACGGTGAAATGGGCATTTCTCTATACGACCTGAAAGTTATTGGTGGATTACCAATTTTGGGTCTCCCACATAATGAATTTATCCCTTTGAATGTAGAATTATGCCATGAGAACTTATATCCTTCAACTGTTGGGAAACTTTTGAGAATCCATGCTCAATTATACTTTTTCCATAAGAAGGGGCAAGTTTTCCACAATCAATGGATCAAGCATTTCTTTCCAGGGGAAGCCATATATGGTGCTGCTGGGAATAGCAATAACATAATTCCCAAATATAAAACCAAAGACCGCAAATTTCCCTTGAGCATTTCACATGAAGGACCATTGGCTGCTTTCTTAGCCTTTTGGCTTAGTTGCTTTGTCTTGCCCCTTGATAATGTTATAAGGCCATAATGTTTCAATATGGCAACTTTGCTGGCACGCAGGTTCAGAGTTTCACTTGCATCAACAATGTTAGGACTTGTTTACCATGCTCTCAGTACAGTTGCTACTCACTGTAGGGGTCCTGGTTTTGCAAATTCATATCTTCCCATTCATTATGTGATTGGCTGATTAGGGGAGCATTTTCTTGATCTAATTGATCGCCCATGTGATAATGACTATCCAGAACATTACCCTTTTCTAGCAAGGTATAGTTAGATTAAAGCCAAATATGTCAGCTCCAATCAAGCTAGAATCATCTTCAGGAGTGACTTTATGGTTTATCGCCCTATTCTTGCACATAACGATCAATGAAGGCTCAAGAGCAAGAGATTCACCAACTGATCAATGTTCTGTTTTCTTCTTGTAGCAAGCTCTAAGAGATGAGATTATTATTTTTTTTTACTATGGTTTTTCCCTTCAATAAGCGTTCTTGTAATCTAGTTCATCCACCAAGAATTCATAGGTAGGCCTTTGTTTTAGTATTCTATGCTCTTGTAATGTGGTTTTTTCACCAAGAACAATTTTCAGAATAAAGATTTCGTAGGATTTGGTTTTCCTATTTCACAGTTTATACGCATAGTATACGACAGTTTAACCACATGCTAACACCATCAGTGGACAAGAATGAATTTGTGAAAATTTACGGCTACACGTAGCTTTTGGGCTAGCTTGCCTACATACCCTGTGAAGGAATCAAGCCGAATGCAGTTCACCCTCTTTGAATTGAGGTGACGAAAGGAGATTTTGGGACTTCAGATTGAATGTAGCTTTTAAGGGACTAGACCTTTTGAGGGATTAAGTATACCGTAGTTCTTTTGCTTAGGCCGCCCTTTTGGGTTTTCAACCTTCAAAGCTTTTTTTTAACCATCAGGCATCAAAATTCTTGACGAATTTCCCATTCACACAAAGATATATGCACTTTCCTTCTGAGTTTGACAACTTGAAAACACCCTTAGAGAAAACATTAGTAATGACGCAGGGCCCCTCCCACTTTGGTTCGAACTTACCACACATTTTCCTGGTAATGACAAAGGGTCTTCGGACAATTAAAACCAAATCTCCAAATGAGAAAGATCTGAACTTAAAATTCCCCTGCAGCCTGAGCTTGATATATTTCAAGCCTTTGTTGAGCAGCCAGTCTTTTCTCACCAAATTGTACGGTGTACATCATGTTGAGTTGCGTAAGGTCGTCCTATAAGCCCATAATACTTCAGGGAGGCGTTCATGTCAGTCTCTTTTGTTTCCTGAGACCATTTTCTTCAAGATATTGCACAGTATCTTATTGAAATCTTCAACTTGACCGTTCGACGACGGATTGTAACTCACAAAAAATGAGGGTTGAAACCTATACTTCTCGCACAACTTGGTCATGGACTTGCACTTGAAATACAATGCATTGTTGGATATTATCTTCGATGCATCGTCCGCTCGTACCTCCTTTAAAGGAATTGCTTCTACCCACTTAGAGAAGTAACCAGTCACGGCCAAGATGTATTGATGTTAACATGATGACTTGGGCTTTATGATGCCCACAACATCCAATCCCCAAGCTTCAAATGGCCAAGACAAAGTGGTTGGATGCAATTGTTGGGGTGGCTGGTGTATAAACTATCCATGCAACTAGCAATCTTTACATGTGGTTGCAAATTTCATTAAGTCTCGGACCATTTTGGCCAGTAATAATCCAATCTCTTCAGTTGATTTGAGAGTTTTGGACCGGCTTTATAAGCATTGCAAGTGCTAGCATGAGTATCACAAGGGGCTTTAGTTGCATCTTGTTTCGACATACACCTTAACAACATACCATCAAATGACCATTTGTTCAAGGTGTCGTTTAAATATAGAAACAGAGTGGCCATGCATCGACATTAGATATCAGAGTGATAAGTCCATAAATATACTCATTTATGTACTCTTTTTACTTAGGTTTTGTAGGAGAATTAGATTTAAAAAGGGCTTATTACTTTACTTTTCTGATTTTCAGCTTTTCTGCGCTCTTAGAAGGTTTTTAAGGAAAAATCAACTTTTCGGAGGAATTTTAGAGCAAGGCCAATTGGAGATGAAAGCTAACATCTTGAAGTTCAATCTGTGATTTTTCTAGAATTTTCTACCAAGCCAATTGGTACAGTATTATAAGTAAAGTTAGCCCACGTGCAGACAAGACAGTTTCATACATGTTACGTGAATGTGAAGAAACGGAAGCCTTCCAGAATTTTCCAAGTTACGTGCTATATATGGTTGGAAAGATAAGACATTTATCTTTCTAAAATATATTTTTAATGATTTTTCTGCAAGGCCGAAGATCCCCAAATTGTGTGACAATTGGGCTGAGCTGTATTTCCCTGTGGAGTTAGGAATTGTGATTTTTACTTTCCTATTTGGATTCCTTGTTTACCAAGACTTCTTGGACAACTTGTCAGTCAATTTTAGGGTTTTAGAACTCTGATATAAGTGATATAAAAGGCCAGCCAAGGCCCCGGAAACAGATTCACGTCCAAAAGGGATCAACCGCGCAAGAGGAGAAAGCTGCCAACAAGTTCTTTCTTTTCCTTTCTTCTTTTAAGTTTCAGTTCTTATGTATTTATTTTTGAGTTCATCCAAGAGCATGAGTAACTAATTTCTTGTTAGTTAGGGCTTAATCTTGAAGCCCTAAACATGATTTCAATTCTATAAACAAGTTTGAATGGATTTTCAGTTTCTACAAGCGTGATGATTTTGGTTTCTCTATGTTATGTGAATTCTGATATTTTGTTTCTTTGAGTAGCTAACTTTGAAGCATGTATTGGAATTAAATTGTTGTAGAACATAGGTCAATTGCCATATTGAATGTGTTCTTGTTTGCAACGAATAATTGGGTTAAGAACTAGTTATGAGAAATCGATTCTTGAATTCCTAATAACAAATGCAATGTTTTAGGGTTTTTGTGACACTCATATTCTCTTTGATCTTAATGGATTCTTGATTGTTAATTTGAGTAAATGCCATACTAGATTTCAATTAAGAATACACGTATTGATGTAAATGCCATACACTTTACATGCACTTAAGAGAGAATCATACAACTCGAGTCAAATGCCATGATCTTGTTGTGAGTGTCGTCATCATATGCTTGCTAGAAATTGATTATCTATTGTTGTTTATGGATTGATTGATTGGTTAGAGGTGGATAGTGAGTCCTAGCTATTGTTCTTGATTGATTATAAACCAATTTCTTTTAAACTCTAATTTAAATTATGTTTTGTTTTGTTTTCCTTATTTTGTTTTATTCACAAAATCAAATCAAAACCCCCCTTGGTGTTGGCGTGTGTGTGGAAGTCCTTGTGTTTTCGTTGCGTGACATTGATAAACATCTCTCTAGATTACAATCTCTGTGGGAATGACCCTTGCTTGCTTACTATACTATCATTTGATTTGTGCACTTGCAAGGTTTAAATATTGTTGTAAAAAATTACCAACAAGTGACTCTATTCCAAAGCATTTTGACATGCTTGATCCTAAGCAAACGGAACATCCCTCTTCATGAGCCTCGAGAATGGTTGGCACCTTCCAGAGAGATTTGAGATGAACCGTTGTACATAGGCTAGTCTCCCTTGCAGCCCTTGCAACTCCTTTAAATTTCCAGAGGGAGGCATTTCACAGATTTCCTTGATTTTTGTAGGATCAATTTCAATTCCACGATGTTGAATGAGAAAGCCAAAGAATTTGCCTGAAGTTACCCCAAATGCACATTTTAAGGGGTTCATTTTCAGCAGGTGCTTTCAGAGTCTATCAAAAACAAGTTTTAAGTCACTCAAATGATGTTCTCTTTTTCTGGTTTTGACAACCAAATCATCGACGTAGCATTCAATGGTATTATGAAGCATGTCATTGAAAATTGTCGTCCCGACTCTTTGGTAAGTTGCCCCTGCATTTTTCAACCCAAAAGGCATCACAATGTAGCAATATATTCCTTTTGGAATACAGATGGCAGTCTTTTCTTGATCCTCTGGAGCCATTTTTATTTCTTTGTAACTTGAGAATCCGTCAATAAACGATAAAGCACCAAAACCGGTTGTTGTGTCTACCAATAATTCTATGATTGGGAAAGGAAACTCATCTTTTGGGCATGCACCATTGACGTCTCTATATTCCACACATATACATGGTGCTCCAATTTAGGACTAGGACAAAATTGGACAACCAAATAGGGTATAAGACCTCTTAGATAAAACCAGCGGCAATAAGCTTGTCAATCTCGATTTTTATTTGTATCGTTAGGTGTGGCCGAAAATGACGTGGAGCTTGCTTCACCCATCGAGTCTCATCAGGTATCCCAAGTTTGTGAATTGTGACCTTTGGGTCCAAACCCGACATGTATTGATATCTCCATGCAAATACATCTCGATACTCTTGCAAAAGTTGAGTGTATTCTTCTAATTCTTGCGGTGTTAGCGAAGCACTGACAAATATAGGCTTTGGACTGCTAGCTGTACCAAGATTAATTTCTTAGAGATCATCAATCGTGGTTTGACCTCCTTCCTCCATTTGTGGTAGAGCTGGTTGGACTATGTCAATGAATTCCTCGATATCTAATCGTCTTGGTCCACTATTTCTTCAAAAGAGGTGCAGTTGACTTAGACAGGGTCATTCATTATTTTCACATTTTTGAGTGTTTTGATCATGGATTTCTCGTGACACTTAACCTTCCATTTTCTTTTATTATGAACTTTCTTTTGTTGAGAATTGGAAGGGTTCTCTAAGCGTTGAAAGACTGAGATGCGGGGTAGTTGTCTACCTCTTAAGTGTTTGAACACATAAATGCGAAGCGGCCTGGTATTTACCTCATCTTCCTTAAACATAGCTTGTTCCATATTAGTCAGCACTTCGGGCTCGGAAGTTTCTAGTTGTGGCCTTGGAAGAGACATTTTGAGCATGTCACTCTCATTTTCAACTATGAGGCCAGCATTACTTTTCTTCCATTTACGGCCTTTGAGTTTTATCTTTAGTGGAGCATATGTTGTTTCTGGAATGATGCCTTTTTTGTGGACGATTACTCATTTACTCGAGCCATCATTTTTGCCAAAAGTGGTCAAAATGACCAAACTGCCCCTGGGATAGACTAACTGATCTTTTGTAAGGGACGAATGTAACTTGTTGTCATCAGTGACTCCATTGTTTGTTTCAACAAGCCTGTTTCTTGTTTACAAGGCTCCTTTTTTGAAGTCTTAACAATTATCTTTGGCTTGGGAGCCTTTGAAGTCAAGACTTCTTCAACTTTTGAGGACATACCACGATGTATTAGATTCACTCGAATTACTCTTGAAGGTTTGGGTGCTTCTGCCTTTTGTGATTTTCTTGCTTCAACAGTCGCTCATTTATTCTCTTTATCAACCTCTGATGGCTATGTAAATGAGAGACCAAGTAGACCGTAAAACTTCGCATCAGAGTAATTTATCTATTCGCGTCTGAACGGGTCTGTGTCAGCTGAAACGCTCTTAACTTCCCCATTCACCAAGTAGTTGAAGCACTGGTGAAGCTTAGAAGGGACTACGCCATATGCATGGAGTCATGGGCATCCTAGTAGGACGTTGTATGAAGTGTCAACATCGATCACTTGGAATAGGGCTTCTAAATATAAGTCCCTTATTCCATTTGCAATGCAATGGATTTTTGCCCAAGTTGGTTGAAACCTTGAATAGTCAGCATGGAAGGAGACAACTGTCGGAACTCATCCCTAAAGCATGGAGCGTCTTTAAAGGGATAATATTCATAGAGAGGTTAGTTATGAAATTTGGACCCAAGTAAAAAGTCATCTTCACCAAAAGTAATAACTGCCAGACATGATGCACAAAACTTTTAGGTTTTAGTTGTGTGGACATCCGCTGATATAAAACATGACTTGTATAAATCTGGCCTCATTAAAGCCATTACAAGTGTTTCCCTAAACTCTCTCGACATTTGTAACGCGTCAAAGACACTTAAAGGAGAGGGGATGCACTTAAGATGAGCCAAAATATCATACTTAACTACATGTGATTGTGATGACTCCTTCATTTTATTAGTATCACGTTTAGGGTTCTTTGCTTTTGAGGAGGATGGTGGAACTTCCCCTGCAACAGTCTTTTTTGACAAGGAGACTTTAATCTCTTTCACCTTTGACTTCTTCTCCGTTTTAGGGGAATCAACTTGTGCTTTATCAACAGATGGAATATTTCGACTGCAGCAAACGGTAATCTCATCAACCTCTATGCCAGCCTCATATTCCTTCACAGAAACCATGTTGCATTGCATAACTTCTTCCTCAACTTCGAATTCACTTGAGAAGAACTCAACTGGGCAAAAATCGTTGAGTGTGACGGACCCTTGCGGGTTATTCATATTCATCCTTTTGAGGGATTTGAACTTTCTTTTGCACCCTCATTTTCTCTTATTTTTTAAAGATGGCATGCCTCGAAGCTTGATACCAGGACAAGTAGTAGATCTATGATTGGGTGGGAAATTTTTGGCCATACGCTTGGCCCCTTTAACAAATGTCTTCCACCCCTCAACAAATTCGTCAGCCGAAGAATCTTCCCATATCTCTAGGTGCAGTCATGAGCTCATGAAGAGAATGAATTTGAAGATCACTAGACCGTGGTGCATTTGGACACACAAGTACAATTCTGCCCCCATTGTCGGTATTAATACCTGCAATTTCCACTCCCTCTAGTAATGTAAAGGTGGGTGTGAGTTTTTCCTCAATCATATTTGCTACAGCTAATTGATGTCAAGAAGAAAAGTCTATCTCCAACCCACCATTATTGATGAGCTCTTGGATTTTGTCCTTTTGTTTGGACCTAAAAATGATTCGCACGCCAACCCACTTCTCACAAAGGCCCACAAAACAGAAAAGGATGGAAGACTGGGCTTTGACTCAAAAATAGAGAAAGCCCAAGACCAAATCAGAAGGCCCATGACTTGTACAAAAATGGCAGAGTTATAAAAAACAAAAACAAAAACTTCAAGATTTAAAGGCAATCAACCACTGAAGCAGATCAATAAAATATTGAAAAAAAATTGGATGGGGCCCAGCTTTTGGCTCACCACTGATCTCAAAACCCAGAGTGCAAAGTCAGCAAGATCTTTTTTGAAAGCCTATTCTCAGAACCCATGTGACTACTTGACTTAGAAAAGTCAACAATTTCAACTATCACAAAATAGTTGATTGGGAATTAAATGAAAGCAGGTCATTAGCAAAAGACTACTCTGAAACTCTGGGGCTAAAATATCAGAATCCCTTTTTATACAATTCTGCGTCAGAACAGGTGATCCTTCCAAGAGATAAGCAAACTACAATCTCAACGAGATAAGTGGGAAGCAGAGAGTTGTTCAAATAGTCAAATCAAAACTAACCATCACAGTTTGAGCTCTTACAGGGGGTAGGTAAATTAGAAGAAGGGTTAGGTTTCTTTTCAAAAAATACAGGGAAGTGATTGCCATAAGAACTGACTATTGAAAGCTTATTCGCCAGAATTGATAAAACCCCTTTTTCTTTGCATTAAAACATGGAAGATCTTGCTTTTTAGAAAATCTGCTGCCCATTTTTTAAGGATTAGAAATTCTACTCTAGCATTCCTATAAATGCAAGAGAAGGTGAATAGAGCAGAGGACAATCAATCAAACAAACCAAAAAAATCAACCAAAGACAAAACTCAAAATTATCACTTGATCTCTGAGAAACTTCAAACAAATTGAAGCAACCAAAAACTCATTTGAGCCCTAAAAGAAGCCAGCCATAAATCAGAACTTCCAATTCAGACTTAAGAGAAATAAGTCATTCAAAATGAGATTTCTCTCATTACAATTTGGTTCAGCAAAAACCAAAACAAGCAGAGTTTGAGTTTTTACAAATATGAAAACCTCAACAAATTTATGGAGAGACCTGATCAAGCAGAACAGGTACCACAATGCAGTTCCAGCTCAGTAATCCGCAAGTCTAGCCACTTCTGCCCTTTCAAATTGAAGAGGCCGCAATTCTGCCCATTCAAAAAGCCTCCCAGGGCTCGAAATAGATTAAAGCTCTGCCAAACTCAAACTTTGGTATCGATTTACAACTGAAACTCAGCAATTGAAGTTAGGAACAGTCCAATCCAACACAGGCATACCCAGTCCAGCCCAGATCAAAAGCTTCTGTCTAGGCAGAAACGGAATTCCAGCCTTCTTTTTGTCTTTCTAGAGTTGATTCTTTACTGTAGAATTTCGTAAAAGCCAGTTCCGCTTGAAAACATTTCATTTCTTACAATCTATTCTGGTCAGAACTACCAACATTGTACTGTGAAAAATTATGAAGTCCTCACCAGTCTGAGGCATGAAAAGAACTTACTTGGGAGATATTCCTCACCCAAATTCACATTCGCTTGTTTATAAATCAGTAACTTAAGGTGCAAGTTATCCATTTTTAAGAAGTCTGCTAGGATTTTTATTGCTAGCAGTGGCACGCTCGCACACTAAAATAAAGTTGACTTGTTCACCAGTCAATGGTTTTCAAGGCAATAGGGAACTTTACCCTTCCATCACAGGAGCAAAACCAAAACGGGTGAAATCAAATACAGGAAGTTGTGTCCCGACAGGAGGCCACAGCACAGAGAAGCTAGGATACTCTGAATAACATGACAGCCATGATGCAATGGCACGTTAATAGGCAATTCAAGAAGGACCGAGAGGCTGCTATGGCCAGAATCCCAAACCCAGATGTTGTGGTCCAGCGATTGGCATGGCCATATTAGGAGAATCCTCTCATCACACAGATAGCTGGAATTTCAGGGCATGGAGAGATCCAAGTTGGACAGAGGGGAGGAGCCCTTCCCGTCTAGAAGCAGGATGGTTCAGTTCGGCCAGAAGTCCCTGCACCAGTTCAGGTTCCCCAGAATCAGCCACAATCTCCACACATTCCACAACCTGCGACCCCGCATGATCAACCCTTGGCGCTTCTGCCTGAGGCACCAATTGTGTTGCCTTACAGACCCAGAAGGATGGATCCCAATCCATTACCTCCACCAGCAAGAGGCAAAAGAGGCAGAGGAAGAATCAACCCCTTTGCCAACAATGACAGGAACAGAACGGGGGCAAACTGGAGTAATCATCCCGATTTTGAAGAAAAGGATGAACTGTTTGTGCCTAATAAATCACGGTCATAAACTGACTGAAGGGACTTCCTCTCGGCCCTAGCACCTACCGTTTCGTTAGGCATTTCGCCTTCTTGAAAACAAAAGAAAAGCTGCAAAGGCAGAATCCTCTCGGCCTCGCAACCGCGGTATTATAGGCCGAAGCCGAAGGCCGTAAGAGACACGGCCCAAGATATTGTGGTTAAATCGTCACATGGCCTCAGGGTCCCACGCCCCATTTAATGAAGTAATGCCTCTGACTATCGCAGCAAACCTACTAGTTGCAAGAAGCATTTAACGCACGAGGGAAGAGGAGAAGGGACTGAAGTCAGGATTGTGATGGAAATCAGAGTGGTTAGGCGCAAACATTCTCACAAGTATTCTTACAACTTGAGGTCAGATCACCAACCACCAGACCAGGGCATTAAATGCGTGCCCATGGCCAAAGGGCCAGAACCCACGATCAGGGCGGTGGCCAAGATTTACCGGGATTTATGGGGGTCACACCACCATGCTTCACGATCCCAAATGCCGATTTGACTACCCATTTGCCTCGATCAGGCTCCATCACGCAGATCTTTTCAGCCTCGATTGTCCCTCCAGGACTCCTCCTATAAATACTAAGCTCAAGACTACATTCAAAGGGTTTAAACACCAAACCAAAAGCCTCCCACGGAGCAAATTATATTTTCCTGTGATGCACTTTCAATACCTTTATTTGCTTTCCTAGGAGTAGTGGTAGATTGTAAGGAAAATTCATTCATCAATATATCATACAACCCTTGATTTTCAAGGCACCGGAGCACCATCTCTGTTATCATCTCATTCACCCCATATATAATACGACCGTCGCTCTCTGAGCAACGCGCCGAAGCACCGCCTAAAACCCGCCACCAACACCACCACTAAACGGCCTTGTAGCTCAGGCCGTGAACCTGACGGCCGAGATCAGTTCCTCTCTCGGCCACAATCGTTTGATTAGGAGTCGCACTCAAAACAGGCGCATTATTTAACCATCTTCTACCCAAATCTCATCACCATCTCGACACACGGTAGACCGTGCTGGCATGCCCACGCACAACCGCACCGCATCCAAAAGAAGGACGTCACGTGTTAACGCATATCCCCTCGGCCCAGAGCACCAGGCCGTGAGATTTGGGCAGCCAACAAGAACACAGGGGGGAAGTTCTACCCAAACCATGCAGGATATGAAGCATAGGATTGACCACGCCCAGCCAGAATAGGGACGGAATCTGCACCCTGTCAATGACTTGAATGACGTGGGGCACTACAGAGAATGATCAGCGAGATGATGGAGCCTGAAGCAATGAGAGGAGAAAGGCCCATCTACAGAAAGCCATATCCAGCTTACATTGATTAGATACTTCTATCACCGGGTTTCAAGGTCCTAAACTTCACCTTGTTCAACGGAGAAGATCCCCATGCTTCATCAGTTGAGCATATAGGCAGGTTCTCTGTCCAGTGCATAGCCATAGAAAATAACCCTCTGTTAAAGCTAAGGCTTTTTGGAAATTCTCTCTCTGGACAAGCCTTCACCTGGTACACCAGTCTACCAGCTAATTCTGTTTAAACCTGGGAGCAAATGGAAAGTGTGTTCCATCACTACTATTTCAAGATCGAACCAGAAGTCACCATCAGTGATCTTGCTGCCCTCAAATAGAACGAAGATCAGCCGGCTCAAGACTTCATAACCTGATTCAGAAAACTCAAGATGAAATGCCGGATCCCTGTGGAAGAAAGGCACTTCATCCAGATGGCTCAAACCGCCCTTAAAATCTCTTTGAGAAAAAGGTTTGACGGGATGCTGTTTGGAGACCTTGCAGAACTGGCAGACAAGGCATCTAAATATCAGGAGCTACTCAAGGAAGAACAGAAGAGGAACTCTTCCAAAGGCACATACTACAAATCCCCTTCTTCTTCAACACATCTTATTAAGGTGGAATCAGAGGAAGACATAGAATGCTCAGAGGAAAGAGAAATTGCAGTGGCAGAAATGGCAAAATTAAAACATCTCATCAACTGCAAGGCTCTTACCAAGCCACCAAAGGACCAGAAGTCACCACCATTCACAGGAGGGTTTGTTCCAAACAAGCCAACCCAAAACAAGGTCTATTCCTCCGATCTAACCAAGGTTGATGCTCTATTTGATGAGATGCTGCTACAAAAGGCAATAGAGACACCCCACAGGTTGCCCAAGCCGGAAGAACTCAAGGTCATACAGTATTACAAGTGGCATAACTCTTGGAACCATTCCACCAATAGTTGTGTTGTTTTCAGGGATGTCATACAGGAAGGAATAACAGCAGGAATGCTAAAATTGGCCAAGAAACCTCCATCAGTCACAACAGATCCCTTTCCCCAGCCTCAAGTCAACATGGTCAACTTAAATTGGTCGGAACAGAATAAAGGCAAACTAACAACAGAAGCTAGCTCCAGCAGAGGCAGAAGAGTCGCAAGGGAGACTAATCAAAGGCCAAAAGCAACTATCTCGGTTGGGGTAGTATTGTGCAGTAAGTACAAGTGTGAGAGTGAGTTAGAAGTAACTTTGGATAGGCAGAAACAGCCCACACCTAAACCCTTTTGCATCATTTTAATGGGATCATATGATGCTGGGGACATCATACCAACAAGGCCCGGTTCCGGCTCTATCTAAAGATAGAGCCAAACAGAAGGACTATCTAAGGCTTGCTCAACGCAGCAAAAGAATGACAGAGCAGCCAAAGAAAGAAACACCAATTAAGATGCCTAGAAATGAAAAGCCTTTGGCAACTATCATAGAAAGCAGATGGTATTATGTTGGAAAGAGCGGTAGACCAACTTTGGAGTTTACCAGAACTCAGAAGAGAAAGGTTCAAAGGCAATACTGCACATTCCTCAAGAACAGGGATGAAACACAAGTACTTCCAAAGACCAGTTCTGCTAGAGGGAAAAGTCCAGAAATAGCTCCTCATGCAGAACAAACAACATGTCAGCCACAAGACCTGATGAAGACAAAATCTCCAGACAGACCTTCCACCCATCCTGCCTCATCCTCAGTCAATCAACTTGAACCTTCACAAATACAAGGTAAATCCAAACCTGTTCCAATAGGAGAACAAGAAGACTAGACTGAAGAATATGAAGAGGAGCAATTGGACTATGAGCCGTCTGCAGATGACCAGATTGGACTCCTCAAAACTGGAGAACAAGAAGACTGGACATAGGAGTATAGGGAAGAACATATGGAATATGATGAAGAACTAGATGAGGAAACTGAGGCTTTTGGTGTAGAATTAGAAAGTTTGTTGCAGGGTGATCTGGCATTAACATGGTATTCATCTTGCTAGAAAAATTCAGGGCAGTAGGAGGACAAGAAAACACTCTGGAAGAAGACGTGTTCTCTCAGGAAAGCTTTGAGTGCAAGTTGGCAGAAGTAGAGGAAGCACCAGAACAGCAAACACATACTGCCCAGACAGACGGAACTACCATAAAATCGGTTGCAGAACAGTTCTGTTTCTCCAAACCAACCAAGGAGAAGGCCAATCACCTCAGACCCCTATTCATAACAACAAACTTTGGGGGTATTCCTATTCCCAAGGTGATGGTAAATGGAGGTGCAACCATTAATCTTCTACCTCATACATTGTTGAGCAAGATGGGCAGAACAGAGAAGGATTTAATTCCAACACGCTTGACTGTCACCAATTTTGCTAGGGGCATCACCAAGACTCATGGAATCCTGGATGTGGACGTCATAGTTGGAACCAAAGAACTGAAGATTGCATTCTTTGTGGTGGACACCACTTCTACCACTTACAACGCATTGCTTGGCAGGGACTGGATTCACCAAAGCTTATGTGTTCCTTTCACTCTGCATCAGCAATTAGCCCTTTGGAATGAGGAAGGTTTCATGGAGATAGTAGAGGCCGATCCACAGCCATTTATGCCCTCTACCACGTGTTTTGAGGCAAGGTATTATCATGATGACCTTGGTTCTTTCACCTTTCTTAGAGTCAACTAGAACGGCGGCCCCATGGTGTCACGGCCTAAAGACTCATTGAAGGTGGTTTAGCCAGTTCTCTGGAATACTGGAATAGACCTTTTCTTCTAAACCTCCAGAACTCTGATGTTTAGTCTCAATCAACAACAAAAGGATTGAGCTGCAACAATCCGATCTATTACAAAAAGATTGTTGATATATTGGGAAGAAAGGAAGCTTTTCATGCAAAATCCAGCCATTAATATGGCAGAATTCACTCATGAGAGCACTGAAGAACAGGAAGAAAGTTTACAAGAGGAAGTACTAGATTCCAGCAGCACTGGATAACTCTTTGCCATAAGTGGAAGATCCATTACAGGAGATAAACTTAGGGACAGAAGAGGATCCAAGACCTACTTTCATTAGTGCACTGTTGAAAGAACCACTCAAAAGTGAAATCATTGCACTTTTGAATGATTTTAGAGACTGTTTTGCTTGGCATTATCATGAGATGCCTGGATTAGACAGAAAACTGGTAGAACACAAGCTGCCAATCAAAGAAGGCTACCTTCCAGTCAAACAGGCCAGAAGAAGAATGTCTATAGAAACAGAACTGAAAGTCAAGGAAGAAATAGAAAGATTGCTCAAGGCAGGATTCATCAGACCAACCATTTATGCTGATTGGCTAGCCAATATTGTGCTAGTTCTGAAGAGAAAAACATGGGCAATTAGGATCTGTGTGGATTACAGGAATCTGAATGAAGCATCTCCCAAGGATGAATATCCTATGCCAATGGTAGATATGTTAGTAGATGGAGCTACTCATAACCAAATGCTATCTTTTATGGATGGCAATGCAGGATATAATCAAATTATGGTAGCTGAATGAGACATCCATAAAACAGCCTTCATGTGCCCATGACATATAGGCGCTTTTGAATACACTGTAATGCCTTTTGGCTTAAGAAATGCAGGAGCTACTTATCAAAGAGCAATGAATTCTGTTTTTCATGACATGATAGGCCATTCTTTAGAAGTATACATAGATGATATGGTGATTAAATCCCCAGAAGAGGGAGATCATGTATCAAACCTGAGAAAAGCATTCCTAAGAATAAGACAACATAAGTTGAAAATGAATCCCAAAAAATGTTTTTTTGGAGTTCAAGCAAGAAATTTCTTGGGTTTCTTGGTCCACCAAAGGGGCATAGAGATTGACAAAAATAAAGCAAAATCCATCATAGAAGCTCTACCACCCCGGAACAAGAAGGAACTACAGAGTCTCCTAGGAAAAATTAATTTTCTAAGGAGATTCATATCCAATTCTGCAAGAAAAATCTAGCCCTTTTCCTCCTTGCTAAGGTTAAAACAGGAACAGACGTTTAAGTGGAAGGAACAGCATTTACAGGCTTTTGAGGAAATCAAACATTACCTCTCAAAACCCCCAGTTCTGTCCCCCACCAAAGAGGGGCAGACCACTCAAACTCTATGTTTCGGCATCAGAAGTGTCCATTAGTAGCATGTTTCCTAGCAGATCATCCAGACGAAGAAATTGAAAACATGGACTCTTTGGACATAGCAAATGCAAATCTGTTGACCAGAGCTCATACGTGCCTTAACAATCCCATCTATTCAATTCACCTTACACCTTGGAAACTGTACTTTGATGGATCAAAGACTGATATAGCTTCTGGGGCAAGGATTGTTTTAGAAGAGCCACTAGGGATCAGACACTATTATTCTTTCCAGCTAGATTTCCAGTGCACCAACAACAGGGCTGAATATAAGGCTTTAATCATTGGCCTAGAAATGCTGGTGGAATTAGGAATCCAATTTGTGGAAATTCTGGGATATTATATGCTTGTGTTAAAACAAATTGCTGGAGAATACAAGTGTCTAAGTCCTTCTTTAGCTGTCTATCTAGTGGCAGCCAGAAACCTTCTAACAGAATTCAAAGAAACTACTTGGGAACACATCCCAAGAGAATAAAACTTTGCAGCCAATGAATTGGCTCAGGTAGCAACAGGAATACAAATGCCTGAGGACTGTGTACAAAGGATCATCAAGGTAGGAAAGAAAAGTCTACCATCTGTTCTAACCAGAGGAATGGAGATAGATGTCAATTCTGCCATAATCACTGAAGATGATTGGAGAAGTCTCGTCATAAATTACTTGCAGTATCCAACCCTGCCTTCTAAGAAGAGAGTCAGAATCATGGCTTTGAACTACCTTATGTGGAATGGAGATTTGGTCCGAAAAAGCAAAGATGAGGTACTTCTGAGGTGCCTAAGGAAGAAAGAATGCATGAAGGTAATGGGAGAAACCCATGAAGGAATCTGTGGAGCTCATCAAGGAGGAAGAAAAATGTGCTGGTTAATTAGAAGGTATGGCTACTTCTGGCCAACCATGATGAAAGATTGCATTGAGTATTCCAAGGGATGTGAGGCTTGTCAAAGGCATGGCCCAATCCAACAGGCTCCTTCAGTTCCCATGAATCCAGTAGTACAGCCATGGCCATTCAGAGGATGGGCAATGGATCTCATTGGCAAGATTTATCCAGCCAGTAGCAAGCAACATTGTTTTGTCATTGTAGCTACAGACTATTTCACCAAATAGGTGAAAGCCAAGCCTATTAAATCCACTACATCTCAAGAGATCATCACCTTCGTAGAAGAACAAATTATACAAAGGTTTGGCATTCTAGAATCAATCACAACAGACAGGGGATCTTTTTTCATATCTGGAGAAATACTAGATATGACAGAAGCATTCAAATTTAAGCTGCTTCAATCCACCCCTTACTATGCTCAAGCTAATGGACAGGCAGAATCCAGTAACAAGGTGATCATCAACATTATCAGAAAAATTCTTAAGAAAAATCCAAAGCAGTGGCATGAGAAATTATCATAAACCCTATGGGCACATAGGACTTCAAAGAGAGAGGCAGCTGGCATGACCCCATATGCTCTAACTTATGGTCATGATGCAATTCTGCCTATGGAAATATCAGTCCAATCTCTTAGAATTGCTCACCAGCACAATCTGACTGGAGAAGACAACTCTCAAGCCATGCTGCTAGAACTTGAAGGATTGGATACAAGTAGAATTGACACCCTCAACAAACTCTTAGCAGGAAAACAGGCTGTGTCAAGGGCCTACAACAAAAGAGTTAAAAACAAGAGTTTTGAAGAGGGAGAAATAGTCTACGAAACAGTTCTGCCCCTTGGAACACACATAGCTGATTATGGAAAGTGGTCACCTACATGGGAAGGTCCTTTCATAATTAAGCAAATCCTTGGAATGGGGGCATACAGATTACAGGATCGAGATGGAGATGTTCATGCTGCACCAATCAATGGCAAATGGTTGAAGAAATTCTACCCAACCATGTGGGATTCACAGGCTATATAAACAGATCCCAGAATAGAGAGGGAACAAAATGAAACTGTTATCTAAATTTCTGTTCAGAATTTGTTTTGTATTGTAAATTTGTTAAGTTTTTTTCTTTTCTGCTTTCTTTTACTTTGACAAGAGAAATTACGGATAAAAAAACAGTTCCACAAAAGATAACTTTTATTAAATATAGTCATTTTCCATGACTAAGTTTATTACATTTTCATAATTTAAATTCAAAGTCCTAGTTTCTTTAAAGTTTCTTGCAATCCGGTCTTCTTGATAGAGATTTCTTGCTGGAGAAGCATCCCTTGATGGAGAGAGGCCTCTGCAATCTCCAATGTTGGCCTAGAGGCAGCTACCATGTTCTGCACAAGGAAAGTGGTCTTGGTCTTGGTGCCTAGTCTAGCCCCAAGTTTGTTCTGCCTTTCCCTTAGCCCAGCCAGTTGTTTTTGGAGTTCTTCAATCTAGTTCTCCAGCTTGTCAGCAGCAGTCTTGGCTTCCTTGTAACCTGCAACCATCTGGTCCAATTCTGCTATCTGTTTCTGGTAGTCAACCAAATTAGCATCACGAGTGGCCTTGCAGAACTCGGAAGCTTTAAAGGAGGGCTTAAGATCTTCATAGCGGTTGTGGAGATTGAGCACGTCTCTGGCCAAGCCCAAGCTGATTTCAAGAATGGGTCTAGGAGCCATGTTCTCTCTATGCAGCAAGTCCTGGACTTTCATCAGTTGGTCAACAGCTTCTTGGTTTTCATCCAAATCTAGTTCAGTGGATTGCCATATCTTTACCCTATCCACTGCCTCATCCACTACCTTGGATTTTTCCTTGGCACGAGTGGAGCTAAGCTTCTCCAGTTTGTCCAACTGGGCATCCAAGTCCATAGCTTCAAACTCTGCCAATTCTAGATCAGCAAAGGAAGCCGTGGTAGATGAACCTGAGAGAATGGATGGGCATCTGCAAAAAAAACTCAAGTCAGTTTTCAGGAAAACTCATAATAGGAAGAGAAAGGAAGACTAAGGCACAAAAATAATCACAGCCACAATGGGAGGCTTGAAAGGACTGGTTACCACAGTTAGGATCCCAATAGTCTTGTTCTCTGCTACCTGAAAAGACAATAACAAATTAGGAAATGTCAAGATGAACAGAACTAAGAATACAATACAGCAAAACTAGAAGTTACTTTAGGAACAGGAACTGCAACAAAGTGTTCTGCCTTTACCTCATGCTCTGGGGCAGCAGCAGAATGTTTTGCCTCCACGTCATCAAATAAAGCCAATTCTGAACTTGTGGGGTTATGCCCTTTGAGCTTCTTCTTGTTGTTTGGTCAAGGCAATGCTTTCTGCTATTACCTCAGCAAGGATCTCCTTCTACAGATGGACAGAAGTCAAATGTTAGAAGAAATAACCAACACAAAAATTCATACAGCAAGTAATGGAGTCTCACCTCTTCTTCATGCTCTTTCTCCTGCTCTCCAGAAGTTTTGGTGGGAACAGCTGCAGGCTCTTCGATCTCGTCAGACTCAACTCCAGTCCTCTTTCTAGGTCTTTTTAACCTAGTAGCACAGAACAGAAAATAAAGGTTAGAAGAATAGACATAATAGGACATAATCAAAGAGTAGGGCAAAATGTCAAGATCTTACCAGAAGGTTCAGGCTGGATAGTACTGCCGTGAATAGGAGCAACCTCTTTTCTTTTTCTTCTAGTAGAAGGAGTGGCCTCAACAGCTAGTTGCTCTACCAGGGACTCATGCTGATCTTCCTCATCTCCAAACGAAAGCTCTAGATCCCCAGTAGCTATGACAGAATTAACTACACAGAAAAGAAGAAATTAGAAGACAGTCTAGCGAGGAAATTTAGAATTACAGAATTCGGGAAACTTACCAATCACTTCTCCAGAATGCACAGTCTGGCTTCCAATGTCCTAAGTCATAGAAGGATCTGATACATGCAAAACAGGTTGTTAGACATCACAAAAACAGGCAGAATTGAACCAATGCGATCAGAACAAAGGAAAGAGGCTGAATGGAGAATATACCTTCAATAACTTGTGCATTAATATCTTTAATCATCTGCACCATAAAGTTCTTGGCCTCTGCCCCTGTATAGACTGCCCAGGAGTCCCAGCCATCAAAAATCACCTTGAGGGCAGTGCTCGAGGCAGAAAAACCTTGGAACCTAGCTTTCTACCAGGCGTCAAAATCAGCAGAGCCACAGGAATTAGGCTCCCACAGGGGGTAGAAAGCATCCACACTGCTGTTTATTTTATTTACCGAACATCTGTAGTCCTTATGTACGTCTAAATCGTCTGAATCCCTCCAAGAGGTAGCACGGTTGTAGCTTGAGAGGAATTAGCTGAGGACAGCCAAGTTGCCGAGTACAGAAATTGGGATGATACACTTCTGCCCCCAGATGATAGTCGGGAGGTTTGCCTCCACCAAATGGCATGTCCCGAGGCAGCATCACACTCAGAAATTTATTCCTAAATTCAATTCTTTCCTCTTCTTCTTTTGGCTCTTTCTCAAAAAGTCTGTATCCAGGTTGAAACCAGGGGTAGGTCCTCCTGAGCAATGCCTGCCGCTATACAGCAAATCTCTTAGTACAGTGCCTAAAGAACATCAAGTATTCCTCAATGGAACGCTTGGGCACCTCTGTTGACATCAACAAATGAGCCATGACCTGGTCTTCAGGGAGAACAATGTCTGGAAACCTCAGTTCTGGGAAGTACACTTGCAACCAGACCTAAATCATCCAAAATGCACCAAGGGCGGATAGATTCAGTGGATTCTCCAAAGTGTCAGTATGCAGGTTCTTGTATAAATGAGCCAGAATCGTAGGCCCAAGCCCCACATCCGTGTGATTGTGCAGAGCCTCTGCTAGATGTCTGTACTCAAGCAGAATTGTAGAGGAAATGTCGGGAAAGATGAATTTGTTTAGCCAATAGAGGAGGAACAACATGTGTTGCTGATCTCTATCTTTCTCAGTGCTGAATTTCTTCAGATAGTTGGAAAACAAGCAATTATGGTTGATGGTTGCAGGAAAGATGATGAAGGGCTTGGCCAATTTCTCCTGATTTTTCCTTCTGTGATAGTCACCAACAGCATCAACAAGCCTTCCATGAGGCCTAAACCCAAAGATTTGAGCCATGTCCAGTAGAGTTCCAGAAACACAGAGCGACAGCCATAAGGTTCTCATCTCTATTAATAGAGTGCCTGGACAGAAGAATTGCATCGTAGATACTAGCCCTCTTCTAGTGAGCTCCGTGCCTAGGAAGAAGCTTGTCAATCTAGTTTCACCATTTCACCGCACTATTCCTCACTTCGCTTGAAGGAAAAGAGTGACTCAAGTTTTTGTTGACCCAGGTATGAGAGGCCAGAGAAGTGGAGCTTTGATAGCACAGAGAGGCCTCAGCATCATCCCTAAACAAGATGGCCATCTTCTTCAGTACAGGACCAAACTAATGACGGCCCAGAACCAGGGTGTTCTAGAAAAGATGAAGTACATTCTCATCCAAATTCTTTTGCGCGAAGGGATAGAGCTTGCTTCGAACCTCTATCGCATGACTGTCGACACCATCTCCAGTGAGATAGGCAGGAAAGCGTGAAGAAGAGGTACCCTTGGCACGAGTATTTGGAGAAGACATTTTTTCTCTCTCTCTCTCTCTCTAGAAATCAAACGAACAAAGGGAGATTGAAAGGAACAGAACCGAAAGAACATAAGGTTTCGAAAGAAATGGAAGCTGAGACAGAACTAGGTTTTTTTATAAATAGTGATGAAGATTCGGCAAATCTTTATAAACAAAACAGGAAGATCGTGGAAGAGTGGAAGGGAAGGAGTTTTGTTCAGATTTAATTAGCCATTAGAACCCATTTCCCCACGAAGCCTAATTGAATAGGCAGACGTGCGCTAGTGCAACGGCAGGAAATGGTGAGCATCATTTATTGCCCAATCATTAAGTCTGAAACCGTTTTAAAACGATTCAAACTTAAAGGGGCAATGTTTGGGCCTAAAAAGGATTCGCATGCCAGCCCACTTCTCACAAAGGCCCACAAAACATAAAAGGATGGAGGACTGGGCTTTGACTCAAAAATAGAGAAAGCCCAAGACCAAATCAGAAGGCCCATGACTTTTACAAAAATGGCAGAGTTATAAAAAAACGGTCAATACTAAGGCAATCAACCACTGAAGCAGATCAATAAAATATTGAAAGAAAATTGGATGGGGCCCAGCTTTTGGCTCACCACTAATCTCAAAACCCAGAGTGCAAAGTCAGCAAGATCTTTTTTGAAAGCCTATTCTCAGAACCCACATGACTACTTGACTTAGAAAAGTCAACAATTTCAACTATCACAAAAGAGTTTATTGAGAATTAAATGAAAGCAGGTCATTAGCAAAAGACTACTCTGAAACTCTGGGGCTAAAATATCAGAATCCCTTTTTATACAATTCTGCATCAAAACAGGTGATCCTTCCAAGAGATAAGCAAACTACAATCTCAAAGAGATAAGGGGGAAGTAGAGAGTTGTTCAAATAGTCAAATAAAAACTAACCATCACAGTTTGAACTCTTACAGGGGGCAGTTAAATTAGAAGAAGGGTTGGGTTTCTTTTCAAAGAATACAAGGAAGTGATTGTCATAGGAACTAACTATTGAAAGCTTATCCGCCAGAATTGATAAAACCCATTTTTCTTTGCATTAAAAAATGGAAGATCTTGCTTTTTAGAAAATTTACCGCCCATTTTTAAAGGATTAGAAATTCTATTCTAGCATTCCTATAAATGTAAGAGAAAGTGAATAGAGCAGAGGACAATCAATCAAACAAACCAAAAAAATAAACCAAAGACAAAACTCAAAATGATCACTTGATCTCTGAGAAACTTCAAACAAATTGAAGCAACCAAAAACTCATTTGAGCCCCAGAAGAAGCCAACTATAAATCAGAACTTCCAATTCATACTTAAGAGAAATAAGTCATTCAAAACGAGATTTCTCTCGTTACAAATTTGGTTCAGCAAAAACCAAAACAAGCAGAGTTTGAGTTTTTACAAATATGAAAACCTCAACAAATTTATGGAGAGCCCTGATCAAGCAAAACAGGTACCACAATGCAGTTCCAGCTCAATAATCCGCAAATCTAGCCACTTTTACCCCTTTCAGATTGAAGAGGCCACAATTCTGCCCATTCAAAAAGCCTCCTAGGGCTCGAAATAGATTAAAGCTCTGCCAAACTCAAACTTTGGTTTCGATTTACAGCTAAAACTCAGCAGTTGAAGTTGGGAACAGTCCAATCCAACACAGGCATACCCAGTCTAGCCCAAATCATAAGCTTCTGTCCAGGCAGAAATGGAATTCCAGCCTTCTTTTTGTCTTTCTAGAGTTGATTTTTTACTGTAGAATTTTATAAAAGCCAATTCCGCCTGAAAACAGTTTTTCTTACTATCTATTCTGGCCATAACTACCAACTTTGTACTGTGAAAAATTATGAAGTCCTCACCAGTCTAAGGCATGAAAAGAACTTACTTGGGAGATATTCCTCACCCAAATTCACAATCGCTTGTTTAGAAATTAGTAACTTGGAGCGCAAGTTATCTATTTTTAAGAAGTCTGCTAGGATTTTTATTGCTAGCAATGGCATGCTCGCACACTAAAAGAAAGTTGACTTGTTGACCAGTCAATGGTTTTCAAGGCAATGGGGAACTTTACCCTTCCATCACAGGAGCAAAACCAGAACGGGTGAACACCTTCAAGATATAACAATCCTGGAGCATATGACTAACGAGGCGGTGATACCGACAATACCTAGGGTCATTTGTCTTGTCAGCCTCAGTAGGACGCTTTGATTTTGGAAAGGGTAATATCTTTGGAGGCAAGAAGTTGGTCAAAGATTTCTTCTACATCATCATCATCAAAAGAATATTTGACCTCTTTGTCTTCTTCAAGAGTTAGCCTTTTGGGTGGGTCTTTGATTTGGCCTTTGTCATTTTTCTTTTTTGTTTTGACAAAAGTGGCCAAACGACTCTCCCTTTGTAGACTTCTTATCATTATTCTTTTTCCCGAATTGAATTTTTTGGGTGGCAGACTTTTGGCGAGCGATTTGTCTTTCAACATTACTCGCCTTTGACACCAAAGCATCAAATGATTGGGGTTCAACAGTGGCAACAAAAGTTGCAACGTCTGGCCTGAGGTTGTTGTAGCACATTTGCACTGCTGATTGCTCGGTAATTTTCTTTAGGCAATGGAGATTAAGGCTCCTCTATGTCATTATGAAGTCATTGACATTTTTCCCTAACTTCTGGGTAGTTTAAGCTAGGTCCATGATCGAGACCTTCTTCTTAGTACTAACAACTATGCCAAAAATGATTTTTGCATGTCATCCCATGTCAAGATTGAGCCTAGCGGTAGTTGTGTATACCAAGTAAAAGCTTATCTTTTTAGGGATTGGACAACTTGACGCACCAGGAAGGCGTCTGATTGGGATGTCTCACCACATGCTGAATAAAAATGTGCTAGATGTTCATGAGGTGAGCTATCCATGCCATCAAATTTATCAAATATGGGCTGTTGATAACACTTCTGGAATGGGATGGCGTCATAGTGAGAAGGGAATGGCTTTCCATATCCAAGAACAAGAGGTGCTACAAACATTTGGAACTCACGAATCCCCTTAGCGATTAATGCCTTTGTTATTTAGGGAAATTGTGCTCGTAAAGCCCTCTCCTTTTTCCTCTTTTCTTTATTGTTCGTGGGCCATGATCTCATTTGCCTTCCCCTTATCTTGCTCACTCATGATGGCTTTTCCTTTCAATTGAGCATATAGTAATGCTATTTCCGCATCTTTCTCTACTAACTTCTGGTGCATTTCCCTTCGCAGGTCTTGCATCATTTCTTGGATTAAGAGTAATTGGTCCTCAATATTAAAAGTGTCAATCATCATGACTTGCATGCTTTCCACTCTCTCATGAAGTTTGGCCTCTTGGGATACTATGTAATCATTCTCTTGAGTTTGAGATACGGGATCATCGTAAAGAGGATTTCGTAGCAAATAATTGTCCAAGTGGATTGAATTTATAGGGGACAACTTGGGAATAATCATCCCCATCATGTATCAAGATTTGGAATAGGTCAATGGACCCATGTAGGACCTCGACTGATCTTAAGATTTTGGGACTGCCCCTTGTGATACAGGAATTTGATTCCTTAAAGCATCAATTGTCTTTGCCTTTTGCACGAGCTTCCTTTGTGGATACGGTATGTTCACCACCTTCCTTTTCATGATGATGGCTTTGTTTTTACCCTTTGAAGAACATGGGTCAACCTCTTGTGAGGTGGGTTCCACAACATGGGCTCTAGGGCTTGACCGAGGTTTGGCCCCTTGGACCTTAGTGTTTTTCTCAAAGTCATCCTTTTGACTTACTTTACTAGTTTCATTGGTGGAAGTCATCAGGACTGAATATGTAGGATACAAGTTGACCAGGATTGATCCAATCATGATTTGGACAAATCGGGTAGTATTATTCCCGGCACAGTCAGGGTGCTTGAGGTGTTCTCGCTTACGGTCACCATTTGGCTTCTCATAGAAAGCACGGATAAAATTGCCTCAATAGACTGCTTTTTTGCTTCTTTCTTCCTCAAAGCACAAGCAACCCTCTTCCTTGCATTTCAAAGAGCATTCTTGGACGGTGTTTTCTTCAGTTGGGTCTTGACAGCCTTAGGAGTGACCTAAGGCCTAGCCCTCTAAATGGGCTTTGGAACAGCGCACTTGATGAGGCTCTCACCAACAATGAAAATTTTTGGAAGCCTACTAGTTTGGTGCACGCATTCCTGGTAGTTTCAATCTTGTTGAAGAAAATTGTAACTTGTGGTGCCAACATTTATCTGACTTCAAAGCTTTTTCTTGTGAGGGGAGGTGCAGCTGCACCTCCTTGTGCCTTTGTGGATCTTCCAGTGGTGTTGGTCAAAGGCCCTTGTATGCCTGAGTTCGATTAGATCTTGATAAAGATATGACAATAGCTAAAGTGGATGGAGTGTGGTGGCTGGAACCATGTGGGAGAGAGGGGAGAGAGAGTGGCGATAAGAGAGAGTTTTAGGATTATTCTTTTTGAACCCTAGAATTACCCATGTATTTAGAGGTTCTTTGTATGCTAGGGTCCTTATTTGGTTAGGATTATTCTTTCCCAAAAAGATGATAGGAATTAATCCAAGAGATTTGATGAAAATTTGTTCCTTGATGTGGGGAGATATTCCTATCTTAAATCAAAGATAATTCCCTTAATTAAATAGGATTTAATTAGGGTAATTAGTTCACCTAAGGAATATTATTTTTCCACGTGTCGTCTTCTTATTGGCCAGTGAAATATGTGTTCCTACAGTAATCCAATGATTCCCCATCTATATTAATTCATCTATATGAGTGAATGTAGATCAACAATTCCCCATGTTTTTAATATAATTCATACGTGGGAGGTGCATACAAAATCTATTTTTTGGAATGAAGGGTATGAACAGGCCTTTTAAGTGGCATCATGCTTGACAAATCTTTAAAGATTGCCAAAAGTGGAACGACCAATTTGAATGCATTTTTATTTGATGTTGTTATATGCATTTTAATTTGATGTTGTTGTACTCGTTTTCAATTTAAGTGCAATTATATTATGTTTTGGAATTCCAACTTGTTTAGGTTATAATGTTCAGAAAATTAAATCACGAATTTTTAAATAAAATACTGTCAAGAAAAATTAACCACCAAAGAATTAGTGGTTAACCATTCTTAAATATTTAATAAAGCCGAGGAGGTTGGAGGAAACCTATTTGATGAGTTCGAACATATATTTGGAGGGGAAAATTTGAGTTTAGCCCCATTTAGGTTGGAGATGGTCTTAGGAGTTGTATTTGGATTAGAATTTTAATGGATTTTAAAGGGATTTAAATCACAAGTTTTCCGTTTTGTATAATTACCTTAATAACCATTTTTTAAGGTGTCTAATTTAAAAGCCCTATTCCTGAATGAAAGAAAAGAAAAAAAAACCATGGCCGGTCTCTCCTTCTGTGAGTCCCAAAGACAAACTCCATAGAGGGAGGAGGAGGAAGAAGCGTCATTACTCCTTTTTCTGAGCTATGCTTATATTGAAGTTCCCCGTCACCCCTTTTAGAAATTCTCAAAGGGGCTACATCATCTTCGACGAAGGTTGCTGTAAATAACTCAATTGTTCTTTGTCAAGGTAGTTGTTTTCATTTATTTGTTCGCTCTTATGCGTAGGTAATTCGCTCTTATGCGTAGGTAGATGGATGAAAATCATGTTTTTCCCAGATCTGTTAAGGATGCGGTGGTGGGTGTGGCCGGAATAGCGCTTCTTCAGGTGGTGGTGGTAGTGTTCGTTTAGGCTCATGGATTGCTTTAGGGTTTCGATTATGTTGGGTATATGGGCTTTGTTTGGGCTTATGGTTAATTGTGGTGATGTGGGATAATAGTTTTAATGCGGCTTTTGTCCACTTTAGTTTTGTTTTTAATATGTTAGTTTGTTACCTTCTTGAGATTGATACTTTAGATGTCATGTTGATGTATTTTATTGTACCTTTAAAGTTTATCTAATGAAAATTTATATTTGATGAAAAAAAAAAAAAAAAAAAAAAAAAAAGATATATATGACGCAAATAGTCTTTGAATTTTTCAGAAGTCCTCAAACAAATCAATCAATTTGAACTCAATCGTCTCGTCCACATATCAATTTGGTCTACTTGGTTGCATGTCATCATATTACAAACTTTAAAGGGGTATAGTGAAGCTAGGCCATTATAAAGACGAGCAACCCTTAGGCCCCATTTGGTTCACGGAATGAATTTAAGGGAAAATCATTTCCCAAGGGATGGGAAATGGAAGATTCCTTTCCCAGGTTTGGTAATGCTGGGAAAGTAACTGGGAGATACCACTTTATTTCTTTCCTATGTTTGTTTTGAGCAGGAATGGAAAACAAAGATTGTATAAATTTTCAATTATATTCATACTAAATCAAATAAAAAAATAATGCATTTAATGATATATTGTAATTCTAAATTGTTAATGGGGACAAAATGGTCATGAAAAATGTGTATTTAATGTTGGCTCATTTTCCCAAACTTTCCCATGATGAGGGAAAACAAAACCCAAGTTGGGAGGATGACTTCACTTTCCCCCCTACTTTCCCATGGGCCATACAACGATTTCTTATGTCTGGACTTACCAAACATGGAAAAGCAATTGATTTCTCATCCCCAAATCTCCTTTCCCATCAACCAAACAGGGCCTTATAGCAATAGCAAATAGCCTACTTATGGCCCTCTTTCTTCCCCTTTATTCGTGGACTTCAACTGGCCCTACAAGCTCATGTGTCAATTCTTCGCATTTTAAATCCGGCCAGACTATAATGAGGGGTAAGTTATAAGGGGTTCACTTTATAGTCATTGGATCAATCCAAGGGCTGGGGAGAATTGGGATAAAGTTGTGCAATCGGGTAGGTGAGGAACCCAAACCCGAATTTAATATCCAGCAATGAAGTTGGTCCCAACAAAAAAAAAAAAAAAAAAAGAGGCAAGTTCGAAGTTTGAACAGAAAAAAACCCATTGATCTCAAACTCATAGCTGAGAGAAACCGCTAAGCTCTGAGAAACGGTTGAAGGCAACGGGCAACGACGGTTGAAGGCAACGGGCAACGACGGTTGAAGGCAAAGGTTAACGACGGTTGAACGCAACTCCACTATCTAAACCGTGAAAAAGTATTTATTTTGAGTGGAAGGAGCAAAGGCGTGGATTCTGAAACAGTGAAAGACGAAGCAGTGGAAGGGGAAGGAGAGAAGCCGTATTCGTTGGAAGTGATAGGTTCCATTTGTGGAGCAAAGCCGCACAAAGACCCAACACAGACACCTTGCGATTGTTCAATAACCAGCATTTGGTGAGTAATTTATGGAATTTGAGTTTAGGGTTAGAGTAACCGTTTTCCCCAATTTGTACCATGAATGTTGTTAGATTTGGCATCTCTTCTTTGTGCTTCACTTGCATGTTAATTTTTGCTTGGGTATATGTTAAAAAACGAATGAATATAAAGTCAATAACATGTCAATAACATGTCAATAATGATATGAATAAGGTAATGGTGTTGAATTGGAGGAGGCCCTCAAAACCTTCCACATTTGAAGCAGTGCAGAGTGCAGATTATCTCTCTGGAGCTAGAATATATATAATTTTTGAAATAAATATTATTTCCGTTGTTACTAAATTTGCCTGTTAAAAATGAGAACAGATAATAATAAACTCATGAATAAAAGTGCAAAGCATTTGAAAAAAGGTTGATCTATGACGATTATGGCTGACTGAAGAAAAAGCTAGAAAGAAAGAAGGATGTGGCAATGGCTTAGCGAGCAGATAGCAGAGCAGATTCTTTGCTTTGTTTCCTTCCACCATCTTTCTCATTTATTTATTTATTTATTTTGTGTTGTGTATGAAATGACAATAATTGTCATGTGTGTGAAGTGCAGAACTTGCCTAGATTGCACTCACACTCACTCATGCATCAACCATTGATTGGAGTTTGGATCCATAAATAAAACACATGCTAGTGCTTGTAATTCACAGAATCATTGCATTAACAGGTATTTGCACAAAATATGTCATATTGCTTTGATGATGTTAAAGCCTGTGATCAGTAATCCCTATGCGCATGTACTTTGTAAAATTTGTAATGTGCTGGTTGACTAGTTGTGTAAATACCAATGTGATTGTGCAAATACGTGGTAGTATATGTGTTCACGTTATTTCATCTTGTATTTCAGGAAATGGGATCCAACGTTGAGCTGGTATGGCCAGAGTCAGAGGCATATTCCTCACGGGTGAACAACTGCTCACATGCAAATTCATCCCTAGCTGTAATTCGAGCGAAGTTGAGTGCCGAACAATTAGAACAATTCAAGACATCATGCTTTGGCCATCTTCTGAATATAGATAAGATTCAGTTTAGCGGGCAGATTGTGCATGGGGTTGTGTTGCGTAGAGTAGCGGGGCAGGGTGTGAAAGACTTGGATGGACTGAGTTTCTTAATAGGGTGCGACGTTGCTCAGTTCACTCGTCAGGATTTCTGTTTGATCTCAGGGCTTCGTTTTGGGGAAGTGCCTGAAGTTTCCAGTGGAGAAAGTGATGAAATTAGACTTCAGAAAAGATATTTTATAGACGAAGGAATTACATGTAATGCTTTAGAAGAAGCATTTGTGAGGTGCACAGAGGAAGATGACGTCTACAAGCTAGCTCTTGTTTACTTTGCTGAGTTAGTGGTTTTGGGAAGGGACAAACATTTGAACATCAATCTAAATTACCTGACCCTTGTAGAGGACTTGGATGCGTTCAACAGGTTTCCATGGGGTTCGGTGTCGTTTGACAAAACCCAAGACAGTCTGTTTTCTGCACCAACAAAGTATGTGAAAAGCTTTGAAAATGAAGAGGGAAGAGGGAAGGGGAAATGTAAGGTAACCGGAACAAGCCGGAGAAATGAGAAGGGCAAGAAGGATAACCATGGTGAAGTGCAAAGGGGTGGCTGGAGTTTTAAAGGTTTCACGTTTGCTTTCCAGGTACATGGTAATAATGTTCATGTCGTTATGTTTTGTTGACTTTAAAACTTAAATAATAACTTGTGTCCTGTGAATTGTGTAGATTTGGGTATATGAATTAATTCCTAGAATGGTGGACCTGAATTACTGCAAGGTTGTTGATCCGACAGCTCTCCCGCGTATTTTGCGATGGAGAACTACTACGTCTGTTCCCGAGATGAGAAAGTTGAACAATTATTTTTTCCAGAGCAAAGAGGTTTGGTTTGCAGCCCTTGGAACTATTTATAAGATTCAATGAAATTATGAAGTAGAATGATTGCATATGACTCTTGTCTGTTTTCTGAAACAGTCAGTTCAGTTGCGGGCGCTATGTCCAAGTGAAGAGGAAATGAGACAACCATATTGGAGTTGGCCACAGGGTCGCCCTGTTGTTGTCTCGGCAGAGTCAATTCCTTCTTCATGTGCTGACCTTGATGAGTTAAACAAGGCGGTAAGCTTGTTGAGGTCCGAGTTGTTTCAAGTAAAGCGGGAAAAGGACGTCCTTGAGTTAAAGGTCATACGGATGGAAAAAAATTTGGGCCACTGTTTAGGTCCTCATTTTGAGCAGGAAGTGAGAAGGGACATAGCTTTACTGAAAGAGAGGACGAATCGTTGTGTCGTGTCACATCTATTTAAGGGATATGAGGAAGTGGATGGCATGCAATGGGATGAAGGGCCAAGTAATAGAAATGAAGGAGAGGAAATGAAGAGGAGGACATTGAAGGGGGTGAAGGGCCAAATAACAGAAATGAGGGAGAGGACAAGGAAGAGGAGGGGATTGAAAGGGGTGAAGGGGCAAGTAAGACAAATGAGGGAGAGGAAAAGGAAGAGGAGGGGATTGAAGGGGGTGAAGTGCCAAGTAAGAGAAATGAGGGAGAGGAAAAGGAAGAGAAGGGGATTGAAGGAGGTGAAGTGCAAAGAAAACCAAGGGAGGTAGAGGAAGCTCAAAGGAAAAGAAGTGAGGGAGAGCAAGTGAAAATAAAAAGCAGCAAAGGAGAGGAAGCGCAAAGAAAGAGCATTGAGGGAGAGGAAGAACTGCAAAGAAAAAGCAGTGAGGGAGAGGATCCGAAAAAAAAAAAGGAAGGGCAAGGAAGTGAAAAGACAGAGAAGTGAGGAAAAGGAAGTGCAAAGAAACCAATGTGAGGAAGAGGATGATGAAGTTATGTTGGTTGGCGATGACATTGGCGAGAGCACGGAGGGGACAAAGGTTGAGGTTACTCTCGGGGACATTGATTTGGATCAACCTACAGCTGTGTTATCTCAGTTGAACGTTTGGTTGAATGATGAAGGTCAAGGTGTGGAACGAGGGGTCCAATTACGGAAGAGGAAGAGGATTATTCCTATGTGGAAGATCGTTGAAGCTAGTGAAGTGGTTAAAAAAAATTTGCCAAAGACAACCGGACTTCGGACGTTAGACCCAATGAAGGCGATTCCGCATGATGATATGGTGAAATTGCTGAAACTTTGTTCGGAATGGCGCCATAACCCAAAGTAAGTCCTTTGTTTTTTGAGATAGAAGGCATGAGTGTATATATTTTTTAATTGTTGTGTTCTAAAACTTTTTTATATTCATAGTTTGGTGATGCAATTTGGCAACGTGGAAGCTGAGATTGAATTCTTCGCTTCCCTCGTCAAAGCTGACGGTTGGCTGAAAGGAGATGTAAGTTTAATTGATTATGCATTTGTTTGAATGTGCATAGATTATGAGATTGACAAGGAAAACATGTGCAGCACATTGATTTGGGCTTGTATCTCAGTATGGCATAGGCCTTGACCAAGTGCAGTTAATAATTACAAATTATCCATACTTGCTTTGTGGAGTTGTTTAACCATTGATTGTTTTCTATTTCACAGAATCACATCCATACTTGCTTTGCGGATAATAAAAGGAAAAAAGAGCAAGTTGGGTGGAAAATTAGAACCAGTTTAGTGAACGTTGTAAATGGCAAGGTTCCGGCTTGTGGATTGGATTGGCAGAACACGTATAAGGTGTATGTACCTTGTATGTTGCAAAAATATAAGCATTGGGTGGCTCTAGAGATTGATCTGATTCAGTGTGAAATCAAAGTCTACGATTCAATGGTTTCACTCATTCCAGATCATAGCTTAAAGGAAGAACTCGGCCCCCTGTCAATTACGATTCCAAATCTTCTGCACACCCTCGACTTTTATGAAGAAGGTGTTTACGCGAACGAGTGCACCCGAGATTGGTGGTGTCCATGGCCAATACATCGTGTGGATGTTCCACAACAGGCTAATCAGTGAGCACAACTTTTTATTTAATTTTATTACTTTAATTTGTCAATTATGTTAGAATGTCATTAGTTGAATTGATCGAGTTCTTGTTTTGCTTCAGAGGCGATTGTGGTATGTTCGTGTTGAAGTACATTGAGCTGTTGAGTGCTGAGATTTCCTTAGCTACTTGCACCTCAGAACATGCCATTTTTTCGGTTGAAGTTGGCTGCAGAAATTGCACGGGGAGATGCTTACATGCCATGATATCGGTTGAACTTGGTTTAGGCACATGATGATGAAATAGGTTTTGGGAATGTCAAATTTCAAAGTCATGTAAATACACAATAGAGACCCATGGGTCCTTTTCGAATTCCACCTCTGCTCCTGAATTCTTCTTCGTCTTTCTCAATCTTAGTGTATTTGTGTACAGAAATTTAGATTTAAGTTACTGGACAATAACAATTAGAACCAAAATAGTGGCAAATATTATAGCGGATGCATGCTTTCATTTTGATTAGTGTGATATTACGCTATGTGTATTCTCATATTGTGCAAAATGTATATGGAGCTGGTTGCAGAGCATAGAAAAATGAAGACTCTGAAATGGAGATGTTGAGGGTTGGAGAGGAGAAAAGTAACTGGATCTGTAAATCTATTGCACGTGGGCAATCTAAATGGATAGGCAGATGCGTTTTTGAAGTTAGACACATGCCATTCCCATACATAGAATGTGCATATGGAGTGTAAAGTTTTTTTTGATGTAATGAAACAAACATCGGTGTAATATTGGCCTAACTCCTTCACGACATTTACCTAACCTCAACCAAACTGCATTGAATTGGGATTTGAAGACTGCATATGTGAATTTGGATTTGAAGAATGCATATTCACATAGGGACTGATGGCTTTTTAAGTGTATTACATCATTGCAAAGTGATATGTCATCATTTATCCAAGCCACCATTCCAAATATCATATCCCAATCTTTAAGCCGTTCAACATGCCTTGACTTAATCGCAATGGGTTGCATCTTAATAAGGTAATTCTGTAAGGGGAATAGGCTGCTATGGCCTCGCCTCCAATATTTTATTCAACCATGCCCTCCTTATAGAAACACATGAAAAAATGTCCCCAGGTGCAATGCTCTAAAAACTCCCTATTGGTTCCGCACTGCCCCTCGGGTTTGAATCCCTCTCTCCTTTATAATCGGTTAATAAATTGGTTGATTTTCTTTATTTTATTGGTTTTGGGCAGCTGAGTAACATAACAGTAATGTATATTGGTGCGTCTATATTGCATGTCTGTTGGGTCTATATTGCTTGTCTATTGCGTGCATATCTTTACATTTATTGCGTCTGTATTGATTTGTATTGCTTACGACGGAAATAAATAACAATACACAGGCAACAGACAAGCAATATACACGCAATAGATATGAAATATACACGCAATAGACATGCAATATACATCAGTCCCCAATTACATCAACCATAAGGAAGTCGTATTGAATAGGAAATTCTACTTAAGTTGTTCTTCCTACGAAAACAAAGAATAAGGACCTTTTCCCCCCTTAAATCTAACTGGAGTCCTACTTTTGCCCCCAATAAACATGCAATATTGGAGCAATAACATGCGATATACATGCAGTAAACACTCAATCAACTTTCAATAAACCTTCAATATCGGTTCAATAACATGTGAAATACATGCAGTTAACAATCATGAAACCTTCACGAAACATGTAAACAATCAATAAACCTTCAATAAACACTCAATATCGGAGTAATAACATGCGAAATACATGCAGTTAATGAACCTTCAATAAACAGTCAATATCATGCGATTTACATGCAGTAAACAATCAATAAACAATCTATATACACTGAATAATTATGCAATCTTAAAAAAAAGGTATTGTCTTATTATTGCATCGTATTGGCCCTGTATTGTCATTTTATCGTCTTCGTATGACTTTATTTTTGTAAAGTAAGTCTAGGAAAGTTTTTACTGGGTTTCTGACAAGTAAATGCTTTTGTTTCAAACAATAATTTAAACTCAATGCTAATCCACCTATTTCAATAACAAAAATTACAAATTGGGTTTGAAAAGTCATTGGTGGTGCGTGCAACATGTGTTTTTGGGGAGAACTTTTACAATCCTTGAAACCGTGCACTTAATTGGTCATTAAAAGAACAAATAATATGACAATTGATACAACTAATAAAACTAATACCAAGTCCTTAATGGACTTCAGCATATTAAGCACTGTAGCATCATACGTGTCAGCTTGCTGATCTGCTTCAGCGGAGGTTACATCAACCCATTCGAATCCATTGCAACTGGTGGCTCCCTAATTGCAGGCATCATATATGCAAAATAATTCTGTCAGAGTTAGACCTAGGATTTTTTTTTCACCCACATACATATTCTGGAAATGAGAACTTACATAGGAGGTTAGACACTTCCAAAATGGCTTCCCTCGATTTTTATCTGATTTTGAAACCCGAAGCACCATTGCAGCTCCACAATACTGACACCTCTTTGTTTGAGCGGGAGATGAAGACAAAGACATGTTGAATCTTATCACTTGTACCTCTTCTCACTCAGATCTTCTCACTAAAACCTCTTCGGACTCATACCTTCTCAGTTATACCCCTTCACTCATAAGTCATAACCCTAAACTTCTCACTCAGCTCTCTCTCATCTCTGCCCAAATCGAATTATATCCTTCTTTTCTGTGTGTGGGTGGGTTGGTCACGATCTGGACACCTGTACCGTCAGAATTGTGACACATTTTACTCCGATAAGCGATATACTATTTCACTACCAATTAATCTTACAATTGAGGGGACACTGCTTTAAATATATTATTTTCTTTATATTTCATTAAGGCAACTAGTTGGATAAGAATCCGTCATTTAATAGGGGTAGTGTGGTGTGGGAAAATGAAAAAGTATCTGATGGGACCTTCTGTCACTAGTCAGTAATCCATCACATTTGTATCAATGAATTTAATGGCGGGAAAAGCCTAACAATGGCTATGGAAATAGGTTATTAATTGACTTTTGGACGGTCTGACTCCCTTTGCATTTTGATGACGTTTTCCCTTTGCCTGTCTTATGTTTTGGGTGTTGAGTTCAGTTTCTTTAAAAAGGGTCAACTTGGTAACCCAAGGAAACACCTTTTCAGAACAGTGCAACCAGAGGCTAAAACAAACCCAAAACCCCGTATATTCTCATTTCTCCCCTCTTGCAGTCCTCAAATCGTTCCATTCCAAAAATATTTCAATGAATTCCAAACATTACACTACAGTCGGAGGAAAGAGAAGAAAGCATCTCCATCTGGATGTGCCTCAAGCCTTCATCCCGGAATTAGCTTGGTTTAAAGTGATGTTATACGTGGCAACCAACTCCTCGGAAGATCTCTTTCGTATGGCATGTGTGTGCCCATTGTTCAATACGTTGGCAAACACTCCACAAGTGTGGAACACAATTTCAATGGAAAAGTACCAAGACCATCCTAACTGGTACTATGCCGCAACGCAGGTCCGGCATTTCGTGGACCAATGCAGGGCTTGCCAGAACCCTGAGGCGATATTTAGAGAAGCGTTCAACATGTTTTTCAGGCAGGGTAATGTGGAAGCATTGTCTGGGATGCGCGTTGCAGCCACGGCAGGCCATATGGAAGCGTCATATCTAGTTGGACTACTTGGCATGTCCGGAATTGGTCAGTCAAAAGAGGATGCATTAGAATTCTTGTGTTCTTTGAATCAACGTAACAACATTGATATGAAAGGAACCAGGGATGCTTTGAGACGACGATTAAGCGGAATTTTCTCTGTTGGAAGACATATCGTAGATATGTTTCACTATGGGAAGATTAAGTTCAATCAGTGCAGCGCTTGTAACAACAACGACTGGTGTTTTGTTATTCCAGGCTGGCCTAGTGAAGAAAAGATCAATCCTGCCTTCTGGACTTGTTGCAATCGATGCAAATGGCACCGTGAGAGTGTTTTTTGGTTCAAGGTGATGCGTGTCTATGTTGTGCCAGGGAATCCATACCCTTATAATTAGTTGGAGTATGTTTCTACGGTTTTTATGCGTGTCTATGTTCTACAAATGTTGTTTTCTATTTCATGTTTTAATCTATTTTGTCTGGTGTTTGTGCTGTCCTAGCCCGTTTTATATATAAATGTATAATATTTGCTATATAGTGGAATTATTACTGACATAATTGACGGCTAAGAATGACATTTTACTGACACAGATATTTTGCACAACTGCAATCTTAATATTTGGTAAACGAAAACGCATGCATGAAGTGAGTATGTGTCTTTTCACCGGTTCTTGGGAATGACATTTTCCCACTTAGCATATCCCAAATGATTGGGTTACACGTTTCTTAAGCAAAACTTGAACAGTGAAAGACTTTGAATAATTATTTCCTGATGTTGTAGAATGGATGGCTTGTATATTTCCATTTTATGTTTGAAAACATCCCTTAAACCTAAAAAAGAAAAAACATTAACAAATTGAAGAAGAGAGAAACTGATTAGCACCAGAAATGGTCTATTCACACGGAAAATAAAAATAAAATTAAAAATTTGGAGTAAATATAATTAACAAATGTACAAGCTAACAAGTAATATAACAATAATAATAAAAATAATTTTGGATAAATAATAATAAAATACTAATGTAGCGTAACCATGAAACAGGGAATTCAGGAGGAAGATGAAGTCTCAATGAGGTCGTAGCAATTTTCGGAACATTATTGTGATTTTTGTGTATTTAGTTATGAATTTTCTAAGAAAAAGTCATAAAATAATAATTTAGGGTAAAAGGTAAGGATGTGGCCATGTTGACTGACGCACACTTGTCAAGGGGTGAAAGGTGAGGGGCTGAGATCACGCCAGGTGTCCATTTGGCAATTATTTTGGCTTTTTTAGTGCAAAAATCTTTGAAAAAATGCAATAAATAGTAGAAAATTCCTAAAAATGCCCCGAAAAATACTCCGGCCTCCGTGTGACGTTATAAAACGAGGGGAACCCATAGATCATCCATTTCGCAATTAAAAATTCAAAAATGATTTACATAACTCACTTTCCTCTTAACCCTAAGTATATATGTTGTTCACTTTAACAAGTATATTTCCTTAATATTCGTTATATAATTTGTACTAATACAAGAGTTAGTTTCCTTTCATATATAAGGATGTAAAATTATCTGTTTTGGTTATAATAATGTACATATATAATAAATGCACCACTACTTCGAAGCCATAATTGGAACTG